ACCATTATCAATTGAAGAAATTGAAGTCGCTCCTCCTAAGGCACATGAAGTGCGAATAAAAGTTGTATCTAATGGTATTTGCCACACTGACGCTAACACATTAGATGGTTTCGACGCTGAGGGAATTTTCCCCTGCATTCTGGGTCACGAGGGTGCCGGACTCGTTGAAAGCGTCGGTGAAGGCGTTAAAGAATTCCAACCGGGTGAATTTCTTATCTTACATCATATAAATTCCAGACCTTGAATATTATAATTTTTTTCGACTATTGAAAAATTATTTGAAAATTAAATTAAATTTTTTTTAAATTTACTTTAAAAATCTGATTATTTTTTTTATATTTTTCAAAAATTCAATTATTTTTAAAAGATTTTATCAAATTTCAATTATTTTTAAAAGACCTGAAATTAAAAAATTATATAATAATAATTATAATATAATTTTCTAAGCTATATTGTAAATAGTATCTAAAAAAAATATAATTTGATTATTGAAATTTTTTTTTGTTCCAGGCGATCATGTCGTTCCACTCTTCATTCCACAATGTGGTGAGTGCAAATTTTGCAAGTCGCCAAAAACAAATCTTTGCAGTAAAATTCGTGCGACACAGGTAAAAGGTGTGATGCCCGATGGTACTTCTCGTTTTACTTGCAAGGGGAAAACACTCGCTCACTTTATGGGATGCTCAACTTTTTCTGAATACACTGTCGTCGCTGATATTTCTCTCGCTAAGGTATTTTGTCGAATTTATAGACAATTACAGGGGGTTTCGTACTCGATATTTTAATTTTGAAAAAAGCAGCAAAAAGTAGTTTTAAGACTGAAAAAAGCAGCAAAAAGTAGTTTTAAGACTGAAAAAATTAGTAAAAAGTACCTACAGCTATGGAAACATTAAACTTGGCTACTCAATTTTTTTTTCATAATTTCTAAATTAAATTACATTAAAAAATAGAATACTTTTTTTTATTTAAATAGGCTATTCATTTTTCCACAGGAATTAAAATATTTTAAATTATTTCAATTTAAAGCCTTTTTGAAAATTTCGAAAAATTACAACTAATAATTTTGTTTCCAAATAAAAATTATAAAATATTATTACAGTTTTACAACGATTAAAATCTTTATTGATTTCAATTTCAAAATTGTGTGAAATTCAATTATTTCTAAAAATTCACGCTCAATTATAATGTAAAATTTTAATTGAAATTAATTTTTAAATCAATTTCTATTAGAAAATTGAACTAGAATTCAATTATTTTTATACAAAAATAAATAATTTTATGAATAATTGAATATTTCTTAAAATTGAATTCTCATAAAGAATTTTCTCAACAAAATTTAAATAATTTAATTGTTGCGAAGAATTTCATTTAAACTTTTTGAAAACAATTAAAATCTTTCAACAAATTTAATTAAAAACGTTCTAAAAATAATGATTAAATTCTAATAAAGAAATTATGTAAATTATTTTAAATAATTAAATTCTTTCGACGAATTTTAATAAAAATTTTAGGAATAATTGCATTTTTCGAAAAATTCGATTAAAATTTTATTAAAAATAATTAAATATTTGCGATGAGTTTTATTATTTATGATAATAATTGAATTCTCCCGAAGTTTATTGATTTTTTTAAAAATAATTCAATTCTTTCGAACAATTTTAATAAATTTTTTAACAATAATAAATTGCATTTTTTGATTAATTAATTTAAAATAGTATTAAAAATAATTAAAATTCTGCGATGAGTTTTATTATTTATGAAAATAATTGAATTGCTTATAGAATTTTATTATTTGTAAAAATAATTGAATTTTCCCGAAGTTTATTAATTTTTTTTAAATAATTCAATTCTTCCGAAGATTTTTATACAAAAATTCCTGAAAATAACTAAATTTCGCGAAATAATATGCATCTGTGAAAATAATTAAATTGTCAAGAAGAATATCATTAAAACTTTTTGAAAACAATTTATATCTTTCAAGAAATTAAATTAGCAATGTATTTAAAATAATTATTGAATTCTTTTCAACAATTTTAATAAAATTTTTACGAATAATTACATTTTTCGAAGAATTTAATTATATTTGTATTATAAATTATAGAATTTCTTGTGATTAAAATTGATATTTATAAAAATAATTGAATTTTTGGAACGAATTTTATTAAACTTTTAAAAAATTTAATTCCCGTGAAGAATTTTATTATTTATAAAAATTATAAAAATAATTGAATCGCTCTGAAATTTTTGTTCTTATGAAAAGAATTTAATTTTTGTGTAGAATTTTATTACAATTTTTTTTAAAATAATTAAAGTCTTCTGTGAATATTTTATTGAAATAGTAAATATTGAAAATAATCGAATTCCTGTGAAGAATTTTTATTTTTTTGAGACTAATTTCTTTATTTCAACAAAGAAAAGAAGAAAAAAGTCGCTTTTAGTATCACAAATCTAAAAAAAGTATCTAATTAGTTGCAAATCGTAAAAAAGTAGTAAATAGTAGGTTTTAGTAGATGAGGACGAAGCTTGCAATTATTTCTATTAGAAAAATAATTAATTTCTTTTTCTTCCGTTTGAAAAAAAGATTGATCCAACTGCTCCGTTGGATAAAGTTTGCCTCCTTGGTTGTGGAATCTCCACTGGATACGGTGCTCCCTTGAATACAGCAAAAGTCGAAGCAGGAAGCACTTGTGCAATTTGGGGATTGGGAGCCGTTGGCTTGGCCACTGCACTTGGCTGTAAAACTGCCGGAGCTTCTCGAATTATTGGAGTTGATATTAATTCCAGTAAATTCGAAAAAGGTGTGTACATTTTCATGCTTTATTTTTCATAATTATTTTGTTTGGATTTGGTTATAAAATTACAAATTTTTGTAATTTGTATTTTTACTTCACTCTTTTATATTTTTATATTTTTTAATATTTTTTACAATAAAAAAGAATGATTGTATATAGTATTTTGTTTATAGTATTCATTTTTGTGGATTCTTGTAAATTTAAATTTATTTTATGCATTGCAGCAAAAGTTTTTGGTTGCACCGAATTCGTGAATCCCAAGGATCACAAAAAACCGATTCAAGAAGTCCTGACTGAAATGACCGACGGAGGTCTCGATTACACTTTCGAATGTGTCGGAAATGTTCAAACCATGGTAATGAATGAATTAATTTAGAAAAATCGTTACTTTATATATATATATAAACAGAAAAAAATTAAATATACGATAAAATTTAAAAATAAAAAAAAACGTTTGTTTACAGAGAGCTGCTTTGGAATCGTGCCACAAGGGATGGGGCACTTCAGTAATCGTGGGAGTTGCGCCTTCTGGTCAAGAAATCAGCACTCGTCCCTTTCAATTAGTCACTGGTAGAGTTTGGAAAGGAACTGGCTTCGGTGGATGGAAATCCAAAGAAAGTGTTCCAAAACTTGTCAAAGAATATCAAGCGAAAAAATTGATTCTTGACAAATTTGTCACTCACACTCTGCCATTGGAGAAAATTAACGAGGGTTTTGAATTACTTCACTCTGGAAATTCGTGAGTCAATACTTTTTCTCCAAATAATTTAACACTTTCCCAAAAAAAATATTTAATTTCTTTCTTTCCAGCCTGAGAACAGTTATTAACTTCTGAGAGAATAATTTTCTACTACTTCCATTAAATTCTGCACAAAAGGTATAGTGAACTTTGTATTTTTGTATAACTTTCTTAAAAAACTGATGATTAAATCATCTTTTATTTTTACCAAATAAAAATTTCTCATTAAAACACAAGGGTATTAAATTATTTCTCTACCCTTTCAAATGAATAGAAATAAAAACAAGAAAAAATTGTGATAAAAGTACAAATATTTATTATCACACCCAGTTTATAAAGATACTTGAAAATTTGACGAGAATTTTTAAAAAAATTTTACCATAATTGAATTTCTGCGAAGAATTTTACTATAATTTTGATAAATAATTAAATTCTTGTGAAGAATTTTATTATTTGTGAAAATAATTGAATTCTTGAGTCGAATTTTATTATTTGTGAAAATAATTGAATTCTTGCGAAGAATTTTTTACAAATCTAATTAAATAATTGATTTTTTTCGAAAAATATTAGGAAACTTCTGTTTTAAATAATTGAATTCCTGTGAAAAATTTTTTATTTATTAAAATAATTGAATTTTGCGAAGAACTTGATAAACATTTTTTTAAAATTATTTATTAAAAAGTAGTAAATAGTAGGTTTTAGTAGATGAGTGCGAGGCCTACTATAGGAAATTGATATTTTTTTTCTCCATTCAAGTCAAACAAATTTGCCCAAATAATTTTTAAAAAAAGAAATGTAACTCTTTACTTATCTTAGTTTATAGAACAAACGTGTAAACAAACGTGTAAAAAATAATTCCTAGAAAAATAAACATTAGTCAACAGTAATGAGACAAATTTTGTAAAAGTTTAAATGAGTAGCGCAAGAAACCAAAATTAGTAACAAAAAAAACAGTCGAAATGGCATGAGAAATGATGAGAAATTTTCCAATACAAAATAAAACAAAATTTCTTTTTCAACAGATGAAAATAAAAATCTTAATGTCCGAGAAAAAAGGCTTTCTGCGAAAATGAAAACAAATTCTTACCTTTGATTTTCAGATGTACATCAAATAGTTTTTCTCGTTTTTCTACGTAAAGATTTATGTTTCTTTTTGAATATTGAAATTCGTAATAAATCCTATTAATTTTCTAATGTTCTTTTGGTAAAATCCTTTAGAAAATATGGATAAAAAATGAATCGTTTGAATGTTTTCAATCGACAATCGTCTCAATATTTTCAATCGGTTTTGAGGTTAGGTTCATTTCAACAAACTGTCAAAATTCTAAGGCCTTGTACACAATGCTAATAAAAACTGAGTGTAAGTACGTTCTGATTGGTGAATTATTATTTCTCTCTTTAAAAGAATCGTTTTTCAATTGGTTTAGTCCCTTTTAATTACAAAATCTAAAAGAAATGGACAAACTAAAATTACGTCATACTTGTAGCGCCAGTGGGGCAGGGTAATTATTTAATTAATAACAGTGAATACCGATTCATTCATAAATAAGTATTTGCATAATACACTATTTGATTTAAATAGTTTTTTGACAATTTGGAAAATACCAACATGGCTGATATGACCGGCAAGGTATGAAACTAAATTTATGATTTTTATATATTTATTTTTAAATCCCATTTAAGAATTATTTTTTAAAAATAGTAAATATCTAAATAATTATGTAACTTTCTAATCTTATCGTTTTGTTCCATTTACAGTTCACTAAAAATAACTTGTTCAGTTTTATTAAAAAAAGTGATAATAATATAGGTACAAAACTATTTTTAAGTATCGACACTTACTTTTTTAATTAAAAAAACTAATTACAAATTTATAATATTATTAATGTAATTGTTGATGATAGTAATAATAATGATAATGATAACAATGAAATAATGAGAACAATAATGATATTAATTACCATGTAGTTCGATTATTATTTTTAGTTCTAATAAATGCTTTTTTGAAAACGAAAGGTTATCAAATGTCGTGCTGCAGTTGCTTGGAAGGAAAAAGAACCATTATCAATTGAAGAAATTGAAGTCGCTCCTCCTAAGGCACATGAAGTGCGAATAAAAGTTGTATCTAATGCCCTTTGCCACACTGATGCTTATACATTAGATGGTTTCGACTCTGAGGGAATTTTTCCCTGCATTCTGGGTCACGAGGGTGCCGGACTCGTTGAAAGCGTCGGTGAAGGCGTTAAAGAATTTCAACCGGGTGAATTTCTTACCTTACATCATATAAATTACAGACCTCGAATATTACAACTTTTTTCGACTATTAAAAAATTATTTGAAAATTAAATTAAATTTTTTTTAAATTTTTCAAAAATTCGATTATTTTTAAAAGATTTTAACAAATTTCATTTGTTTTTAAAAGGCCTGAAATTACAAAATTATATAGTAATAATTATAATATAATTTTCTACGTTATATTGTAAAAAAATATCTAAAAAAATATAATTTGATTATTGAAAATATTTTTTGTTCCAGGCGATCATGTCGTTCCACTCTACATTCCACAATGTGGTGAGTGCAAATTTTGCAAGTCGCCAAAAACAAATCTTTGCAGTAAAATTCGTGCGACACAGGGAAAAGGTGTGATGCCAGATGGTACTTCTCGTTTTACTTGCAAGGGTAAAACACTCGCTCACTTTATGGGATGCTCAACTTTTTCTGAATACACTGTCGTCGCTGATATTTCTCTCGCTAAGGTATTTTGTCGAATTTATAGACAATTACAGGGGGTTTCGTACTCGATATTTTAATTTTGAAAAAAGCAGCAAAAAGTAGTTTTAAGACTGAAAAAAATAGTAAAAAGTAGCTTCAAGACTGAAAAAATTAGTAAAAAGTACCTACAGCTATGGAAACATTAAACTTGACTACTCAATTTTTTTCATAATTTCTAAATTAAATTACATTAAAAAATAGAATACTTTTTTTTTATTTAAATAGGCTATTTATTTTTCCACAGGAATTAAAATATTTTAAATTATTTCAATTTAAAGCCTTTTTGAAAATTTCGAAAAATTACAACTAATAATTTTGTTTCCAAATAAAAATTATAAAATATTATTACAGTTTTACAACGATTAAAATCTTCATTGATTTTAATTTCAAAATTGTTTGAAATTTAATTATTTCTAAAAATTCACGCTCAATTATAATCTAAAATTTTAATTGAAATTAATTTTTAAATCAATTTCTATTAGAAAATTGAACTAGAATTCAATTACTTAAATACAAAAATAAATAATTTATTGAATAATTGAATATTTCTTAAAATTGAATTCTCATAAAGAATTTTCTCAACAAAATTTAAATAATTTAATTGTTGCGAAGAATTTCATTTAAACTTTTTGAAAACAATTAAAATTTTTCAAGAAATTTAATTAAAAACGTTTTAAAAATAATTATTAAATTCTAATAAAGAAATTATGTAAATTATTTTAAATAATTGAATTCTTTCGATGAATTTTAATAAAAACTTTAATAATAATTGCATTTTTCGAAAAATTCGATTAAAATTTTATTAAAAATAATTAAATATTTGCGATGAGTTTTATTATTTATGAAAATAATTGAATTCTCCCGAAGTTTATTGATTTTTTTTTTAAATAATTCAATTCTTTCGAACAATTTTAATAAATTTTTTAACAATAATAAATTGCATTTTTTGATTAATTAATTTAAAATAGTATTAAAAATAATTCAAATTCTGCGATGAAATAATATGATTATCTGTGAAAATAATTAAATTGTCAAGAAGAATTTCATTTAAACTTTTTGAAAACAATTTATATCTTTCAAGAAATTAAATTAGCAATGTATTTAAAATAATTGAATTCTTTTGAACAATTTTAATAAAATTTTTACGAATAATTACATTTTTCGAAGAATTTAATTATAATTGTATTATAAATAATAGAATTTAACTAATAGAAAAGATAATTGAATTTTTGGAACGAATTTTATTAAACACCTTTAAAAAATTTAATTCCCGAGAAGAATTTTATTATTTATAAAAATTATAAAAATAATTGAATTGCTCTGAAATTTTTGTTATTTATGAAAAGAATTGAATTTTTGTGTAGAATTTTATTACAATTTTTTTTAAAAATAATTAAAGTCTTTTGTGAAAATTTTATTGAAATAGTAAATATTGAAAATAATTGAATTCCTGTGAAGAATTTTTATTTTTTTGAGAATAATTTCTTTATTTCAACAAAGAAAAGAAGAAAAAGGTCGCTTTTAGTATCACAAATCTAAAAAAAAGTATCCAATTAGTTGCAAATCGTAAAAACAGTAGTAAATAGTAGGTTTTAGTAGATGAGTACGAAGCTTGCATCTATTTCAATTAGAAAAATAATTAATTTCTTTTTCTTCCGTTTGAAAAAAAAAGATTGATCCAACTGCTCCGTTGGATAAAGTTTGCCTCCTTGGTTGTGGAGTCTCAACTGGATACGGTGCTGCCTTGAATACAGCAAAAGTCGAAGCAGGAAGCACTTGTGCAATTTGGGGATTGGGAGCCGTTGGCTTGGCCGCTGCACTTGGCTGTAAAACAGCTGGAGCTTCTCGAATTATTGGAGTTGATATTAATTCCAGTAAATTCGAAAAAGGTGTGTACATTTTCATGCTTTATTTTCCATAATTATTTTGTTTGGATTTGGTTATAAAATTCCAAATTTTTGTAATTTGTATTTTTATTTCACTCTTTTATATTTTTATATTTTTTTTATATTTTTTACAATAAAAAAGAATGATTGTATATAGTATTTTGTTTATAGTATTCATTTTTGTGAATTCTTGTAAATTTAAATTTTTTTATGCATTGCAGCGAAAGTTTTTGGTTGCACCGAATTCGTGAATCCGAAGGATCACAAAAAACCGATTCAAGAAGTCCTGACTGAAATGACCGACGGAGGTCTCGATTACACTTTCGAATGTGTCGGAAATGTTCAAACCATGGTAATGAATGAATTAATTTAGAAAAATCGTTACTTTATATATAAACAAAAAAAAATTAAATATAAGATAAAATTTAAAAATGATGAATGGAAAAAACTCTTTTGTTAACAGAGAGCTGCTTTGGAATCGTGCCACAAGGGATGGGGCACTTCAGTAATCGTGGGAGTGGCGCCTTCCGGTCAAGAAATCAGCACTCGTCCCTTCCAATTAGTCACTGGTAGAGTTTGGAAAGGAACTGCCTTCGGTGGATGGAAATCCAAAGAAAGTGTTCCAAAACTTGTCAAAGAATATCAAGCGAAAAAATTGATTCTTGACGAATTTGTCACTCACACTCTGCCATTGGAGAAAATTAACGAGGGTTTTGAATTACTTCACTCTGGAAATTCGTGAGTCAATAATTTTTCTCCAAATAATTTAACACTTTCCCAAAAAAAATATTTAATTTCTTTCTTTCCAGCCTGAGAACAGTTATTAACTTCTGAGAGAATAATTTTCTACTACATACTTCCATAAAATTCTGCACAAAAGGTACAGTGAACTTTGTATTTTTGTATAACTTTCTTAAAAAACTGATGATTAAATCATCTTTTATTTTTACCAAATAAAAATTTTTCATTAAAACACAAGGGTATTAAATTATTTCTCCACCCTTTCAAATGAATAGAAATAAAAACAAGAAAAAATTGTGATAAAAGTACAAATATTTATTATCACACCCAGTTTCAGTAGAGATAGAAAATATACATTAAAATAAAAAAAGAACCATAGAAAATCTATTACAAAATATAATAATGAAAAATCAGTCATATTTTCCTCACTTAAAATTAAAATAGTACCGAATGTTAATATTCGATTTTCTTGTACAGATCGCCCTTGAAAGACGCAGGTTTCGATAATATTTAAGTACAATTAAAAATAAAATATTTGAGTATTCTGACAAATTCCTTTCTAAAAAAGCACAACCCTTAAGGCACAATTCAATGATTTAGCGTCCAGCGAAAATTACGAAAATTATCACCGACAAAAAATAAACATCAAGTATATTGCGACGTGTTTTCTAAAAAAGTTCGGAAACATAAAAAACTGCTAATTCAAAAAAAGGAGATAACTCAATATTATCTCGAAACTCGAATGCATGAAAGAAATTGTAAATTTTTTCTAATTTTTATCTCCGAATTTAACGGAAGTTAAGAGATAAGAGAATTGTGAATTTACATAATTATAATATCAATTTAAAAACCAAATTCTAATAATTTAATTCTCTTGCAAATTACAATTCTCGAAAGAATAGTGATAATTGTCGTATAATTTATAATATTATAATCTATTTGCTTAATATAAAAATATATTAATACATTTAATATTATAAATCTATAATATTAATTATATATCAATAAATTTAATACTATCAATATAATAAATTCAATACGAACAATAAATTCAATACTATATTATTTTTTTTATATAAATAAAGAAATTATATAAAATCAATGCTATATATAAGTGATAAAGAAAAAAAACTTTCTTGTCAGAGTTGCCACAAGAGGTTAATTTTGTTATTCCCTAACTTCTCCACTGATTTCCCGACAAAATTTTGAGTTTATTTAGAAGATTTTGATTTGAAACTTTTTTAAAATTCAATGATTTCTAAAAATTCATGCTACAATTGCATTTTCCGAGGAATTCATTTAAAATTGAGGGGCTGGATGCTATAATGTGTTACGCGCCATTCACTTAACATGGCGCGTAACACATTATAGCATCCAGCCCCTCAATTGTATTAAAAATAATTGAAATCCTGTAAAGAATTTTATTAATTATGAAAATAATTGAATTCTTGCAAAGAATTTTATTAATATTTTTTCAATTAATTGCATTTTTGAGAAGAGTTTTATTATTTCTAAAAATAATTAAATTCAAGCGAATAATTTTATAATTTTTAAAAATAATTAAATTCTTGTGAAGATTTTTATTAAAATTTCTTAAATTTTTGAAAATAATTGAATGCCTGAGAAGAATTTTATTATTTATAAAAATAATTGAATTCTTACGAATTTTGTTAATTTTCTTTTTAAATAATTGAATTTTTTCCGAAGATTTTTATACAAAATTCCTGAAAATAATCAAATTCCCGCGAATAATTTCATTATCCTTGAAAATAATTGAATTTTATTAATTTTTTCTTGAAATAATTGAATTCTTGTGAAGAATTTTTATTGTTTGTGAAAATATTGAAATGTTTGTAAAGAATTTTATTAATATTTTTTTAAATAATTGAATTTCTGCGAAGATTTTCATTATTTGTGAAAATAATTGAATGTTTGTAGAGAATTGTAATAGAATTTTTAAAAAAATTCTTTAAAAATTTTATTAAAAACAATTGAAATCCTGCGATGAGTTTTATTATTTAAGAAAATAATTTAAATCTTCCAACGAAAGTTATTAAAATTTTTCAATATAATTGAATTCCTGAGAAGAATTTTATTATTTGTAAAAATAATTGAATTCTTTAATATTTTTCTTTAATGTTCTAAATTTTGTATTTAATTCTTTAAATATTCTCTAATGTTCTAATTTTTGTATTGAATTCTTAATTTGTTTCTTTAATTTTTGAAAATAATTGAATTCCTGAGAAGAATTTTATAATTTATAATAAGAATTGAATTCTTTAATTTTACTTTTTAAAAATAATTGAATTCTTGGGAAGAACTTTATTTTTTTTTAAACAATTGAATCCTTTCTACGAATTTTAATAAAAATTTTAAGAATAATTAATTTTTCGAGGAATTTGATTAAACTAGTATTAAAAATAATTGAAATTTATTATTTATGAAAATAATTGAATTCTTAAGAAGAAAATTGTAAAAAAAATTTGTAAATACTTAAATTCCTGTGAAATTTTTATTATTTATGAAAATAATTTAACATTTGCGTAGAATTTTATCAAAAATTTTTTTTAAATAATTGAATTCTTCTGGAAAATTTTATTAAAATAGTAGATATTGAAAATCATTAAATTGTGGAATGTTTTCTTTTTAATATAATTGAAATTTGGCCAAGAATTTTATTAAAATTTTTTAAAATAATTGAATTTCAGAGAAGTTTATAGAATTGTATTAAAATTTTTGAAAATAATTGAATTTCAGAGAAATTTATAGAATTGTATTAAAATTTTTTGAAAATAATTGAATTTCACAGAAATTTATAAAATTGTATTATTTATAAAGATAATTGAAAATTTGTCTCGAATTTAAAAACAAAAAATTTCGAAACATAATTAAATTTCTTTCCTTGATTTCCCTGACCTGTGGCAACTCTGCTTGTGTAGTAAAAACTCTATGCAATAAAATATTCAATATAGCATCGTTGGATTAACTATAAACGAAAAGTCTAAGGTTCCCTTAAAACCTTTTGTCGTCTTGAAGGATGAAAGAAGAGATAGTAAGTGATCATTATCGCAACACCGATAACATATGGAAGAAGACATAAAATTGGAAGAACGCAATTATAGCAAATACCATTTAAACAGAAACAAATTGTTCTCTGTGATGGTGTTAAAATGAAAAGCACGCAGACTATCATATTCTCGATAATACATACGGTATAATAAATAAAATGTCTCATGTACGTACTGCTCTCGTCAAAATTTACGTACGCAAAATTGTAAACGAAACCAAATAAAAATGAAAAACATGTTGAATTAAAACGTTCAATTAGAGATAGATTTGCGTGTGGTGGTTTCTCACGATTTCTGCAAAATTCCGTTGTGCCATGAGAATCCTTGATTATCCACATTGTCATCGAAAACCAATGGACAACAATGAAAATTATCGTGCACACTGTTGACAACATCAATGTTGTCGCAAATGTTATGATTCTTGAAACTGAAATTAAGACACATTTTTTTTTTAATAATTGGATTTGAAAATTGAATTTAAAAAATGAATTTAAAACTTGAATTTGAAAATTAAATTGAAAAATTTGTTCACATTAAAATCATACCTGTAATCAAAAGATGCCACAAAAATTGTAAAACAGTTCCAGTATTTCCAATATTCAACTTATCATTCTGAGCTAAACGAATACTGCAATTATAAGATGCCATTGACCATCCCATGCTAATGAAAGAACTCACAATGCATAAAATTTGATGTATCACTGGAAAAGAGGAAAAAATTCTTAAAAATTCACAATAAATCAAAAATTAGAAAATAATATTAATATAAATTAATTATTTGAAATTACAAGTAATTGAGAATTGGCCTTGGTAGTTTGTCAAAATAATTGCACACTGTAGCACTTGTTGAGGTGCCGTTTCCAAAAAACATTCTAAAATCGTTATCAGTGCAATGTCCTCATTTTCCTTAACCATTCTCAAATAATTCTGCTTTTGTCCAGCAGTGTCTTCTGATTTTTGACATTTTCTCGATGCCAAACCATATCTCAAGGCAGTCCAATAACGTCTCAATGGAGCAACTTGGAATATTATTGACGATATTGTTCCAAATATTCGCGAACAATTCCAAGGTCGTTTCTCCTCCGAGGAAGTTTCCAAAAGTTTCTAAAGAAAAAAAAGACCAAAATTTTTAAAGAAAAACATAATTCCTTCAAATAGTTTTACCAGTAGCAGGATAATTAATTTTTAAAAAAAAGTATCTTTAAGTCTAAAATAAGTAGTCAAAAAGTAGCTATAAAAAAATTTTTACAACAAAAAAAGTTGTTTTCGATATTTTTTCTAATTTTCATCAAAAATATTTACTTTTTTCTAATTTTTTGCTAATAACTTCAATTCGAAACTTTTTGAAAAAAATCCAATTATTAAGTTCTAAATTTAAATTTTAAATTCCTCAAAAATACTATTTTTAAAAGTGAAAAATAAAATTCGATTTATTTCAATTAAATTTGACAAAAATTTCCAAATAATTAGAAAATTAATTTAATCTTTTTTGAATGTATCTAAAATTTTTAATGAAATTTATTTTTGAATAAATCTTTATAAGAAAAATCTACGAGAATTCAATTACATAAATACAAAAATAAATAATTAATTAAATAATTAATAATTGATTATTTTTTAAAATTGAATTTTTAAAGTTTTTTAGTTTTATTAAAATTTAAAAAAAATTAATTCTTTCAAAGAATTTTAATAAAAGTTTTTAAAATAATTGCATTTTTCGAGAAATTCATTCAAAATAGTATTAAAAACAATTGAAATCCTGTTATGAGTTTTATTAAGAAAATAATTGACTTTTTGCGAATAAAAATAATTGAATTCTTCCAACGAATTTTATTAAAATTTCTTTAAAATAATTTGATATTGGCGAAGAATTTCATTATTTGGAAAAATAATTGAATTTTTGCAAAGAACTTTATTATTTTTTTTTTTATTAATTGAAACCTTACGACGAATTTTAATAAAATTTTTAAGAATAATTGCATTTTTTCGATGAATTCATTAAAAATAGTATTAAAGGATATTGAAATCCTGTAAAGAATTGAATTAATTATGAAAATAATTGAATTCTTGCAACGAATTTTATTAATATTAATTGAATTTCAGCGAAGAATTTCATTATTTGGGAAAATAATTGAATTCTCGCTAAAAAAATGTTCTTAAAAGTTTTGAAAAGAATTGAATCTTTTCAAAGAATTTTATTAAAGTTGTTGAATTGTTTCTAAGAGTTTTATTAAAATTTTTGAGAATAGTTTTTCTATTTTTATTATTAGGGGATTTAAAGGAGTGAAAATTCTAAAAAAAATAGAAAAAAATAGCTTCAAGTGTCACAAATTTAAAAAAATTATCAAAATTATAGAAAAACGTAAAAAAATAGTAACTAGTAGGTTTTAGTTAGTAGATGAGTGCAAAGCCTGTAGTAGTAATAAATAATTCAAAAAGTGGTAGTAATTAAAAACGAGTAATTAAATAGTAAGCAAATAAAATTAGGAAATAAGGAGTAAGATCTACTGTGTACCAAGTAATATTTTTAACACAATGAGACCAAAAAACAAAGGAATAAATCAGATTAATTACCTCTCGATCTTGTTGACGCATTCTATAGCTAACGGCATTGTTTATGAGAGATGGAACTAAGATAACAATAATTGTGCTCGCAAAATAACTGTACTCATTAATGACAATATAATGCCGAGCGACATTAATATCAGAAATAATGTCAATAATGTGGGTAATTATTGGCATAACAAGAAAAAACACATCACAATTGGAAACTCTTGCTTTTTTCGATGGCATGTCAGTCACATCCAATTTTGCCGTCGAACACGGAGATTCTTCAATTTCCATCTCCTCCGCGTTACTTAATTTTTCACAAGTCATTATTTATTATGATTTTTGTAAAAATCTACTACTAATTTTAAGCAATTAAATAAAAAATGCACTAACTACTACGAAAAAAACAAGCAGTAAACAAACAACTGTAAACACAGAGTTTGGAAACTCAACAGAAAATAAAAAAGACGCTTCTTGTTGTTTGGCATTTGTGACGCGTTCTCTGATTGGTTATTTTTTTTCAAAAATCCATCCAATTAACGGCTGGGAAATATTTACATTATGCTTTCTATATCTTTCTTTGTCTTTCTCATTGCTTTTTATAAAGGTGGAAGAGAGACGAATGCCAACCTGTGAATCGACCTTTATGAATATTACAATTCTAGGATTAAGGAACAAATAACTATTAAAAGAAGAATAATATTATAAAAAACATAGTAATTTTGATTAGTGATTTTCTTATATATTTTATAAACAATACTAAATTATTATTTTTTATTAAAATTAATTTTTCAAACATCAAAATCAACTTTGCCGCCATTTTGAAAATCAGAAGGAGAGAAACTTGTCCAAAAAGGAGACTATTTCCTGTTTGTAGACTCCCATGTTTTCACTTCATCTTTAATTACTGTGGTTTTTAATATTTTTACTTTTAAAATAATTATTATTATATATTTTTGTATTTTTCCATTCTTGTTTTATATTATTTTTCCTCTACGTAAGACGTTATATTTATTATAAATGCAAAACGTCATTAGAATATTTTTCAAGAAGGCATGGCCGACACTGGAATGAGCTTGGATGACATAATTAAAAAATCAAAACCATCAGCAATGAAAGGCAGAGGGTAAGAAAAGTGTTTATTTTTTCCATTATTTACTTTCTATTCGGTAAATATGCGCAGTCGCTTTTTATTAAATTGAAATACTTTTCATGTGAAACATTTAGATGTTATTTGTTTGTGCATACAAATATTGTTGAACAACAATTTTGTCGCAGTAAATTCACTGAACATATAAACTGAATAAAATAGTTACAAGTTAGTTGTTAACATTGTTATTGTGTATCTTCAAAATTTCTGATATTCAAGAATAAATTATTGCATTTATTTTTCTGTAAAATATAAGCAAATTTGTTAGGTTATTTTTAATGTTGTTTTGTGTTTTTATTTATTAGTATAAATGGTATATAAATAAACTTTTGATACTTTTCTTTTCAATAACAGCGTTGCCTGTAAAAGTCAGAGAAATTTAATCGGAATCCGGGAAAATTATTGTTTTCTAAAGTTATTGTGCTTATTCTTTAAATCTAATTTCAATTAATAATTTTAGTTAGAAATATTAAAAGAAATTGAATTTTGGAGCAGTTACAAATTTTTTATAGATTTTTTCGCAATAATTGAATCATTTTCATAAATAATCAAATTTTTTACATGGATTCAATTATTTTTATATAAATGATAAAATTCTTTATAGGTTTTCAATTATTTTCATATAAATAATGAAATTCTTTATAGGTTTTCAATTATTTTCATATAAATAATTAAATTCTTTATAGGTTTTTAATTCTTTTCGTAAATAATAACTCATCGCAGAATTTCTTTTGTTTTTAATACAATTTTAATAAAATTCCTCAAAAATGTAATTTTTAAAATTTTTATTAAAATTCACCGAAAGAATTCAGTTATTTTAAAAAACTTTGCTATAATTTATTAATTAGAATTTAATTAAGTATTATTATTAATACCTACATTTTTAATTAAATTTCTTGAAAGAATTAAATTATTTTCAAAAATTTTAATAAAATTCTTGCTAAAATTTCAATTATTTTTCAAATCTTTTCTCAATTCAATGATTAATAAAATCCGTTGCAAAAATTCTATTGTTTTCAAAATTAATATAATTCTTTACAGGATTTCAATTATTTGAAATAATGTTAATAAAATTCGTTGCAATTATTTTCATAATTAACAAAATTCTTTATAGGATTTCAATTATTTTTAATACAATTATAATTATTTTCTTCAAGAAAGTTTAATTATTTAAAAAAATTTAAATAAAATTCTTTGCAAGAATTCAATTATTTTTCTAATTAATAAAATTCTTTACAACATTTCAATTATTTTTTAAAATATTAATAAAATTCGTTACAATAATTCAATTATTTTCATAATTAATAAAATTCTTCACAGGATTTCAATTATTTTAAAAAATTTTAATAAAATTCGTCTCAAGAATTCAATTATTTTCATAATTATAATAAAATTCTTCACAGGATTTCAATTATTTTAAAAAATTCTTTGCAAGAATTCAATTATTTTCATAATTAAAAGAATTCTTCACAGGATTTCAATTATTTAAAAAAATTTTAATAAAATTCATCTCAAGAATTCAATTATTTTCAAAAGTATAATAAAATTCTTCGCAGAAATTCAATCAAATATAAATTTTAGTTAAAATTTTAAATAATAATTGAATATTAAACTCAATAAATTTGAATTAGTATAAATGTTTACTTATTTCAATTATTGACTAATTTTTTGCTTTGGAATTAGCAGATTTTACTAATAAATAGTCGTTTCTACTAATTTAATAGTAAAATTTACTCTCGAATTTACTAATTCGAAAGCAAAAAGTCAGTCACTATTTCCAATTAGTAATAAACATTTTTACTAAATCAAATTTAGAGAAAAAATTTGTGAATTTTTAGAAATAGTTGAATCTTGAAAAGGTTTCAAATTAGAATCTTTAAAAGTTTAAATTTTTCATACTTTTAACTAAAAATTATGTAGATTTAATTTTTTTTTAAAAAAGTTTTATTGAATTTTTGTTAAAAGTTATTTGAAGTTTTTATTTTCTAATATATATTTGATTGAAGAATTTCCGAATAATCGAAATTTCGTAAAATTGAATTGTACAAATGGATTTGAAAATTCTCAAAGAACTTTTTCGAAAAATTATTAAAAATGATAGATTTAAAGAAGAATTTTAGTTAAAAATTCTAGAAAATAATAATTAAATTGAAATAATGAAAATAATTTTTAAGAATTTACAGTTACAATATTTTTATAATATACAAGTTTATAAGTTGTTCTTATATGTTGTTCAATTTCAAAAAAAGTTGAGATATTTGAATTTGAAATTTTCGAAAATCTTAATTCTTATATGAAAAAATAATAATTAAATATTTATTTAAAAAAGAAGTTGTAGAATATTTTTCTGCGTAATAATTTTTTAGACTGAATCAGAATATTTTTTCGAGTCAGGGAAAAAGTAGATTTATTTTCTTTCTAAAGACAAAATTGAATTTCAGTGGTCGACATGGAACAGTACCAACGAGAGGTGGTGGAGTCCATGGTCGTGGAATTACCCAAAATAGAGGCGCTCGTATTAATGGATCAATTCGTGGACGTGGAAATGGAGGCGTTACAGATGCTAGATTTAAAATAATTCAAAAGAATAGACTGAAGATGACTGATGCTCGTGATAAATTAGCCGAGATCGCTAAACAAAGTGATGCACGATTGAAAATCGATAAATTAAGAGCGACACAATTTAAGAAAATTGATCCATTCTTATCGATTGCAAGGAAAACTGGTCGTAATGGTAGAATTACACTATCAACAAATAAAGTACCACAATTCAATGATATTTCTCATAGTGTGCCAAATACTTTTGTACAACAATCGAGGAGAACAGTGGGATTCAGACCACCATTGGAGCCGAATTATGTTAATAACATATCAATGGAATTTGACGATGGTATGAATATTTCATATTCTTTCTCTCTAGATAGATTTTTTTCATTATTTTATTCAATATAATATACATTTTGTTTTTATTTTATTATTTATTAGATGAGATTTTATTTATTGTGTTTACTATTAGATTATATAATGGATTCACCGCCATTGAGGAGAACTGTTAATAATGAGTATGCTCCGTCACTTCCACCACCGCCTCCTGTTTTTAACATTAAACCAGCAACACCATATACGTGGGTTAAACCTTCGAGTTCGTTAGGGAAAAATTCAGTGGCCAGAAAACAGGAATCAGAGAGACCAAGAGACTTTAAAGTTATTGCCCACACCTCAATGGTAAGTCATTTTTATTTTTTTATGAATAACATTTGAAACATTAAATAAATAATTATATAGTTATTATAATTATAATTGTACAGGATTCGTACTCATTTACTAAAACCTACTATTTAGTACTTTTTTTACGATCTGCTATTATTCTAAAAAATTTTATTACAATTCTTTACAAAGAAATTATGAAAAAAAATATTAGTCTTTTGATAAATTATAATTAAAATTTTTTGAATTCAGTAAAATTCCCTTAAATTATTTAAAAAGATTAAATTAAATTTGCAATTGATTCAAGATTTTGTTAAATTTAATTGAAATAAATTTTATATTGTAAAGAATTTTATTTTCTCACTATTAAAAATTATTTTTAAATAATTTTTGATGAAGTCTTTTTGATGAATTTGAACAAAAAATTGGAAAATAATTGAACTTTAGAAAAACTGAGAATTGAAGTTATTAACAGAATAAAAGGAAAGTAAATATTTTTTATGTAAATCAGAAAAATACTGAATCAGTCTTAAGGCTACTTTTTGATACATTTTCTAAAAGTAATTATCGAGTGCGAAGACTGAATTATATCGTTTACAATTCTAAATTTTTCTACTCTCTTTCTTTCAGTCTAAACCTGCTAATTCGTACAGGGAGGAGTGGTCATTTGGATCAAAATCGAGAACCATTTTGTCAGATAATGCTGGCGATAGTAAATATTATGATTCAAGAAGTCACAGGGAAGTTGGAATAAAAGCTCGACTTGACACTTCTCCAGTCAAGTCACGAACTATTGCAGCGCCTCAACAGAAAATGATTACCACACACACCACAGGTTATCGAATTGTAGTGTCAAATTTACAGCCAAATGTCACACAAGAAGACATTAAGGTATTTTTATTGTCTAATAAAATACCTTTTCATGAGATGAGAATGTAAAAACAAAAAAATGAGAAAATTTACTTTTTAAAATACTTGAATTGAAAATTTCTTTTTAGGAACTCTTTGAAGATGTTGGAGAACTGCTTGTGTCTAGATTAGTGCGTCCAGGAACTGCGGAAGTTATTTATAAGACTTTAAAAGACGCAACAAAAGCGGTTGAGACCTATCACAACAGGCAACTTGATGGACATCCTATGAAATGTTTATTAGTCAATGCGAGACCAAGAAACAATCCTACTGGACCAGCGGTCAGACCATTAACAGAGTAAATAATCGAATTTCGTTTTCCTAAACTTTGTCTATTTTTAGTTACACTAAAAATTATAAATTGTGACCCGCTCCAAAAAAAGGTTCCTAACAAATATTTTTACATTTGCATTTTTAAAATGAAAGCACACAAAGAGGATCCTTTTAATAAAAAAATGGCGTATTTTAGCATTATATTAGAACCAGATGAGTCAATTTTCTTGCTGATTTGGTGTCGAAATGATGCAAAATCAATTAAGTACAGAGCGTAAAGCGTAAGATCTTCATTTCTTATGCGACAAGTGATGTGCACAGTTTTATGGGGCGCATGATTTCACCCAAATTACTATTTACAAAAATAATTTAATTATTTCGTGAAATTTTATTAAAAATTAGAAAATAATTGAATTCTTTCGTGAAATTTTATTAAAATTTTGTTAAAAACAATTGAATTTTTTCAAAAAATTTTATTTTATTTTATTTTATTTTTTATTTATATTTTATTTTATTTTATTTTATTTATTAAAATAATTTAATTCTTCCAAAGAATGTTGTTATTTATATAAAAATAATTTAATTCTTGCGAAGAATTATATAAAAATTTTTGAAAATATAAACAATAATAATTAATTTTGTACTTAATTAGTGAATTTTAAATATTTTGGATATGAAATTATTTTTAAATTTATATTTGAAAATAAAAAAGCTTGTAATTTACAAAGTGAATATTATAATTTGTGTGAAATCATGTGCTCCAAAAAATACTGTAAAAATAACATAAACACAGCCTTAAAATAATTTTATATTCCTTTTCTTTGGATCGCGGCACAATTATTAAAAATAACAATAATTACAATCAAATTAAAAATTAAATTCTAATTGCAGATCTAGAAGAGGTACTGGATACGTTCAACCTAGTTTAGGAGCAGTTCACAGGGCGTTATTCGAAGATTAATTTTCAAAACCAAGAAAAAGTGCTTGTAATCAATTCATTTTTTGTTTTTTAAGAAAGTAAGTTTTTCGATACAGTTTTTATAATTTGCAGCCAAGAAACATCAAAACTTTAGCTGTATATACATATACACAAATAATTTTGTTTATATCAGAATTTTTTTTTAATTTATAATGAAACCGATTAGATTATAGTATAGATCTTGAAAAAATTAAAGAATTTCAATTCTTTAAAGGAAAAAAAAAATATTAATTTAGTTCTAGTTTTTATGAATTTTTATTCAATCAATATTTAAAAAACAAACAAGCAAAATTTTTTTCATTCATAAAATCATAATATATATATATATATTTCCATACATTAATTTTATAATTTTTGAAATTATTCACTAATTTTTAGTTTGTAATTAGATTTCTTTTGCTTATGGATGTTTTTCTTTTTTGAAATCAAACAATTTGTTACAAATTTATTTTAGCTATATTACGTATCTAATGTTGGAAATAAAGTAAAAATGAAAAAAAACTACTTATTTTTGTAATAATTTCAAATTTACCTTGTATTTGAAATTGATGAACATTTTTTCGATGATTTGGAAATTCACGAATTTTTTTAGGTTTTCGTAAAATTTATGAAAATTTTAATAATTTCTAAAAATTACAATTTTAGAATTCTAATTCTGAATTTAATTATTTTCTACAATTTTCAACTAAACTTCATCTCTGAATCAATGAATTTAAAGAATTTTCCAAAAGTTCTTCTAGAATTCAATTATTTAAATACATAAACTCAATTTTTTATAATAATTGTGACTCTCCATAGTTTTTTCTTAAGTTATTAAGATATAATATTTTCAAAAAATTATAATAAAGAAATTCTTACAATTATTTTTTTTTAAATATTTTAAAATAGTTTTTCAATTTTGAAAAATTTCCAAACAATTAAAATTTAGTAAAATCTTTTAAAAATAATTGAATTTTTGAAAAGTATAAATAAAAATGATCAAATTTTTGAAGAATTTTAATTATAAACAGGACCATGATTTCTCAAAAATTTTAATAAGCCCAAAAAGTAAATTTTGAATTTTAAAAAATGATTACAAAACAATTCTAATAATTAGTTTTTAAAAATATTTTATTAATGTAATTTTTCGAAAATATTTGTATTTCTTAAAAGAATTTTTGTATAATTTAAAAAAACTAACGAATTTTTTGATGAATTTTAATTAAAAATTTTGAACATTATTTTAATTAACATTATTTTTTTAATTATTTTCAAAATTTAAATTTTTATTTTCTTATGTTGGTATTTGCTGTCAATGTAAATGCCGTGTTCTGATTGGTTGCCATTGAATATAGGTTAGAAATCCCAACAATTTGGAAAATTTGGAATATCGCCAAGAAAATCTTTAAATTCCAAACATTTTATCCATTTAATTAATTGTCAAAATTGTAGGTCAATTGATTGCCAAGTAAGAATTTCAAAGAAAAAAATGATCGCTTCGAATTTATTGTTTTTGAAGCTTATGAAGAAAAATTATTTCAATAAATGGGTCAAATCCAGGAGAAAGTTTCTGGAGTGGAAAATATTGATTTTCCCGATTTTCCACATAGAGATAGATTTTTTTGATATTCTCTTGAAAATTACATAAAGAAAAAAGAGGAAAATTAAGAATATAGAAGAAATCAAAGGAGATTTTGAGAGATTTGAAAATATTAAATTACACAAAAGACACGAACGAAGAACTCGTGACTTTGTAAAGCTTTGCAATAAGTGTTTTTCATTGGTCTGTGTTTTGAGATTAACCTCCAGATGATGTAGTCTTTTGAAAACTATTTTCCAGTTTGAAAACGTCACATTTATTGCTCCATCATCATACGAGCACAATCTATTTGACCTTTAGAACTTGAATCTCTTTCTAGTTTTCACCCGGAAGAGGAAAATACATAAAAATGGTGAGTTATTTCTAAAAAATTAATTATTTTTATGGTATTTTTAGAAATATTTTAGGTAATTCTTGGTATAAATTTTCTTGTTTTTACAAAATAAATTTTTAATATGAGTGTGTAATGAATAACCTTGTTCTAATTAATGATTATTTGTAATTAACTATATCACGGGTTAAATTAACATATCTCGGAATATTCATATTTTATAGCCTTGTGTTAATTTTTATTAATTTTACATTAATCTATTTTAGTTAATTGAATTATTAATTACACTCTTTGGAATTCAGAAAACGTGGTTTGGAGCAAGTTATGAAAGTAGATGCAACAATTGAAATTTAACATTGACGTTCATTTATTTTTGATACAGATAATAAAAAGAAAATTACAATTGTTGCTTAATTTACAATTTTAGAAAATTGATACATAATTTATTTCTGTATGAAGATATTGTTGTATTTCTGTACATAAAAATATTATTATTCCTCTTAATTTTGTTTATATTATTTGTATATTTTATTATTTTGTTAAAAAAAGGCGGAACCAATAAATGTCGTTGTCACGGGAGCAGCAGGTCAAATTGCTTATTCTTTGCTGTATCAATTGGCAGCTGGCACCGTTTTTGGACCAAATCAACCGATTAATTTACGTTTACTGGACATTCCTCCGATGATGGAAGTTTTGAAGGGTGTCGTTATGGAATTAGAAGATTTGGCACTTCCTCTCCTGAGAGGTAACACAAATTTTTCCTAATTCAATAATTTTTAATATCTACTATTTAAATAAAAAGATATTCCCAAAAGAATTTAATAATTTAAAAAAAAATGTTTATGAAATTCTTCACAAACATTCAATTATTTATATAAATAAAAAAAATTTCACAGGAATTCAATTATTTAAAACAGACTTTTCCTAATATTTTTCGAAAAAAAAACAATTATTTAAACAGATTTTTAAAAAATTCTTCTCAAGAATTCAATTATTTTTATAAATAACAAAATTCTTCTCAAGAATGCAATTATTTAAAAAACTTTATTAATGTTCGGTGACAAAAATTCAATTATTTTCATTAATATTAAAACTCTTCGCAGGATTTAAATTATTTATAATATAATTTTAAATTAATTTCTCTAAAAACGCAATTATTCTTAAAAATTTGAATAAAATTCTTCGAAAACTGCAATTATTTGAAAAAATTCAATATAATTTATTTCTCAGAGTGTAATAATTATTTTTAATTCATTTTTAATTACATTTCTTGAATGAATTTAATTATTATCAGAAATTTTAATGCAATTCTTTGTAAAAATTCAATTTTTTAAAAAAATGTTGCCAAAGTTCTTTATAAGAATTCAAATTTAAGAAATATTCAATTCTTTAGATAAATTATTTATTATATAAATCAATTCTTATTAGAAAGTTCTATAGAACTTTCTAATAAGAATTGATTTAGAATTGAATAAAATATAATGATTAAAGTTTTGAATAATTTTATTAAAAAATTTCAAGAAAAAAATGATTGAATTTTGAAAGAATTACTTTTGTAATTTTTAGAAATAGTTAAATTTCAAAAATGCGTTACATTGAAATAGTTTGAAATATTTTAATTCCTGTAGACAAAATAAATTGGTATTTAAATATTTATTTTAAATAATTATTCTATTTTTGAATGTAATTAAGAAATTATAAAAAAAATTGAGTCAAGTTTAATTTTTCGATAGCTATTTTTTTAATACTTTTTTAAATACTTTTATCATTCTTTGTCCTACTTTTTGCTATTTTTTAAAATTAGAGTACGAAGCCTGTTATTAGAAAATTTTTCTTTTTTAATCAACGTTTTGATTTTTCTACTTTTGTTTTCTAAAGACGTTCTACCAACTGCTGAACCAGCGGAAGCTTTTAAGGATGCTGCAGCTGCATTTTTAGTCGGTGCAATGCCCCGCAAACAAGGAATGGAACGGAAAGATCTTTTGTCAGCAAATGTGAAAATATTCAAAGTACAAGGCGAAGCACTCGATCAATTTGCGCGAAAAGACGTAAAAGTTTTAGTCGTTGGTAATCCAGCAAATACAAATGCATTAATTTGCTCTCATTATGCGCCATCGATTCCTAAGGAAAATTTCACGGCAATGACGAGATTGGATCAAAATCGTGCCCAAGCTGCTTTAGCAGCACGTCTTGGTGTTCAGGTGATTGACAAAGAATTACCATTAATTTAATTAGAAACTGGTAATTTAATTTTAATTAAATTATCAGTTAATTTGCTTTTAATAAGTAACTGATAATTATTTAAAAAAAAACAGGTCGATAAAGTGCAAAATGTGATAATTTGGGGAAATCACAGTTCCACTCAATATCCAGACGCAGCGCATGCAACAGTCACACTCTCATCGGGTACAAAACCAGTTGTGGACGCAGTGAATGACAATGATTGGTTGAATGGAAATTTCTTGGAAACTATTCAGAAACGTGGAGCAGCCGTTATAGCGGCCAGGAAAATGTCATCGGCTATGTCGGCGGCCAAAGCAGCTGGTGATCATATGCGAGACTGGTGGATGGGAACGAAACCCGGACAATGGGTCAGCATGGGAGTTGTTTCAGATGGAAGCTATGGAATTCCTAAGGACGTTGTCTTCTCCTTCCCAGTCACTATTCAAAATAAACAATTTAAAATAGTGCAGGTAAATAGACAAAGAAAATCCTACGAATAAAATAAATACTATTAATAGAATGATCAGGATTGCCAAAGATCAGGGAATTCAGGAAAAATCAGGAAAAGTAGAGTAGGTCAGAGAAATAAGGGGAAAGTAAGAGATTTTTTATCAAAAGTACTGGAAACATTAATCATTAAATTTCTAGAATTCATATGAAAATTCTGTGAAGAATTTAAATTAGAATTTAAATTAAATAAATTAATTTAAATATAAATTTATATGATTTTATCACTAGGTTGTTTTATTAAATATTTAAATATAATTTATTAAATTATTCTGAATTTTTATCTCTTTTTTTTGTTTGCTTCAAAAACTATTAAATTCGAATTTTAAAAGAGTTGCGTTTACAATTTTCATAAATAGATGAACTTCAAAAGGTTTTAATTTGAAATTTTATAAATTTTCAATTTTGAATGAATTTATTCAGAAATTTTAATGAACTTAGATTTTTGAAAAATTTAATAATTCAAATTCTTCTGCAACTAGTTAAGTTTTTCAATATATATAAGTTTTTAATTATTTATTAAAAATTAATGGATTTATTGAAGAATTGAAAAAAATTGAAATTTGGAGAAGTTACAAATAATTGCAACAATTGAATTATTTTCAAAAGTAATAAAATTTTTTGAAGAAATTTTATTAAGTTCAGAAATATTTGAAAATAATTATTTTCATAAATAATAAAATTCGCCGAATTTCAATTATTTTTAATACAATTTTAATCGAATTCTTCGAAAAATGTAATTGTTGTTAAAAATTTTGCTAAAATTCTTTGCAAGTATTTAATTATTTTCACTATTAATGAAATTCTTCACAGGAATTTAATTATTTAAAAAAATCTTCGTATAATTCTTTGCAAGCATTCAAATATTTTCAATAATAATAAAAATTCTTTACAGGATTTAAATTATTTTTAATACAATAATTGTAATTATTTTCCTCAAAAGAATTTAATTATTTTCAAAACTCTTAATAAAGAATTCTTCTCAGGAATTCAATTATTTGAAAAAATATTTTAAAAATTCGTTGCAAGAATTCAATTATTTTTAATACAATAATAATTATTATCCTCAAAAAAATTTAATTATTTTGAAAATTCTTAAGAATTCTTCTCAGGAATTCAATTATTTTCAAAAACAATAAAAATTCTTCACAGGATTTCAATTATTTTTAAAATGAACTTCATCGAAAATTTAATTTTTTTTAAAAATTTTATTAAAATTCTTTAAAAGCAGAATTCAATTATTTAAAAATTTGTCAATATAATTCTTTATGAGAATTCAATTTTGAGAAACATTCAATTATTCATTAACTTTTTTTTATTTTTGTATTTAAATAATTGAATTCTTGTAAAATTTTCTAATAAAAATTGATTTAAGAATAAATTTCAGTCAAAATTTTAGATAATAATTGAATATTAAAAAGCATTGTAGCATCAATTGTTACAAATGATCAAATTTTGAAAAGATGTCAAATTAAAATCTTTAAAATTATGAATTTTTCATATTTTTAATTAACAATTCTGTAGAATTAATTTTTTTTTTTGAAAAGTTAAATTAAAATTTATTTTTGACCAATTTTCTCATTAATGTTCAATATTGTTTACAGAATTTGGCGATTAATGACTTCGCTAAAGAGAAACTTGATGCAACCTCGAAAGAGTTACAGGAAGAACGCGCTGAGGCAAATGACGTTTTACAAAAGTGACTAGATTGTCCAGAACCTGTTAAAGAATCACTGACAATATCCAAATTATAAAAAAAATTGCAGAGTTTAATGTAAAAAGTAATTCAAGATTCATTAGGTATAATATCTATTGTTGTATTATTGGTTGGAAAATTAGTAAAAAAAAAAATGTGTTACATGACATGGTGTTTTTCATTTTATTCCGCATTTCCAATAATTTTTTTTTATAAATTATTAATAAATAAATCAAATTAAAAAAAATTAATTTATTCTATATATGCATCAGCTAAATAGGCATTTCTTCTATAAAATAAAAATGAAGATGATTGCTTTTCATCGGCACATTTTATAGTTCCATTATATTTGGCTATTGCAATTAGCGGAATTATCATTTCTTTATTATTAATGTTATCGCCTCGACGAAATATGTTTAATTTTACTCTAATTCTTTTGTTACATTCCATTCTTTCCGAAATTATTTGTTCCATTTTAATGTATGCCGGATTTATAAAGTCATCAGTCTAAAAATAATAAATTTTAAGTTCTTTTCGAATATCTGGATTTCAAATTATTTATTTAAACAATATTCGAATATCTCGATTTCAAATTATTTATATTTTATAAATAGATTGAAATTCAGATATTCGAAAAGAACTTAAATTATAAATGAAAAATCATTTAAAAAATTGATTTTATAAAATTATTATAAGAAAAAAATTTACTTACTTTCAGTAAAGGACAATGTGAACTTGTAAACAAGTCTAAAAGTATTCGATACCATGATTTTTGAAAATTAGCGAATAAATTAATAAACAATTCTTGTCCAAAATGTGAAATCGTATTTAGACTGTACATTCGACAAAATTGAAAATTTTGGTCTATTTCTTTTCCAGAAGCAATAAAACGTATGTTTAAATGTCCCTGTTTATAAAGATCGAATAGAATTGATTTCAATAAAAAAATTTATAAATTATTATAATTTGGATTTTATGATTCCAAGAAGGATATTTTTCAATACATACCTCTAAAGATTCATCATTTGTAAAGTTCCACTTTAAAATTGTATCCGTAGAATTTAGAGTCGAATTATTTTCTTTTGAAATAGAAAGAAATTTAAAATCTTGACTTAAATAAATCTGATCTCGCCAAAGTTCTATTAATCCAATTTTAGTATTTTCAGGAAAAACTAAATTCATCTAAAAATAAACTGTAGGGTAAAATAAATACTGTACAAAGAAAATATGTAAAAAAGAAATTGCACAAAAAAAAAGCTTTGAAGAAAATTTTTTTGAACAAAATTCTTCTGAGAAATTCAATTATTTTCAATACAATTTGAATTAAATTTCTGGTAAAAAATTCAATTATTTTCAAGAGTTTTAATAAAAATTAAATTATTTTCAACAATTCTGATAAAATTCTTCGAAATAAATTCAATTATTTTATAAATTTTAAAATTTTTGTCAAGAAGTCAATTATTTTTGTAAATAATATAATTCTTCTAAGAAATTTAATTAATTTCAATACAGTTTTAATAAAACTTCAGGTTCAATTATTCTTAAAAATTGTAATAAAATTTTTCTAAATAATTCAATTTATTGTTCTCAAATATTTTTAATAAAATTCTTTGTAATATTTAATTATTTTCAAAATTTTTTAAATTAAAATTATTCTAAAAAATTACCTTATTTTTACAAAATTTAATTAAATTTTTCAAAAAAAAAAAAAAAAAAATTGTAATTATTTACAAAAACTCTAATAAAATTGATTAAAAGAATTTAACTTTCTATTAACAATTTTAGTATAATTTAATAGGAACATTATTAATTACAATTAATAATAGACACGATTATTTTGAAAACTTAAAAGAAATTCTTCATAAAATTAAATTATTTTCAAAAATGTTCAGTAAAAATTCTTTAAAAAACTTCAGTATTTTAAAGAATTTTAATAAAAGTCTTTTCAAGAATTAAATTATTTTCAGTACATCGAAAATTTAATTATTTCCGAAAATAATTGAATAAAATTATTCAAACTTTTTTAAATAATTAAATCCCTGCGAAAAAATTTATTATTTCTGCAAATAATTGAATTTTTGCAAAATTTAAAAAAATAATTGAAATTTTGAGAAGAATTTTTTGAATTTTTTGAAAATTGTATTTAAAATAAATTCTTAAAAACAATTCAATTATTTTAAAGAATTTTAATAAAAATCTTGCCAAGATTTCATTTAATTTGAATACAATTTTAATTACATTTTCACGAAAGAATTCAATATTATTTAAAACAATGTTGATAAAATTCTTGAACTGAATTTAATTCAATTATATATTATTTTCCAAAAAATTTAATACAAATCTTTGCAAGATTTGAATTATTTTCATAAATAATAAACAATTTTCAAAGTATTTCAATTTATTTCAAAAATTTTAATAAAATTCTTCCTAAAAATTCAATTATGTTCATGAAAAGTAAAATTCTTTTGAAAATTTCATTATTTTCAAGAATTTTAATAAAATTCTTCCTAAAAATTCAATTATCTTCATAAAAAAAAAATTCTTCTGAATACTTCAATTATTTTCATTAATAATAAAATTCTTCGAAGGATTTCAATTATTTTCAAAAATTTAAAACAAATTCTTATCAAAAATTCTTTTTTTTTATAAATAATTGAATTCTTTACAGAATTTCAATTATTTTAAAAAATTTGAAACAAATTTTGGTCAAGAAATCCTCTTGAAGTAAATTTCATCGCAAAAATTAAATTACTTTTTATAAATAATAAAATTCTTTGGATGATTTCAATTAATTCCGAAAATTTTGATAAAATTCTTCCTAAACATTCAATTATCTTCAAAAAAAGTAAAATTCTTTTGAAGATTTAAATTATTTTCTTAAATAATAATAACCTTCGGAGGATTTCAATTATTTTCAAAAATTTTAATAAAATTCAGAGGAGAATTTAATTATTTTCTAAAAATTTTAATAAAATTCAATATTTTTATTAAAGAAACTCCATTATTTAAAAGAAAATTCAAAGAAATTCTTTAAAAGAATTTAATTAAGATTTTTAAAAATTTGTAATAAAATTTTTCTCAAGAATTCGATTGTTTTCATAAATAATAAAATTCTGCGAACGAATTCAATTATTCTCAAATTTTTTGACAAAATTCTTTTCAAGAATTAAATGATTTTTAATACATTAATTTTTAAATTGAAAATATTTGATAAGAAAAATTATTAAAAAAGTTAGGAAACAAAAAACCAAACAACTAACTTCAAAACTGCGAACAGATTACCGGAATACAACGATTAATAATATAGAAGATTACAAAAAAAGTAACTCACCGGAAAATAAAGTGCATTAATGCAAATGTGCATTGATGAATAAAAACAAAAATAAATAGAAATTTTTGAAAAATCTGCAAAGAATTTAAACATTTTTACCAACTTTTCTCTTTAATCGTTCGTTATTCTTCTATTTATCGTAAACTTTCTTATCTATTCTCAAAACTGAATAAATTTGCTTAAAGTAAATTGAACCATTTGTACAATTCTTTTAAAAAACTCGTGGATCTTGAAAATTCAATTGTTAATGTTCATGTTTAAATTAACTTTTTTTTTATTAAGTAAATATACTATTAAAAACACGACTTGAAATACATTTTTATCAATTTAACTCGTTATAACAAAAGATTATAATACAATTGAAATTAAAATAAAAAAACTGTTTCTTTGTTTCGAAAAAATAATTTAATGCCTAGAAAAAAAATTTTCATTTGGAATTGATTCAATATATTAAATCAATTAAAAATTTTAGAGGACAAAAATAAAAGTCACTCTTGTGTAACGTATTTTTATCATTTATTCTTCTCCCAAGAATCAATAATAATTTATTTTACAGTAAATAGTAACTATCTTTTTTTTCCATTTCGACATCGTTTATCGTTTATTAATATTTTCTCACATTTATATTATGTATCTTTAAAACTTTCCTCTATATGCAATTACAGGTATACGATTGTTTTCTTTTTTTTTCTTTTTTTTTCATTTTTTTTTCTCTCAATCTACAGTCGTATATACCGTGTGAGCATTAAGTATGTTACCGTACAAACAAAGTGCTTAATTTGACTAATATTTTTTTTCTTCTTTTCTTCGAAAACGAACAAAATCACAAGTACTTCGTTTTCAATAATAATTTTTTTTATGCTTTTTTAAAAAGACTAAGGAAACATGAATCTTATTCAGAAAAAAAGAAGAAAATCCAATTTTTCTTTATGGAATAGATATATTGACAATAAAGTCAAAACATTTTTGAAATTTCGTTAAAATTTTAACATACAATTTTATAACATACAATCCCTTAAAGAGACAAACATTGATACGGACGTTTTATTTTTTTTTATTATTATTATAATTCGAGAGGAAAGATTCACTAAAATTATAGTCAGTGAAAAATAAATTCTACGAGTAATTTATTTATTTAAAGCCAACATTAAATGTTTTTTTAATGATCATTCATAAAATGAAAGAAAAACGAATTTTAAATCAAACTACAAATTTTTTAATCTTTTCCTTCAAGGAGAAAAAAAAAGAAAAAAACACCATAAAATTCACAGGAGGAAAAAAAACCTAACTTGTAAGTACTGAGTTAATTTTTGACTAACTACTGGAAACACAAGATAAGAAAAAAAAAGTTTTTTTCCCTTAGAGAAATAAAGAGTAAGAAGAGAGAAGAATGAAAGGAAATTGAAAAGTAAACGAAATATTACAATAAGTCCTATAATACATGAAACAATGATTAATTCATAATTTGCGTAAACCTAAAAAATTAGTAGAGAATAAAATTTTTTCAAATTCAAAGTCCATTTGAAGGACAAATGATATTACAATACTACCTAGTTTTGTAGACAATTTTTTTTTTTTTTCTTTTTTTGTCACATGTAGTTTATCACATTATCTTTGAAATAACAATGATTACAAAGACTTTTTTTTCTCTCGTTAGTATTGGTGGAAAGCTTGTTTTTTTTTTGTTCCAAAAATCCATGAAATAAAAAAAAAACTAAGTCTCTCGAAAACGAAAGTTCGCGACTGAAGAGAATTCATGTTTCAATAGTTCTAGTAGAGTGAAAAAAATTAACTATATTTTTTATATTGTATATAATGAATAATTTCAGGAACTATCGGAAACTTGTGTTTCATTTTTTCGTCACACTCTCTCAAATAATGAAAAAAAGGACCCAAAACGAAAATTTGTTAATGTTCCTGTTTTTTTAGTGTCTCTATTCGATGACTAAGTTTATTTTCTTCTTTTTTTGTTTAATTTAAGTGAAAACCTCTTTCTCGCGTTGCAGCGAGGAGTCTTTCTTTTAAAATTTCTTCAGTTGGATATTCTGGTAATTTTAAATAATGCACGCACGTATTTACGGATGGATAGCCGCCCGATCCTGCGTCGACTTTCCTTACAACTGTCAGTCTAGGATGTAAATTGCATAAACCACCGGGTGGAAGTGCCGAGCACCCGGTTGCAAATTGCAGAAAGGCCTTTCTCTCTGCACCCGTCAGAGACAATAGGACATTAACGAATCTCTGGAAACCGGGACTGAAAACGAGAAAATTATTCATTAGACTCTTATTAGATATTTATTCATAGAATATCTGCAATTGATAATTAATTAAAACTATACAATTTATGTTCTCGTTTATTTTTTTATGTCGCAAGAATTTCATTATTCATTCAATTATTTTCAACAATTTTGATGAAATTTTTTTTTAAAAAAATCATTTTTTAAAAATTTTTAATAAAATTTCTTCAAAAAGTTCAATTATTTTTAAAAATTGTAAAATTCTTGTAAAGAATTCAATTAGTTTGGTAAATAATAAAATTCCATGAGAAATTTAATTATTTTCAATATTTAAATCAAATTTCTCGACAGAACACAATTATTTTTAAAAATATTAAATAAAGTCAATTATTTTGAAGAATTTTAAAACAAATTCAATTATTTTCAACAATTGTGATAAAAAGTTTTTAAAAAAATCATTATTTTTGAAATTTTTAATAAAATTCCTTCAAAAAATTCAATTATTTTTATAAATTGTAAAATTCTTGTAAAGAATTCAATTATTTTTGTAAATAATAAAATTTTTCTGAGAATTTCAATTATTTTCAATAAATTTTAATAAAATTTCTAGGAAAAAATTCAATAACATTCAAGATAATTTTAATAAAATTTCTCAAACAAGTTCAATTACCTTAAAAAATTGTAATAAAATTTTTCTAAAGAATTCAAATGTTCTTAAAAGTTTTTAACAAAATTCTTTGAAAATTTAAATTATTTTCAAAATTTTCAATTAAAATTAGTTTTAAAAATTACATTATTTTTACGTAATTTAATAAAATTCTTCAAAAAATGAAAAAAAAATGTAATTATTTACAAAAATTCTAATAAAATTGTGTAAGACAATTTAATTTTCTATTGAATAATTTTAACATAATTTAATAGGAAAAGCGTTAATTACAATTAATAAACACGATTATTTGGAAAAATTAAAAGAAATTCTTCTTAAAATTCAAATTATTTTCAAAATTGTCAGTAAAAATTATTAAAAAAAACTTCATTATTTCCAAAAAATTTTTATAAAATTATTGAAATGAATTCAATTTTTTTTATAAATACTATTTACAAGAATTCAATGATTTTCAGTAAATCGACAATTTTATTATTTCTGAAAATAATTGAATTCTTGAATAGAATATTATTAAAACTTTTTTAAATAATTGAATCCCTTCGAAAAAATTTATTATTTCTGCAAATGATTGAATATTTGCAAAATTTAAAAAAATATGTGATTTTTTTAGAAGAATTTTATAAAAATTATATTTAAAATAATTAAATTCCAGTGAAAATTTCATTTTTTAAAAAAATAATTGAATTTTTGAATTGGATTTTATTAAAATTTCTTTAAATAATTGAATTCTTTTGGAGAATTTTTTATTAAGAATTTTGAAAATTATTAAATTTTATTGAGGAAAAAAATACAATAGTTTTAAACATAATTGAAATTTTGTCAAGAATTTTATTAATATTTTCTTAAATAATTAAATTCCTGTGAATTATTTTTACTATTTGTGAATATAATTAAATGCTTAAAAAGAAATTACAATTGTAGTAAAATAATTGAATTCTTGTGAAGAATTTTGTTATTTGTGAAAATAATTGAATGCTTGCAAAGAAAGAAAATTACAATTGTATTAAATATAATTGAAATCCTCTGTAGAATTTTATTAATTATGAAAATAATTGAATTCTTGCAACGAATGTTATTAATATTTTCTAAAATAATTGAATTCCTGTGAAGAATTCTGATTATTTTTGAAAGAATGTTTTCAAAGAGATGTATTATTTTTTTTTTAAATAATTGAATTCCTGTAAAGAATTTTCATCTTTTGTGAAAATAATTGAATTCTTAAAAAGAATTTTAATAAAGTTTTGATGAATAATTGCATTTTTGGAGGAATTCATTTAAAATTGTATTAAAAATAATTGAAATCCTATGAAGAATTTTATTAATTACGAAAATAATTGAATTTTTGCAACGAATTTTACTAATATTTTCTTAAATAATTGAATTCCTGTGAAGAATTTTATTATAATTGTAAAAATAATTAAATGCTTGCAAAGAATTTTGTCAACATTTTTTTAAATAATTGAATTTTTTTGAAGAATTTTAAACATAATTAAATTTTGTTCAGAAAAATAATTACAATTGTATTGAAAATTAATTAATTCTTATATGTACTTTTATAAAAATTATTAAAAATAATTGAATTCTTTCGGAAAATTTTATAACATTTTTTTAACTACAATTCATTTCTTTTAAAAAAATTTTTTGAAAATTGTATGTCAAATAATCGAATTTCTGTGAAAATTTTATTACTTATGAAAATAATTCGAGTGTTTACAATGAATTTTATTAATTTTATTTTAAATAATTGAATTCTATTGTGAAATTTTATTAAAATAGTATCTAGATATTGAAAATAATTGAATTTCAACGAAGAATTTCATTATTTGGGAAAATAATTGAATTCTTATAAAAAATAATGTTTTTAAATTTTTTTTAAGTAATTGAATCGTTTCAAAAAATGTTATTAACATTTTTGAGAATAATTTTTTTTATTTCAATTATTAGCTGATTGAAAGTAGAATTAATTTTAAAAAGAAGAAAAAAGAAGCATTTACTGTCTTAATTCTAAAAAAAATCAGAATTTTCTTAAAAATCGTGATGAAGAGAAAAGAAATTCAGCAAATTTTTCTACCGTTTTTTAATAATATTTAAATATTTTACTATATAATTTTCAAATTTTTTTTTTAGAAATGAATAAAAAACTGTAAAAAACTGATAAAAGCGAAAGTATACAAAAAAATGACTTCAAACTATGGACAATTTTTATTTCTAAGGAAAATGTTTTTAAACAAAAAAACTCACCTTTCCCTCGTGTAACCCAATTTTGGTTCGGTGTAATTAAGAAGATCCTCGCGTGTCCATTGTGGATTTTGTTCACCACAGAGCATTGCTCGAATTTCCTCGGGACTGAATGCATGTAATTTCTCCATGGGGAAGACTTTTGAAAAACCAGCACGAAACGCCTCCATTTGTTTATTAATACCACGATCCAAACAATATTTCACCGTTAATTCCATATATTCCTTGGCATTATCCAAAGTAATTGTCACATCGGCCCCGTTCTCCTTCAATTCCATAACGTCGTGTTCGAATATTTTCGAACTCGGCGCATATGTCATTGTCAATGCAAGATCCTCAATTGCCACCGATGTGCCCGACGAATGTGTAATTCTAAATGAATCGTAACTCTCGTCAGCCGACGATTGACCCTCGGAAATTGCTCTCTCACGTTTTGACGTTAAATTTTGTATTTCCTTGAGGAATTCCCCACGCACAGGATCAACGTGTGCAAGATCATCGATATCGAGAATTCCACTGTACCAGGGTGTTGGTTCGAGTGCCGAACAACTTGCCGTATCTTGCTCGCCCTCCTCGGAAATAAAACTACTCGCCATGCTGGACGACATGCTCTCTTGATTGACACCAGTTAGACCGATTTTTTCATTCACATTGTTTGTGATGTCACCGCGGCACATTAATTTCAGGAATGGCCTCGAGAGCGGTAGATCGACAAGTCGATTGTCTTGTAGGACTTTGGCGAGGAACACACCTAGGAACCAAAAGTATCGTGTTGCACGTTGACATTCGGGTGAATCTTGTGGCAATGGTGCCGGGAATAGACCACTGGGACGTGTTACATAGTAACCATGTGGTCGAATCTGTTCACCGGACGGACAAAGATTATCTTGCTCACACGCCTCCTCATCGTCACACAGCCAAAGACCCAAATCCTTCCTTTGCAATTCAGCTGCGACAAGGGCGAAAAATTCTAAAGTCGGTCCCAGACCCGTTCCCTCCTCGCCAACAAATTCCACCTCTAAAATGCTCTTTCGACTCGCATGAACCTAAAAATAATATATTATTATAATATAATTCCCTTTCTTTAATATTAAAAAAAATATGGTTTTAAAACAATTCTGTCACGCTCCAAAAATTGTAATTTTATAATTTCATGGATGTCAAAATTACAAACACAGGGTTACCACAAAAATTTATTTTTGCTTTTTTCTGACTTTTTCCTGATTTTGAGACACAATTTTCATCTTTTCGCTGAAGTTAAAGAATATTCTGATTCACTCTAAAAATTATTAGATACTCAAAAAAATGTTCTATTACTTTTATTTGCAAATTTCTCTAAAAGTAAAATTATTCAAAAACCACAATGACTTCATTTTTAAATAAATATATAATCATTATTATTTTTTTAGGAATTAAGATTTTCAGAACATTCAAATTCAAACCTTTTTGAAATTCAATAATTTTTAAGAATATTGTTATAAAACATAAAGATATCGATCACTCCGAGTCTTCGACTCGAAGTGATTGATATCTTCATGTTTTATAATAATTTCAATTTCTATAAAATTTTACAAAGAATGAACTAAATTATTTACAACATTTTTAATAAAATCGTTCGCAAGAATTCAATTATTTTCATAAATAATAAAATTCTTCACAAGAATTCAATTATTTAAAAAAATGTTATAAAATTAGTTCTGAGAATACAATTATTTTCATTTAAATAATAAAATTTTTCATAGGATTTCAATTATTTTTAATACAATTTTAAATGAATTCCTCAAAAATGTAATTATTTTTCAAAAACTTTTTGCAAGAATTCAATTACATTTTACAAAATTTGTGATGAAATAATAATAATGAAAACATTTTTAATCAATAATAATGAAATTCTTTGCTGAAATTAAAATATTTTCAAAATCTACTAATTTAATAAAATTTCTCAAAAGAATTAAACTATTTTAAAAAAATGTAATAAAATTCGTTGCAAGAATTTTTTTAAGCATTCAATTATTTTCAAAAATATGTAATGAAAATTCTTTACAGGAAATCAATTATTTAAAAAAAATTAATAAACCTCTTTGCAAACATTCAATTATTTTTACAAATAAAAAAAAATAATTTTATTAAAATTCCTGATAATAATTGAATTTTTGACAAGAATTTTGATATTTATCAAGAGAATTGAATTCTTTCGAAGAATCACGTTAAAATTTTTGAAATAATATCAAATAAATATTAAAAAAATCCATTTAATTTTAAAGCAGAATTGAAATTAAAATCTTTCCAAAAAAACAAATAGATCTACATAATTATTAATTAAAAATGTATGAAAAATTCAGATTTTCCCAAAAATTGAATTTAAAACCTTTTCAAAATTTTATTATTTTTAAAAATTGCCATTATTTGTAAATTGTAACTTCTTCAAACTTCAACTTATTTTAGAGTTTTTAACTAAAATTTGTCTATAAATTCATTATTTTCAATAATTATAATTAAATAAATATTTTAAAAAATTTTACTAATTTTAAAAGAATTTGAATTATTAAAATTTCTCAAAAATCTAACTTGTTTAAAATTTCTTCTTAAGTTCATTCAAAATTTGAAATTTTCTGAAATTTCAAATTGAAATCTATCTTTTCCCTGCTTTCCCTGATCAATTCTACTTTTCCCAACTTTTCCCAAAATTCCCTGACCATTGTCAACCCTGAAACATAACACAAGAAATAAAATTTTAAAACTCACCTTGAGAACCTGCTCCGCCCAGTCGAGTAACTTATCACCTCTAGGCACACTGACCCTCTCGTGTTTTAATCTTCCCACACGAAATTCGTGACTGTCATCGCGCCTTGGACTGAGCCCGGGCGCCCTTTGTCTCTCGAGTACAGCGTCCCTTTGCGTTTGTAACCAGACAATTGATCGCGACGCACCAAATGCCGTGCAACTAAAATAAAGTCGTCTCGTTTCAAATGGCAATAAAAATGGACAACTCCTCGCCAATTCCTCACACCACGTTGGCAATGCACCGGCAGCAAGCGCCAATGGATCTTGAATTTGTTGTACTATTTTGTTGGTGATTTTCTTCGATGTAAAATCATCTGGATTAACAAGACACTCGTCTTCATTCGACACACAATTCTCATCTTTCTTCTCATCTTTGGTTGTACTCAATACATAAACGTGACGCAAAAGTTGCAATACATCTTCCACTGTACACGGATTTGTCGTTTGATTATTTGCATTACGAGAATAAAGTGTCACAATTGGCGTTGCACGTCCAGACGACTCATCATCTTTCGCTTCTTTGTAAATTATTCTTTAAAAAGAGAAAACAAAAAATTTTATAAAATTTCCATTCAATTTCAAAATATTAATAAAATTTAATTTAATTTTTAAATTACATTTTTTAATTTAATTTAACATTTATTTAAAATATTAATATTAAAACTTACGTGTAAGTAGGTTCCCATATTCTTCGCAATTTTTCTTGTCTACTTCCAAGTTCGGTGAGTTGCATCAGTTCTTGGACCGATTGGAAAATACTGGCCTTTGGCTCCGAAAGTGGTAATTCAACGTCCGCAATGCCCGGAAGTCCAGGACCTTTTAATGTCAGGGACAATTTTGGCATTTGCGTTGCACCGACACGAACACTCGATTGTGTCTCACTTCCCGGTTGAGGTACATCTAAATCCGTTGTCTGAAGAAAACAATTTTTCAAATTAATTAAACAATATTTTTAATAGCAATTATTATACCTATTTTTATTATTTTAGGCTTCGCACTCAATAATTACTTTTAAAAAAGTAGCGAAAAGTAGCTATCGAATAAATTTTTTATTAATTTTTGAATTTTTACCAAAGAGTGGAGACTATTAAATAAGTAAAAAATTTTTAAAGAGCCCAAAAATAATCAAGTTAAATCACCAAAAAGAAAGGAAAAAATGTCGAATTTTAAGAAATTCGGATTTTTGGAAATTTTCTATAATTTTAGATTTTTTACCAAAGAGTCGAGACTATTTAATAAATAAAGTATTTTCCAAAAGCACAAAAATAATTAAGCTAAATCCCATAAAAGAGAGAAAAAAATGTTGAATTTTAAGAAATTCGGTTTTTTGAATTTTTGATAATTTTCTATAATTTTACATTTTTTACCAAAGAGTCGAAACTATTAAATAAGTAAAGTATTTTCCAAAAGCACAAAAATAAAGAAGCTAAATTCCATAAAAGAGAGGAAAAAATGTTGAATTTTAAGAAATTCGGATTTTTGAATTTTTGGTAATTTTCTATAATTTTAGATTTTTTACCAAAGAGTCGAAACTATTAAATAAGTAAAGTATTTTCCAAAAGCACAAAAATAAAGAAGCTAAATTCCATAAAAGAGAGGAAAAAATGTTGAATTTTAAGAAATTCGGTTTTTTGAATTTTTGATAATTTTCTATAATTTTAGATTTTTTACCAAAGAGTCGAAACTATTCAATAAGTAAAGTATTTTCCAAAAGCACAAAAATAATGAAACTAAATTCCATAAAAAAGAGGAAAAAATGTTGAATTTTAAGAAATTAGGATTTTTGAATTTTTGATAATTTTCTATAATTTTAGATTTTTTACCAAAGAGTCGAAACTATTTAATAAGTAAAGTATTTTCCAAAAGCACAAAAATAATTAAGCTAAATTCCATAAAAGAGAGGAAAAAACGTTGAATTTTAAGAAATTCGGTTTTTTGAATTTTTGATAATTTTCTATAATTTTAGATTTTTTGCCAAAGAGTCGAAACTATTAAATAAGTAAAGTATTTTCCAAAAGCACAAAAATAATGAAGCTAAATTCCATAAAAGAGAGGAAAAAATGTTGAATTTTAAGAAATTCGGATTTTTGAATTTTTGATAATTTTCTATAATTTTAGATTTTTTACCAAAGAGTCGAGACTATTAAATAAGTAAAGTATTTTCCAAAAGCACAAAAATAATTAAGCTAAATTCCATAAAAGAGAGGAAAAAATGTTGAATTTTAGGAAATTCGGTTTTTTGAATTTTTGATAATTTTCTATAATTTTAGATTTTTTACCAAAGAGTCGAAACTATTAAATAAGTAAAGTATTTTCCAAAAGCACAAAAATAATGAAGCTAAATTCCATAAAAGAGAGGAAAAAATGTTGAATTTTAAGAAATTCGGATTTTTGAATTTTTGATAATTTTCTATAATTTTAGATTTTTTACCAAAGAGTCGAGACTATTTAATATGTAAAGTATTTTCCAAAAGCACAAAAATAATGAAGCTAAATTCCATAAAAGAGAGGAAAAAATGTTGAATTCTAGGAAATTCGGTTTTTGTCGAGAATTTTATTATTTATGAAAATAATTGAATTTCTGTGAAGAATTTTCAAAAAGTTTTGAAAATAATTGAATTTTTGTGAAGAATTTTTAAAAAATTTTCGAAAATAATTGAATTTTTGTGAAGAAGTTTTAAAAAATTTTCGAAAATAATTGAATTTGTGCGAAATTTTTATTAAAAAAAATAAATAAATAATTGAATTTCTGTGAAGAATTTGATTACTTTTGAAAATCATTAAATTTGTCTGATATGTTAATGTTATATAAATAATTGAATTTCTGTGAAAATTTTTTTAAAAATTTTCGAAAATAATTGAATTCTTGCGAAGAATTGTATTAAAATTTTGTAAAATAATTTGTTTATTTTAACTTTATGCGGATTTAAATTAAAAATATAAAAAGTATCTTTAAGTGTCACAAATTTAAAAAAAAGTATCCAAATAGTAGCAAATCGTAAAAAAGTAGTAAATAGTAGGTTGTAGTAAACGAATGCGAAGCCTGTTATTTTTATTAGAGTATTAGAATTAAAAGAAAAAGTAGTGTAACAAATTAAATGAAAGCATACCTGATTGATGTTTGTTCGGCCTGGACGAGGATCGAAGGCTGGAATAAGAGCGGAAAATTGTCGTTTCAATACAAATTCATCGTCCCATGCTCGTCGTTTTGTACTTTGTGGTGTTTCTTCCTCTAAAAATGCTGCCAACAAATTGCGATTAACCATCATTTCTTCGTACTCGCCCTCGCCGCCGTCGCCCTCTTCCTCATTTTCCTCATCATCATCCTGCAAAAAGTATACCTTCAAAATTCAACAAGTGTATATAAATACACTGCATGCTCTGACACAAGAAACGAGAATTATTAATCAAAACCCTGTAAAAGGAGGCGAAATGCAATAAAAGAAAAATTTATTTTTCTGCTAAAAAAGTAATTTACTGATTTCACCTCCTCTTACAGGGAATAAAGAAGCTGATTTACTCCAAGCAAAAATGTGGATAAATAGAAAAGAAAAGAAAACTGTTCTACTATTAAATTATTCGGGAAGAATTGAAAAAAACTGAAAGTAATTGAAAGTAACTTAAAATAATTGAAAGTAACTGAAAGTAATTAAAACTAATTTAAACAGTAATTGTCAAATGGAGTAAACCAGCTCATCTTCTGCAAATTAAACATACTTCCTGATCATTGTCCTCGTTGTCGTCGTCTTCCTCGGGGAGAATGGGGTCTTCGTCGTCTTCCAATTCAGTGAGAAGAGTCGGTCCACCAGTTGTGCGACCGCCACTGACACTCGAGCCCGCGACACCGCCGCAGGACTCCAGGAAATCCTCCAGACTAACCTGCAGCCACAACTTTCCAATTACATTAAAAAAACGTTTGAGCGCGAATCAGTAAATATATATTTTTTTCATTATGAACATTATATTATTATTCCCGTAGAAATTAAGTGAAAAATATATAAACAAGCAAAACTTTAGTATCAGAAAAATTTCAAATCTCTTAAAATAAAAAAAATCTAATAAATAATTAATACAATAAATATAATTAACATAATATTTCTAGTATTGTGAAGAAAAATGTTAAAAAATTCTCAAACAATTAGCGAATTTTACACGCGGAACGTGATATTCAATTTATTATTATTATGCAAATTACAGAATGTTTAATTTTTAAATTTGAATTTTTGAATATTTTTAGATTCAAATTTTAAGAAAAAATCAATTATTAACTAATTTACTAATTAATTATTCTTGTTTATTAATTTCAAATATTTTAATAAACCTCTTTGCAAGAATTCAATTATTTTCATAAATAATAACATTCTTCGTAAGAAATTAATTATTTTTATAAATTGTAAAATTCTCTGCAAAATTTCAATTATTTTTAAACAAAATTTTAATAAAATTTCACGAAAGAAATCAATTATTTTCTAAAATTTTAATAAATCCTTCGAAAAAATTCAATTATTTTTTTAAATAGAAAAATCTTTGCAAAAATTCAATTATTTTCAAAACAATTTCACGAAAGAAATCAATTTTTTTATTAATTTGTTTTAAAATTTTTCAAAACAATTTCACGAAAGAAATCAATTTTTTTATTAATTTATTATAAAATTTTTCAAAAGAATTTAATTATTTCTCAGAATTTTATTACAATTTTTCCAAATAATTCCATTAATTCAAGGAATTTTATTTAAAATAGTCAAATTAATTGAATTCTTTTGAAGAATTTCTTTAATTTTTTGAATATTATTGATTTTGTTAATAACTGTAATTAAAAATTTTATTCTTAAATTTTATTAAAATTATTAACAGAAAATTAAATTCTATTGAACCATTTTATTAGAGTTTTTGTAAATAATTAAATTCTTTTAAAAGAATTAGTTTAAGTTTTTTAAAACCAAAAATTTGAAAATATTTTTTGTTAAAATTATGAAAATAATTGAATTTTACGAAGAATTTTATTGCATTGCAAATAATTGAATTCAATAAGTGAATTTTTTAAATTTTGAATCTGAAATAAGTAAAAAATCGAAGTTGATATTTGAAAATAAAATATTTTTTAAGCATCATAATAATAAATTAAATACCACGTTTCGCTCGCGTAACATTTGCTTAGTTAAGAAATAAAAATTGTGCGTAAATGTTAAAAAATTTTAATTTGTGAATTGAGAAATATAAATGGTGCAAATTATTTTTAAAAAAAACAGAATTTTCTACGAAAATTATAATTCAAAAATTGGAATTTTACTCTTTTTTTCAAAAGAATTAGATTATTTTGTTAACAAAATTGTTATTGAGAAATAAAAAAAAAATATTTTCCATTTCTGAATCATAATTTTTTATCAAACATTCTAATTTTCTAATTCTAATGACAAGAGAATAAATTGAATTTCCAAAGAATTTAAAATAGAACAAAAGAAAGTAAAATTGATAAATTGATAGTCAAGCTCACCTGTTCACTATCACTACTTGTACTGGTGAGGGACATTGTAAAAGCTTGTCCTAATCCTGGTCCCGTAGTTGTCGTCACACCGCTGCCGGCAACTTGACCGCTGCTCGTGAGACTTGGATAACTTTGAGCTGTACTCAACAATCCGCCAGGGAAATTTGAACTAAGTGCTAATCTAACCAAACTAGAGACGGAATTAGGTCCCCTTGGATTTGAACTAGAATTCGAATTTGGAGCAATGTGCTGACCACCTGCCGGACCTGAACAATTTTAAAAAAATATCATTCTTAAAATTGTATTATAGTTAAATATTTATTTACAAAATTTATATTTATTTATATTTATTATATGTATTATTATTAATTTGTTTATAAGTATAAATGTCAAAAGTTCTTTTTCACTCACAGGACAATAAAACAAAAATTTCTTTACTGGGGAAAAATGGGAAAAATTTAAACAGTGGTGAACAAAGATATTACCGCCACCTTTTTTTTTGGATAAATATTAATGAGTTAAGAATGATTGAACAGAGAAGACATGAACTGACCTAATGTTCGTCTTCGCGCCATCGCAGCAAATGTTTCCAGCAAGCCAGTAGCGGCTGCCGGTTCCAAGGTGTTGTTAACATCTGAACAAGCAAGATTGGGCACAGAGACAGACATTGGATTGGTAACAACAGAACATCCTCCAGCGGGATTTTGCGAGGAAGAGCTTGCCTCCTTATCACGGCTGCACTCTTTACTTCCTACTTATTGGGAGACATCACAATTTCATTCATTTGCTTTTTTTAGTTTATTAGAAAAACAAAAAACTGCATGCAAACCAAAAATCAATTATGATGGAATAAATGAAAATTACGAATTAGATTTTTCATTTTTTGAAACATACCAAACATATATACGAAATTACAAGGATACAAGGATGAGGAGAATTTTGTTAGACATATGAAAATTTAAATTTTGATAAAAAAAAGAAACTCACCGTCCAACATATGTGGTGGATGTCTGGGAATTGGTTTTATCCTCAGTGAATTTTCCTCAGTTTCGGCAGCTACACTAATTCTAACAGGAACCAAACCGACTAGTTCGCCACTCAGGAAACTATTCGTATTATTCTTCATTCTATCCGCCCCTTCTCTCATTCTATCCAGAACTTCAGCGGCTTCCAGACTCAGTAAACTACTTGCAGGCTGCGATTTCATTCGGAAAAATTATATTAACAATGGTATTTAAAAAATTTACGCAAGATATTTCTATTATTTCAGACTTCGTCTAAAATTATTTAATTTTAAAAATTTTTAATTAATTTTTAAAAAATAGGAAAAAGTAGCATAAAGATTGAAAAAAGTTGCTATCGAAAAATTAAACTTGATGACACAATTTTTTTTATAATTTCATAATTACATTCAAAAATAGAATAGTTTTTTAAAATAAATATTTAAATACCTATTTATTATGTCTACAGGAATTAAAGTATTTCAAATGATTTTAATGTAACGCACTTTTGAAATTGAACTATTTCTAAAAATTACAAAAGTAATTCTTTCAAAATTCAATTATTTTTTATTGAAATTTATAAATAAAATTATTCAAAACTTTAATCATTATATTTCATTCAATTCTCAATCAATCAAGGAAGTTCTACGAGAATTCAATTATTTAAATATAAAAGAACTTTATCAACATTTTTTAAAATAATTGAATTGTTCCGAAGAATTAGCTTAAAATTTTTGATAATAATTAAATTCTTACAAGAAATGTAATTAAAAATGAAATTGAAAATATTTATTAAATTCTAATAAATAAATTATATCAATTTTTTTTAAATAATTGAATTTTTTCGAAGAATTTTATTCAAATTTTTAAGAGTAATTGCGTTTTTAGCGGAATTAATTTAAAATTATATTAAATATAATTGAAATCCTGATTGAGTTTTATTATTTATGGAAATAATTGAATTGAAGAATTCAATTATTTTTGTAAGTAGTACATTTTTTTTTTGCTAAAATTCAATTATTTTCAACAAAATTTTGATAAAATTTTACAAAAGAATACAATTATTTTAAAAAAATTTAATAAATCCTTCGAAACAATTCAATTATTTTCAATTAAATTTCACGAAAAAATTCATTTTTGTCTTAATTCGTTATAAAATTTTTCAAAAGAATTTAATTATTTTTAAATAATTTAAAAAAATTCTTTGCAAGAATTGAATTATTTTTTATAAATAACAAAATGCATCATAGAAATTCAATAATTTTTAATAGGATTTTAATATTATTTTACGAAAAAATTTAATTATATTAGAAAATTGTAATAAAATTTAAAGAATTTAATTATTTTCCGAAAAAATGTAATAAAATTCAATAATTAAGTGTTTGATTTAAATTATTGAGATACATGATTATTTTAAAAACTTGAAAGAAATTCCTTATAAAATTCAATTTCTTTCAAAATGTCCAATTAAAATTATTAAAAATGAAATTCTTCAAAAGAATTTAACTAGGATATTCAAAAATTGTAATAAAATCTTCTCAACAATTCAGTTATTTTGATAAATAATAAATTTCTTCGAAGGAATTTAATTATTCTCAAATTTTTTAATAAATTTCTTTGCAAGAATTCAATGATTTTCAATACGTTAATTTTAAAATTGAAAATATTTAAAAAGAAAAATTATTAAAAATATTAGGAAAGAATTTTATTAACATTTTAAAAAAATAATTGAATTTCTGAGAAGAATTTTATTATTTTTAAAAATAATTGAATCCTTAGGAAGTTTATTAATTTTTTTAAATAACTGAATTCATGCGAAGAATTTTATACCTAAATATTTCTGAAAATAATTGAATTTCTGCGAATAATTTTATTATTCATGAAGATAATGGAATTTTTTGCGAAGAACTTCATTAAAATTTTTGAAAATAATTAAATTCTTTCAATAAGAAATATAATTAAAAATAATTGAATTTGCCACGATTATTATTAAAATTTTAAAAAATAATTGTATTCCTGAGAAGAATTTTATTATTTATAAAAATAATTGAATTCTTACGAAGAATTTTCTAAAAATCTATTTAAATAATAGATTTTTTTCGAAAAATATTCGGAAAATTCTGTTTTAAATAATTGAATTCTTGTGAAAATTTTTTTATTCGTGAAAATAATTGAATGTTTGCGAAGAATTTTATAAACATTTTTTTAAATTATTCAATTCTTTTAGGAATTTTTTTTATTAAAATAGCAGAAATTAAAAATAATTGAATTACGAAAAATTTGTGAAAATAATTGAATCGTTTTAAAGAATTTTATTAAAATTTTTTGAATTTTTTCCATTGACTTTATTAAAATTTTTAAAAATAATTTCTTTATTCCAACTATTAGCGAATTTAAACTTGTGAAAATTCTCAAAAGTAGGAAAATGTATCTTTTAGTGTAACAAATAAAAAAAAATATCCAAATAGTAGCTAATGGTAAATAGTAAGTTTTAGTAGATGAGTGCGAGGTCTGTTATTTGAAGGAAAAAAAAACATCTGAAATATTTCTTTTTACCTCTTTTTTTACCTTCAGGCAATACTTAACAAAATAAATGTGACGCTCTCTCTAGAAAGCTTAGCTTTCTTGAGAGTTCGTCACAAATTTTATTAAAAAACAATGGAAAAAAAATACTAACCTTGTTTCCTCTAACAGGAGGGAAAATTGGTTTTGAGCTATTCGATGTTCGATTACTGTTACTATTTGTTGAGCACTCGGTATTGAGAGTTAGACTTTCGACAATTGTGGCCAAATCACTCGTCACCGTTGTATCGGGTCGCGGATGAAGAACAACCGAAAGTTCACCGGTTGAATTTGCTCCTCCCTCACCGGTCACAGCGACGACTGCTTCCGCTCGAGCAACTGACAGCACACTCTCCGCAATCGACTCCGCTGCTTGCTAAAATCGAGAAACAACATTTCATTGCAATTTTCTTCTTCAAAGAAAAAAAAATTCTTTCTCTCAAGAAAAGAAAATTCTTTCTATCAAAAAAAGAAACTTCTTTTTATCAAGAAAAGAAACTTCTTTCTATCAAGAAAAAAAAGTTTTTTTCTTGAAATAAAGAATTTTCTTTCTTTCTTTGAAAGAAAGCAGATTTGTAAATTTCTTTTTACCTTGGCTGCTAAGTTGTCGGTGCTCGCGGCTTGGTCGGTGGAAGCTACGGAACATCGAACAGTGTCGGTGCAATCAGGTAGACTCGGAGTACTGCTCGATTTTCGGCCAGTTAAAACGCCACAAATCTTACCCTTTATACTGCTCTCGGAGTCCATTCCAGTGCCAATGAGTCGAAGATCGTATTTGCCCTCAGCGCCCATTCGATACGAATTTGAACCGCCATAGTCCCAGGTCACGTCTATCCATCCATTGTGCAATTCCCCGGTCACTGTCCCTTCGCCTTCAATTTCAAAAACACACATTAAATTACACAAATTTAATACACAATTTTTATTTATACAATATGAAACTATTGTTTTATTTAAAATTAATATTTAATCATTATTACTTTTCCCTATGAATTAAGCTTTTCAAATAATTTCAAATTCAATAACTTATAAGAATATTATTACTGTAACTTCTTTAAAATTATTTTCATCATTTGAATTTAATTATTATTTTCTAGAATTTTTAACTAAAATTCTTTTTAACAATTTTTGAAAAAGTTATTTTGAAAATTTTTAAACTCATTTGTTTACAATTCAATTTTACCAAAAATTTTGAATATTCGGAAATTCTTTAATTTTAATATTGGAAAATAAAAACTTCAAAAAATAAAAAAAATTGTAATCATACTTTTTAAACAAAATTAGTTCTACAGAATTGTTAAATAAAAGTGTAAAAAATTTACATCTTCAAAGATTCGAATTGTTTACAATTGAAAAGGTTTACTTTTCAAAATTCAATTATCTAAAACTTTAACTGAACTTCATTTTTGTATCAATTTTTATTAGAAAATTCTACGAGAATTCAATTATTTAAATCCAAAAAAAAAAAATTTAATTGAATAATAGAATGTTTTTTAAAATTGCATTTTTATGAAGAGTTTTATCAAAATTTTTTAAAATAATTGAATTCTTTCGACGAATTTTAATAAAATTTTTAAAAATAATTGCATTATTCGTGAAATTCAATTAAAATAGTATTAAAAACAATTGAAATTGTGCAATGAGTTTTATTATTTATGAAAATAATTATATCTCTGAGTAGAATTTCATTGTTTTTGAAAATAATTGAATTATTGCAACGAAATTTATAAAAAATTTGCAAATAATTGAATTCTTGTGAAATTTTTATTATCTATAAAAATAATTAAATTCTTTTAAGAAACTTAATAAAAAATGTATCAAAAATAATTATATTAAATTCTAATAAACAAATTGTAGGTACCTATATCACAATTTTTTAAAATAATTAAATTCATTTAAAGAATTTCAATACATTTTTTAAGAATAATTGCATTTTTCGAGAAATTAATTTTTAATTGTATTAAAAATAATTGAAAACCTGAGATCAGTTTTATTATTTAAACAAATAATTGATTTCTAGAAACAAATTTGATTAAAATTTATAAAAATAGTTGAATTATTCCGATTAATTTTAAAAACAAATTTTAAATAATTGTTTTTTCAAAAAAATTAATACCAATTTTTCTTTAAATAATTAAATGTCCTGTGAAATTTTTATTATAATTATGAAAATAACTAACTGTTTACAAAGAATTTTATCTACACTTTTTTTAAATAATTGAATTATTTTGGGAAATTTTATTAAATTAGCTGATGTTGAAAATCATTGAATTGAGAAAATTTTTTGAAAAATATTGAAAATTTGACAAGAATTTTACAGAACTTTATGAAAATAATTGATCTTTTGCTAAGAATTTTGCTATTTATAAAGATAATTGAAATCATATAATGAATATTGTTATTAATTTATGAAAATAATTGAATTTTGCAAAGAATTTAATTTCAACTTCCTGAAAATAATTGAATTTATGGGATGAATTTTGCTGTTTATAAAAATAATTGAAATAATGCGAAGAATTTTAATAAAAATTTAGAAAATAATTTAATTTCAGTGAAGAATTTTATTATTATTGAAAATAATTGAATTTCTGGGATGAATTTTGCTGTTTATAAAAATAATTGAAATAATGCGAAGAATTTTAATAAAAATTTAGAAAATAATTGAATTTCTGCAAAGAATTTTATTTCTTTTAAAATTAATTGAATTTTTGTTATGAATATTGTTATTCATGAAAATAATTGAATTTCGCAAAGAATTTGATTAAAATTCATTAAAATAATTGAATTTCTGGGATGATTATAATAATAATTGAAATAATGCATAGAATTTTATTGAAATTTTTGAAAATAATTGAATTTCACTAAAGAATTTTATTATTTTTGAAAATATTTGAATTTCTGCAAAGAATTTTCTTTTTTAAATAATTTAATTTCTTGGATGTTAAAAAAATAATTGAAATAATGCCTAGAATTTTATTAAAATTTTTGAAAATAATTGAATTTTAGTGAAGAATTTTATTAATTTAGAGAATAATTGAATTTCCGCAAGAAATTTTGATATTTATAAAAATAATTGAATTTTGCAAAGATATTTATTAAAATTCCTAAAAATAATTGCATTTCTGGGTTCAATTTTTCTATTTAAAAGAATAATTAAAATCATGCCTAGAATTTTTTTTTAATTTTTGAAAATAATTGAATTTCTGCAAAGAATTTTATTACATTTGAAAATAATTGAATTCTTGTGATGAATATTGTTATTTAAGAAAATAATTAGATTTTGCAAAGAATTTTATTAAAATTTTTGAAAATAATTGAATGTCTGGAAAGAATTTTTATATTTATCAATATAATTGAATTCTTTCGAAGAATCCTGTTAAAAATTTGGAAATAATATATATATATTTAAAAAAATCAACTAATTTCAATAGAATTGAAGTTAAAATTTTTCATTAAAATTACTTCTACAGAATTGTTAATTAAATGTTAAAAAAATTCATATTTTCCAAACCTTTTCAAAATTCAATGTATTTCTAAAAATTCCTATTATTGTAACTTCTCTAAAATTCAATTATTTTTTAAGAGTCACATTTTATAGATAAATAATAAAAGAAAACGAATTACCAGGTGGTACTCCATCCTGATCGCGCCACTTCCAATCAAGGCCCCTCGCGACTCTCGCCCCAGCCACCAAATGTCTCAGCACTTGCGTTCTGATCAATCGCCTCTGTCTTCGAACTCCCGCCTCAGCCTCCCTCGCAGCTCTACCCAAATCCTCGCAAACTCCCGTCACTTCGCCATAAACCTCAAATCCAGAAACCGACAAATAGTGCGTCTGTCCCGAGGCATTTTTCCCCGTCTGCTGTAAGCGTAAATGTCGCCAACCTTGCGATTCATCGCTCGGCGGATCCAATGTCCATGTCGCCGTACTCCCCGGCTCATTTAACGAACAATCGTCAACGTGTGCGTACAAAGTCGTCCAATTCACGCCGTCCTTCGACGCCTGAAATAGCCAATTTCTCAATGCACTTCGTCCATAGCCTCTCGCGTGTCTCAATGTATACGAACTTGGTATAATCCAAACGCCAAGATCAATCGAAAACCACGATCTCTTATCGTCATTCGTGTGGCAATTCAATGCCGCTGGATCACGACTCAGTATATCCTCGAGATGTCCATACGGAAGATTTCTACCATCGCTCGATGTGACAACAACGAGGCCATATTGTCCCGGATTAACCCATTCGGGCGACGATTTTGAATTAGTGCCAATCCAATAGAGAACTCCATTCTCATCGAAATCGTGCTGATACTTGAATGTCAATCGATTGCCATCCTTGAGTTTCTTAACGAACGTGAAAGTCGATCTATCATGATCGTGCCATTGTTTAGCCACCATTTTCAATAAATGATTCTCCAATTGTTGTACAGTACTCAATGGTTCCATTTTCAAACTCCTTCCGGAACGATCGATTAACGCACTCTCGCCATTCGCCTTCTCCAAACGAAATCTTAAACGACGGGTTAAAATTTGTAGACCATAACCAGAACCAGGTGTATCGTATAAATAGACGGGTAATTTTTCAATAGACTCAAGTACGGAAATTAATTTTTGTACTAATGTCTTTGCTGAATTGTGCTCCTTGTGTGAGTCTTTTGCTTGAAAGCAATTCTTAAAGACCGCTATCCTCTGGAGACGGAGTTTCGTCGCACGAATTGAAGGCGGTTGTGAAATTGTTGGCGCCGCTAATAGACCAAGTAATGCTTGCACCAATCCACTTGAATGTAATTCATAGGCCGATACTTTTCCCTCTTCATTGAGGAGAATTTTCAATTCCTCCAAAGCACTTTGCAAAACATTTCGCCATTCTCGATTACCCGATTGTTGTTTATGACATGCTTTCTCAATTTGACTGACAATTGTGCCAAGTTTCGCGACAACACCACGTGGCTCTGCCTGTGCTGCCTTAAAGTAACGCTCATATATCTCTTGTGCTTGATTTTTAACTTTTTGCTTGAGCGCCTCGATTTTTGATCGTAATCGCTTGCCCCGTTTGCCCGCCCATCCGGCTGCAAATTCAGGTCCTGAAAATTAGACACAAAATAGTTCACAAAAGATATTTTCAAAAGTATTATTATCAATTCGTTTTAAAATATTATTTAATTACTAATTTTCTAATTACAGGGTTGCCACAAAAATTCAATATTATTTTTCCCTGATTTCGTGACACAATTTTCACTTTTACTCTGAAGCTAAAAAAATATTCTGATTCATTCTAAAAATGATTAGATACTCAAATAACAGTTCTAATACTTTTATTTGCAAATTTCTCTAAAAGTAAAATTATTCTGTTTTAAAGAAAATATTTAATCATTATTATTTTTCCGTAGAAATGAAAATTCTTCAAAACATTCAAATTCAAACCTTTTGAAATTAACAACTTATAAAATTATTATTATTATAAAACATGAAGATATTATTATTATTATTTCAATTAATTTTGTAAATAGCAAAATTGCTCGTAAAAATGCCATTATAAAATGAAGAACAATATTAAAAATAAATATCAATATTCATCACAAAAATTCAATTATTTTTCAAATTAATAAAATTCTTTGCAAAATTCAATTATTTTCAAAAATGAATAACAATATTCAACAAAAAAATTCAATTATTTTCAATTCAATTATCATTTCCATCATTTCAATTTAATTATTATTTTCTATGATTTTTAACTAAAATTTATCTTTAAATCAATTTTTTTCATAATCTTTGACAAAGTGCCTTAAAAATTTTCAAATCAATTTATTTACAATTGAATTTTACCAAAAATTTCGAATATTCGGAAATTCTCCAATTAAATATACATTAGAAAATAAAAACTTCAAATAATACAAAATAATTCAAATAAACTTTTTAAAGAAAAATTAATTCTACATAATTGTTAACTAAAACTTATGGAAAATTCGGATTTCCAAAGATTTTAATTAGAAACCTTTTCAAAATTTAATTATTTCTAAAAATTCATATTACAACGCTTTTAATATTCAATTATTATCTTAAATTTCAACTAAAATTCAATTTTAAATCAATTCCTGTTAAAAAGTTCTACGAGAATTCTCATAAAGAATTTTATCAAAATTTTTTTAAAAAATTGAATTATTACGAAGAATTCAAATAAAATTTTTAAAAATAATTAAATTCTTACAAGAAATTTAATTAAAAATAAAATTAAAAATATTTATTAAATTCTAATAAATAAATTATATCATAATTATTTTAAATATATAATTGAATTCTTTTATAAAATTTTAATAAAATTTTTAAGAATAATTGTAATTTTCGAGGAATTCATTAAAAAAATTGAATTAAAAATAAATGAAAACCTGCGATGAGTTTTTACTATTTATGAAAATAATTGAATTCTTCCAAAGAAAGTTATTAAAAATTTTTTTTAAATAATTGAATTCCTGAGAAGAATTTTATTATTTATAAAAATAATTGAATTCTTGCAAAAAACTTTATTAAGATTTTTTTTAATAAGTAATTGAGTTCTTTCAGGAAATTTAATTTAAATAGTAAATGTTTAAAATAATTGAATTTCGATAAATTTTTAAAATTAATTAAATTTCCACGAAGAATTTTATTAAAATTTCTTTTAAAAATTAAATTGTTCCAAAGAATTTTATTCAGATTTTTAAAAATAAAATTCTTTCAAGAAATTTAATTGAAAATGTATTGAAAACTATTATTAAATTCTAATAATAAATTATAACAATTTTTTTTTTTTAATAATTAGAATTCTTTTGAAGAATTTTAATAAAATTTTTAAGAATAATTGCATTTTTCAAGGAATTTATTAAAAATTTTTTTCAAATTACTTAAAATTCCGCGATGAGTTTTATTATTTATAAAAATAATGGAATTATTGCGAATAAATTTATAAAAAATTTGTAAATAATAAAAATCCTGTGAAATTTTTATTACTTATGAAAATAATTAAATGTTTACGTAGAATTTTATTAAAATTTTCGAAAATAATTGAATTTTGGCGAAGAATTTTGCTATTTATAAAGATCATTGAAATCTTGAAGAGAATTTAAATACATTTTTCAAAATAATAGAATTCTTTTGATGAATATTGTTATTTATGAAAGTAAATTAATCCCTGTAAAAATTGTTATATTTATAAAAAGAAATTAATTATTGCGAAGAATTTTATTAAATTTTATTACATAGTTGATTTTTTCGAAAAAATTTGTGCATTGACTTTTATTAAAATTCCTGAAAATAATTGAATTTCTTGGATGAATTTTGATATTTATAAAAATAATTGAAATCATGCCGAGAATTTTAATAAAATTTTTGAATATAATTGAAATTCTGTAAAGAATTTTATTACTTTTGAAAGTAATTGAATTCTTGTAATGAATATTGTTATGTATGCAAATAATTGAATTTTGCAAAGAATTTTATTAAAATTCCTAAGAATAATTGAATTTCTGGGGATAATTTTTATATTTATCAAGATAATTGAATTCTTTCGAAGAATTGCATTCAAATTTTTGGAAATAATATTAAATATATACTGAAATATTTAATTTTAGAAAAATTTAAATTATTAAATAGTTCAAAAATCAAATTTCATAAATTTCTAATTAAATTAATTGAGAATTAAAATTTTATAAAATTTCAAATTGAAACCTTTTGTAGTTCATCTATTTATGAATATTGTAAACGTAATTTTTTAAAAATTCAATTAATTTTGAAATATTTAAGTAAAATTAATTGTTCATTAAATAATTTCTAAGTAATAATTTTATGATAGTTCTTTAAGAATTAAGTTATTTAAAAAGAAATTTTTGTCAATAAAGGAAAAAAATGAAAGTTTTGTTTTAAAATTCGTGGTAACTTCATAATTTCTGAGGCAAACCAAAAAGACTCAAAAATTCAGAATTTTCTCATAAATTCTAAAAATTGAATTTTTCCCAGTATGTACTTTTAATAAAAATCCCTAATTTTTCCTTGACCTGTGGCAATCTTGACTTATTCAGAAAAAGGGATCTTTTCAAAAAATTATAGTAATAAAATTAGAGAAAAATAGAAGAGTAGAAGAGAAACAATTACCTAGACTTGTTTCAGCAGTAAACGAATGTTTTGTTCCTCGATTTGATTCGAAAATAAATCCGGGCAAATCTTCCCTGAGTATTGTCGCCTGTTGTTGTCCATCGCTATTGTGAATTGATAATTCACTCTCTTTTTTGCTCGACAATGCCCAATTGCCAACGACAAGTCTCGTAACACCAGGACGCGAAAGAATTGGTTGACTCACCGAATTTGGTTTCACTTGACTGCGAGCTCGTTGTAGTTTTTCCAAAAATTCGCCCCGATTTTCTGTAAAATTGAATAAATTTCCCATAAGAATAAGAGAAATCTTTCTTTTCCACACTCTAAGGAATAATTTATATCACAAAATTTTTTTTTTTATCAAAAAAAAAAAAAATAAATAAGAAAGTTAACAACAAGCAGAATAACGAGATTTTGATAATGAAATTTTAGTTGTAAAGTTAGAAGAAGTGAAAGAACAAAAGAAAGTGGAAGAATGAGAGTAAAAAAAAACATAATCATTGAAAATCGTGTTACCTACCTTCAGTACCGAGCGACTCAGTGTTCCTCCCCTTTCCTGTAGGCAGTTAGTAAAACGAGTTATTTTCTAAACCATTCCCTGCGTCAAGTTAATCACAAATGAAAGGAGAGGAATCATTTCCAACAAAAATTGATTTTCCATTTCAAAACGACAGTTACTTTATTACTCTGATCTCTTTCTTGATTCTTATTATATTCATTAGAAAAAAAAAACAAAAAAATATGAAACTTTGTAAACTAGTTACAATCACAGTAAATTAATTGACGAACAAAAGTTATTTTAATCTCTTTTAATACTGAAGTTTAAAGAAAGCTTTTTTTTTTAAATACAATTTTGCAGTATTTGCAGTATTTTTAAAAAATTTATTTGAAAAAGTACATTAATATCTGAATTACTGGAAAGATAATAAATGTTTGAAAAAAAAGAAAAAACTAGAAACATTTACAAAAAAAAAAGAGAAATAGAAATAGAACCAGAACAAAAAAACGAAATATTGAAAAAGTGCTATGAAGAAAAATTCATGCCATAAATTAAATGTGGATTTTCCTCTATTATTTTGTCAATAAATTAATCTTTTTTCCAAATCAATTACAAACAATTCATTCCTTCCATTTTTCCATAAATTTATTTCATTGAAAAAAACATTAAAAACTAAAAAAATTGTTTATTATTTAATTAAATAAAATGTTTAAAATTTAAATACTTTGTTCTATTGCTCTAAATTTAATAACTATAATAATAAAATTATCCAATTGCTCAGAATTATCACTTTAACATTTTTTTTGTTCTTTTTATCAAAGAAAGTCGTCCAGTAAATAATTTTTAACAAAAAAAAATAATAACAAAATTAAATACAAAAAATGAATAATAAAAAGAATCTATCTTCTATATTAATAATCGTAATATTCCGGTAATCTGTTTGCAGTTTCAAGTTAATTGTTGTTTGCTTTTTTGTTTCCTAAATTTTTAAATAATTTTTCTTTTCAAATATTTTCAATTTAAAAATTTATGTATTAAAAATCATTGAATTCAAGCAAAGAATTTTGTCAAAAAATTTGAGAACAATTGAATTCCTTTGAATTTAGGCGAATAATTGAATTCTTGAATAATTGAAGAAATTTGTTAAAATTTACAAAAATTCTAATTAAATTCTGTTTGAAAAATTTCTTTGATTTTCTTTTTTTTATAATGGATTCTCTTTAATACTTTTAATTAAAAATTTTTAAAATAATTGACTTTTATGAACAATTTCTTTCAAGTTTTTAAAATAATCGTGTATTGTTAATAATTGAAATTAGACATTTAATTATTGAATTGTATTAAAATTTTATCAAATAATTGAATTCGTTTGAAAAATTTTATAACGAATTAAGAAAAAAATGTAATTCTTTCATGAAATTTTTTTTGAAAATAATTCAAATTTTGCAAAGATTTTACTATTTAAAAAAATAATTTAATTGTAATTAATAATTTTACTATTAAAATTTGTTTAACATTATTGATAGAAAACTAAACTATTTTAAACAATTTTATTAGAGTTTTTGTAAATAATTAAATTCTTTTGAAGAATTTCGTTATTTTTTAAAATAATGCAGTTTTTTGAACAATTGATGAATTTTACTCCGAAAAGATTTCTTGACAACAATTTTATTAAATTTTTTGAAAATAATTGAAATCCTCCGAAGAATTTCATTATTTAAGAAAATAATTTTACTTTTGATGAAGATAATTGAATTTCTAGGAACAATTTTATTAAAATTTTTAAAAATAATTGAAATCCACATAAGAATTTTATTATTTTTAAAATTAATTGAAATGTTCAAAAGAATTTCACTTTTTATGAAGATTTTATGAATTTTTAGGAACAATTTTATTAAAACTGTATTGAAAATAATGAATTCCTCAGGAGAATTTTAAAATTTATAAAAAATAATTTAATTTTTGCGATGAATTTTACTTCGAAAGGATTTCTTGACAAGAATTTGTTTCAAATTTTTTAAAATAATTGAATTTCTTTAAAGAATCCAATTATTTATGAAAAAAAATTAATTCTTCCAATGAATTTTATTTTTTATGAAGATAATTAATTGTTGAGAAAGAATTTTATTAAAATTTTTTAATATAATTAAAATCCTCCATAGAATTTTACTTCAAGAATTTGATTCATATTTTTGAAAATAATTGAAATTCTCTAAAGAATTCAATTATTTATGAAAAAAAAAATGAATTCTTGACAAGAATTTTATTACAATTTTTGAAAATAATTGAAATCCTTCGAAGGATTTTATTATTAAAGAAAATAATTAAAATCTTCCAAAGAATTTTACTTTTTATGAAGATAATTGAATTTTTAGGAAGAATTTTATTTAAATTTTTGAAAATAATTGAAATCTTCAAAGAATTTTATTAAAATTTTTGAAAATAATTGAAATCCTCCGAATAATTTTATTGTTTAAGAAAATAATTGGATTTTTTCAAAAAATTTTATTATTTATAAAAATAACTGATTTTTTTCGAAGAATGTTATTATTTATGAAAATAATTGAATACAAAAAATAAACAATAAAAATAAAGAAACCGAAATGGACCAACAACAAAAAATAGACAAAAAGACAAGACAATGAGTGCGTTGTTTTTTTTTGGATAAATTTGAAAACACATGAAATTAGTGTAAAAAGGAAAAAATATAAAAAAATAGTGCAATTGGTAACTTAAAAATAATCATGCGTGAAGATTTATTATAAAAAAATACTTACCCGTTGTATCAGTTCCACCCTCGGGACTTCCACTTGAATACATTGTCGCGAGTTTTCCATCGAGAATAAAACGAAACCATCCATTACTGCCATTTGACAATTCCAATGCCGCTGCATCCGACCAAACATAAAGACAATCACGACCGCGGCAAATAAACCAATCACGCCAATGATAAGCCTTTCCAATTAATAATTCACGAGCATCCTCCAAACGTTGCTCATCTCCATTTTGATTTGGTTCTGTCTCAGGTTCGGGAATTGTCTCCTGTGGTCCAGCCAATGATGCAACTTTCGAAAATACACCGAGACGTGCAAAATGTTCTAAAAATTCATCCTTCCCTTTAATCATCAAGTCTTGTATCATTTGAAGTATCACTAGATGACCGTCCTCGTCCTCCTACGATTTTTTTTTCAATAAAATGACAAAAATAACACAATATAATTAGGAGAACAAAATTTAAAAGGTATTTTCATCAGTATTGTTAATTAATTCTATTAATTATATTAATTCTAATATTAATGATTAATAATTAATAATTAAGAATTACCTAACACAATTATTATTGACATGAAATTAATAAAGACAAAGTATTTTTTCATTCTACCATCGGTCAGTATTCAAACCATAATGGTAGCAGGCAGACAGAGTTAGCCTATAGTTATTAATTAAGAATTAAAAGAATGGAATCAACAACTAGCAAGAGTTTTCACGTTTCCCTTGTTTTATACTATTTTCTTCACATTTATTATATTACACAAAATTGAAATCTGTTAATGAAAAACAAAAAAGGACGAAACAAATTAAATTCTAACAATTAAATTTCTACAAGAAACTTTTTTCCTGTTGGATATTAATTCTTTTTTTTTTTAAATGAATAAAAATTGAAAATATTTTAGCATTTTTAAAAATTCGATTGTACGACATTATTTTACAACCCTTTTTTAAATTTTTTAATCTATACACCAACCAGTCCACTTCCGACAACTCATTTCTAAAATTCTTTTTTTTTCAAAGCAATCTACAAAACAATAGAAAAGAAAAAAAATTCTTTAATGTTAAGAATATTTTCAACAAAAAAAATGGATTTTTAAAATCTAAAAATCAGCATTGATTCAATGAAAAATTAGAGAAAAGGAAAATTTCAGCAGAACAGAAATCATGCTAAAAATTTGTTCATATATTAATATTTATTTATATATTAAATAAATAAGTATTATATATTATGTTAATGGTGAAAAAAGCCAGCGGCTGTGCAACACCATTTAAAAAAAACGCGAATTACAAGTCGATGGCCAAAAAAATGTAGTTGTTAAATTGGGATTTTTTTTTTTGAGTTAGCGAAATGCAAAATAAAAAAGTACGGATTTTACCGTCTTATCAATAATGAAGTTCTGGGAACTGGAAGACTTGCGTGCCGTAAAGCAGGGCAATTTTGGGCCAATGATCAACTTGAGAGGCGGATGTGGTGCCGGTGATGTCTTTATCTCAATTTCCTGCGAAAAATCTCTTTATCTAAATCGCATCGGATTTTTGCTATCTGTCTGCCTCTACGTTTCTAGTTTTTCTCGAATAAAAAAAGAAAATATAGGATATATGCTTTTCAAAAAATGACTTTTTGTTTTGCTTTATAATTGTGTTCATTAAAATATTTAAAAGCAAAAAAATAAAGAAAGAAAGAAAGGAAGAAAAAAAGAAAAGAAAATTAGATGAAAATTCTGCAAGAAGAAAATTTTTCCAATAGAGAGTAAAAATGTGACGCGCTCTCAAGAAAGGTAAGAAGTTTTTTTTTTTATTTTTTGAAGTGACAATACAGAAAGAGAATCAATTATTATTTTTCCCAGACTTTTCCCTGATTTCTAGACAAAATTTTGACATTTTTCAACCGAGTGATAAAATCATTATTTCGTGAAAAATTCTGGGAAAATTCAAATCATTATTTTATATTATAAAAATATTGTTACTGTAACTTCTTCAAAATTATTTTCTTTTATTCAATTATTATTTTCTAGAATTTTTACCGAAAATTCTTCTTTAAATCAATTATTTTTAATAATTTTCGAAAATTTCAAAATTCAATTTTACGAAATTTGGATTATTTTGAAACTCTTCAATTAAATATTAGGAAATAAAAACTTCGAGTAATTTCAACAGAATTGGAATTAAAATTTTTCAAAAATATTAATTCTACAGAATTCATAGTTTAAAAAAATGGAAAATCAGATTTTTAAAGATTTTAATTTGAAACCTTTTCAAAATTCAATTATTTCTAAAAATTTAAGCTATAATGCTTTTAATATTCAATTATTATCTAAAATTATAATTGTATTTCATTTTAAAATCAATTTTTATTAGAAAATTCTGGGAGAATTTCATTATTTAAATACAAAAATAAAAAATTTGTTGTCTAAATGAATGTTTCTTAAAATTGAATTCTCATAAAGAATTTTATCAAATTTTTTTTTTAATATTTGAATTCTTTTGACGAATTTTAATAAAATTTTTAAAAATAATCGCATTTTTCGAGGAATTTGATTAAAATTTGATTAAAAATAATTGAATTCCTAAAAGAGAATATTATTATTTATAAAAATAATTAAATTTTTGTGACGAATTAATTAATTTCCTAAAAATAATTGAATTTCTATGATGAATTTGGTTATTAATAAAAATAATTGAATTTTTGTGATGAATATTGTTATTAATTTATGAAAATAATTAAATTTGCTAATGAATTTTATTAAAATTCCTGAAAATAATTGAATTTTTGGGAGCAATTTTGCTATTTATAAAAATAATTTTAAAAATGCCTAGAATTTTTTTTTAATTTTTAAAAATGATTGAATTTTAGGAATTTTAGTGAAGAATTTTATTACTTTTGAAAATAATTGAAATTTTGTAATGAATATTATTATTTATGATAATAATTCAATTATGCTAAGAATTTTTATAAAATTCCTGAAATTAATTTAATTTCTGGGATGGATTTTTCTATTTACAAAAATAATTAAAATCATGCGTAGATTTTTTTTTTAATTTTAAAAAATAATTGAATTTCTGCGAAAAATTTCATTACTTTTGCAAATAATTGAATTTTTGTTATTAATATTGTTATTTAAGAAAATATTTGAATTTGGCAAAAAATTTTATTAAAATTCCTGAAAATAATTGAATGTCTGGAAAGAATTTTCATAATTTGTAAAAATAATTGAATTTCTGCGAAGAATTTTATTACTTTTGAAAACAATTCAATTTGGGTGAAGAATTTTATTAATTTTAAAAATAATTGAATTTTTGTGATGAACATTGTTATTAATTTATGAAAATAATTAAATTTTCTACAGAATTTTATGAAAATTCATTAAAACAATTGAATTTTTGCGAGCAATTTTGCTATTTATTTAAGAATAATTTTAAAAATGCCCAGAATTTTTTTTTAATTTTGAAAAATAATTGAATTTCAGTGAAGAATTTTATTACTTTTGAAAATAATTGAATTCTTGTAATGAATATTTGTATATTTAAAAATAATTGAATTTTGCAAAGAATTTTATTTAAATTCCTGTGGCAACCCAGACTATAATTTGTCTGCTTCTTAGGTACCTTTCAATTAATCGCGTCACAAATATTAAAGAAAGATTTTTATAAGGCCTTTAATTCAAATTTTTTAAGAATATAGTAGAATTACTTTCTTATCTCTATTTATTCCTAAAGTAATATCATCAACTTTCTAAATAATAATTCCAAGTGTGTAAAAGAATAAATTATAATTATATAAATTTTTATTGAAATAAAGAAATAAAAATTTTATTAAAATAAATAAGTAAAGATTTTATTGAAATAAAGAAAGAATAAAAGAAGAGAAAAAGATTACAGAACTTTAGAATTTCAGATGACTTACCTCGTTATCCAAAACATTGGCGATAACTTCAACGAGCATTGCTCCACATCCTCCGGTCTTATCCGAACCGCAAGTTTCCACGAGTAATTCCGATTGTATATAATGTACCATTTTACGTATCAAACTTAAACTCGCCTTTCTCACACTGGGCAGCATTGTCGACTGGAAGGTCGAGCAAAAAACAGGTAAAAGCCTCTTTAAATAAACTGGCGCCATTTCAGGATCGCCTTTTGGTTCCATATATTCCTCAGTCTCAGTTTCGGTTTTCCGACTATCCTGATTCGGTGGCAGCATCCATTCGCCAGGCGATTGAAGTATTGCCGCCACTTCACGATGTCCCTCATCAATTCTCTCGCGTGCCTTATCCAACGGCGTCTTACCATCTTCATCGCGTAAATCTGGATTTGCACCGTGACGCAATAAAACTTTTGCAATTGCCGGCCTGCCAAAGCACGCGGCATAATGTAAACTCGACGAACGTTGTCCTTTATTAACGTCCGCGCCACGATCGCAGAGAAATTCAACCATTTCCTGTGTACCAAATGCTGAGGCCCAATTTAATAATGTCTGTCCCACGTCGTCCATGAAATTCACTTCAATTCCACCGGTGTCAATTGCCTCGATTAGTGCATCGGTGTCCTTGGAGCGAATGCAATCGATTAATTGTCGATGTGTCTTCTCCCCGGCACTGTCCAAATGACGGAGGCGGGGTAATAGTGGTCCTGATGGACCGCCAGTGTTGTTGCGACCCAACGCCGAACGTCCCTCGAATAGAAGAACGAGAAGTAAATCTACAAGGCGCATTGAATCGAGAGCGCATCTTTCGTCTCCTTTGAGGGCTTTTTCAATAGCGTCGGGCAATTCTGATCGAAGTAAATCGTGTGTTATTGATGGTGAACCACGACAAAGGGTGGACAATAGACTGATAATTGTCGATACAGAGGCGCATGATTTTGGTTCAGTTGCGGGAATTGTTGTTGCTGTTGTATTTGGAGGTGGTGTTTTTGGATTTCCCGATGCCGTCGCTACGGATGTGTTCGGTCCAGCTGCATTTGATAACCTAGTGATTTTAATTAAACAATTAATTCATTACTCAAATACTCAACTCTAATTACTTTGGACTTCTTTTTTGGATTTTTTGTCCAAAAAAATTAAAAATCCAAAGCAAAAGAAATTGAAATATAAAAATTTTAATTGTTACATTGAATGAAATTGTCTTTTTAATTTATGTGGTGATTTTTTGGATTGAATTTTTTGTATACTGTAATCTTATCATTATTATATTTTAAATAAATATTTAATCAATATTATATTTTTACACAGAAATGAAGATATTAAAAATTTAAATTCAAACCCTTTTTGAAATTCAAAACCTTATAAGAATATTATTATAAAACATGAAGATATCGATCACAGATATCGATTGACTTAGTCATGTTTTACAATAATTAAAAATGACCGAGTGTTAAAATCATTATTTTATATTATAAAAATATTAATCAAAATTATTTTCATCATTTCAGTTAATTAATGTTTTCTAGAATTTTTAACAAAAATTATAATTTAAAAAAAAATTATGTCTACAAAATTGTTAATAAAAAGTACCTATGAAAATTCAGATTTCCAAAGATTTTAATTTGAAACATTTTCAAAATTCAACTCTTATGAAGAATTTGATCCACAAATTTTTTAAATAATTGAATTCTTTTGACGAATTTTTATAAAATGTTTAAGAATAATTGCATTTGTCGTAGAATTCAATTATAATTGTATTAAAACCCAATTAAATTCTGCAATAAGTTTTATTATCTATGAAAATAATTGAATTCCTAAGAAAAAATTTTGTTAATTATATAAATAATTGAATTTCCTATCAAAATTTAAAATTTAAATTTTGATAGGAAATTCATTACTTTTGATAATAATTGAATTAGAGTTATGAATATTGTTTTGTATGAAAATAATTCAATTTCGCAAAGAATTTTATTAAAATCTCTGTATATAATTGAATTTTTGGGGAGAATTTTGATATTTATCAAGAAAATTAAATTCTTTCCAAGAATTGAGTTAAAATTTTTTAAATAATATTAAATATATATTAAACAACTCAAATAATTTCAACAGAATTGAAATTAATATTTTTGAAAATAAATCTTATGAAGAATTTTGTCAAAAAATTGTCAATTAATTAAATTCTTTCGACGAACTTAATAAAATTTTTAAGAATAATTGCAGTTTTCGATGAATTAAATTAAAATTATATTAAAAATAATTGAATTTCTTCGAAGAATAATTTTAGTATACTAAAATTCTTTTGGAAAATTTTATTAAAATAGTAAATATTGAAAATCATTGAATTGAGAACAATTTTTGAAAGTAATTGAAATTTAGCCAAAAATTTTGTTCAATTTTTTGAAAATAATTAAATTTCGGCAAAGAAATTTATTAAAATTCTTAAAATAATTGAATTTCTTAGAAAAAATTTCATATTTACCAAGATAATTGAATTTTTTTCCAAAAATTTTGTTAAAATTTTTGAAATAATAGGTATTAAATATATTGAAAAATTGAACTAATTTTAATAGAGTTGAAATTAATATTTTTGAAAAAAATTAGTTTCACAGAATTGTTAATTAAAAATATGAAGAATTTAGATTTTTAAATATTGATTGATTAATTTGAAACCTTTTCAAAATTCAATTTTTACTAAAAATTCAAATCTTATGAAGAATTTTATAAACAAATTTTCAATTAATTGAATTCTGTGGACAAATTTTAGCAAAATTTTTATTGAATAATTGTATTTTTTGTGGAATTCAATGAAAATTGTATTAAAAATAATTGAAATTCTGCAATGAGTTTTACTATCTATGAAAATAATTGAATTCCTAAGAAAAAATTTTGTTAATTATATAAATAATTGAATTTCCTATCAAAATTTAAAATTTAAATTTTGATAGGAAATTCATTACTTTTGATAATAATTGAATTAGAGTTATGAATATTGTTTTGTATGAAAATAATTCAATTTCGCAAAGAATTTTATTAAAATCTCTGTATATAATTGAATTTTTGGGGAGAATTTTGATATTTATCAAGAAAATTAAATTCTTTCCAAGAATTGAGTTAAAATTTTTTAAATAATATTAAATATATATTAAACAACTCAAATAATTTCAACAGAATTGAAATTAATATTTTTGAAAATAAATCTTATGAAGAATTTTGTCAAAAAATTGTCAATTAATTAAATTCTTTCGACGAACTTAATAAAATTTTTAAGAATAATTGCAGTTTTCGATGAATTAAATTAAAATTATATTAAAAATAATTGAATTTCTTCGAAGAATAATTTTAGTATACTAAAATTCTTTTGGAAAATTTTATTAAAATAGTAAATATTGAAAATCATTGAATTGAGAACAATTTTTGAAAGTAATTGAAATTTAGCCAAAAATTTTGTTCAATTTTTTGAAAATAATTAAATTTCGGCAAAGAAATTTATTAAAATTCTTAAAATAATTGAATTTCTTAGAAAAAATTTCATATTTATCAAAATTGAATAATAATAATAATAATAATAATAATAATAATTTTTTTTTTTTTTTTTTGTTAAAATTTTTGAAATAATAGGTATTAAATATATTGAAAAATTGAACTAATTTTAATAGAGTGTTGAAATTAATATTTTTGAAAAAAATTATTTTTACAGAATTGTTAATTAAAAATATGAAGAATTTAGATTTTTAAATATTGATTGATTAATTTGAAACCTTTTCAAAATTCAATTTTTTCTAAAAATTCAAATCTTATGAAGAATTTTATAAACAAATTTTCAATTAATTGAATTCTGTGGACAAATTTTAGCAAAATTTTTATTGAATAATTGTATTTTTTGTGGAATTCAATAAAAATTGTATTAAAAATAATTGAAATTCTGCAATGAGTTTTATTATCTATGAAAATAATTGAATTCCTAAAAAAAATTTTTTATTTATATTAAAGAATTGAACTTTCTGTCACAATTTTTGAAAATAATTTAAACTTTGACATGAATTTTATTAAAAATTTTTAAAATAATTGAAAATTTCATATGAATTTTATTAAAATTTTCCAAAGAATTGAAACTTTGACAACAATGTTATTAAATTTTTTGAAAATAATTGAAATTTTGACAAGAATTTTTTTAATTTTATTAATTATTAATTGATTAATTTTTTTTTTTTTAAATAATTGAATGCTTTTGGAGAATTTTATTAGAATTTTTGAAAATAATTGAATTTCTGCTAAGAATTTTATTAATTTTAAAAGTAATTGAATTCTTGTGATGAATATTTTTATTAATTTATGAAAATAATTGAATATTGCAAAGAATTCTATTAAAATTCTTGAAAATAATTGAATTTTTAAGCAAAATTGTGATATTTATCAAGATAATTGAATTCTTTTGTAGAATTGCGTTGAAAATTTGAAATAATTTTAAATATATATTAATGAGTTCAACTAATGTTATTTTATATTATTTCTAGAAATAGAAAAAATTGAAAGTTTTGTATTAGAATTCGTGGTAATTTCCTAGTTTATGAGGCAAACGAAAAAGACACAAAAATTCGAAATTTTCTTATAAATTCAAAACAGTTAATTTTTTTCCAGTACTTTTAATATTAATTCCTGACTTTTCCCTGATTTCTTTGAGCATTTTTACTTGCTCCGTATTTTCCCAGACCTGTTGCAACCCTATAATAAATAAATTTTACCTATAGAGTAATTCAGAAACCAATCCATTGGAGGCAAGTGGTGCAGGGTCAGTGCCACGTCTTGAGAATCGGTCGGCTAATGATGCGAAACAACGAAGCGCACCATCGGCAACATGCGCGTCCTCGTGACGAAGGAGAGTCGATAGCGCCGCAACGCAATCGGGTAATGTTTTGTCTTGCGGCTCAACTTTTCCGCAAAGACGCGAGACCACAGCCATTGCCGAATGAAGCGTATCGCGATGAACTCGCGCTCCATTTTCACGAATGAAACACAGAGCGCATGGAAGACCGCCGGCCTCAAAAACTGCACCTGCCTCTCGCGCACAAACCAATTCTAAAACCTGAATAAAGAAAGTTGAATCCTCATTAAAAAGTTGAATAAAAAAAAAGTCTCTTATTATTTAAAAAAATAATAATATTATTAAGAAAAATGACCAATTTATGTACGGGAAATGTAAAAGGCCAAAAGGTCATACATATGAATCCAATATAATAATAATAAAAATAAAAAGAAAAATGACCAAAATCATTTTTTCAACGAAATTCAAAATTAAAGAAAAAGAAGTAAAATTTTAATTGAAAATTAAAATTTTATTTTACTTCTTTTTCTTTAATTTTGAATTTTGAATTTTGAATTTCTAATTTCTAATTCAGTATGAATATTAATAATTCAAAAAAAATTATTTTTCTTTATAATAAGAAATATGTAAACAAAAGAAATGTGGGGTATGTTTTCGATCTTTGAAAAAAAAGAGAGAAAAAAACAGGAGAATAAAGGAAACGGAAATTATCCAACGGATGTGAATTAAATAAAATGAAAGTCTCTCCTCACTTTTATACATTGTTCGGCGAGATCACGACTGGCGCGTGAACCAAGCGCTGCGCCTGAGAGACGACTGCAAATGGCCTTGATGGCACCCTCCATAGCAACTACTCGCCTGGTGCATTCAGCAGAGACATCGAGATAGTATGTAATTGCACGAGCAGTGACTTCAAGAACACTATCAGGTGCATGCTCGTCCAGAAATATTCGACAGAGCGCGGGCAGAAACGTTCTTGGTGGGCAACTGAAAAATTCAATATTCCTTTTTTACATCGATTCACCTGAATAATTCTTTCTCATTTTTTTTAAATAGAATTTTTTCATCAAAAACTTTATAAATTTAAAGTTTTATTTATTAAAAGTTTTGTTTTATTAAAATTAAGTAGGAAAAAGGCAAAAGAAAAAAATTACAAAAACAGCAGAAAAATTGCAAACATTTAAAGAAATGCAAAATAAGTACATCTTTTCCAATTTTTTATACCTAAACTAACAAAATTTATTTTTAAATAGTTTTAATGAATTTTTAAATTCTAAATTTTAAACTTTTTCAAACTTTTAATTAATTTACCAAAAATCAATCAATAATTCGTCAATTTACTAAGTGATTTCTAATTCAAAAAAAATTGAATAGTAACAAATTCATTTTGCTTTTTTTAAATAATTGTAAATTTTTAAATAATTGTAATTAAATTAAATAATTTTTAAATAATTAAATAAATTAATTTACCAAATATCAATTAATAATTCGTGATTTTACTAAATAATTCCTAATTCAATAAAAACTGAAGAGTAACAAATTAATTTTGCTTTTTTTAAAAATAATTTCAATAAATTTTACTTCTTTTGCGCAAAAGTTTGACATAATTCAATTTTACGAAATTTCGACTATTCGGAAACTCTTCAATTAAATATTAGAAAATAAAAACTTCCAGTAATTTGATTAAAATATTAGGCATTGAAAATCATTGAATTGAGGAAAATTTTTGAAAATAATTGAAACTTTGACAAGAATTTTATAACAATTTTTAAAAATAATTAAAATTTGCAAAAACTTTTATTAAAATTCTTGAATATAATTGAATTTTTGATGAGAATTTTGATATTTATCAAAAAAATTAAATTTCTTTCGAAGAATTGATGTTTAAATTTTTAATATAATATTAAATATTCTTACCGAAAATCAATCAATATTTCGTGATTTTACTAAAAATTATTCAATAAAAATTGAATAGTAAAAAATTAATTTTGCTTTTTAAAAAAAAAATAATTGCAATAAATTTTTCTTTTTTTTACGCAAAAGTTTTGTAAATAAAAATTCTTACATTGTAAGAAATGTAAAATCGACTTTTCTTTTAAGTGGCGAGTGTTAAAATATTTAATGTCAAGTTATATACCTTTCAAAGCAGCGATCGACATTATCCGACATCAAGAGCAGCATACACAGTTGTTCCAGTGCAATCAGCTGCATGTCCCTTTCATCACCTTGCCCCATACTCAACCATTCCAGTAACGTTTCCGGATCCACGTCCGCCATCTTATTGCTAAAATTAAAAAAAATTTACTACATACTCGTTAAAAAAATTTCTCCAAAATTTATTAATAAAATTCGTTATTAATACCTCTTGAAAAGCCATAAATTTATTTTTCCCCTTTTATTTGTAGGGTAACAAAACTATTTTGAATTTTGCGATATTTTTTTTTTCATTTTTAAAACGTGAGTCAAATAATTAATCATTTTCGATTAATCAGATATTTAAAAAAAATTAATAAACAATTTTTTTTGGGAATGAAAAGTAACTTTTTGTAAAATTACATTTTTATAAAATAAAAAAAGTATTTTATGAAATTAAAAAAAATATTTGTCAACGAAATTTTTTTTAACAATAGAAACCTTTGTATATTAAATAGTTGAATGATTAATTAACGCTATTGTTGCACGTTCTTGATTCTACTTTGCAAACTATTTTCGTTAAAGGCAATAGGTAATGAAGACAAGTTAATTAAATCTGTTTTCTGAATCATAAAACTAAGGCCACCAAGAAAAAAAAGAGAATTTCTACTCTATCATATTTTGATCTAAAAATAAAACATAACAAAAAAATTTTTTAGGTAATTTTTTCTCAATGAGAATTTAATGATGCAATAGACAAATGAAGAAATGGAAAATTTTTTAAATAGTTTATAATAGAAAATATTAAATTGTAAATAGTAATAATAAAAATAAAAACAATAATAATAATAATAATAATAATAATAATAATAATAATAATAATAATAATAATATAAAAATAAAAACAAAAAAGTGATTAAGAAGAAATAATGAAACAATTAATATAATGAACTTTATAAAAGGAACAATTCTTTAAATCTTCATGATAAATTTTTAAATTGCAAACATAAAAATTAAAAATTATCGAAATTATTGCCAGTGACGAATTTTGGGGAATCCGGTGACTAATTCTTTCCGTATGAAATCATTAAAGAAATGACAAACTCAATCGACACTTTCATTTAAATTTAAACGAAAACTGTCTAATATTTTGAAGATAAAATAATTTATACTCATAATTAAAATTATCGCAATTTCACTCAAATAAATTAGAACAAATTATCATTTATGTCGAAAGAAAAAAAATACTCGAAAGAAAAACGTTAATAAAAAAATTATAATACAATATTGCACTGATTCGTAAATTAAAATAAATACAATTAAAAATAGTAATTAGACACAAATACATAATTATTCACTGAAAAAAAATTAATTTAAATTCGCATAGTAACAACGATACATTTCACCAATAATTAAAAAATAATTATATTATTAACGCATTAAAAATAAGCACAACTGATTGAAATTTAAATAAACTTCTCGATTTAAAAATAAATATACGTTTCAAATCTGTTTACGACTTTCTCCTTTAACTCAAAAATTGTTTTTCTAACGGATTCTTAACGAGCGAAAAATCTGACAAAGGAACTCACCTTTTTTTTGTTGTCCCCCCGTGGGTAATATCTGGGACTGTTTTCTTAGTAGAGCTCAAATCCCAATTCTGAAACACATTTGTACACTTTTTTTTTCATCGTAGAAATTATTGGTTTTTGAAGAAAACGAATCACAATTTAATTAAAGTTTATAGAGACACTACCATTTAATTGTATACATATATACATATACACGAAGCACAAAAGATGAATTGGGAATCAGGCAAAGAACGAGACGAGGAAATGCTTCATTAAGAGGATAATATATACTTTACTTTCAAAAACACTTTCTCGATATAATCATTGGAAAAAAATATTATTGACGAACACTCAAATGCACTTTCATTGATTTTCAATAATCGAGAATATAAACACAAAACTTAAAACACAAAATTTCGTCGAAACTTGACACATGTTTGAGAAAGACATACCTTCGTGAAAAGTGTTTCATTCTTCGAAGGGGTCAAGTCGCCATCCTGTTTCTCTAAAACTCTCTTTTCATCAACAATCACCTTTGACGAGAATACCGAATTGTGAATTTATTCTTTAATACATCGACTAAACTATTGAAACGCTCTTGCGAGCAACAAAATAATCTTTTTAACAAATATTTTCGAATTTAACTCGAGTCCTTTTCCATTTAATGACGTTCGGAGCAATTCGCTCGGTGAGTGCTGAGTGAGTGATGTTTAAGGTGATTTCTCATGAATTTATTTCGAGTTATGAAGGATGTTTTCAATAACCAATCAAAATAGACACTGGAATTCAAATTTCCCGGGCGGGAAAAAATTATTTCTTTGTGCTGGATAATTTTATATAATTTAATTAAATTCATTAAATTTAAATAGATACTTGGATAAACTTTTTAGTTTATTTTCTAGATTAAAACAAGAAAAAAGTGACGGAAAAAAAGATTATTAGAAATAAATATTTCGTGGTCGTCAATTCGGAAGGAACTAATCACAATCGTCTTCAAGGGAAAGCGCTGATATGATTAGACCATTTTTTTCTCCAATCACATCGGAGAATTTGAATTTCATTCTTTTCTTTTTCTTAATTAAATCAAAGAAAGAATAATTTATTCCTAAAATAATAATTAAGGAAAATAATTTATTTTTAATAAAAATAAATAATGGAAACAATCCACTTGAATTGTTTATTTATTAAGAAGATAATTTTTTTTACCTATAAACAAAGAGATCACATGACAGTGTGACGTCATTCGTGTCATCTCTCTATTTACTAATTTTTTCGTTAAAAGAAAAGGGATATGTTATCTCTAAAATCATACAAAGTTTGTTCATTTCAACTAATCGAGTTCATTCACTTTAATACAATTTGTTAATAATAATTCGTTAAAGTGAAAATCGTGAAAATTATACAGACAAATTTCGCAAATTTTGAGGTTAGAAAGGCGATTTATCGCAACAAGACATTTTATAAAAAAATCCCCAGCAGTGAAATGAATTCCTTTTGTTGATTGGTCCTGGACTTTATTTTTACATTACGTACTTGATATTTATTGGGCAACTGAGTGAAATAATTACAGATATTACATTTGTGTGCGTGTTGTCGGAAATTTTTTTTTTTTTGCTTCGCATTGAAAATAAACAGTGAGCAGAAGAAAAGTTTTAAAGAACAGAGGAATGTGTTCTATTTTACGTGTATTTGCAATTATAATTATACTATAAATAGTCAATAAAGAACAAGTGAACAAATATTTCAAACTAAAGTTAAAAATAATGTATTGAAATAATTAAAAATTTAAAGAAGTTTGGAAAAAAGTTTTTTATAAAGATGTTCGAACCCACAGAATTGGGAAAGGTAATAAAATACGCATGATTTTTTTATCTTTATAATATATAGAATATATTTATTGCAAATATTATTATTTTTTTTATTTTCATCATTTTCGTTCAATATGACGTTATATTTACATCATTCCAAATTAGAAAAGATCGTCTGTTAGTTGTAATTTAATATAATTTCTTTTTAGAGGCGCAGTTAAAAAAAACCCACATTATATAAAATTAGATTAAAGTATTTATTTTCCTTTTCGAGTTTGATTTTTTGGAAAAAAGATTGGTGATTGGTAATTTTTTAAATTTTGATTGAAATTATGACTCGGGTATTTAATGCTTTCAATTAAAAGAGGGAAGTAGATAATAAGAGTGAAAAAATTAACTTTCATACATGAATCATGCGGTTAATTGATAATTGTTTTGGCATTTTGCAGACAAAACGCTACCATATTGTTCTTTCTTTATTTACTTCCCTTTTAGATAAAAAAGACTATTTTTTTCGATTATTTAATTTTTCATATTTTGAAAAATAATGGTTACTTGATTTTCAATTTTTTTGCTAATTAGTTTCTATTATTTCCTTAGTTTTATAATGAATTTAGCCAGGCTTCGCAATCTTCTATTAAAACCAAGTAATTTAATTATTCTTTTAAATTTGCATAAAATTCTTTAAACAAATTCAATTATTTGCAAAAATTTTAATAAAATCCTTCGCAAGAACTAAATTATTTTTTTTTTTACAAATAAAAAAAATTTTAACAGAAATCCAATTATTTAAAAACATTTATTGAAATTCGTTGAAAGAATTCAATTATTTTTAAAAATTAAAAAAAAATTAGAAAATCAAATTCTTCTGAATTTAATAATTCAATTATTTTCAGGAATTTTGATAAATTTCTTTGCCAAATTCAATTATTTTCCGAAATAACAATATTCATGAGAATAATTCAATTATTTAAAACTTTTTTTTTAATTCTCGACATAATTTCAATTATTTTTATAAATAGCAAAATTCATCCCAGAAATTCAATTATTGTCAGGAATTTTCATAAAATTCTTTGAAAAATTCTATTATTTAAATAAATTAATATCATTATTCATAACAATAATTCAATTACTTTTAAAAGTCATAAAATTCTTCGCAGTAATTCAATTATTTTCGAAAATTTTAATAAAATCCTCGTCAAGATTTCAATTATCTTGATAAATAGCAAAATTCTTCTCCAAAATTCAATTACTTTTATAAATAATAAAATTCTTCACAGAAATTCAATTATTTAAAAATATTTACTGAAATTCGTTGCAAAAATTCAATTATTTTTACAAATAATAAAATTCTTCACATGATTTCAATTATTTTCAAAAATGAGTTATTAAAATTTTAAAGAAAAAATCAAATATTGGTATAATTTTGATAATATTATTTACAAGTATTCAATTCTAAGAGATAATTATTTATTCTATCAATTATTTATTTTTGTATTTACATAATTGAATTCTTGTAGAATTTTCTTATAAAAATTAATTGAAAAATGAATTTTAATTAAAATTTTAGATTGTAATTTAATATTAAATGCGTTATAGTATGAATTTTTAAAAATAGGCGAATTTAAAAGATTATCAAAAATTTTAATATTTCCACATTCCTGTGGAAAAATAAGTATTTTTTTTTATTGAACAAAAATTATTCAATTATGAATTTTTTCATAATTGAATTTAGATTTTGATTTTAATTTAGAGAATTATGAATAAAATTAGTCTTTTGAAAAATTTTAATTTTTTGAATATAGTTAATTTGAAGTAAAAATTAAAAATACTTATTTAAATTTCCAATTAATTAGAAATTTTTTAAAAATTTAATTGAAGTAAATTTTATATTTTCAAAAAATTTATACAAAACGTGTTTTTCAGTAGTCAAATTTAATTTTTCGATAGCTACTTTTTTTTACTACTTTTTTCACTCCTAAAGCTACTGATTGCCACTTTTTTTAAAATTAGTTATTGAGTGCGAAGCCTGTTTAGCATTTATTTTTTTCTAATTGAGAAATTTAAAAAAACGTAAATAATTTTTTGTTTTTTTAAACCAGGAACTTTGTACCCACACTGGAGTTGTTTTACGAGGAGCGAATACACGAGAAGACGAGGTTCACAGTTCAGGAACTCTTAATATTGTCGAATACGTAAGGATTTCATTTGTAAAAATTAAATATTCAGATTTGAATTTATTTTAATTTAATTTGTTGTTTTTAATACAGAGTTTCGGCAAATGTATCGAATGGAAACCAATTGAAGTGTCAATTGTCTCGGAAATTCAGGATCAGGATCCAGAATGGTCGCTCGTCGACTCACATACACGACGAACACGAACATCATCCGAGGGTCCCGATTCATTGGGACGCACGCGTACCGTACGAATATTATTCTCCGATTTAAAATCATTTCGTATTAATCACAATGGACAGCAATTAATATTTATGCAAAAAGATGGTACCACTTATGTGGCATTCTTTCAACTATCGAATGCCGAGAGTTTTGTCAATTCATTGAAGGGTTTCATTAAATTCGTTAAATCGAAAATGGATAAAAATTTATATATTATCGTCGATGAAGTGAGTAATGTTTTAAATAAATCGTTCGCTGAATTGGATATTTTTCAAGAGAATACATCGGACTATGTTTGGAAATTTGTTCGTAATTTACATGATCGTCCTTATGAAACGACTATGGAGGCTTTCAGTAAATTGGCCGATGTTTGGAGTTAGTTTCTCAATTTTGTTTTATATAAATTTAGAAATTTTTTTTATAATTATAATATAAATAAGGTATATTAATTTCGAATTTTAATTTTAGTATATAAAGACACTGATGCAAAGCGACCAGTCGAGGAAGCAGTGGCTGATCTTTTAAATCGTTCTCTGTCAATTGATGTGCCTCTGCCTTCGGTTTCCGTGAGTTCTGGAGAAGAATACGAAGTAATTGGCGTTTCAACTGCGTCAGTTCTTCTCCCACCAAGACCACCGTGTCCTCGAGGTAATTTCTCAACAAATAATTTTAATTTCTATTCTTAAAAAAATACTTTTTGATTTTCTTTTTTTAGGAGCCCCTTTAACCCAAGAACAATGGGACAAATACAAGGATCCAACCGGAAGAGTAATGAATCCCGATGCAGTTAAAGAAATCATCTTCAGAGGCGTGAGTTGAAATTTCTTTTTCTTAGAAATTAATTTGTCACACGTCCAGAAGAAATTTGGAAACAAAAATACGCATTTTTAATTATTTTAATTAAAAGAGAGAATATTTTTTTAGGGTATTTCGCCGTCCTTACGCTACGAAGTTTGGAAATTTCTACTTAATTACTATCCATGGAATTCGACGAGTATAGAGAGATTGGAATTAAAAAAAAAGAAGACTGACGAATATTTCATAATGAAACTCCAATGGCGATCTATGACTCAAACTCAGGAAAATCGTTTTGCCGATTATCGGGATCGCAAAAGTTTAATAGGTACAATTACATTTTTATATACTTGATAATTTTAGAAAAAAAAAATTATTTGTTACATTTTCATATTTACATACTTTATAACGTTTACTAAAAGTAAATTTTTAAATTCTTTTTTTTTACAGAAAAAGACGTAAATAGAACTGATCGAACTCACGTTTATTACTCTGGTGAAAATAATCCTCATTTAGCACAATTGTACGATATTCTAATGACCTACGTAATGTACAATTTCGATTTGGGATACGTTCAAGGAATGAGTGATTTGCTCAGTCCAATTTTGTGTCTTATGGACAATGAAGTTGATGCCTTTTGGTGTTTCGTTGGATTCATGAACAAAGTCGTAAGTAACTAGAAATAATGTATAAAATTAAAATCTAATCTACATAAAGTTTATTACCACAATATCAGATCTCGGATCGAATTTAAGGAGTGAAAAAAGTCGATTAAAAATAGAAAAAGAGTCGCATAAGTTTGTTTATTTAATTTTGTCACAAAAATTTTATTCTATATTTCTTTGAACTTTCACTGATTTCTAAATTCAATTACATTCAAAACTTGAATAATTTTGTTAAATAAATATTTAAATACTTCTTATTCGTTTTTTTGCAGATAATGAAATTTAGAAAATTTTAATTTAAAACCTTTTAAAATTTAATATTTTCTAAAAATTACAACTGATTTTTTCATACTTTTAATTAATAATTCTGCATAACTAATTTTTTCGAAAAATTTTTATTTCAATTCTGCTGAAATTATTGAATTTTTTATATACATTTACTATTATTTCCAAAATTTTAACACGATTCTACGAAAAAATTCAATTATCTTGATAAATATGAAAATTCTTTCCAGAAATTCAATTATTTTCAGGAATTTTAATAAAATTCTTTGTCAAATTCAATTATTTTCCGAAATAAAAATATTCATCACAATAATTCAATTATTTTCAACATTTTTTTTAAATTCTCGGCATAATTGCAATTATTTTCATAAATAGCAAAATTATTCATCCCAGAAATTCAATTATTGTCAGGAATTTTCATAGAATTCTTTGCAAAATTCAATTATTTTAATAAATTAATAACAATATTCATCACAATAATTCACTTACTTTTAAAAATTTATAAAATTCTTCGCAGTAATTCAATTATTTTCGAAAATTTTTAAAAAATACTTGGCAAAATTTCAATTATCTTTATAAATAATAAAATTCTTCCCCGAAATTCAATTATTTTCAAAAGTAATAAAATTCTTCGCAAAAATTCAATTATTTTCGGAAATTATAATAAAATTCATTTCAAGATTTCAAATTATCTTTATAAATAGTAATATTCTTCGCCAAAATTCAATTATTTTCAAGAGTTAATAAAAAATACTTCACATGATTTCAATTATTTTTATAGCTAGCAAAATTCTTCCCAGAAGTTCAATTTTATTATTTTCAGGAATTTTAATAAAATCCTTTACCAAGTTTAATTATTTGCATAAATAGCAAAATATTCATCACAATAATTCAATTATTTGCATAAATATTACAATTTTTTTACAGAAATTCAATTATTATGGTAAATAATAAAAATATTTTTAGGAATTTAATTATTTTTATAAATAATAAAATTTTTATAGGAATTCAATTATTTTCATAAATAATAAAGCTCATCACAGAATTTCAATTGTTTTTAATTGAAAAATGCAATTATTCTTAAAGATTTTATTAAAATTCGTGGAAAAAATTTAATTATTTAAATATTTGTTGATAAAATTCTTTATATGAATGCAATTTTAAGAAACATTCAATTATTCGATAAATTATATAATTTAATATTTAAGTAATTGAATTCTCGTAGAATTTTCTATTAAAAATTGATTTAAAAATTAATTTGTTTTAAAATTTTAGAAGGATAAATTTTTAGAAATAATTTAGTTTTGGAAAGGTTTCAAATTAATTTTTTATTAATTTACATAATTCAAAAAAACGACTTAATTAAAAAAATTAAAAATTAATTTTAATTAAACATTTTGAATATTTTCTCAAAAATTTAAAAAATAATTCTAAATAATCTTAATGATATTATTTTTGATATGTAATTTTCGGAAATATATAATAGAAAATATTGAAAAAATTAAATTTTAAAAAATCAGAATAAAAAAATTCTAATAATTATAGTGAAGGAGAATAATTACTTTTTTCAAAAATATTTTTATCATCTTTTAAAGCTAATTTTCATTAATTTTCACTTTTAATTTTACACTTCAAGATTTTTTATTGAAATTTTTGAGAATTTAATTATTTTCAAAAATTATCAATTATAATTCTTCAAAAGTTGATTGTTAGAAATTTTAATAAAATACTTGAAAGAAATCAATTATTTTTAATTAAATTAAATGTGGTTATTGCAAATATTTGGAAAAAAGTGGAAAAAGTTGTAAATTTTGAAAATAATTCAAAGAAAGTCGCATTTTTTTTTTAAATAGTCGAGATTTAAATTTAATCTGTTTATTTTTCTCCTTCAGTACACGAATTTCGAAATGGATCAAGCGGGCATGAAGTGTCAACTCAGTCAAATTCATAGTTTACTCTTGATGACGGAACCGCAATTAGCGAATTATTTAGATAAACACGACTCAGGAAACATGTTTTTCTGTTTTCGTTGGCTTTTGGTTTTATTTAAACGAGAATTCAACGCCATTGATATTATGAAACTTTGGGAAGTACTCTGGACCGATTTGCCCTGTAAGAATTTTCATCTTCTTCTTTGCGCCTCAATATTGGACACCGAGAAAACTGTTCTCATGGAAAATCAATATGGATTCACTGAAATTTTAAAGGTAAATTTTTGAATTTTAATTTATATTTAAAAATCACCGTCGACCTTTTTTTCAAATAAAAATTCAACAAAACAAAAAGAGAAAGATTACAAGATAACAATTTTTTTCAGCACATAAATGATTTATCGTTGCACATCGAATTGCCCTGGACAATATCGAAAGCCGAGGGAATTTATCATCAATTAATGTCAGTTGCGCCTCATCTTCCAAATAGTGTTCGTACAATAATTGGACTTGAACCACTAAATAGAAGTCCAGAACCTTGTGAATTTGATATCAGTAATGGAAGTAGTGCCTCGACAACAAATGGAGAAAATTCCCGCGAGCAAGAAGCCGAGGGAAATATTAAATTTGGAGATAACGAAGTAGCATTCGAACGAGGTTTAAGTATGTCCTACACATGAGTTGAAGAATTTTCTTTTTATTCTATTCCAAATACTTTTCCATCATACTCACGATAATTGCACCCTTTTTACAAAAAATGTTTTACTAACCAAAAAAAAGAATTCTCCAAGCTTTTTTTTCATATCTTTCGAAAACGATTAAAAAATTGTTTCCCAATCATTGTATATAATACTTTATTTACTTATTAAAAAGAAAGCAGAGATTTATTTTTAAAAGAAAGGAGTATAATTTTTATCCTTTTAAAAGTGTGATTTCTATAATATATCCTAGAAGAGAAATTATTATAGAGTTTAAAAAATTTAATCGAAATTAAGTCTTTTTTTCAAAAACTTAAAATTGTATATATTTGAGTGGTATGTAAATGTCTAATGTAAAGTTAAAATTTTCAACTTCTTTGGAAAAAACTCCTAAAAATGTCTTAATTCAATAATTGTATATTTATATAATAAAAAAGATCTTTCATTTCCATAGTATATGGAGGTTTTTTTTTAATTTAAGAAACTTTTATAATTACAATGCACAATAGAACTGTACAAAAATAAATTGATTTGTTTAATCGTTGCTTCTAGTCGAAGAGACCTGTAAAAGAAAAAAAAGAAAACGAATGAAAATATTTTATTTATTTAAATTTTTAGGGAAAAGATTTCTTTTTCTTTCGAAAATTACTTACCAAAGCCCATATCGTCGTCGGATTCCTCTTCGGGCTCTTCCTTCTTTTTCTCTTCTTTCTTGGACTCGGCAGCTGCGCCTCCAGCAGCGGCAGCGGGTGCAGCAGCAGCTTGAAAATAATTTTTTTTCAGTTAAGAATAAATTTAAATTTTTCCAATTTTTCCTCGTTTTTATTAATTTCTTGTTAGGGAATTTAATTACCTCCAGCAGCTGGTGCAGCTCCGACTCCAGAGCCAATATTCGTGATAAGTTCTTTGACATTAACGCCTTCCAAAGCCTTGGCGAAGAGTCCTGGCCAGTAAGGTTCAACGTCAACGTTTGCGGCTTTCAGGATCGTTTGAATTTTCTCTCCCTAGAAATAACGTTTTTTTTTTTTATTAAATAAAATACTAGCAAATGTTGTTCAATTTATTATTATTATTATGAAAATGACAACATTTTTTATTTTCAAATACAAATTAAATTTTTAAATAATTTCATAATCAGAATTTAAAAAATTAATTAGTATCTGTGCACATCACTTGTCGCATAAGAAATGGAGATCTTACACTTTACGCTCTGTACTTAATTGATTTTGCATCATTTCGACACCAAATCAGCAAGAAAATTGACTCATCTGGTTCTAATATAATGCTAAAATAACTAAAATACTTATTTACTAAATAAAAATTACAAATTACTATTTTTTTCTTTATAAAAAACAAGATTTTTTTACGTGTAACATAACCTCAAAATAGGTCGCACAAACATGCATGTAAATTTATGTTTATAATGAAAAAAATTAAAAAACCAATATTAAAAAAAAACTTTAAAATACAGACAATTAAACAATGAGTACAAAATTTATACCTATTTTGTAATTTAAATTTAAAAACCTATTGGAAATTGCATGCATAGGAAATGTCAGGTTATTGAAAACTTACAGTAACTGCAACATCGTCGTCGACGAGAAGCAGTGCTGAATAAACACAGGCGAGTTCGGCTTTGGAAGTCATGTTTAATTAAATAATTAAATAATTATTTATATAAAAGAGGAAATTCACTGAATAAAATGTTAAAAGTCTTAAGCGCACGTGTTTACGCGTTCTCCGACGAAACGAAAAGAAGCGGAAGTTCGATGTAACGGAAATGCGTGGAGCCAAAAACGGAAAAGTGTTCCTAAACAAATCCCCGCGTTTATTTAAAATTTCAAAGCTATCATTTGGTCACACATTTAATTATTGACAGAAAGCTCAATTAGAAATTACTCAGATGAAAAAGAAGAAGAAAGGGAAATCGTAAGAATAATTAAAATTGTTAAAAATATTAAAGATTTCTATAAAGTGATTGTCAAAAGAACTTTAATTATTCCGGTGGTAAAAATGGAAGTATTATTACCGACGCATGAGCAGTATTAAATGTTTTTGTGAACAAAAACAATTGTTTTTAAACAAATCCAATTAATTACCCTTGAATTGTAAATGATTGCACAAAACAGTTTGTGCAAAAGTAATGGAATCTATTTCTATTCCTAGAAAACGTTTTAGGAATCGTAGGAAACGTCGACAAGTGAGAAAAAACAAACAGTTTGATCGTGAAAAATTAAGATTTGAGGTTAGGTCGAGGGAACGTCAAAAATTTATTGCTGGTGCAAGTGTTTATTTACCAATTACAAACCCTGTGAATCCGGCAAATAGACATAATATTGAAAAATCGGAAAAATCAATGGAAGCTAAAGCATTTTGGGAAAATTATTCCACCGCTCAAGAGTGGCAACAAACGTAAGAGATTTTAATATATGTAATTCCTTTTTGTTTTCGCAACTTCTTTTACTCTTTCGTTTCTTTTACTTTAAAAATCGAACATAGAGAAAATAAAGTTTGGAATTATTTAATTTAATTAATTATAGGCACAATGTAGCTTGGTGGAAATCTCGTTGCATTGCATTAGAAGCTGAAAATGAAACTTTACGTGAAATGATTCAAAAAATAGTCAAATCAATGCAATGTCAATGTGGAAATGCACGACAAATAAATAATCTCTTTCTATCATCTATAAATCAACAACCAAAACATTCAGAGAAAATTCATCAACAACATTACGAAAATAAAAATATTCAAAAGCAAAAAAATCGAAAAAATTATCAAAACTATGAGGAAATATCAAATGAACACAATTTGGAAAATGAAATTCAATCGGATGATGAAAATTTCGAATTTCATGTTAATGAAGGTATGATGGATTTTTTAAAACAGAGTATCAAGCATAAAATGGAATTAAAACAGAGTCGTGAGGAAAAAGAGGCCCTCGAGCGCAATGAAGAAGATGCATTTCCAAAAATGCGGACAATTTCATTGAAGGAAAGAATTGAGAATGCAAAACTTTTATACGGTGAATCAAGTCCAAGAATACTCGGAATGGAAACTGCCCTTCAAGCAACAATTGACAGTCATAAAGATAGAACACGTCCAAATTATTGGCCGAATATTCCTTTAAAACTCTGATAATTTATTTATAATATATAGTTAAAAGAGGGTTAATATTTTCTAAAGTATTTTAAAGTATACGCAGAAATAAAATATCTTTTAATATTAAGCCAAAAGTGTTTATTGACATTTTTTACTGATTTTAGATTAGAAATTTTTTTTCATCATTTTAAACGCAATTATATCTAATTAATGATTAAATAAATTTCAAGTTTATTTCTAATTAATGATTAAATCAATTTAATTAACGATTAAATGAATTTCAAGTTTATTTCTAACTAGCAAAATGAAACAATTTTATATTTTCAAGAATAAACATCAATTTTTTAATGATTACAGATTTAAAATTTTAAATCTCAAGAATTTTAATAATTTTAATTTTAATAAAAATTTTGCAAAGAATGAAATTATTTACAATACAGTTTCAATTGTACATTTTCTCGAAAGAACTCAATTATTGAAAAAAAATGTTGATTCTTGAAATAGTTAGGAAACAAAAATGCAAACGATTATTAATATAGATTAACGATTAAATGGATTTCTAATTAATGGTTAAATGAATTTAAAATTAATGATTGAATATATTTTAAATTGTTTATCTATAATTTTCTAAAATTCTATAAATTAATGATTAAATTTCAAATTGTTTATTTCGTCATGTTGGTAGAAACGACAGGTAGAAATTTTTTCCATTGGGTTGGTATTATTCATCGCTGTCAATCTGTCATTAAAGATGTGTCAAAAATCTAGCAAAAAGGGCAAAAAGTAAAAATAACTGCATAATTTGAACTAATTATTATAAATTATTTAAAAAGCAGTTAAATTTAATAAAATTGCATCCATTCTAAATAAGAATGGCGTATTTATTTCAACCTGAGTATGTGAAATATGCTTGCAGTTGTGGATCATTGAAACCAATTTCTAAAATTTATTTTTGTCGTCACTGCTTGAAAATTCGATGTGGTTACTGTGTCTGTCAAGAGGTAAATAATTATTAATAATTGCAATTATCTATTTCTTCAAACAAATATTTTTGTTCCTTTAAAAAAATATAAACACATTTTTAAGGTTATGTTCAATTTATTTTCGTTCTTTTAGCCTTTTTTCACCTTTTAAAAGTTGAATTAAATAAGTTTAATTTAATTTTATAAATTAATTAATTAATTTTGATTATATTTTTTAATTTACAGGTGGATTCACATTATTGTCCCAGTTGTTTGGAACAATTGCCAACGTTAGAAGCTCGTATTAAAAAGAACAAGTAATTATTTTCACTTTGTCTATAATTCAGGTTTCGCACTCAATAATCACTTTTAAAAAGTAGTAAATAGTAGGTTTTAGTAGATGAGTGCGAAGCCTTGCTATAAGAGAACCAAAAAATAGAAGAAAAATTTCTTTATAATCCTTTTTCTTGTAGATGTTTCAATTGTTTCGATTGTCCATGCTGTCTGCAGACATTATCGGTTCGGGCTGGACACGCTTTAATAAAACAATCATCGGCAGCGGAGGATTCAAAGGCGCCTCCAAAGAAAGTTTATTATCTCTTTTGTTCACTGTGTCGTTGGAGTTCTAGAGATGCTGGCATTCCTGATCAATCGATCGGTGAGGAAATCTTATCAATTTTTTCAATTTATTAAATTGTTTTTTCACAAATTTACCAATAAGTTTTCGAGTATATTCCTTTTAATTTACAGCAACTGGCAGTTGGCCGGAGCAGGAAAATCCGAATACAAATAGAATTAACATATTGATTGATTATCATAAAGCTTTGGCGACCAAGGAGAAACAGCAACGCGATAGAAAGAAAAAACACACTTTTCTACAATTTGTGAGTGTTTCTCACTAAAAATTTCTCCGATTCTTGTTTTTCTAAAAGTTCTATTTAATTGTAGAAAATTCCTATAATTTTTGTAAGATGTAATTTTTATAATTTCTATAAGTTTCTATAATTATTTATTTACAGGAAAAATTCGGTCTAACTTCGGCAATGGCTCGCAAACGTGTTGGTCGACCTCCTCTACCCGAGCCGAAATATCAAGAGAGTAATCGACCAACTTCTGCCCTCGCGATTGAAAAAGTCGAGGAATTGCCTGCGAATATTTTTACCGAGCCAGTTGACATAACAAAAAGTAAAAGAATTATTTCTTAAATATAATTTTTATTTTTCTGCTTTATAATCTCAAAAACAAAAGAAAATAGAGTAATGAGTGTAATTTTCGTTACAGTCACGACATTAGAGCAACGCCTTCATCATCCTGAAGTACAGGCAGAGACAATAAATGAATTGCGTCCTCAGCATAAGCAGTTTTTGGTGAAACGCTCACAACGTTGTCGTGCTTGTGAGCATAATGTCAGTAAACCCGATTTCTCCTCTCACTCGACGAAATTTAAAATTCAACTCGCTGCCTTGTAAGTTTTTATAATTCGTGACGTGCTTTTTTTAGAATTTAAAATTCAAGTTATTACTAGGTTCAGAAAAAAATGGAATATTTTTTATGCAAATCAGGAAAATACAGAATCAAAATTTTTGATGTAATTTTTGTAAAAAAAAACGTGTTTTTTAGTCGTCAAATTTAATTTTTAGATAGCTATTTTTTTTACTACTTTTTTCACTCTTAAAGCTATTATTTGACACTTTTTTTAAAAATTAATTAATGAGTGTGAAGCGTGCCTTCATTACCTTAATATTATTTTTTAGTTATCACGTACCGGAAGTAAGAATTGTCACCTGCGAGCCATTGCGTACAGGAAAAACAAGCGAATTACTTCTAAAGTTTTGTAATCCAACACAACATCAGAGTCAAATTATTTTATTTTCCGTCGACACTGCCACTACACCGACAACAGTGACAATAACCGGCGAGAAAGTCGAAGTCAAACGTGAAACAATGCAACTCGTAAGAATTTTTTCTCTTTAAATTTGCAAATAGTTGATTTAAATATTTTGGAAATTTAAAGAAAAAAATATAGAATTTAAATTTGTGATTTAAAATAGGGTACCGAGTCGCCAAATTTACTTCCATCGGCAGTGAGGCAAATGATTGTGACGGAAGATCCAAAGCCAATAAAAATTACACCAAACGCTGAATTAACATTACCGCACAGTGCATTAATTCTCCCTCCTCGTGACGATGCCGCTGAATATGACGATACTGGAGATTCACACAATTTCCAAGATGATCCAAAGTAAGATTTTTTTCTCTCTACTAACTAATAAAAATGAAACTAAAAAAATTTTCAATTTCTTTGCAAAGAATGTTGATAATTTTCGCTATAATAAAATTGAATATTTTCCAAACAGACTAGTTGTTTGGCGAAAAGGAAACAAAGCAGTTGTGAGATTACTCGTGACGCCAAATCCCAGTGAAACGAATGAAGCCGGAAATCCCGTGATTATAGGATTTGTAATGCAATATGGATACGTGAATACAATTGCAACTTTAGAGCATAAAGCACCACAGAAACTTGATTTACGAGCAAAGCTATTTTTAACAGTTGGAAATCTTCACGGATCGACATAAAAATTTAGCTTAGAATGTTATTTAAACAATTTTTTTTTTTGAATTTAGGTACTAAACGCACGTTATTTTTAATTAATAATTTTATAACTAATAAAGTGAAATGTAATCATATTAGTGATCGCGTTTAATATACCGAAGGCTTTTTATCAAGTGTATCGTATAATAAATTTTTATTTAATATAAAAACTTTTAATTTCATTTCAATTATTAAGATTTTCAAAGAAATCAAATTCAAACTTTTTTGAAATTCAACAACTTAGAAGAATATTATAAAACATGAAGAAATTGAAGATAAAATAATTATTTTATATAAGAAGAATATTGTTCCTCTTGTTCAAAAATTATTTTCGCCATTTCAATTCAATAATAAAAATAAAGTATTTGTCTTAATTCAGATTCACATATTTATTGAAATGTAAGACAAATTGTAAAAATAAAGAAAAAAAATTTACAATCTGCGACCACGTCGTCCACCTTTCCTGCGTGTTGAATCTGAAGGAATCGGAGTGACATCCTCGATTCTACCGATTTTCATGTTTGATCGAGCCAATGCACGAAGAGCCGATTGCGCACCGGGTCCGGGTGTTTTTGTCTTATTTCCACCAGTTGCACGAAGTTTGATGTGAAGGGCTGTGATTCCAAGTGTCTTGCACTTTTCCGCAACATCCTAGGCAAAAAAAAAAAAAAAAAAACCAAACGAAATTAATTTTAAAAACGTACAAGAATACAATAAATAATATTTTCATTTAAAATTTAAATATTCATGTCTTTTCCCAAAATCAGAAAAAAATGGTCAAATCCAAATTTTCGAATGTGGGGGAAAAAAATTTACTTTTCCACACACATGAACGCCTGCAGGATAATTACACAGTAGCACCTGTATGCTGCCTGAGTGTGGAATAATTTTGAAATATATTTGCAAATTAAAAGCGAGAAAAAAGTCAAATTCAATAATAATTTCTTAAAATTACAATTATAATCCTTCCAATATTTAATTTATTTATTATTATTATATATTATTTATTTAATTAATTTTTTAAATATATTCTTTAATAATATTTGAAAGTTTATAGGTTGGTTTTTAATTTATACAATTGAAAAATTTCCAAATAATTGAATCTCTGTAAAAAATATATTATTTATGAAAATAATTGAATTATTGGTAATAAATTTAAAAAAATTTGGTAAATATTTGAATTTCTATGAAATTTTTACTATTTATGAAAATAATTAAATATTTTTGCAGAGACATTTATTAAAATTTTTTTTAAGTAACTGAATTCTTTTTGAAAATTTTTGAAAATAATTGAAAATTTGCTACAAATTTTATTGAAACTTTTGAATATAATTGAATTTCGGAGAAAAATTTTATTATAATTATAAACATAATTGAAATTTTTAAGAGAATTTAAAAAAATTTTAAACTTGAATTTCTGCGAAGAATTTTATTATTGAAAATAATTGAAATTTTGCAAAAAATCATGTAATTTTCGAAAATAATTGAAATAATTGAATTTTATTAAAATTTACGAAAGTAAATTTAAGGAATTTAGTTAAAATTGTAAATGAAACAATTTCAATTCTCATAAAGAATTTAATCCAAATTTTTCAATTCAAAATAATTGAATTTTTTGCGAAGAATTTTATCAATTTTTTAAAAATAATTGAATTCTTTTACGTAATTTTATTGTAATTGCATTGAAAATAATTAAATTCCTGCAAAAAATTTTGTTACTTATGAAAATAATTAAACTAAAGAATTTTTGTACAATTTAAAGGAAACTAATTTTTTCTGGAATTTTAATAAAAAATGGTGAACATGATTGTTTTTTCCAAAGTGTTAAAAATAATTCTAAAAAATGTTAATGTTATTATTTTTTGTACGTATTTGCATTTTCGGAAATATGTAATTGAAATTATTGAAAATAATTGAATTTTAAAAACATACAAGGAAAAAATTCTATAAGTATTACTTTTTTCACAAATATTTAAATATAATTTTTGAAGCTAATTTTCATATTTATAAATTTACTCTTGAATATTTTTCATTGAAATTTTTGAGGAATCAATTATTATTTTCAAAGTTTGCAATTAAAACTTCTCAAAAGTTGACTTTAAAAAATTTTAATAAAATACTTGATGAAAAATCAATTATTTTCAGTTACATTTTAGAAAATTTCAAATATTGAAATTTTTTTTAAAAAAAGTCGCATTTTTTTGAAATAGTCGGAAAAAAGTCGAAAAAGCTTAAATTTTGGTTATTTAAAAAATAAGTAAATTAACATTAATTATTTCAAATAATAATTAGATTCCAAAGAAATTATAAAAAATAATTATTATACATATAATTTCAGTGTGAAATTTATTGTAATTTGTATTTATAATACTTAGAAAATCTGTAAGAAAAATTCGATTGAAAATAAATTATAACAAATAAAGTGTTTTTTCGTTTAATTTACCTGAGCAGCTAACATAGCAGCGTAAGGACTCGCTTCATCCCTATCTGCTTTCACTTTCATTCCTCCAGTGATTCTGGCGATTGTTTCCCTGAAAATAGAATATCAAATAAATAACTCATATTTTATGGGAATATATTTTCGATATATTTTTGAAAATTCGCTTGAATTTTAATTTTTCATTTGTCTTCTTCCATTATTTGAAACTAAACACATTTTGCCGTAATTTCACAAGAGAAGAATTTTTCATTTTCCACAAACATGAACGCCTGCAGGATAGTTACTTAGTATCACCTGTTTGCTGCCTGAATGTGGATTAAATAATTAAATTAAATAAAAAAAGAAAACAAGAAACTAAATTTTACAAATAAAATTTCAAAGAATGAATGTAAAGAACGGGTTTTTTTCCATTGGAAAGTGAAACACAGTTTCAAAATCGTTTCCGCCAATTTGCTATAAGTTTTTTTTTCTCACCTTCCAGAAAGATCAGTCACATGAACGAATGTATCATTGAAGCTGGCATAAATGTGTGCAACTCCAAAAACAATTTCACCTTCTCTGACTTGAGGACCCAGAGAAACCTGCACTTCTTCCTTTTGTACTTTTCGTTTTGGCGCCATTGTTTACTGTAATTTTTTAATAACAAAAATAGATAATTTAATAACAATTTTACCAATTATTTGCCTTATCAATTGATTTATAAGCAATAAGAAGTAAAGCAAAAAAAAGTATCAGTATTTAATAAAAATTTCAGAAAATGGCATCGCACACGTCAATGGAAAACACAATGCGAATATCGTTGATTTTAGATCCGAACACATCACTGTCAATAATTATGAAAATGTCGATTTTTCAAGTAATTAACAAATTTCAATAAATCCACAATAGGAATATATTATTAGTTTTGAAAAATATTGATACCTTTCTATCAAAATATGAAAAAATAATAACAGATAAACTCTTTTAACCTTACTAATAGCAGACAGGAAACTAGAAAGAAAGGTTAGGAAGGACAGCCAACCTTAGCGGGGAAAAAATAAAGTACATTTCGGTTGGCAAGCCTGGAAGTAAGAAAATTTGAATTTATCAATTATTAATTTATTAATAATTATTTAATTTCTAATTATTTTTTCACTAAAAAAAATATTTTATAAATAAGGAATATTTTAATGTAAACTAATTTTATTAACTTAAAATGCTTAAAACTAATTATTATTTCATTAGGAATGTGAAGAATAAAAATGTACTTTATTCGGTCATAAAAATTTATTAACAGTAGTACAAAAATATAAGTAGAAAATACATAATATTTAAATTTGAATTGTAATAAAAATATATTCTTGCAGGCACAAATTGTTAAGATTTGGTTATTATGTTTGCGAAACTTGTCAACAAGTAAAATGAAAATAATACCATAGAACGAAACCATATAACAATTAAACAAGACAGACGAGAAAGTTTTTTTTTAATTTGAAAAAATTTATCACAATTTTTTAAATGTGGTTGAGCGATTTAATCGGAGTCTATAAATTCGTCATCATCTGCATCAGCCTGTGAAGAAATACACATTCTATAAAATTGATAAAAATTTTTAAACTAATTTTTTTTACTAATTAATTATAATTATTAATTTTTTTCAAAAACTTTCATTCAAAATTCGCAGAAATTCAATTTCAAAAGAATTCAATTATTTTTTTAAAAATTGATAAAATTTGTCGCAAAAATTCAATTACTTTGAAAAATATTGATTAAATTTTTTTGAGAATTGAAATATTTTCAATACAATTTTAATTAAATTCCCCGAAAAAAGTCAAATATTTTTGAAAATTTTAATAAAATTCTTAACAAGATTTCAATTATTTTGCATAAATTACAAAATTTTACGCAAGAATTCAATTATATTCAAAAATAACAAAGTTCTTGTCAATAATTAAATTATTTACGAAAAAAACAAAATTCTTAGCAATAATTCAATTACATATTATCAAAAATTTTAATAACATTATTGTGAAGAATTTAATTATCTTTATAATTATAATAAAATTCGTCTTAAGAAATTTAATTATTTTCAAAAATTTAAATAAAATTTATCGCAAAAATCCAATAATTTTCATAAATAACAAAAATCATTGCAGGAATTCAATTATTTTCAATGCAATGACAATAAAATCTTTCAAAAGAATTTAATTATTATTTTTTAAAATTTGTTAATAATCTTCGCAAAAATTCAATTGTTGTTGAAAAGTTCAATTAAATTCTTAGCAAGATCTCAATTTATTTTCATAATTTATAAAACTTTTTGCAGGAAGAATTTAATTAAATTTCGTAAAAATAATGTAATTTTTTAAAAATAATTTTAATTGAAATTTTTAAAATTAATTGAAATTTGCAAAGAATTTTATTAAAAGCTTTTGAGAACAATTGAATTCTTTAGAAAAATTTTATTTTAATTTATTAAAACTCTTGAAAATAATTGAATTTAAATAATATTTTTAAAAATAATTGTATCCTTTTGAGAAATTTAATTAAAATTGTATTGAAAATAATTGAATTCCTTTGTAGAATGTTATTATTTATGAAAATATTTTTATTCTTGCGAAAAATTTGCTTATTTCTAAAAATAATTGAATTCTTGAAAAGAATTTTACAATTAATAAAAATAATTGAATTGTTTCGAAGAATTTTTTTGATGGAATTTTATTAAAAATTTTGAAAATAGTAATTTTTTAAATAGAATTTCATCACAATTGTCCAAAATAATTGAATTTATGTATATTAAAATTCTTGAAAATAATCGAATTTAATTAATATTTTTAAAAATAATTGTATTCTTTCGAGAAATTTAATTAAAATTATATTGAAAATAATTGAATTGGTCTAAAAAAATATTATTATTTATGAGAATATTGAAATTCTTGAGACAAATTTTACTAAAATTTTTGAATAATAATAAACAAGAATATTTATGTAATATTATGTATTTAATAAGTGAATTCTTTAAATTTTGTATCTGTATCATTCAAAAATTGATGTTTATTTTTGAAAATATAAAATTTTCAAAAACGACAGAAAACAAATAAAATTGATGAAATTTGATGATTTAAAATATAGATTTGATTTTTAATAAATAAGTGAAATTGTTTTGTTTACTCTGCTAGGTTTTGACGAATGTCTAGAGGTAGTGATGTCTAGGAAGTTACGAAGAGAATTGGAACCGGATGTTGCTGATGTTGTTGTTGTTGTTGTACGTCCTCGAGGTTTTCTTGTTGTTGTAGTTGTGGTCGCTTTAGCTCGCGCTTTTCCTCGAGCTTTGCCTCTACCTTTAGCTGGTCGTGGTTCATCCTCCTCTTCTCCCACTTCCTCGTCATCAGAAATAACAATTGCTTTTGGCGATTTTCCCTTTGCACCTCTTCCACGACCTCTACCTCTGCCTTTTGCTGGAACATTTGCAACTTTTTCATCCATTTCTTCATCATTGTCACCAGTTCTACGAGAATTTCCACTCTCTTCTTTTTCTTTTCGACGTTTCGCCGCTTCTTCCCGTAATCGAAGAAACTAAATAAAACGTGTTTGTTTAGTTTACAATAACACAAAAATACACCAAAATTACAATTTTTCGAACTTACTTCTTCGTTTTCTTCATTATTCATTAAACGATTCCTTTGGAATTCTGCCAATTTATCAAAGATATTTTTATCATCATTAAAATCAATATCCGATTTACTTAAATGTTCGATTATTGATTGTTTTTGATCTCTGTAAATAAACAATTTTTTCCCTTAATTTCTTACTCAAAGTTAAAAATTAAATTTTCAAGAGAAATTTTTGTTTCTGAAATTAAATTATTAAATTTAATTATTTACATACTTAACGAGAGTTTCGAAAGCATTAGTATCGCATTGATCAGTGAAACGTGTCAAAGCATCATTAAGATCAGTAACTGTGAAAACTGATAATTTATCGATATTTTGATCTTCAGCGAAATATTTACAAATTCCGTCTTGAACTGTTTTGTTCCACTGCTTTTCATCCTACAATAAAATTAAAATACATTTATAAAAATTTTAAAAATAATAATTCACTGAAATTTAAATAAAAAAAAACATTGTACACGATGTACTTACGTAAATGTCATCAAATTCGAAGAATTTAATGGGTAAATTACCCATTTTATCGTTTACGCACCCCATCTTTCTTAAATCTTTGACAAAAAGGATAATATCCATAGGATTCGCCACATCTTCGCAGAATATTTGAGAAATTCTGTGCAAAAAGAAAAAAAATATTTTGGAAAAATATTGATTAAAAAATTAATTTAACTACTCGGAAAAAGTAAATTTTTATATTACGTACTTATTGTTTTCAAATCGTTGGCTATCATCGTTTATATGAACTCGAACTCTAATTAACGGTAATGTTGGTTGATCTGGATGACCTGGAATAAAATTTAAAATATCACGCCTTAAAGATATTTTAAAGAATAAATTCATAAAATAAACTACATTACACTTTTTTGAATTTTTTAACTGTCAATATTTTTAACTTCTGAAAGAATCTATCAAATTTTCTTCGGTGGAATTTATCAAATCCTCATTCGTGTAAGTTATTAAATTCTCATTCGTAGAATTTATGAAATTAAATAAAAAATATAAGTACCCGTTAAAAGATTTGCAGCTCGTGGCATCATTTCGTGTTCGACAAAATCGCGGACATATTTTAAAATTAAATCAGGCCATAATTCTTGGCTCTTATTAGCTAATTCTGGCATATCCTTGGAAACATACACATTGTCGAATACAAATGGTCTCACTGTTTTTAATTTAATCTTTTTCAGCTTAAAATCCGTTTTGTGCACCGACAATATACCAACATGTTTAGTAACTGCTTCACCTTCACTCAATGATGTGGCGACACTACTTCCTAAATAAAACCAAAAAAAAAATGTATATATAATTAATTTTTATTGAGAAAATTCTTGCAATTTTTTCGACGAATTTAATTAAAATTGTATTGGAAATAATTTATTTCTTATATAGAATTTTATTGAATAAATTGAATTCTTTTGAAAAACTTTATTAAAATTATATTGAAAATAATTGAATTGTTTTGAAGAATTTAATTATTGTTAGAAATAGAAAGAATTTAAAATTAAATTGAATCTTTTCAATAATTTTAAAGGCTGCCAGAAAAAAATTTCGTATTTTCTTATGATTTCCAGAAAGTAAATATTTTTCCACTACTTTTGATAAAATTTCCTAACTTTTCCCCGATTCCCCTGACCTGTGACAACTCTGTTATTGAATACTGAATTATTCCTCAATTAATAAAATATGGCAATTTTTTTGCTCACCTGGCTGTGAAATGAAGTATTTTGGATTCGCCTCAAATTCTTCGGGAGTAATTCGACATTCATGCTCATGGCCCCACATTACAAAATTAAGAAACTTTGGCAATTTCTCTTGTTTCACATATGTCAAGGCATTTACCAAGCCATGACACACTCGATTTTGATGTAGGACAAATATATTAAAACTCTCGGGAATTTCCGTTGCTCTTAACATTTTGAACTGTAAAAGCAAAAATTAAAAAAAGAATTTATTTACAATTTGTAAAATTCATTCACCTTGAGAAAGACAATAATAAAAATTTACATTTCCATCTCGCATGAGTCTTGCCAATCTCTTATCATTTATGTAACTCAATCCATAAAGTGAAATGTAAGTATTTCCCTTTTTCAAAATTAACGGCGGAATTTCCACTTTCTCTAAATTTGTCCATTTACCAAAATAATTTACCAATCCAGTTTCCGATAGTAAGTCTAATGAACCCGTTGCTCCTGAACCTGAAAAAAAATATTAAATATGTAATTGTATAATTGTTCTTTCCATTTATATTAACTGACGGGAAAAAATATAAAAATTACTCGGATCATCATGATTTCCATGAATTGAAAAGACCGGAATGCTAATGTTAAGATTCGGATCTTCAAAATTGACCATTTTGTTGCTGGAATCTTTGAAAATTAGTTCTGGATCAGTGAGCATTTGGATTTTTATGTCCCTAGAATAGAAAAAAAGAATGGAATAAGTATGTACTTTCTGTAATATATTTGGAAAAAATTATTTTAGAATACAGAAAAATATAAATTTACACACCGAGTTCCCATGCAGTATTTTTTAATCAGTGCAACACATTTTGCCATTATATCCTGCGGTGGTTTTGTTTCATGAAACAAATCTCCTCCAAGTAAAATAAAATCTACTTCATTTTCCACTGCGATTTGTAAAATTTCTTCGAACGTGATTAAACTATCATCTTGTTGATCTGTAATAGTGTAGAACAATTAAAATTTAATACAAATTTTATTAACTTTTTTAAATTTTAAACATTTTTACATTAAATATTTCTTAAAATCAATTATTTAAAAATGTGGACAAATCATATTTTTAAAAATTGTCACTCACGTGGATGTGTATTTCAATCATGCAGACTTCGCAATTGATAATGAATTTTAAAAAAGTAGAATAAAACAAAAATTAATCAAAAAAGTAGTTTCTTTTAATTTGAATAAAAACGGTTATTGTTGTTATTGTATACCGGCATTTTTTGTGGATATGAAAAATACAATATACACATTAGATTATAATTTCAAATGTCATTGGAAAAAATCAATTCTTGAAAAAAGCACATTAAATCGATTTGAAGAAAGAAATTATAATATAAATATTGATAATAATTAATCAAAATAAACGAACCTCTCCTTGTTGAACGCTCATAACCTAAATGACAATCAGTTGCCAGCAATATTTTAAAAGTGTCTTCTGGATCGAAATTTTCATCATTTCTCAAATCTTGATTATCTTCTTCATCGGACATTGTTGAAAAATTTAATTAAACAAACGTGTTACACTGATAATAATTACTTTTTCTTTGGTATTAAAATTCTTTTAAATGCCCTAATGATCACAACAGAAAGAAAACCGGAAATATATACCACTCATGTCATGCGCACCTTAAATCTACAAAATTTGAACTAATTAAAATTTTAACTTTTAATTATTTCCAATCATTTCTAAAACACTTCTCATTGTATTAAATGTAAAAAAGCGTAGTCTGAATCAAACAAATTAATCAAGTTATTATATTACCAAATAATCATTACGGTGTTTTAAAGCAATTAAAATTTGATTTTAAATTTCGTGCGTAAAAAGTTAGCAGAAAAAGGCCTAATTGTGAACACAACTTTAGATTGACGTAACCTGAAGGTGTTTTCATACATGTTTGTTGTTGTCTTCCTTCATGAACCGGTTATTCCCGCCAAAAAGGTCGCGTTCTTTCTATTTTAACAATCTAAATCATTTGAAGTTACCGTTACTAATCTAATTATTTGACTGTGTTATTGATAACGTCAATAACCAAAAATTGTCTGTACAAATTTTTTAATTTATTGTATATATTAATTTGTATAATTGTATTTTTTCCAAGCAGTAAATTGCGAGATACAATTAAGGTAAGAATTTCTAACCTCTAACATTTGATTCTGTTTCGTCTCATATTCTTTATGATTATTATGAATTACAATTACAATTATCACAATTATTATAAATAATTACTCAATAGAATCAATATTTAATAGAATAACAACTGTTAATTAAAAAATAACAACCATGGATCAACACGAATCTGATCAACAAATTAAAATCCTTGAGCGGGAGTATTTGGAATTCCTGGACGATGTGGTAAGTATTTTTCGTATTTTTCGTATTTAAAAAAATTATATTATATTTTTAATAATAAACATTGAATTTGTTTTCTAAATTTGAAATTACTTTCCATCCTTTATAGGAATACAGCGAAAAATATACGAATCTTGTGAAAAATATGATCGAGGAAAATAAACGTAGATTGTATGTGAATATCAATGATCTACGTAAAAGAAATCCAAAACGTGCCGCAAGGTATTTATATATCAAAGAAAAAAGTTTTTAACATTATTTTTCATTCTTATTAATTATTAACGAATATTTATTTTCATTCAGTTTACTGGAAAATTCATTTGAAGAACAAATGGCATTTGAAAATGCACTGAAACAATTTACATCTTCAATTGATCCAGATTTTGCAAAATCAAATAAAGACGTATTTGTCGGATTTGAAGGAAGTTTTGGTAGTAGACACGTCACTCCCAGAACTTTAACTTCGAGATTTTTGGGAAATCTCGTATGTTTAGAGGGAATTGTTACGAAATGTAAGATTTTTATATACTTGTAAAATTTTACTTGTAGAAAATTATTTTTCATATATATTTAATAATTAAAAATATTTTTCTCAGGTTCATTAGTAAGACCAAAAATTGTACGAAGTGTTCATTTTTGTGAGGCAACGAAAGCAATTACTGATAGAGCGTACAGCGATTTAACGTCATATGATGCTTATCCTGCATCAGCAGTTTATCCCACAACGGTAATGTAATTTTAATTAAATTTCTCGGAAGAATTTAATTTAAAAAAAAAAAATTTTTTATTACATTTCGAATAAATTCAATTATTTCCTCAAATTTTAATAAATTTCTTCGAAACAATTCAATTATTTTTCGCAAATAGTAAAATTCTTCACAAGAAACAATTATTTTTATAAATAGTAAAATTCTTTGCAGGAATTCAATTATTTTCAAAATAATTTTAATTGAATTCCTCGGAAGAATTCAAATAATATTTTTAAAAATATTTCCATAAAATTTAATTATTTTCTAAAATTTTAATAAATTCTTCGAAACAATTCAACTATTTTTTTAATTGTATCTTTTTTAATTGTAGGATGAAGACGGAAATGCTCTGGAAACACAGTATGGTTTATCGACATATAAAGATCATCAGACTCTGTCTATTCAAGAAATGCCCGAAAGAGCACCGGCTGGACAATTGCCACGTAGTGTTGACATTGTTTGTGATAATGATTTGGTTGACGTTTGTAAGCCAGGTGATCGAGTGCAAATTGTTGGAAATTACAGGTGTCTTCCTGGAAAACAAGGAGGATACACCACTGGCACTTTTAGGTAGGAGAAATATTTCTTTAAACAAAACTTTCTTTTTTAAAACAAAAATTTCTAAAGTTCCAAGACAAAAAAAAAATTTTTCTTTATTTTCAGGACAATTCTTATTGCCAACAGTATTAGTTTATTGAGTAAGGAACAAAATTTGACGATTTCCTCCGAAGATTTGACAAGGTGTAAGGAAATGTCGAAGAACAAGAAAATTAATATGTTTCAACTTTTGAGTAAATCAATGGCACCTTCGATTTATGGTCATGATTTTATAAAGAAGGCAATTTTGTGTTTAATGTTGGGAGGAACTGAAAAAAATTTACCAAATGGCACGAGACTTCGAGGGTAAGTAAACGTTGCAAAAATTTCAGATGTTTGGTGACTATTATACTTTTGCTTGTATAAAATAAAGAAATAAAAAAATGAATTTTTAACTAACTGCGTCAATATTCTAATTTCAGAGATATAAACGTTCTGTTAATTGGCGATCCATCAGTGGCAAAATCACAACTTCTTCGTTATGTACTGTGCACGGCTCCGAGAGCAATTCCAACAACCGGTAGAGGTTCGTCAGGTGTTGGTTTAACAGCTGCAGTGACATCGGATCAGGAAACAGGCGAGAGACGCTTGGAAGCGGGCGCTATGGTTTTAGCCGACAGGGGAGTAATTTGTATCGATGAATTTGACAAAATGTCTGATATCGATAGAACTGCTATTCACGAAGTCATGGAACAGGGAAAAGTGACAATTGCAAAAGCTGGAATTCACGCGAGTTTAAATGCCCGCTGCTCTGTATTGGCAGCCGCTAATCCTGTTTATGGAAGAGTGAGTTTTATTTCTTATCTTTCATTTTCCTAAACCAATTATTATTTACTAGAAAATTACGCGCGTGGAACTTGATATTCAATTTAATATTATTATGCAAAGAACAACATTTTTTATTTCCAAATAGGAATTTTTGAACAATTTTAGATTCACACTTGAAAAAAATTCAATTATTAACTAATTTACTAATTAATTATTCTTGTTTATTAATTTAATAGAATTTTTATTTGTTAATTTCGGAAAAAATTTGATAGTTATTTAACAGAATTCGAATTAATTAAAAAAAGTAAAAGAAGAAATTTGCAAAAATTTTTTTTTAATCACGATTTTTAAGGAAATTTTGATTATTTAGAAGTAAATGAAAAAATTGATAGAATTTCTATTAGTTAATCAAAATGTTTATTATATTATACAGACAGAAGTCTGATTTTATTTAGAAAAATTAAAAATACTATGATAATAATTATTTTGGTACAATTAACTAATTTTTTTAATTATTTTTTTTTAAATCTACTAATAAGAACGAATAAGAACATAAATTTGATGGTTTTATTATTAACGATTAATTGTATTCTTTCAACACTTGTCTTGATGAAATATAAATACAATTTCGTTTCATAACATATTTTTTTCATTTATTTATTTATTTTATTATTATTATTATTATTATTATTATTACTAATTATTGTTATGAATTAATTTGTTCACAGTACGATCAATATAAAACACCAATGGAAAATATTGGTTTACAAGATTCCCTTTTGTCACGTTTCGATTTACTCTTCGTCATGTTGGATATTGTGGACACTGATCAGGACAATGTCATCAGCGATCACGTTGTACGTATGCACAGATATAGAAATCCATCTCAACAGGACGGTGAAGCTTTACCATTCACAAGTAGTTTGGACGTATTGAGTACACAAAATCCCGATGCTCCTGAAATTGAGGAAAGAGAAACTTCCATCTATGAGAAATATGATCCCCTTCTTCATGGAAGTTTACGTTCAAGAAAGTAAGTTTTCTCTCTCATTTACTTGAGAATTTCATAGAAAATAAAATTCAAATATTTTCTTTTCGAAACATTGGAGAATCATATATTAAAGAATCTTTAACTAATCTTTAATCTTTAATTTTTATTTTTATTTACTTAAAATATTTTCTTTTTTAGGGACAAAATACTAACTATGACTTTCATGAGAAAATACATTCACATTGCGCGTTGTATAAAACCAAGATTAACCGAGGAGGCAAGTAAAGTTATTGCCGATGAATACGCAAAACTTAGATCTGAAGATTTAATGGAATCCGACGTGGCTAGAGTAAGTTTTTTTTTATATCCGTAAAATTAAAATCCCGTCTCTATCTTTTTTTTTCTAATGAAAAAAATATTTCTAGACTCAACCAATAACTGCACGTACACTCGAAACTTTGATTCGTTTATCGACTGCCCACGCGAGAGCTCGTCTTTCGAATACTGTGGAAGAACGGGATGCAAATGCGGCTATTCAATTGGTGCAATTTGCCTATTTCAAGCGTATTTTGGAGAAGGAGAAAAAGAAGCGCAGAAGGCAGGAGAATGAAGAAAGTTCGGGCGATGAAGGCGTTGATGATGATGATAACAATGAAGATAGTACAAGGAGACCGAAGAGAACTAGAAAAAATCCCGGTGAACCAGGTTATGATCCATATGATATTGATAATGATGTGGAATCTCAAGCTGAGGAGTCACAAAGAGTAACGCGTGCAGAAACAACAAAGGATCAAGTTTCCCCCACTGAAGCATCATCTGCTGAACCAACGACTATGGAAATTGATGAACCTGTTGAAATTAATGTCGAAAGGTTTGTTTCTCAAATTAAAAAATATTTTCTTATCAAAATTTATTTATATGTGACGCTCAAAAACCCAAACGAACGGTTATTTTTTTTAAATTTAATCTTAATTCAAAGGTTTTTGTTTAATATTTCAAAAATAAAATCAGTTTTAATGGAATATTTTGAACATAACAAAGAATTCAGGAATTAATAATATATAATACTTAATAAATATTAGTCCAATTACAAATTATTAATAATAATAATTACAAATATTAATTATTATTATAATAATTACAAATTTTATTTTATTATTATTATAATAATTACAAATTATTGATCCTCAATTCTCCTTCTGTATTTTTACTCAAAAATTTTGAAACATAAAGTAAAATAATTTTTTAGCGCGTTACTCCCTTTTTTAGAGCGTCATATATTTATTTGAATACAGTGTCTGTTAGAAAATTTGAAATTCAAAATATAATAACCACACTGTTTGAATATTTTTTCCTACTGCAGGCTTCGTACTCGATAATTAATTTTAAAAAAAAAGCAAAAAGTAGCTTTAAGACTGAAAAAAGAAGTCAAAAAGTAGCTATCGAAAAATTGAATCGTTAAGACTCAATTTTTAAATAATTCTTAAAATTAGTTAAATTATATTCCAAAATAGAATAATTTTTGTTAAACAAATATTTAAATACCCATTTATTATCTAAAATTGAACTGAAATTGAATTTTAAATCAATTTTTATTAGATAGTTCTACGAGAATTCAATTATTTAAATACAAATATAAATAATTTATTGAATAATTGAATATTTCTTTAAATTGAATTCTTATAAAGAGCTGTAACAACATTTTTTTAAATAATTGAATTGTTACGAAGAATTTTATTATAATTTATGAAAATAATTCAATTCTTTCAAAGAATTTAATTAAAAATGTAAGTAATATATTGAAAATAATTATTAAATTCTAATAAACGAATTATAGGTATCAAAATTTTTATAGGGGAGAGGGCCCCAAGGTGGTCAGGGCCCTAAGGTGGTCACCCTAAGAAAATTTTTGTATATTAGTTAGTATCTTCAAATGTTTTTTGTTATTGTTATTATTTGAGAAGACAAAGATTTTAGTAAAGTTTTGAGGTAAATAGTCGTATGAGTCTCTTTGTAACGTGAACGTCGTAAAATTTCTGTTTTTAAATGATCGAGAAATTTTTTTCTCAGGGTGTTAAAATCATCGAAATTAACCATTTTAAATTAGTAAAAATCGTTATAATTATCTTTATATATCGTACAATAATATTCCAAATGAATATAATTAATATTGTGCTTTAAAAAATTTTTTCATTAACGTTTAAAAAATTCTTTCTTGGCCCTAAGGTGGACACTTTTTTGGCCACAAGGTGGTCACTTTTGATTTTTTATGAAAATATGTTTATACGCCATATTTATCAACATTTATCACTGTGAATGTGAATTTTATCAATTTTTAAGTTTTATGATGAATAATAATAAAATAGAATTATTTTCAAAATTTTACCTATCTAATACATACACAAAAAGTATCATTTTTGACGAAAGGACAAAGTGCAAAAAAAATATGTAATATGTTTCTGTGATCCTGAAAAACAATTAATATTAAATAAACAACTTAGTAATACGTTTTTTACATTTTTTTAAAACTTTTTTAGTGAATTTTTGTATGGTGACCACCTTGGGGCCACTTTTTTAAAAGTCGAATTTTCAACTTTTTTTAAAAAGTGCCATAACTTTTTTTTTATTAATGAAATAAAAAAAACTTTATGATAGGAAGTTAGGTAATAAGATAAAGTTTCAAACGCCGTATTATTGACCTTTATATATAATTCCATTTGAAATCTACAGTCGTTCAAAAGATGGGTGACCACCTTAGGGCCCTCTCCCCTAAATAATTGAATTTGCCTTTTCTCGAGAAATTCTTTTAAAATTGTATTAAAAATAATTGAAATCCTGCAAATGAGTTTTATTATTTAAGAAAATAATTGAATTCTTGCAACGAATTTTATTAAAATTTTTGAAAATTAATTCAATTCCTGAGAAGAACTTAATTATCTTGATAAATATTAAAATTCTTCCCAGAAATAAAAATTGTTTACAGGAAATTCAATTATTTAAAGAAGAATTGGCATAAATTTTTTTAAAAAAATCAATTATTCAAAATTTTTTTATAAAATTCTTCGCAATAATTCCATTATTTTCATAAATATTAAATTTTTTATAAAGATTCAATTAATTTCAAAACCAATAAATATCTTTTTAAGAATTGAAAAATTATTTTCATAAATAATAAAACTCATCGCAGAATTTCAATTATCTTTAATTCAATTATAATTAAAATCCTCGAAAAATGCAATTATTCTTAAAATTTTTTAAAACAATTCAATTATTCAATAAATTATTCATTTTTGAATTTAAATAAATAAATTCTCGTAGAATTTTCCAATAGAAAGTGATTTAAAAATTTATTTCAGTTAAAATTTTAGATAATAACTGAATATTAAAAGCATTATAGCTTTAATTTTTAGAAATAATTGAATTTTGAAAAGGTTTCAAATTAAAATGTTTAAAAATTTGAATTTTTCATATATTTAACTAACAATTCTTGGGAATTCATTTTTTTTGAAGAAGTTTAATTGAAATTTTTTTGGAATTATTTGATGTTTTAATTTTCTAATATAGGTACATTTAATTAAGAATTGCCGAATAACCGAAATTTCATAAAATTCAATTGTTAAATTGTCTCTAAGAATTTTAGAAAAATTTTCGATAATAATTTCTTTATTTCAACTATTAGTGTATTTAAAGTAGTGCAAATTCTCAAACATAGAAAAATATTGCTTTTAGTGTCACAAATATGAAAAAATTATCCAAACAGTTCCAAATAAAAAACGTAGATGAGTACGAAGCCTGCTTCTCTTAAATTTTGTTTTAACAAAAAAAATTTTTTTTCTAGACTCCAAGTATTTAAAACTTTATTGAATCGACTGTTTACCGAACAACATGCACAAGCATTGCCAGTTGACACAATTCGTGAATTTGTGAATTCCAAACAAAGTATCGAATTCACTCAAGGTGAGTTTAAAGCAGCTATTGATAAAATGACAAACGAAAATCAAATAATGGAAGCTGATGGTCAAGTTTTTCTTATTTAATTTTTGTAATTTTTAATTTTTTCCCCCTGTCTTGTTTTTAAAAAATGTATTTTTCACTAAACGATCTCATTCAAAAATTTCTAATTCTTTGATTCGAATAGAAAAATGAAAGAAGTGAAAATCAATTTTTATGTTTACGTAAAAGATAAATGTACCTATTAAAAAGTTTTAGATAATCCAAAGTGACGTATAATTTTATATAATTACTTGTTTAAAAACTATTTTTTCCACAAGTGCCTTTTTATATCTTATAACTTTTTAGAAAATGCTCCGATTAATTTTAATGTAGGTACATATTTAATTTTTAAGTTACGTTTAAGAAAAAAAGAATTGTCAGTTTTGAAGAAATAAACTTTTTCACTTTTTTTAGAAAAAAATCTTTAAATTTTTAAAATGCTGCCATTTTATTAGTGACGCAATTTTTTGCTTTTTCGGTAATTTTCGGCGAGCCGCAATTTTCTATTTTTTTGCAAAGTCAGGATTTTTGAATAATTAACCTCCTTCTTTTTCTTTGAGTCTAATAACATTTATTAGCTCTATTTAATGATTCATCTTAAATGCAACACATAAACTAGGCAACAATCATAACATTTATCACGACAACCGTACTATTTACGTTTTCTTTTTTTTTTCGTTATCGTGTAAATAAATATATTTTTATATATATGTATATAAAATTAACTCATAGTTGTACAATATATAAATACTCGCGCTATAATATATCTCCATCAACTAACATTTAGGCAATCGTCAAAATACTTGTCTTAAATTTACAGCAAACGCTTTACAAATTTTCCTTTTCTTCTTCCTTTTCATTTTTTTTTTTAATTTTAACAATAATTGTCTTTCACTTTTTTTTACAATAAATATATAATATAGTCGATCCATGTTTCACGAAACTATGAAAATAAAATCACGGACGGCGAATTTCGTGAAAAATAGATCATTCGAAAATTGTTGCGAGACAACAAAGTTCACTTTTTTGTTCTTTTAATAACTTCGGTATTTTTAAAGTAGGTAAATATCTAAGGCGACGTTATTAACCATTTCTCTTGTACACTCCAGGTTTTCGATTATTATCTCCTTTTCATTAATTCATTCTATTCTTTGTCATACTTTTTGACGTCTTTTCACAAATTTCTTTCGTTAAATTATAAAAAAAAAATTTTCTTTTAGATTAATTTTTATGATTATTTTCTTTCTCGCAGAAATAGATAAATGTCGCTGTCTAAATTTTTATTTTTTCGTTTCTTTTGTGAAATGTATTTTTAATTTTATTCTTGTACTAACTATTTTCTCCTTTTAATACTTTTCCGTTTCTTTTTTTTTTAAACATTAACAATATTTCTATCTAGTTTTTTTTTGTAAAAAAATTCCACACACCTACGTCTACTATTCTATATATTACAATGTTAACATTAACTTCGCTAAATTTTCATTCTTTCGATGCACACTTGATTTTTAAAATAATTCTAAAAAGTAAAAACTTAACAGTCGCCTATTCCCTGATTTTTTTCTTTTTTTTAAAAAAAAGTTTCTTGATTTAAAAAATTTGCTTCCTTTTTTTCCCCGTAAATTTAAATAGTTTCGTTTTAATAAATTCGTTCTTTTCTTTTATAAATTCTCTCGGGAGATGTAAATTTTATTTTAATAGGCCAATATTTGTCAAGGCCAGGAAAATATATTTTCAGGGCGTGAAGAAAATTTACAGTGTACTTTTTTTAAAAAACATTACCCGACACTGAAATTTTAAATCCACTTTTCAATATAGAAATTTTTTTAGTTCTTTTTCTTTTTTTAAATACTGATGATTAAAAATCCTAAGTGACTTTTAAAAAAAAAATATTTACAAACCTTATAAATTTGACTATAAATCATCGTCCTCGTCACTGGTATCAGTAGTATATGCAATTTGTTCACGCCACCAATCGCGAACTTCTGTGACGATATTTGATACTTTTGGTGGAGAAGATTTTGCACTAAATATTTCCTTCGTCTGTCGACTTTGTTCACTTCCCTCTGTGAGATGTGGTAAATTATTTTTTACTACAGCTGAAAATTAGTATTTTTCAAGTTAGGACATTTTTTCTATTTTCGAAATTATTATTATTTAAATTTTATAAAATTTCAATTTTTAATTATACTAAAGGAGAATGAAACGAAAACATTCGGACAAATAGTTTTTAAAAATTAGTAAAAGATTGATTATTAATTTTTAATGAATTTAAGAAGAAATTTTAAACAACTTAGATTTTTGAGAAATTTTAATAATTTAAATTCTTCTGAAATAAGTTAAATTTTTTAATATATATTTAATTAATTATTAAAAATATATAGAAGAATTTTAGTTAAAATCTCTAGAAAAAAATAATTGAATTTTAAAAAGGTTTCAAATTCAAATCCTTTGGAAAATTCAAATTTTTCATACTTTTATTCAACAATTTTGTAGAACTAATTTTTTTATTGAACAATTTTAATTTCAATTCTGTTGAAATAAGTCGAATTTTTTAATATATATTTAATATTATTTCAAAAATTTTAACATAATTCTTCGGAAGAATTCAATTATCTTGATAAATATCAAAACTCTTCCCAGAAATTCAATTATTTTTAGGAATTTTAATAAAATTCTTTGCGAAATTTCATTTTCTTCATAAATAACAATATTCATCACAAGAATTTAATTATCTTTATAATTAGCAAAATTCTTCGAAGAAATTCAATTGTTTTCAAAATTTTTAATAAAATTCTCCGCAACAATTCAATTATTTTTATAAATAATTAAAAAAATTTTTCAAGAATTCAATTGTTTTTATAAATAATAAAATTCTTCTACAAAATTTAATTATTTTCCAAAATTTTAATAAAATTCTTGTTAAAATTTTAAATATTTTCAAAAATTTTCCTCTCAATTCAAATGATTTTCAATATCTACAATTTTATTAAATTTTTCCAAGAAAATTCAATTATTTAAAAAAAAGTTTTGATGAAATTCTACCAAAAAATTTAATTCTTTTCATAAATAATAAAAATTTCAATAGAATCCAATTACTTATAAATTTTTTCGCAATACATAATTCCATTATTTTCATAAATAATAAAATTCTTCTCAAGAATTCAATTATTTTCATAAATAATAAAACTCAACGCAGAATTCTCATTATTTATAATACAATTTAAATCAAATTCCATGAACAATGTAATTATTCTTAAAAATTTTATTAAAATTCGTCAAAAAAATTCAATTATTCAAAAGTTTTTAGAAATAATTGAATTTTGAAAGGGTTTCAAATTAAAATCTTGGAAAATCTGAATTCTCCATATTTTTAATTAACAATTCTGTCAGATTAATTTCATTGAAAAATTCTAATTACAATTCTGTTTGAGAAATTGTATTGAAAATATAATTGAATTCTTGCAAAGAATTTTGTTATTTTTTGAAAATAATTGAATTCTTTGTAAGAATTTTATCAAAATTCTTTGTAAGAATTTTATCAAAATTCTTTCAATTATTAAGTTTTTTAGAAAATTTTTATTATTTTATAAAAATAATTGAAATTTTTGCGAACAATTTTATTAAAATTATTAAAAAAAAATTCAATTTCTTTGAGAAATTTTATTGAAATTATATTGAAAATAATTGAATTCCTGCAAAGAATTTTGTTATTTTTGAAAATAATTGAATTCTTTGTAAGAATTTTATCAAAATTCTTTAAATTATTAAATTTTTTAGTAAAATTTTATTATTTTATAAAAAGAATTGAAATTCTTGCGAAGAATTTTATCAAAATTATTAAATTTTTTAGAAGAATTTTATTATTTATAAAAATAATTGAATTATTGCAAACAATTGTATTAAAATTTTTAAAAAACAATTGAATTCCTGCAAGAAATTTTGTTCTTTACGAAAATAATTGATTTTTTTGCGTAGAATTTTATAAATTATTTTTCATTTAAAGATTTTAATTACAATTCTGTTGAAATAACGGCAAGTTTTTATATTCAAATATTTAAGTGTGAAGAGTTTCCGAGAATTTTGAAATTTCGTAAAGAACTTTGTCAAAAATTATTAAAGTAAAGAAGAATTTTAGTTAAAAATTCTAGAAAATAATATTTGAATTGCATTGATGAAAATAATTTCGAAGAAGTTACTGTAACAATTTTCTTATAATATAAAATAATGATCTTTCATTATTATCTTAGTTGTTGAATTTCAAAAACCTTTGAATTTGAATGTTTTGAAGAATTTTAATTTCTACGGAAAAAATAATAATGATTAAATATTTATTTAAAAAAGAAGTTATTGATGTTTTCGAATAATTTTACAATTTCAAAAATTCGCAAATAAACGTATTAGAGAATTTTTTTTAAGTATCTAATAATTTTTCTAGTGGCTCAGAATATTCTTTAAGTTGAGAGAAAATGTCAAAATTTTGTCTAGAAATCAGGGAAAAAGAAAATTAAATTTTTGTCCCAACATTGATTATCATTGTCTATGAAATTCTAGTTCTTGACAATATTAAAAGAGAGAAAAACTTACGAGGAGGTCTGTTGTTTCTCTTCTTGTACACTGCCATCTTCTCTTTCTCAGTTCTCACTGAAGCTGGATCCGATAATGTAGGAGCTAAATATTTTCTCCCGGAACTACTTTCAATACTGTCGGATCTTGGGAGTACCACCGGTTTCTTCATTCGATGCCTTAGACCTTCGTTTTCCTGGCGAAAAAAATTTATTCTTTTAGTATTTTTCAATTTTTCCGCTTACAATAGAGGTTGGGAATCATTACTTTTTGCTCTGGTTCTTCCTCTCGATGATCTTCCTTTGTTTCTTTCACTTTTTCCTCGACGTGGTCCTGTTGTTGCGCTGCAGCATCATTTGTTGCTCTTAATCCATCGATAAGACTGTTCTGCTGTTTCTGTTTAAAAAAAATTTTTTTTATTAGTTTCTTTATTATTTATTTGTTTAGTCTTTATTATTATTTCTTTGTTTAATCTTTATTATTATTTCAATTTATTAGCTTTTTTCTTTTTCTTACCCCGACGGCTCGAATTTTTTTCAAACATCCCTCAAGCCACGTTCTTATGGTTTGCTTTGCCACTTCTTCCTCAATTATGTATTCGAATTCTTCTCGTGCCAGCAATTCCTCAAGTTGCAGAGCTTTTCTTATATCCACTGAACGATAGGATAGCATACTGTGTAGAAAAATTTGTTCAAATCAAAATTATTTTCTAATTATAATAAAAGTGTATCAAAAGAAAAGAAAAATATCTCAAAAATATAAAACTTACTTGATAACATCATGAAATGTAACATCTTCACCATTGTGAAGTCGTTCAAGTTCATAACACATGTACTTGAAAAGCAATCTATCCTTTTGTGGATCTGTTTCCAATCTGCCTTTTAATAAACGAAGAATAAATTTTACCTGAAAAGAAAGCAAAAATCAGTTTTGAAGAGACGCTCCTCAGTTTCAAATTTTTTTGTCAATAAATTTTTGGAAATCATAATTCCTATGAAAAAATAATGATTAAATATTTATTTTTAATAAAACTATTTTACCCTTCTAACGGGAATAACTCCACGTTGATGAATGTCAACCACATTCCATGTATTTTGAAAATTTCTTATGTCCGCGTACGACAATAAAGCATCTTCTTCATTCGAATAAAACAGCGAAAAGTTCTCCATGATAATAGCTGGAAAATAGTTTAATTGTTTTCTGTTTGTCTTTATTATATTGTTGTTTTCAATTTAAAAAAAAATTGTTTACTCACCCACCAATAAGTTTAAAACAATATAGGTAATAATGACGTAAAATGTACAAAAATAAATTAATGAGGCATGAAAGTTTCCACAATCTGTTTCCCAATAATTTGGAGCCGGAGTACAATACGGTGGTTGAACCATGCAATCGTGCATAATTTTATTCCAATCCTCGCCGGTAACTATTCGAAATAACATCGCAACTCCAGTGACTGGCGATTCGAAATTTGCTCGACTAAAGAAAAAAACAATTATTTAATTTAATTTAATTAATAGAAATATTTGCGAAAAAAAATTTTTTTTTGTATAAAGAAACAGAAATCTCTATCAAATAAAATAGGAGAGAAATCAATCAGATTATACTTGCCGTCCTATTCCTTCGCCGTACTTGACGGTGCCAAATAAAATTGTCCCCGCCAAAGCGTAAAAAAATACCAACAGGAACATTCCGAATATAATGAAGAAACTTTTGCAAACGGAAACGCCAACTGTTAACATTAACATTTTTAAAGTTGTATGCTTGCCAGTGATGGTGAAAAATCTCAAAATCACGACCATAAAGCCAATCACGTAGGAGAGATCATTCTGAAAGTAAAATTAATTATTAATTTCTCTTTTCAAATTTGTTTTAAAACTTAATTTTTCTTCTTCATCTTAATGTTTATAATTTGATAGATTTATTGATGAAATAATTTGATAGATTATTGATGAATAATTTGATAATTTGTTGATAATTTACTTGATAACTTACTTTCATTGTACCATGAATAACAATCCAAATAACGCCCACAACTGTCACCAATAAATCATATCTATTTCTTCTCGATTGCCAATAACCCCGTGGAGTAAAGGCAATATTCTTCATTACAACTTCGACGAGAAAGACGAGGGTCAAAACTGTCGAAACAGTCGCCAGGGCTCCAGTGTGCTTTTCCTCGATTCTCCACTAAAAATTGATTACATTGCAATAAAAAATCTTGAACAGAGCTTAGAATTTAAAAGAATATATATTTTTTTTTAAGAATTTTAATTTTAATTCTGTTGAAATAATAGTTTCAATTTCAAAAATTTTAACGCAATTCTTTTAAAGAATTCAACTATTTTAATAAATAATTCAAAATTCTTTGCCGAAATTCAGTTATTTTAAAAAGAAATTCTCATCAACATTTTAATTATCTTTAAACATAGAAAAATTCTTTGCGAAAATTCAATTATTTTTAAGAATTTTAATAAAATTCATTGCAGAATTCAATTATTTTCATAAGAAACAATATTCACCACAAGAATTCAATTATTTTCAAAATTAATAAAATTCTTTGCAAAAAATCAATTATTTTCATATATAACAAATTTCTTTGCAGGAATTCAATTACTTTCAAAAATTGTAATAAAATTCTTGGCAGCAATTCAATTATTTTTAAAAAATAATAAAATTCATCTTAAAAATTTAATAATTTAAAGAATTTTGATAAAATTCTTGTCAAGAATTCAATTATTCTTCATGCAATTTCAATAAAATTTTTAAGAATAATTGCATTTTTTAAGGAATTTAATTGAAAATTTTATTCAAAACATTTATAACTTCAATATTTAATTACTGTATATAAAAAAATTTGAAATTATGCTATGAGTTTCATTATTTATGAAAATAATTGAATTTTCTAAAAAGCATGTTATTATTTATAAAAATAATTGAATCCCAGTAAAAATTCTCGACAATATTTCAATTATCTTTAAACATAGCACAATTCTTTGCGAAAATTTAATTATTTTCAAGAATTTTAATAAAATTCATTTCAATATTCTATTATTCTCATAAATGACAATATTCATCACATAAATTCAATTATTTTCAGAATTAATAAAATTCTTTGCAGAAATTCAATTATTTAAAATTTTTTTTTTAAATTTTCGTCAAGATTTCAATTATCTATATAAATAGCAAAATTCTTCGCTGAAATTTTGCAAAAATTTTAATAAATGTCTTGATAAAATTTCAATTATTTTCAAAAATTCCCAAAATTTTTCAAAAATATTAATATAAAATTCTATGCAAAAATTTAATTATTTTCGGAAATAGTAAAAATTTTACAGAAATTCAATTATCTTCATGAATAATAAAGTTTTCAAAAAAGTTTAATTATTTTCATAAATAATAAATTTTTCTCAGGAATTCTCAATTATTTAATACAATTTTAATCAAATTTCTTGAAAAATGTAATTATTCTTAAAAATGTTATTAAAGTTCGTCAAAAAATGCAATTATTTTAAAAATTTGTTGATAAAATTCTTTAAGGAAATTCAGTTTTAAGATACATTCAATTATTCAATAAATTATTTATTTTTGTTTTTAAATAATTGAATTCTCGTAGAATTTTATAATAAAAATTGATTTAAAAATTAATTTCAGTTAAAATTCTAGATTATAATTGAATATTAGATGCATTATGGCGTGAATTTTTAGAAATACTTTAATGTTTAAAAGGTTTCAACTTAACATTTTTGAAAATTCGAATGTTTCATACTTTCAACTAAAAATTCTGTTGAATAATTTTTTTTGGAAAAGTTTCATTGAATTTTTTTAGTTTTTGAAGTTTTTATTTTTCAATATTAAAATTGAAGAATTTACGAATAATCGAAATTTTGTTAGATTGAATAGTAAACAAGTGGATTTAAAAATTTTCAATTAATATAAATTAATATAAATAAATAAAAATATTACCGAAACGCACAGAAGTGAACTGTTGATCAAAACCATTACGGCGATAAATCGTTTAAAGTAAATATTCTGAGTGATATCGTAAATGAAGGCCCTGAATTTTTTGCCATCTGGTCTCGGTGGCAAATGCAATGGCTGAGCAATTTTCAATCTCTTCTTCAAGTCACACCATCGCCGTTGATCCACAGTCAACAAAGCAGTTCCTTTGTTTTCTGAATAATTTGCAATCACCACACCCACGAAGAGTGTCAAGCCAATCATACAACCAAGAAAAATGTAAATGTGAATGTAAATAGCGTGGACCTAGCAAAATAAAAACAATAATTAGCAAAAAATTCACTTAGTGAAAAATTTAGTAAAAGATTTGAAAAAATTTTAAAAATTAAAAATTACATGACATTAAAAATTAAAAGTATTGCAATACTCACAGGACCAAGAGCTTTAATCAATACATCGCGAACATCCAGCCAACCTTTAAATGACAAGACTTCAAATAAAGCCAGCATCGCATCGCCAATATTGTCAAAATTAAATCGTCTCGGATTCGCCCTGCAAAATAATTCAAAGACAATTTATTAGAAATTTAAATTTAATAATTTAATAATAATAATAACAAATTTAATAAATTCAAATTTAAAAATCCGATTGAGTAAAAAAAATTAATTTACCAAACACGAGGAACGAGAATTGATGGATAACTTTCATTTTGTCCCGGTTGAAGTTTCATTTTCGTGACGAAAACTCGCCTCATAAAAACTCCAACGCATTCTTCTCGTTTTAAAATCGTCGGATCATTACATCGGGCCAATCGACCGCCATAAAGTTGAACTCCATAGCTCGCAAATATGAACATGAGCAAAAAAAGTAATGTCGATACCAAAAGAATTTCCTTAAATCCACGGCATAATTCGTAAACCACTTTTTTCATATGCGGCACTAAAGTGAAAATTCTCAACGGTCTCACGCAACGTAAAATCATTAGAAATTGAGCTCCTGAATTTGGCGCCACACTGTTTGGCATCCAACAAAGAAACACCAAACTCACCTACAACAAAAAAGGAATTCTTACAAAAATGATTTTTTTTTTCTTCTCAAAAATCAATTATTTTCATAAATAACAAAATTATTTGCAAGAATTCAATTACTTTAAAAAAATTTTAATAAAATTGTTTGCAACAATTAAATTATTTTTAATTGTAGATTTTCTATCAATTTTCTATTCACCCACAAAACAAAAAAGTACCTACTTTTTTGTTTTGTAGGTGAATAGAAAATTGATAGAAAATCTACAATTAAAAATAATCCGATCTAATAAAATTAGAAGACAAATAAAGAGAGTTTACCACGTAGATAAATACATCCAATCCAGAGGCAACGTCCTTAATGTAAGCCTTGGGTGTAAAAAATAATCCATCGGCCAGAATTTTTAAGGCCAACTCGAGACTCATGAAAATGACAAAACCATATTCGGCAACTTGCAATGCGGGAACTTCCATGACTCGATATTTAGGAGTTTCAAACATCATCGATATGCAGGACATGGTCGTTGAGCAAATCATTACCCAATCCAAATATGTGACGAGTCCGAGAAAATTGCTAAAGTTAAGTTTATTAATATTTTTATCAAGGAAGTTAAAAAATGTTGCAACATTTCTCTAAATCTGAACTATAGTAGAAAACTACTAATTAATAGTAAAATAGTGAACGTTTTAAAGCTCAAACAAATTAGAAAATAAAGTTTAGTTTAATTTTAGAGAGCAACTTAAAAGAAACTGCGGTTGAAATGTGAATTTATCTAAATTTTAGTTTATGTCGATCCAATTTCTTTAGGACAAAAGAAAAATTAAAATTAGATCGAAAAATTAAAAACTTACTGTAAACTTTTGTACTGGACTTTTCTCTCCTTGCCAGTAAGAGGATCTTTCAATCTTGCATCATATCTGGCGTATACTAGTAATTGACAAATTTTTCTAAATTTACTTTCACGTGGCACTGCAAAGAGTGGAGTATCAAAAAGGGGATGATTCTCCCGAAGATCATCTTCCCTCTGATTTCTGTAATTAAACAATTATAATTAGTATAATTAACGTATAATTAGTAATAGTAAGTAACAGTAAACTAATTATTTTTATTTTTATTTATTCATATTATATTATATTTTAATTTATTTTTTTTATTTATTAATTTTTTTTATGCTAATTTTTTTTTCGATTATTTTGAAATGAAATTAGAAACGAAATCGAACCTTCGCATTTCCGCTTGTTGTCTTTTTGCCTGTAGAAGTTTTATATCTAAATCGTGAGGCCTACTTCTTGACGAACTCACACGATTTATAGCTCCAATGTCTCCATTTTCCATGAGATGCTCGTAAGTTTGTTTTAATTTTATGGATCCGCTACGCACACTTCTACGCACTGATCTAAAGAAAAAGTCAAATATTGAACAAATTCAAGTAGCCGTATAATTTATTTTTAATTAATTTAATTAGCACTTAATTTATATATTTAATTCTTACTTTTTTTGATCAATTCGCAGTTGTTTAGCACTACTGACTGTGCCTTGGGGTTTCAATAAACCTTTACCAGGAACTGGTATCATTGCCGAATCGCCAAGCATTAATCTCTGATTATTTGAATCACTGAAACGATGATTAATTTAAATATAATTTATTCTTGACAATTTCCTAGTTTTCTGTTTATGAAATAAATAATTATAAGTATAAATAATTTTATTCAATTTCTTACTTAATTATATAAGTGACTGCTGCTTTCTTCAAAGGAGTCACGACATTTCTCACTTTCGGTGGATCGTTCAATATTTTAACTGGTCTGTGTTTTCGATAAACCATTTTCGAATCGAAAGTCTCGCTAATTTTTTTCGTTCCCTCATTTTCCTCATCTTCGACTTCATAGACAAATTGTCGCATAAAACTTTCTCTTACCTGAAAAAATAAAAGTAATTATTTTAGTATTTATTAATTTTATTAATTAACAACTTATTAATTAGTGAAAAATTTTTCACCTTCGGAAGATTAAAATCTGAAGGAACTTTATGCAAACAAGTCATTTGAGGACTGTCGGGGAACTTTTCGAATATTCTCAGTCGAAATGGAAGGGTTTCCTTAATTTCGGCGCTTTGCTCACGAAATTTGAGTTGCTTTAATTTTTTGATATCCTCGTCAAGTTCCAAGTTGTCCAAAATTACGGCGACGAAAAGACTCAACACAATCTGAACAAGAAAATGAGTAAAATTTTCATGTAAATATGAAAAATGTTTTGAGATGAAATTAACTTATTTCGTGGAATATTAATTTAATTTACCAATGTTACAAAAAGATGGTACAGGATAAAATAAATGGCGACAAAAGGTGCCATTGTCTCGTGAGTTCGCACCATTGTCTCATCCATGACTTCCACCCAAGCTTCTTGTGTCAGGATTTGAAACATGGACATAAAAGCCTGTAAGTAAAAATTTGTTTGAAATTATTAAACGAACTAGAAAATATTATCTAATATTAATTTTAATTTTGGACTAATTTCAGATTCAAAATTTAAAACATTCAATTATTAACTAATTTACTAATTAATTGTAATTATTTATTGTTTTCAAAAACTTTTATAAAATTCTTCGTAGAAATTCAATTACATTTAAAAATTTGATACATAACTTCGCAAAAATTCTATTATTTTGAAAAATTTTGATTAAATTCTTTATGAGAATTGAAATATTTTCAATACAATTTTAATTAAATTTAAATTAAATTTTCCTCAAAAAAATTCAATTATATTTTCAAAATTTTAACAAAATTGTTCGCAAGAATTCAATTATTTTTATAAGTAATAAAATTCTTCTAAAAAATATAATAATTTTAAAAATTTTGATAAAATTCTTCTAAAAAATTCTATTATTTTGAAAAATTTTGATTAAATTCTTTATGAGAATTGAATAATAAATCTATAAAATTTCTTTTTTCTCACTTCGGGAAATGTTTCGAATTTCGTGTAACTGCAAAGAAAACAGAAGAGTTGCATGGAAATACTGGACGATATAACGAGCAGGCACATGGTGAATATTATCAAACTACCCAATTTTTTTCCGGGTCCAAAAATTTTGTACACAAAATCCTCCAACATTGGCGATGCCTTGATAAGTCTCACGACTCTTAAAACCTAAAATATGAAAATTAATTTTTAATTCATGATTGTCAATAATTATTTCGTGGAAAATTCAGGGAAAATTATAATTTTTCATAATGATTTTATTATACTTGATAAAATTGTGAAATTGTTGAAATTATTGTTAAAATTTAATAAAATTTAATTTATTAAATTAATAATATCAGATAATATAAATAATTAATAATATTAATATAAAATAATTAATAAATTTATTAAAATAGTAAAATTGTGAAATACCTGAAAGTAGGTAAAACCCGAAAGATAGCAGAAGGGAATGATGTGAATAGTAGTGCCAATTGCGAGAAGAAGTTCAAATTTATGAATTGAATGTTTATAATAACTTCGAAATCCAAGACACCAAATTTTAAAGAGTGTTTCCAAATCAAGAAGAATTGTGAAGGCAATCTCGACGTAATAATAAGCGGCGTAATAAGTATATCTTGGTCTCTCGTCATGTTTGAAATTCATTGTTGCAGTTGTAACGCCATTCGCGAGGATAATGCACATTACGACCATTCGAAATTGAGGCGAACGTAAAATTGCATGACAAAGAGGTGAGGCCATACCACCGTGTTTATTTTCATCGAGAGTTATCAATTTCCAGCCATTCTCGTCGCCAGTCAGAATCTTGAAATTAAAAGCAAATTATACTCAGTTATAGGCAATAATTTTTAAGAAAAGAATTTTAGTTTCTTAAGAAAAATTAATTTTTTTTCCCGCACCTGTGATGCTGTACTGTTACTGATATGACCCCGAACACCCCACATCTGCTGAAATTGAACTCTAATTTCGTTAAAAGTTTCCGTAATAACGGCAATGAAAACATTTTTCACCAGCCAAGCCAAAAAGAATATCATTGTACTGAAATAAAGAACTGCTCGCCAAGCTGGTAAACTGTCGATTGCTCGATACATTATGAAAACCCATCCTTCCTGCGATGCCGCTTGATAGACCGTGAAAATACTCGTCACTAAAAAATTAAAATCAAAAATCGGAATCAAAAATAATCACAGGGCTCGAACTAGGTCCGCAAATCCCGTAGAAGTCAGTTTTTTTAAAAAATAAGTCCGCAAAGCCCGTAATTTGATTGAAAAATGATAAAAAGTTCATAAATTGTGCGATATAATTTGGATAATTTTAGAGAAATTACAAATAATTGCAAAAATTCAATTATTTTCAAAAATTGTCCTCAATTTAATAATTAACAAAATTCTACGCTAAACCTTTAATTATTATTTTCCTAAAATATTACAAATTTCACAGGAATTCAATTATTTACAAATTTTTTATAAATTTCTTCGCAATCATTTAATTATTTTCATAAATAATTAAAATTTTTACAGGGATTAAATTATTTTCGTAAACCATAAAACTCTTTGAAGAATTTCAATTATTTTTAATACAATTTTAATTAAATTTCTCGAAAAATGTAATTTTTCTTAAAAATTTCATTAAAATTTGTCAACAAAATTCAATTATTTAAAAATTTATTGATAAAATTCTTTATGAGAATTCAATTTTGAGAAACATGCAATTTAAAAAATTTTATATCAATAATTGAATATTAAAATCATTGTAGCGTGAATTTTTAGAATTAATTGAATTTTTAAAACGATTCAAATTAAAATCTGAATTTTTCATATTTTTAATAATTAATTCTGTACATCTCATTTTTTAAAAAAATTTTAATTTCAATTCTGTTAAAAATAAATTGAATTTTTTATATATTTATTATTATGTCAAGAATTTTAACATAATTCTTCAAAAAAAATTCAATTATCTTAATAAATATCAAAACTTCTAATTTTTTAAAAATTTTAATAAAATTTGTTGCAAGAATTCAATTATTTTGACAAATAATTACATTCGTCTCAAGAATTCAATTATTTATCAGAAGTATAATAAAATTCTTCGCAGAAATTTAATTTTAGTCAAAAATTAAAAAAAAAATTCTCATTGAATTTTCAATTATCCCTATAAATAATAAAATTCTTTTCCAAAATTCAATTATTTACCAAAAAATGTTAATAAAATTCTTTAAATCGATACAATTATTTTAAAAAACTTTTCTCAATTTAATGATTTTCAATATCTACCACTTTAATAGAATTTTCCAAAATAATTCAATTATTTTCTTAAATAATAAAATTCATCACAAATAAATATCAAAATTCTCCCCTGAAATTAAATGATTTCGGGAAATTTTACTAAAATTTTTTGCAAAATTCAATTATTTTTATAAATAACAATATTCATCAATAGAATTAAATAATTTTCAACAATAATAAAATTCTTCGCAGAAATTGAATTATTTAAAAAAAATTTTTAAATTATCGTCAAGATTTCAATTATCTTTATAAATAATAAAATTCTGCGCCAAAATACAATTATTTTCTAAAATTAAATTCTAAGCGATAATTTAATTACTTTCAAAAATTGTAAAAACTTTACTGTAAATCTATAATTATTTAAAAAAGAATTGGCATCAATTTTTTCGAGAATATCTATCAATTATTTTTAAAAATTTTATAAAATTCTTCGCAACAATTCAATTATTTCCATAAATAATAATATTCAACACAAGAATTCAATTATTTTCAAAAACAATAAAATTCTTCTCAGAAATTCAATTATTTTCAAAAATTGTAATAAAGTTCCTCGAAAAATGTAATTATTCTTAAAAATTTTATTAAAATTCGTCGAAAGAATTCAATTATTTAAAAATTTGTTGATAAAATTCTTTATGGAAATTAAATTTTAAAAAACATTCAATTATTCAATAAATAATTTATTTTTGCATTTAAATAATTGAATTCTCGTAGAATTTTCTAAAAAAATTGATTTGAAAATTAATTTCAGTTAAAATTTGAGATAATAATTGAATATTAAAAGCAATATAGCGTGAATTTTTAGAAATAATTGAAATTTGAAAATGTTTAATTGGAGTTTTTATTTTTTAATATATATATATTTAAATGAAGAATTTGCGAATAATTGAAATTTCGTAAGAGTGAATATTGTAAAGTAATGGATTTGATAATTGTCAAAGAACTTTTTCGAAAATTATTTGACTCGGACTAGTTATATTTTTGTCAGTAATTGGTCCGTAATTTTTCATTTTTGGTCCATAAAGTCCGCATTTTTAAATACTTTCACTGGTTCGAACCCTGAATAATCGGAATAAACATCCAGAAGGTGAAAAAATTTTTCAATAACTTACTGAATTCGTCGAATCCATTAAAGCCCATTATATACTTGGATAATTCCAATTTCATGCACGTCATTCCATCGGGACATTGATAACCCGATTCGGGATCGGTCGAGCAAAATGTATCCGGAATCGCTAAACTATTAATTGTAATGTGCTTCGGATCGGTTGTATTCAGAACGCAATGATTTGTCAATTGTCCGAAAAATTGTACTCCCAAAAGACCGTAGAGTGACATAAAAAATAAAAAGAATAACGTCACATTGTAAATCTGTTGACTCGAACGCCTATAATAAAAATAAAAATTTAAATATAAATTATAAATATTATAAATAAATTTATTGTAAATTGTAATTAAATTGTAATTAAATTGTAATTAAAAATAAATTTATTGTAAATTGTAATTAAATTGTAATTGTAAATAAATTTAAATTAATTGTAATAAAATATCAATTAATATTAATACTCTTGTATTTGATACAAAAGGAAGGAATCGAAAAAGTAGCAAAAGAAATGTTCATACTTAAAAATTTGATTAATCCTGGCTTTTGGCATTGAAAATTTAAGGAAGACTCGAAGGAATCGAATCATAATCAATGGTCGTGGTGCTCGCAATACAGAGGCGTAACTAAATTTCAAAACGAAGCCCAACATCTCAAACATTTGTAAAATAACCGAAAGCCAAAGAAATAGAACCATACTGGCGTCAAATTGGCACCAATGATCTTTCAGATAAGCTTTGTCTCTCTGTTGATTGGAAAAAAGAACAAAAATTAGGATTTTAGTCAGAAAATTAATTCAGAGTGAAAAAAAAGAATTATTTTAAAAATAAAATATTCTTACCTTAACTATTCCACGTATGTGCATTTTGGCAATCATTTCGGCCGTGAAAAGGAATGTAACAACGAGATCGCAGACAAACGTTACATACTGGAGAGGTGGAACTTTTTCAAAGGTCTTTGGAGTATTTAAACAAACTGAGGCTAGGGAAACGAGAGCACAAAACCTCATTAGTCTCCGCACCCAAAGCTAAAAAGAAAAAGAAAAATTTATTAAATTAAATTTCAAAATGATTTCAAATTTTTTTTTTTTTTTCTATCGAAATTTAAATTATATTTTTTTCTCAATTTGTAAATTAATAAAAAAAAGTTTTTACCTTGTTCACCCACTCAATATCAGCGCTCTCATTGAGGAACTCCTCCGGGCCATAATCGGCCAGGACGGGCTCCCCTTTGAGACTTTGCTTCCGTCCCAACATCATAATTGGGATTATATTCGCAATCGTGAGGCCTAAAAAATGACAAAATTTATCAATATAATTCAAATTACATAATAAATTTTTCAAGAACAAGAAAAAAATTTTTTTTTTCAAATTCGTTTCATATTTGAGAAAATTTTTCCCTCACAAAAATTTTCGGAGAAGAAAATTTTGTGATTTGAAATTTTTCAAGGAAAATTCTTTAAATGTGTTTCTTTATAGAAGAAATGAAAAAAATAAGGTAATTATTTTAACGATGATGATGATGATAAATAAAATCCTTATTTTTTCCTGTTACATTCAACATGAAATTTAAATATTTGATGCTTGAAAAAATTTCACTGAAAAGTTCAAAAAAATTTTTAATATAATATATTTTAGAAAACAAATATAATGATTGATTAATATTGAAATTATTTAAGTAATATGCTAAAAATTCTAGAAAAAATCTATTCTAGTCGCTATGTAAAAAAAAATTTTCAGAATTTATTCTAATCTGTTTTCTATAATATTCAGAACGAGATTTATTCTCAAATTAATCAATCATTTTTTTTTAGTTTAAGTACATTTTTATTAAATGTAAGTGGCGCATCGAAAAAAAGAAGCAAACGAATTATAAGTTACAGGCTTCGTACTCGATAATTAATTTTGAAAAAAGTGGCAAAAAGTAGCTTAAAGACAAAAAATAGTGGTAAAAAAGTAGATCGAAGAATTAAATTTGACGAATCAATTTTTTTAATAATTTCAATTACATTCAAAAATAGAATAATATTTTTTAAAATAAAATATTTAAATACCAATTTTTAAATTTTTGACCATAATTGAATTTCTGTAAAGAACTTTTTAAAACTTTTGATAAATAATTGAATTCTTGAGAATTCTTGAAACGAATTTTATTAAAATTTTTTAAAAATAATTGAATTCCTGTAAAAATTTTTTTAATAAATTTCGAAAAATTTGCGAAAATAATTGAGTCGTTTTAAAGAATTTTATTAAAATTTTTTTGGAAATAATTGAATTTTGGAAAAGAATTATTATTATTTATAAAGATAATTGAAAATTTGACGAGAATGTTTTTAAATTTTTGACCATAATTCACAGAAATTTTTTTAAACTTTTGATAAATAATTGAATTCTTGAGACGAATTTTATTATTTGCGAAAATAATTGAATTCTGGAAACGAATTTTATTAAAATTTTTTTAAAATAATTGAATTCCTGAGAAGAATTTTATTATATTAAAAATAATTGAATTCTCTCAAAAAAAATTATTAAAATTATAATTGAAAACAATTCAATTATTATAAAGGATTGCATTAAACTTTTTTTTAAAATAATTGAATTCTTGCAACGAATATTAAAATTTAAAAAAATAATTTAATTGCTGAGAAGATATTATGAAAATTATTTTATTTATGAAAATAATTGAATGTTTGCAAAGAATTTTATAAACATTTTTTTTTTTTAATTATTATTTTCGTTTGGGAAATTTTTTTATTAAAACAGTTGGTATTAAAAATCATTGAATTAGGAAAAATTTGGAAAATAATTGAAATTTTGCAAAGAATTTTATTGAAAATTTTGAAAATAATTGAATTTTGGAGAAGAATTTTATTATTTATAAAGATAATTGAAATCTTAAAAAGAATTTTAAATATTTTTGCAAAAAATTGAATTTCTGCGATGAATTTTATTATACTTTTGATAAATAATTCAATTCTTGAGACTAATTTTTGTTATTTGTGAAAATAATTGAATTCTTCTAACGAATTTTATTAAAATGTTTAAACAATAATTGAATTCTCGGAAAAATTATTTATTTTTTTGAAATAATTGAATTTATGCGAAGAATTTTATAAAATTTTTTGAAAATTTCCGAAGAGTTTTATAAAAATCTATTTAAATAATTGATTTTTTTCGAAAAATATTAGGAAAATTCTGTTTTTAATAATTGAATTCCTGTGAAAATTTTTTTATTTTTGAAAATAATTGAATGTTTTTGAAGAATTTGATAATTATTTTTTAAAAATTATTCAATTCTTTTGGGAAATTTATTTCTAAATGAGTGCGAGGCCTGAAGTTATACTTTTGTATTAGATCTTTTAGATCAAAAATTGAAAATGTAAAATTTGAACTTTGCAGGGAAATATTTTCCCTTAAACCTATAAAAAACGATGATTCAACAACAACACCTTTGTTACACGAAATAATTTTTTTTTTGTCAAGAACATTAAGGAGAGCAATGAATGATTCACTCTACATCACATTAATTTGTGCACAAATCTCCAACAGATATTTGAGACAAAACAATTTAAAGATTTTAATATATTTAATTTTAAAATTTAAGGTTTGTTTTTTATTTCATTTCTTTTTAAATCTTATAATCAGTTTTTATTTTTATAATTCATTTTTTATATTTTTTTTTTCATTAGTTTAGAGATTATTTTTGCTTAGTTCTCGTGTTTCTGTTGGAGATGAAAATATTCAACTCTGTGCCAACGGGCTTTACTGTAACAATAATATTAAACACAAATAAAGGGTAAACTTTTAGAAACAAAGAACAATTATTAACAAACAAACAAACAAAAACTAAAATGGATTAAACTAAAATTTTATTTTTTGACACTGTGCGAAAGATAGGAATTATAAAAAAGTCTTTCAATATTAACAAATTTTTTTTTCAATAATTACGATTTTAATTTTAATTTAATTTAAAAATAGTTTAATTTTTTGAATAATCTTGTTAATAAAGAAACTTTTATTCATAGGTTAAAGGAAAAAATTGTTAGCGGCTATTTATATATATGCTATAATTTAAAAGAAAGAAGAAAACAATTCGACACGAAAAAGCAATAACCATAAAACAGAAAAAGACACATTCATTTAATTGAAGTACTCACGTCGCCCCAATTTAAATTTCACCCGTTTTTTATTGTCAAAACATTAGCTGTAAATTTTAATTGCAAACTTTAAATCTAATTTTTATTATGTATAGTTCATGGAATTATTTTATTTTTAATTTTTTTTTTGTCTAATCCGATTCTTTCATCGAAATGGATGATTTTATATCGAATGGGAGGAAGCGTACTTTTCTTGGGTAAACTTCTTTCCCCGGGGGTTGTGTTTCGATAAAACGCGACCAGTTGATGCCAAATTCGTAAAAAACGTGTTGCTTCCTTGAAGAAAAAAAAACGGGTGTTGCCGCTTGAAAAAATTCGCTGCCTTTGATATATACATATATAAAATTTGGTTAGGAATAAAAATGTTCTAATAAATTAATTTTAATTTTTTGCAATTTCTTACCGGGTTGAAAGTAATCTTCCTGTCTTCGATGGTGCATTTTAATCGCATTATAGCGAAACTTAAATTTTCGGGTCAAGAGGAGGCTGAAAAGCCAGTAGAAGATGAACATGGGGCCAACGAGAATTCATATGGACCACTCTCTCAACGTTTTCTCTTATTCTTTTTTTTCCTTTTTCTCTTTTCCTTTAGTAGTTTTTAGTTGAAAATGAAACTGCCCACAAAGGCAAAACACACGTGTTAACTACATATTTTTTTTCTCTCTCATAAAAACATTGAAAATTTTCAACGTTGTATAAACATTTTTAATAACAACATGTTTGGCGGCGTGTCGGCGAAGAAATTTCTTTTTCTTTTTTTTTTTTTTAAATGGTGAAGTGACTCGAGCAGCCAGCTGAGAAGAATCGAACCGGGCATGAGCATCGCGCAGATCTCATCCCCCTGGACCACGAACCGGGCTGATCAATATTTTCTTTAAACTCGGCTAACGCCAAAATCATTGGCATAGGCCATCATATTTAGAGGAGACAATTTTATTCTAAAAAAATTATTCTTTTTTTCTACTTTTAGGGTTGCCACAGAAATTTAATTTTTCTCTCACTTTTCCCTGATTTCCAAACAAAATTTTCACTTTTTCCCTAATCATTTTTAGAGTCAATCAGAATTCTCTCTAAAAATGATTAGATACTTACAACAAAATCTCTAATACGTTTATTTGCGAATTTCTTCAATTGTAAAATTATTCGAAAATGTCAAGAACTTCTTTTTTAAATTTACAAATATTTAATCATTATTATAAATACTGTAACTTTTTTCAAATTATTTTCATCATTTCGATTCAATTATTATTTTCTACAATTTTTGACTAAAATTCTTCATTAATTCAATTATTTTTAATAATTTTTGACAAATTTTTTTTTCAATTTTCAAATCTAAATTTTTCTAAAAAAATTTCAATTAAACTTTTTCAATAAAAATTAATTCGACAAAATTGTTAATTAAAAGAATGGAAAATACAGATTTTCAAAGATTTTAATTTTAATCCTTTATAAAATTCAATTATTTCTAAAAATTCTTGCTATAATGCTTCTTAATATTCAATTATTATGTAACAATTTTTAAATAATTGAATTCGACGAATTTTAATAAAATTTTAAGGAATAATTGCATTTTTCGAGGAATTCAATTAAACTTGTATTAAAAGTAATTTGAAATTCTGCGATGAGTTTTATTAGTTATGAAAATAATTGAATTCATAAAGAGTTTTATTATTTATAAAGACAATTGAATTACTACAAAGAATTTTTTTTAACAAATTTTTAAATAATTGATTTTTTCGAAAAAATTTATACCAATTCTTCTTTAAATAATTGAATTTTCTGTAAAAAATTTTTATTACAATTTATTAAATAATTGAATATTTGCGCAGAATTTTATCAAAATTTTTTTTAAACAATTGAATTCTTTTGGGAAAAATATATATTCTTTTTGCAAATAATTGAATTCTTTCTATGAATTTTAATAAAATTTTGAAAAATATTTGTAGTTTTCAAGGAAATGAATTAAAACTATATTAAAATTAATTTAATTTCTACGAAGAATTTTATTACTTTTGAAAATAATTGAATTATTGCGAAGAATTTTAAATAAAATGATTGGAAATCATTTAATTATTGCGAAGAATTTTATTACTTTTGATAATAATTGAATTCTTGTAATGAATATTGTTATTTACGAAAATAATTGAATATTTAAATATTTAATTTTTTTTGAAAAAATGTGTGCCAATTCTTATTTAAATAATTGAATTTCTTTTCGAATTTTTATTATTTTGAAAATAATTGAATTTTTGTGATGAATATTGTTATTTATGAAAATAATTAAATTTTGCAAAGAATTTTATTAAAATTCCTGAAAATAATTGAATTTCTGGGATAATTTTTTATATTTATCATGATAATTGAATTTCTTTGAAGAATTGCGTTAAAATTTTGGGAATAATATTAAATATATTTAAAAAAAGTCAACTAATTTCAACAGAATTGAAAATAAAATTTTTCAAAAAAGTAAGTTCTTTACTAATTAAATTCATTAAAAAATGTAAATTTTCTAAAATTCAAATTGAAACCTTTTGAAGTTTATCTATTTATGAAAATTATTGTAAACACAATCAATTCTACTTTCCCTGAATTTTCCCTAAATTCCCTGACCTGTGGCAACTCTGTTCTTCTTCTTTTATTTAATATTAATATAAATATTCAATATAAACATTAAAAATTTTATTAACATCAGATTCTGTATATAAATTTATATATAAACAAACATTTATATTATTTAACAATATAGTAATATTAAAATACGTGTAACTCTCATATAAAAATTTATACAAAAGTTTCAATCAGTTATCAGTTTTGATCTGTAAATATTTTAAAAAGTTATTCTTAAATATTTTTGTAACGCAAGTTTTTAACAAAAAAAGAAAGCGTAAAAGCAAGAAAAAGTTATTTAAAAAATGTAAAAGTAAAATATAAATAAAAGAAGAAATTGTTGCAATATGTAAAAAATTTTCATAATTAAACGAAACGAAACGAAATGAAAGTAAAATACTAATCGTAGAATTTTTTTGACGTCTCCTCAGCAATCAACATTTTCGAGAATTTTGAATTTGGATTTGAAATGAGATCCCTTGGTTTGTCGAATTCAATAATTTTTCCGTTTTCAATAACGAGAACACGATCACAAGATACGACGGTTTGCAAACGATGAGCTATTATAATAATTGTGCAATTTGGAAATTCCTCACGAATAGTGTAGTCGATTATTGCACTCGTTTCAGGATCCACAGAGGCTGTTGCCTCATCGAGTAATATTATCTGTAAAGAAAATTTTGCTTATGTATATGAAAAATGTTCTTCCGAATTTCTCCCACAACTCTGAACTTGAAATACTTGATGACCTAAAGGATTAAATTTGGTACAAATTTCTATTTTTCTTTTTACTATTTTTTTAAAGATTAGAATTAGAATAATTAAACGGAAATCTATTTCTTTTGAACTTACCTTACTTCGACATAAGATTGCCCTCGTTAGACAGAGAAGTTGTTTTTCACCCATGCTTAAATTACTGCCACCGGATTTCACTGGTTCCGCCAAAAGACCCGGCATTGAAGCTACTCTATCCTTCAGTCGAGATTTTTCGAGGGCACTCCAAATTTCCTCGTCTGTGAATTGTTCAAAAGGATCTACGTGGGATCTGAAAGTAAGTATTTTTCTCATTATTTTGTTATCAAATTTGTGACGCGTTCCGAAGAAAGAGAACTAATAATATTTTAAATTTTTGAAATGAAAAATTTTCTTCCTATGTTTCAAGTTACCAGATTAAATATAAATACTAATACTAATTACCTGATTGTTCCGCCAAAAAGAACCAGATCCTGAGGCACATTGAAAAGTTTACTTCTAAGAAGTTCGAGATCAATTTTCGAAATATCAATTCCGTCGACCATAATTTTACCCTCGGATAGTTCGCACAGTCGGAAAATGGCATTGACAAGGGAACTTTTTCCACCTCCTGTCCTTCCGACAATCCCTTGAAAAAAATTTAAATAGTTTAGAATAAAGAGAAATTTTTGAATATACATAATTAAAATACGTGATTTAAATTACAAAATTAAAATAAAATTTTAGTTCTGAATATATTTCAAAAAGAATACCTATTTTTTCGGCATCGTTGATTGAAAATGAAATATCATTCAATACAAAAGGCAGATTTTCGTCGTATTTCATTCTCACATTTTTAAATTCAATCGTTCCTTGAGTGGGCCACTCTTCAGTGGGAGTAATTGTAACTTTTAGTTTGTTCTCACTTTTCATTGTCTATGAAAAAAATTCATTTTTTTATTTTAAATAAGTAAACAAATAAATAATAATTAAATAATAAATAAATACATTTTCTCATCTCGTTGTCTTTGATTTATTAAAAAAAAACCTACTCACCCTTAAGAAACAAGAAATTCTTTCTACGTTTGTAAATCGAGCTTCGAGATCGGAAAAGTTTCTCAAGGAAAATTGAAATAGTCCAGTGGTTTGTGCTACAAAAACTAAAGCCAAGCCAGCAAAAGCCGGTGACAAATGATCCTTGAAACATATTACAAACAATAGAACAATAGAAGTGGAAAATAACGACAAAAGATCAAATCTTATTGCCAACCATCTTGATGCTAAATTACGAAAGTATTCATAGGCGCAACTTTGATCGAGTAATTCCTGAAATCTAAAATTACAGAAGAAAAATGTGTTTTTATTATATTTTTCACGCGTTCTAAAGAAAGAGTCCTAAGAAGCAAATCATTTTAAAAATTCTTTTGACCTATTTTTATAACGTTTTTAAGGATAATTACATTTTTCGAAAAATTCGATTAAAATTGTATTAAAAATAATTGAAATTCTATGAAAGGTTCTATTATTTACGACAATAATTCAATTCCTAAAAAGAATTTTATTATTTTTAAAAATAATTGAATCCATATATACAAAATCTTAATATTTATGAAAATAATTGAATTGTTATGAAGAATTTTATAAGAAATTTTTAAATAATTGATTTTATTTATTTTTTAAATAATTGACTTTCCTGCGAAACTTTTATTATTTAAGAAAATAATTGAATGGTTATGTAGAATTTTGTTAAATTTTTTTTTAAATAATTGAATTCTTTTGGAAATAACTAAATTTCTGCAAAGAATTTTATTATGTTTGAAATAATTGAATTCTTTTGACAAATTTTAATCAAATTTTTAAGAATATGTAATTGCAATTTTCGAAGAATTCAATTAAAATTCTATTTAAAATAATTGAATTTCTAAACATAATTTTATTATTTATAAAAATAATTAAATAAATGTAAAAAATTTTAACATTCATGAAAAAAATTGTATTATAGTATTTTAGAAAAAATTGATATCAATTCTTTTTTTTTAAATAATTGAATTTCCTATGAAATTTATATATATTATTTATGAAAATAATTGAATATTTGTGTAGAATTTCATTAAAATTTTTGTTTAATAATTGAATTCCTTTGGGAAATTTTATTAAAATACTAGATATTGAAAATTATTGATTTGAGAAAAAATTTAGAAAAAAATTGAAATTTTGACAAGATTTTTATAAAAATATCTGTAAATAATGGAATTTCGGCGAAGAATTTTGCTATTCCTAAAGATAATTGAAATCTTGAATAGAATTTTATTGAAATTGATGAAAATAATTGAATTCCATCGAAAAATTTTATTATATATTTGAAAATAATTGAATTCTTGTGGTCTATTGTTATTTAGGAAAATAATTAAAATTTGGGCAAAAATTTTATTTAAATTTTTGAAAATAATTTAATTTCTTCGAAGAATTTTGTTATTTATAAAGATAATTGGAAAATTTTAAAAAGTTTTTGGAAATAATTGAATTCTTGTGGTCAATTTTGTTATTCAGGAAAATAATTGAATTTTACAAAGGGTTTTATTAAAATTCCTTAAAAATAATTGATTTTCTGAGAAGAATTTTGATATTTATCAAGATAATTGAATTTTTGAGAATTGAAGATTTTGTATTAGAATTTGTGGTAATTTCATAGTTTTTAAGGTAAACAGAAAAAATCAAAAAATTCAGAATTTTCTTATAAATTCTAAAAATTTAACTCTTTTCAGTACTTTGAATAAAATTCCCTGACTTTTCCCTTATTTTTCTGACCTCAAAATTTTGCTTCTTGGGTAACTTTCTTCGAAGAAAAATTATATTATAGTAAATTAAATTGGTAAAAATAAATTATTACCAATTGTATTAAATTTAAATGTCTAAAACTTACTTTAGAATAAATTCTTGTTCTTTATTAAAAGCACGAATAGTATTCAGTCCTTGAGTTGTGGCTGTTATGAAACTGAACACAGGGGAACGTGACGCATTTTCCAATCTCTTCAAATCTCTCATACTCACTCTATTAAATAAAATCTATTAATTCACTTCATTATTTCAATTAAAAATAAAGATTCGAAAAAAATAAAAATGAATTTCAAAATTATTTCTCACCTGAAAATTTTACCAACAAAATAGAAAAGTCCAGCTAGGAATATTAAGGGAATAATAAACCAGGGAAGGACGAAGCAAATAATAAAGATGGTAAAAATACAAGTGAAGATTGTCTGAAGAAACATCTCGAGTGATATTCTCATTCCGTTATCAACTAAAAAAATAATTTTTCATTTTTTTAGAATCAAGTACAAGAGTTAATTATTCTAATAAAAAAAATGAAAAATAACACTCACCCACATTGATGTCGGTACTAAATAAATTTTGTATTTCACCACTTGGAGTGGTTTCGAAAAATCGAATGGAAGAGCCAATCATTTTTGAAAATAGTTGTCGATGTAGAGTGCTTGCCGCTTTCATAGTGACGCCCGTTATTGCAAACGCTCGAATTAAACTCGTAAATAAAACAATAAGAATACAACTAGCGTAAATTGTCTCGTAATAATTAAAATCTGGATTCTCATTAATATTAATCGATTTCATCGTTTCATTTTTTCCAATTGTTATGTTTGTAGCCTGAAAAAAAAAATTATTCTCAATTAAAAAAGAAAATTTCTCTTGTCTTTTTGAATAAATTTTCTACTTACTCCACCGCCTTCCTTCAACCAATAGGCCAACCAACACGAACTGAACGTAATTGAACCGATGTTTAAAAGAAATGCTAAACACAGCAGTAAAAAGAGAAAATATCCACCAGCTGCTTTTATATAAACATGAAAAGTGTGTGCCGAAATTGTTTTTCCCTTTATATTTCCCTTTGTCATTAAACTCTTTCCTAAAAATTTAAATTTCAAATTGAAAATTTAATATAAAACAAATTCTTCTTTTTCAACTCACCGGTTCCATCAGTCTTAATTGTTTTGTCATCGAAAAAATTTTCCCTCTCTGGCGAATTTCTTCTATTTTGTTCAGATTTCACATTTGTCGCTTCTTCCGTGTCTGATTCTTCATCTTCTTCTCCTCCTTCTTCGCCTTCAGTTTCTTGATCCCTGATAAATGATAATGTAAAAATAATTATAATAATAATAATAATGTATAAATAATAATTTTAATTCAAAGTTTTTAGCGAAAGAAAAGAAAATTTACTCTTCCGGTGAACTGTCTTGTGATTCAACAAAAACATTTTTAACCATCGCGGCATATTCCTTATCAGCGTGCATCAATTCCTCATGCTTTCCGTGTTCAATAATTCGTCCATTATACATCATATAAATATCGTCGCAACGATTTAAATACTGAAATTTTTAATTAAATATTATAATTCACCAAATATTGTAATAAATCATCAATTTGAAATATTGTATAAAAAAATAAACCCACTTGCATTTGATGGGTTACAAATAAAATTGTTTTATCCCTCAAAGCGTTTAAAATTAAATTTTCAAATATGTAAAGTCCAACATTTGAATCGACGGCGCTTAATGGATCGTCAAGAAAATAAATGTCCCTGTAAAAATTAATTACTCATCGTAAAAAAGATCATTTTTAACATGAAAAAAATTGTAAAAAATCGTGCAAATGGTACCGATTGGCATAAAATGCTCTGGCAAGTGCGAGTCTCTGTTTTTGTCCTCCTGATAAATTGACACCCCTTTCGCCAATTTCCGTTTCATCGCCACTAGGCAACATATTGATATCCTCCTTTAAACTGCATATTGAGAGAGCTCGATAATATCGTTTTGGATCGAATATTTCGCCAAATATAACATTCTCCTTGAATGTTGCATTTATAATCCAAGCCTGTTGTCCAACGTAAGCGCACGAACCATTTCTCATCGCTTGTCCCGAAATCATTCTCAATTGTCCTAAACTCGCCAAAAGTAAACTTGATTTTCCACTTCCCACGTGGCCGCAAATTCCAATTAATTGACGTTTACCCGCTTCAAACGTTATTTCTGAAAGAATTTCAATTCTTCTCTTCTCTATAATTAGACGCTTTGATTTTTTCTTTTTCGGTTTTATCTCTTTGCTGAAAAAGAAAACGCAAATCGAAATTACTTAAATTCAAATTGAAATTTTAAAAAATTTCAATTGAGGGGCTGGAAACAATAACAACCGCTGCATCAGCAAAAAAATCAGGGAGAAACAAAATTTAATTTTTGTGGCAACCAAGTATTAATTTTTTAATAAAAAATGAAACTTTCTTAATGAAAGAAACTTACTCTACGGAATTAACTGACTGCCTGGTTTCAAAATTATCATAAACGAATTTTCCATTCAGAATGGAAATTGCTTGTGATCTTACAATTGGTTTCGATATATGGCAATTTGTTTCTTCAAGAAGTAATACACTCTGTGGGAAAATAAAAATTAATATATATTATTGTAAAAATATAATTTTAAATAATAAAAATTTGTCAAATTTCAAAATTAAAATAGACTCGAAAAGAATTTCTTCATTAAATAAATAATTTCATTTTAATTTGAATTCTTTCGAGTCTCAGCATATAACGAGAACAAAAATTAGCGCAGTTAATTTTTACCACAAACACATAATTTAGGCATGCAAAAAGCATTGTACAATAAAGTAATGCAAAGCCACTTCATTTCATGAAAATAATAACCAATCTAAAGCAATATCCAATATCCAAAGTACAAACAAAAAGAATTTTTTACAATAATGGTAAAATAAACCTAAATTTAATATGAATGATTGATTCTTACTCAACGATTGAAATTTATTTACATCATCATTGCTAGTCTGAAAATTTGTAAAAAAAATGTTATTTTTTTTTAGATAGGTATATCAATGAAATTTTAAAAAACAAAATAAAAAAAAGATTGTAAATACAACATTCTGTATAGCGATAAAATATTGACAGCATTAAAGAAAAGCTGAAAAATTACGACACATTTGAAAATAGTAATAAAATTGCGACTTTCAAAAAATGTATTTAAATATAATAATGAAAAAGAATTAATTTCAAGCAACAGAGAAAAACTTGATCAAGAAAAAAACCTTAAATCTGTTGAATGTTAAATTTCCCTCAACAATGTTTAATAGAGAAATATATACAATTGTCAGAGCACTTCGAGTCTGTACATTAAGGAACGATAATAGAGGAAATACCTGAAAAAAGGTAAAGTTTTTACTAAAATTCCCTCTGAATAGGATAAAAAATATTCTGAAAAAAGTGGAAAAAAAATAAAAATGAAAAATAAAAGAAGAAAAAATAAAATCATTAAAATGTATGAAAAAGGAGAATAAAACGTCCAAGTAATTCGAATATTATTTTAAAATGGATCGAATGAAGCGAAAAAGAATTAAAAAATTATTAATTTTATATATGAAGTCGCTAAATTTCTGAAAAAAGAAATTAACCGTCTAGAATAATTTCATCATAATACCCAAATTCTAGTTTCATGCTATTTTTTTCCCTCCTCCTTAAAAAAAAAATGTTAGAGAATATTTTTTTAAAAATAAGTTAATTGTTAGAATCGAACTTGCACTACTAAAAACGAAAATTCATTTGAAAAAACCTTAAAATTGCTAAAAGCAATACGAGCAGGTTTATAATCTTTTGATCCATCTTTAAATTCGAATGTCGTGTGTGATAAAACGATGACAATGATTGATAAAATAGGAAATGCCTGAAATTTAGAAAATTAATTCTAATTACGTCGATACGTCGATACGTCGATACGTCGATTAAATGAATAAAATTAGTAAATTAAAAACAAATTCTCTCCACTATAAACTAGAATTAAAATTTTTATTTTGTGCAAAATAAGAAAATAAATTCATACGCACTTTTTTAAATGAATGATTCTATTTTAATGAATAATAAAAAAATTTCTATTTTGATTTTATGATAATAGAAAAATATCAAAGAAAAAGAAAAAATAACTCACTTGAGCCACTGTTAAATTATCCTCAGCGTAAAGATGAGCTAAAAATGTGACAATAGTTGCAATAATTGTAACCGTTGGTGTTAAGGAAAAAGTTGTACTATCGAAGAAGGCAAGTTTCGAGAGCAATTTTCTCTCGTCCTGACGAATTCCTATAAAAAAAAGGTATATTAAAATTTAATTATCAATTTATCGTTCGACAAACGAAAAAATAAACTAAATACATTTATAATTAAACGTTATTTAAAATACGATAAAAAAATACGAAATTAAAAATAATAAAATTACTTGAAACTTCTGTGGCGATGAAATTTTCCTGGGCATTCAATTTAATGAGTTTGATACTCTCTAAAATATCGCTGATAATTTTTATTCGTCTATCAGTAACTTTTAAACATCTAGATTTATAATACTTTGTTATTCGAGTCAATAAATACTGTGAAAGAAAAAAAAAAGTTTTTAATGAAAAAGGAAAATTTCCAAAAAATTGAATATAGATTTTTTTTTCTCCATTAGAAATTCACCTGTAAAATGTAAAATAGAGAAAAAACGATCATTCCCAAAAGAGCCATTGGACTGAGAGTGAATAAAATATAAATAATTCCACAAATTGTTGCCACTGGACCGCCGACAATTTGAGGACCGTAAAGCATCAAATCGAATGCTTTTTGACCGTCAGATGAAAATACGTTAATTAGCTATAAAACAAATTAATAATTTTTAATTACATTCAAAAATAAAATAATTTTTAAAAATAAATATTTAAATAACTATTTATTTTGTCTACAGGAATTAAAATATTTCAAATCATTTCAATGTAACGTATTTTTCAAATTTAACTACTTTTTAACATTTCAAAAGCAATTCTTTCAATATTCAATCATTTTTTTCTTTAAATTAATAATTAAAATTATTCAAAACTTTAATCATTTTATTTTACTCAATTCTAAATCAATTCTTATTAAAAAGTTCTACAAGAATTAAATTTTTTAAATACAAAAATAAATAATTTATTGAATATTTGAATATTTCTTAAATTTAAATTCTTATAAAGAACTTTTTCAACAATTTCTAAAATAATTGAATTTTCACGAAGAACTGCATTAAAATTTTTGATAATAATTAAATTCATTCAAGAAATGTAATTAAAAATGAATTGAAAATAATTATTTTATAAAAATAATTGACTTCTTGCAACGATTATTATTAAAATTTCTAAAAATAATTGAATTCCTGAAAAGAATTTTATTATTTTTAAAAATAATTGAATTCTTGACAAGAATTTTATAAAAATCTATTTAAATAATTTATTTTTTCGAAAAATATTAGGGAGATTCTGTTTCAAATAATTGAATTTCTGTGAAAATTTTTGTACTTATAAAAATAATTGAATGTTTGCGAAGAATTTTATAAACATTTTTCTTAAAGTATTCAATTCTTTTGGGAAATTTTTTATTAAAATAGTAGATATTAAAAATCATTGAATTGAGAAAAGTTTTTGAAAATAATTAAATTTTGGAGAAGAATTTTATAATTTATAAAGATAATTGAAAATTCGACAAAAATTTTTTTAAATTTTTTACCATAATTGAATTTCTGCGAATAATTTTATTATCCGTGAAGATAATTGAATTTTTTCGAAGAATTTCATTAAAATTTTTGAAAATAATTCAATTCTTTCAAGAAATAGAATTAAAAATGAAATTGAAATTAATGATTAAATTCTAATAAATAAATTATATTAAAATCATTTAAAATAATTGCATTTTTCGAGGATTTAATTTAAAATTGTATTAAAAATAATTGAATTCTTGCCAACAATTTTATAAAAATTTCTGAAAATAATTTAAATAATTGATTTTGTTTTTGAAAAATATTAGAAAAATTCTGTTTTAAATAATTGAATTCCTGTGAAAATTTTTTCATTTATAAAAATTAATAGGCATTAAATTGAATAAAATTGCATTAAAAGTTCCAAGAATGAACTTTTATTACATACCTCTCCGGTACTTTTGTTCCCCAGGCTGTTTAATCCAATAACTTTTTTATACAACAACGACAAGCATGCGGATTTCAGTCTTCTGGCAGTTGTTACATTCATATTCCAACTCCAATTCATTAATGTCAATCGACAAATTTCGCAGAGTATTAACAGTAGGGCCCATTTTATTCCATTTGCATAAGATTCATCATTTTCTTGTAAAAATTCCAATACTTTTCGCATTAGTATTGCCTATTTAGGAAATAATTTTATTATTTTTAGTTTCCTTTGGAATTTATGATGACTTGATTTTGTGTAAGAAATAAGATTAAAAAAAATGTGACGCGCACGTCACAAATTTTTTTTTTAGATTAAAATTACTTGCAGGACTCAAGAATCCAAATATGACAGAACAACCGTATAGAATACACGAGAGGAAAATTCTCGTTCGTGCAAATCTCCAAGCAACCAGTGTAAATGAAGCTCCGTCTGATCCTCTTCTACCCAATTCCTCTTTCCAGAGAATTTCCAGTCTGAAAAATTAAAATTAGATTTAAGTGCTTAATATTTCAATATATAAAACTAAATTTAGTAATTTTAAACTCTTCATTTTTTCAGAATTTCTAAATCAAATTTTTCAAATTTTAATTTAAAAACCTTTTAAAATTTAATTATTTCTTAAAATTTCTGTTATAATGCTTCTAATGTTCAATTATTTTTCAAAATTTTAAGTGAAATTCTTTTTTAAATCAATTCTTAGTGGAAAATTTAAAGAGAATTATATTATTTAAATAGAAAATAAATAAATATTAAATAATTGAATTAAAATTCAATTTTCATAGAGAATTTTCTCAACATATTTAGGCTAATTCTTTTTTAATAATTGAATGTACTACAAAATTTTTATTATTTATGAAAATAATTGAATGTTTGCGTAGAATTTTATTACATTTTTTTTTTAATTACTAAATTGATTTGGGAAATTTTATTAAAATAGTAAAAATTCAAAATCCTTAAATTGAGAAATATTTCTTAAAAACTACATTTTTCGGATTTTCTAAATAAAATTCTTCAAAATTCATTAATTTTCGTTTAATAAAAATTCTAATACTTATTATTTATTTGTCTACTAGGAATTAAAATTTTAAAATATGTATTTTCAATGTAAAACTTTTTGAAATTTGATTAAATTCAGAACTGTAACTCTTCGAATTGTTGAAATTTTTTTTAAAAATTTTAATACAAAATACCTTTGAGAATTGTAGGCACAAGAATTGAATATCGATGTATTGGGCAAGTCATTTTTGTCAATTCCTTTTCGATACGCCTTCCAAAGATATTTTGTGAACCATGTTAAATAGAGGAAGGAAAATAAACCCACATTGTCTTCCGGTGGCTTCTCTTTTTCCCTAGAAAACAATTTATAAATACACTTTTATATGTAAAAATATTTATGAAACTTAAAAATTTGAAAAAATATTGAAAATTACCGAAAGAAATACAAATTTGTTGTTTATATAAACAACTAACAAAATTTTAGTTACCAAAAAAATCATTTTTTACAAATATTTTCTATCTTTATTTCTTTTTCTAAATTTTCCTGTTTTTCTTTTTGGTTAATTTTTCTCTAATCATAAAATGCATTTTGAAAGTAAGAGATAAAACTTCCTATTTTTCTATTATTTTCGGAAACAATTTTAATTAAGATTTTTTAAAAAACCTCATTTTTTCAGAATTATCTAAATAAATTTTTCATTTTTTAAAAAATTTTTCTCTGATCATAAAATGCATATTTTGAAAGTAAGAGATAAAACTTACTATTTTTCTATTTTTTTTTTTTTTTTTTTTTTTTATTATTTTTGGAAACAATTTTAATTACGATTTTCAAAAAACCTCATTTTTTCAGAATTATCTAAATAAATATTTCATTTTTTTCTAAATTTGTCTCTAATCACAAAATGCATATTTTGAAATTAAGAGATAAAACTTAGTTCTCCTAATTTATCATTGATTAAATGGATAATAAGAATTTTATAAGAAATTTAAGGATTTCCAAATCCAATTGTAAATTTCTCCAATTTTCTATTATCTAATTAATTTATTACTTTGTTTTTCATTGAGAATTATTTTTATTATTTAAATAAGTAAATTCTTTAAAAGCGTGTATGAAGAGAGAAGAGCAGATGTGCAAATGTTTGTGCAAACAAAAGGAGAAGATAAAAATTTACATGAATGAGAATATCATTCGACAATATTTAAGTTTACAATGCAAATATTTGTAAATTATTTATCTTACTTAACATTCGGCCGTAGAGGTATTAGATTTTGAAGTGCATTATTATATCGAGTTGATCCACGACCTGGAACGTATTTTATTGTTTGTTTCGTAGGCTCTTGTGTCGTTTGTCTTGAATCTGTGATCCTGTGAAAAAATTAATTTCAATCTATATTAAAATAATCGTTGTTTACATTTTTGTTTCTTAATTTATTTAATAATTTTTTAAAAAATAATTTCCAATTTTAAAATTATTATATTGAAAATCATCGAATTGTAGCAAAGAATTTTATTAAAAAAATTTGATAATAATACAATTCCTTCGAAGAATTTTATTATTTCGGAAAATAATTGAATTCTCGTGTAGAATTTTGTTAAAATTTATGAAAATTCGAATTCAATTCTTTTTGAAAAATTTCTTTGAATTTCTTTTAAAATAATGAAGTTTCTTTAATAATTTTAATTACAAATTTTGAAAATAATTGAATTTCATGAACAATTTCTTTCAAGTTTTTAAAATAATCGTGTTTGTTAATAATTGAAAGTAAACATTGAATTATTAAATTTTATTCAAACGTTTAGAAAATAATTGAATTCTTTTGAAAAATTTGAAACGAATTAAAAATAAATTGAATTCTTTCGTCAAATTTCTTTAAAAATAATTGAATTTTTTCAACAATTTTTTTTAAAAATTCAATTCTTTCATGAAATTTGATTAAAATTATTGTATTAAAAATAATTGAATTTTTGCAAAGAATTTTACTATTTATAAATATAATTGATATTTTTTTTAAAGAATTTATTAAAAATTTTAGAAAATAATTGAATTCTTTTGATATTTTTTTATAACGAATTAAGAAAAAAATTGTATTCTTTCGTGAATTTGTTTGAAAATAATTGAATTTTTGCAAAAATTTTACTTTATTTAAAAAAATAATTAAATTGTTTAGAAGGATTTATTAAAATTTTAGAAAACAATCGAATTTTTTCGTAAAATTTTATTAAAATTTTTGAAAAAATTGAATTTTTGCCAAAAATATTACAATTTATAAAAATAATTAAATTCTTAAGAAGAATGTTATTATTTATGTAAATAATTGAATTCTTGCGAAGAATTTTATTAAAATTATTGAAATTAATAAACAAGAATAATTAATTAGTAAATTAGTTAAGAATTGAATTTTTTAAAGTTTGAATCGGAAATTATTCAAAAATTCACATTTGAAAATAAAAAAATTACCCTATTTATCATAGAAATTATAAAAAAGTGAAAAATAAGAATAAGAATAAAACTTTTTATCTATTATAGATAATTTTTGTCAGAAGCGATAAATTTATCTAGAGGTAAATGACCTGGACTTTAAAGAATTAGAAAACTTACCTTTGATCGAGCATTTGTTCACTTTCAATCTCATCTTCTTCGGTATTTCCATTGTCGGGCATTTTACACGATTTTTTTTGTTCAACTATTGTAAAAATACTGTAAAATGAAGTAAATTTAAATTTTTTACTTTTGCAAAAACTTCTAATAAAAGAAAAATTAATATTAATTTTTATTAACAAAAAAAAAGAGTTGAGAATCTATTTGCAATTCTTTACTCTGTTAAAATTTCCATTTTTTACTACTGTTAAAAAAATATTCTCGTAATCTTCAAGTTTGATTGATAATTATGCATTTCTAACTTGAGAAATTATAATAATGACTTACCAAGCACTATTACTCCTTATCAAGGAATCAAATTACCATTTCCATTAAAATGATAATATGTTATTATAATACACACACATCCTGTTCTAACAATAATTTCTCAATCAAGTTGATCAACATTTTTTCTTTTGTAAAAATAGAATAGTTATTCACTTTGTATTCACTTTTAAAATATAGTTTAAAAAAACATTTGTTCAATGTTAATGAAACTACATAACTGTAAATATTATAACTTGTACTAACTTTAAAAAAACACTTGTAACTTAATTTTTATGTATAAAAAATGCTGATGGTAAATAGGTATTTACATGCTCTCACTGAAGACTCAACAGGTAAAAACGAAACGAGTATTCTCAAAAACTGTCATTTAAAATTACGCATGCGTTGTAATAATTGCGCTGATTGGTTTTAATATTTCTGTGTGTAAATTTAAAATATCTTATCGATTTCTTTTCTAATTCATAGAAAACGTGTGATTTTATTAAAAATTATTTATTATTTAATTCGTTTCAATTATACTCTGTACGCTCCGTACGCTCTGTACTGATTATAATATATTAAATATATCTATATCTATATCGATAATATAAATTTCTACGCTAAATTACCACAAGCTTCCCAGAATGAAGTTAGGTTTTTGAAATGCCAAACCGCATGAAGTTTGACACCTCATCTTGTTTTTTTTTTCCCGCTCCTGATTCAAAAAGGAAAACAAAATCAATAACTGGTTTAACAATATATCTATATAATAGATAAATAATTCAACACTACTTTAAATTTAAATTCGCTAATAATTGGAATGAAGAAATTATTCTAAAAAATTATAATAAAATTCTTAGAAAAACTTCAAAAAATTTTAATAAAATTTTTTGCAACGATTCAATTATTTTCAAAAATTAAAATAATTGAATTTCAGGGAAGAATTAAATTATTTTCCCCCCAAATAATGAAATTCTTCACTAAAATTCAATTATTTTAAATATTCACAAGAATACAATTATTTTTATTACAATTTTAATAAAATTTCTCTAAAGAATTGAATTATTTTTAATAAATTTAAATAAAATTTTACATAAGAATTGAATTATTTGCCATACAATTTTAATTGAATTCGTCGAAAAAATTTTGCAAGAATTCAATTATTTTCATAAATAATAATAAAATTCTTTGCTAGAATTCAATTATTTTCAATATTATTTTTATAAAATTTCACGAAAGAATTTAATTATTTTTGAAGATTCTTATAAAATTCTTTTTAAGAATTCAATTATTCTCAATGCAGTTTCAATTAAATTTCTCGAAAGAATTGAATTATTTTTAATAAATTTTAATAAAATTCTACATAAGAATTGAATTATTTGCCATACAATTTTAATTGAATTCGTCGAAATCATTTGCAAGAATTCAATTATTTCCACACATAATAAAATTCTTTGCTGGAATTCAATTATTTTTAATAAAATTTCACGAAAGAACGCAAAAGAATTCAATTACTTTTTAAAATTTGGATAAAATACTTTATAAAAATTCAATTTCAGATAAAATTATAGAAGTCAGTTGAATATTGGAAGCGTTAGAATGTGAATTTTTAGAAATAATTCAATTTCAAGATTTTTATATTGCCTGAAAATTGGAAATTTTTATTGTCCTTCAAAAATTAATTATTTATTATTTTCCAAAAGAATTATTAAAGTTTTGAATAATTTTATTTAAAAATTCCAAGAAAACAATTTAATTTCGAAGGAATTGAATTTCTAATTGTTGGAATTTCCTTTTTTTCAAAAAGGTTTTATAATTTGAAATTATTGAAAATATTAATTCCTGTGGAAGAATAAATATTTATAAATATATAATCTGAAAAAAAGCTGAATGAAAGGAATTCTTCTCGCTAAATAAAACCCCATCTTTATCATTTCACACGTTTTATTATCAAGTAAAGTACAATTTACAATTCAAGTGCTTATTTTTTTTCGGTGTTGACTAATTTTTCTTCATATTTCAAAAAATTGCATCTATTAACTAACTTACGGTGAAATTCATTTTTTTATCTTTGCATACAAAATATAAGTTTCTAGGAATATAGTCATACTTTTAAAGACGTGCAAATAGCAATCGATTCAAAATTTTAAGATCAATGATTTTACGTCGATATAGATGATGAAAAATGGAATTTAATAATTAACTCTTTCTCAGTAAAGAATTCAAAATTATTAGCAAAAAAATTCTTTGAGATGGAAATTTTCTTTCTTTATAAGTTGAATGAGAAACTATTTGATACAAAAAGCTTCGAAACTTAAATAAATACATAATTATATGTAAAAAAAAGAAATGTAATTTTTAAAAATCATTTGAGTCTAATTATTTTTTCTCTTGACTTGTACATATTTTTTCACGAATAACTATTAGACAATTAATTTCAATATAAGATTACAACTATATTATTGAAATATTCAAAAAAGTTTAACACAATATTAAAGTACTTAAAAGGTACTTTAGATCATTGATAAATTATTCTTATTAATATTATTCATCTGTAATTTATCGCTCGTACGAGTGTACGACATTCTCTCTTTCTCTAAAAAAAAATTCTAGTAATTACTGTTTTGCCTTAAATTTAGTTTCTATACGTAAAATCATTCATTCTTTCTTTTTTCTTTTTTAAAAAAAAGGGTATTGCGAGTTTTTTCTTATAACTTTAAATCGCGGACATTTGATTTCAACGAGCGTTTTTTTTTTAAAAACTATTATAGTTGCTTCCTCCCAATTGACTGTTTCCATAACCACGATTGTTTGGCGAGTATCCTCTGAAATTGTTGCCAAGACCAGCTACACGCGTGCGTTAGAAAAGATTTTTCTTATAAATTTCATATTTAATTTCGAATTAATAAGTTGAGAAAATTGATTTACTTCCATTTTCCATTTTTTTTTCTTTTTTTGGAAAAGAGGTATTTTACTATTGAGAAATCTGAATGGTCGTTTTAAATATATATTCTGAGAATTTAAATTAAAATTACTTACAACCGCAGAAATTGCTAATTCCTCCGAGGGACATTCCACCACCGCCGCCGCCTCCACCGCCACCACCACCACTTGGTCCATTAGATGAGTTCAAGAACAGTTCAATATACCTATGAGACATGTGACTCTTATCCTATTGGAAAAGAAAATAAAAATCAGTTTCGAATTTCTAAAGAAATTAAAATTTTCCGAAAAAAATTTATAATAACCTTGGACATGGCTTTAACGGCTTCTTCGTGACAACCAAATTCAACGTCAGCTTCACCAGAAGCGCGACCACTGTTTTCCAAAATGATTCGAATATTTATTGGCACTAGAGGCCGGAAGAACTGAAATTAAAATAAATTTGTTAAATTAAAATAAATAATCTAAACGAAAATAAATTAAATTAAAATAAATAATTTAAACGAAAATAAGTTAAATTAAAATAAATAATTTAAACTAAAATAAATAAGTTAATTTTAATAGAAATAATAAATTACGTCAGCAATATCCTGTTCCGTAGCTCTAAAGGGTAGTCCTCTCATATGAACGCAATGCATGTGAGAATTATTGCCTCCATTCCAATTGTCACAATTTCCACGGAAATTACCACCGCCTTTCATATCCATTCCGCCGCCTCGCATTCCCATTCCACTTCCACGTGAAGAAAAATTATTACCACCGCCGCCGCCGCCACCGCCACCACCACCTCCCCACAATCCTCCGTCAAAATCTAAAATCAAAGAAAATTATAAGAAAATATTCTTCTGAATGAAAAAAAAATTCTGAGTTTCAAAAAAAAATCAGGGTTGCCACAAAATGATATTAAATATAAAATTCCAAGATTTTCCAGGTCAATACTTATGAAATTACAGTCAAAAATTTAAAAAATTTCTAGCCCAATAATACATCTTCAGCTCTAAGATTTTTTTTAAACTTCCAAATACCAAAAACTTAATAAGAATTACAAAGCAAAAATTTTTCTTCCTTAGATATTTTTATATGGCAATAAGATATTGTTTTTTGTTTACTAACCATTATTAGTACAAAAATTTTTTACTGGTCCTATCTGCGTCATCAAAATTAATTTAATTCACAATTCATAAAACGTAACCACAGCCGATAATCAGCAGAAGATGAGAAATTATTTTTTGAGCGAACTTTATTTTCTGTTTACCAACAATTGTTAGTACAAAAATTGATTTACTGCATTGAGAATAATTGAATTTGTACAAAGAATTTTATACAAATTCTTTTTTAAATAATTGAATTCTTTCAGGAAATTTTATTAAAATTATATTAAAAATAATTGAATTCCTGCCAATTTTATTATTATGTATGAAAAAATAATTGAATTCTTGCAAATGATTTCGACGAATTCAATTAAAATTGTGTTAAAAATAATTGAATCTCGTGGGAAGAATTTTATTAAATATTTTTCAAATAATTCAATTCTTTCGAGAAATTATATTAAATTTTTTCACAAATAATTTAATTGTTCTAATAAATTTCATTAAAGTTGAAGTTTTTTTAAATTTTTAATCAACTTCAAATCTTGTAAAGTTTAATGATTCTTTTCGAAAACTAGAATCAATGTAAAAATTAAATTAAATCTTTTCAATATTTTTAAAAGTTGATGGACAACAAAATTCATGATCCACAAGTTTTTAACGTTCAAATGAACGAAATATTTTATATTAAAAATATTTTTATAAATTACTGATTTGAATAAAAATTTAAAACTTAGACTCTACGTTTAAAAACTTTAAAAATTAATTTTTTTAATAGTGACTCAAAATTATTGTAATAAAAATTGAATTTAAAGAAGAAATAAATCAATTTCGTTCATTTGAACGTTCAGAACTTTAGGATCATCAAAATTCAGAATTTCCTTATCATTATCAATATTCTAGAAATTGAATATTTTTCCCAGTCCAATTTTAATTTTTCTGACTTTTTCCTAATTTCCCTGACCTGTCCCAATCCCGACAAAAATTAATTTTCCTTTTACATAAAGAAATAAATTCTTAAAGAATAACAAAACATATTTACCTCTATTTCTTGCATTTCGTCCATTATTGTTGAATCGATTCATTCCACCGAATCTATCGCGCTGATCGTATGGGGCTGGTCTTTGATTTATTCCAGTCAACGGACCACCTCGCATTTTTGGCCCAATACTAGCGCGTACTTCAGATAAACTGCTTCGGAAGATTTCGATATATCTGTTGACGATTGCCAAAAAAAGTTATTAGAAAAATATTTCAGAAAGAAACAGCCATAGAAAGAAAATATTCTCAGCATTTTCTCAATTAGAATATATTTTAGAATGTTTAATTAATTTTTGTTTTGTTTATTTTTGTTTGTAATTTTTACATAATACGACAAATACTTTTGTTTTTCTGACAGAGTTTAAAATATCAATGTGTGCCATTCCGATTATTCCACTTGACCAACTATGATTTAAGGTCTTTTTTCAACGTCACCAGATTTTTCTATTATAGATTTCATTTTCTATAACAATCAAAAACAAGTTTAGGTCGCGTTCTTTTTTTTTCTTAACTTTTACTTACAGACAACTGCCTAATATCTAAATATATAAATTTTAAAAATTAATAGATTATATTAACAGTCATATTATTATGACAAAATTAATTAATAAATAATTAAATTGTAGATATAATTTAAAAATATTTAAAAGTATATCACTCACTCCCAAGTAAGGTGTACCTAAGAAACAAATTTTAGTTTTGGGGTAAAAATGCAGAAAGAGAAGCAATTATACAATTACAAATAATGTTCAAGTCTTCTTTAATCCGAAATATTGCGTAGGATTTTATGGAATTCAACCGAAACTTCTAATTAAGGTAAACATAATACAAAATTTGCTTCTTAGGTTTCTTGGGAACACATAAAATATAATTTATGACATTATACTTACTATAATTAAAATAATTAATTACAAGCTTCGCACTAAATAATTAATTTTCAAAAAGTGTCAAATAGTAGCTTTAAGAATGAAAAAAGTAATAAAAAAAATGTAGCTATCGAAAAATTAAATTTGACGACTGAAAAATACGTTTTAAATTTACAAAAATTAGAACAAAAAAAAAAATTTGATTCTATATTTCCCTGATTTTCATAAAAAATATTCACTTTTTTTCTCAACCTATTATATTTCAAAATAACTTTTTAAAAGTAAAAATATAAATTTTTTTTAAAATATAAAATTTACTTCAATTAAATTTGAAAAAAACTTGCAATTAATTGGAAATTTAAATAAATATTTTTACTTTTTGCTTCAAATTAACTGTACTCAAAAAATTTAAATTAAAATTTTTCAAAAGACTAATTTTTTTCATAATTTTCTAAATTAAATTATTCATACTTGAATAATTTTTATTCAATAAATTATAATAAATAAATTATCTCTTAGAATTAAATAATTATAAATAATGTTATCAAAATTATGCAAATAATTCATTTTTTTCTAAAAATTTTAATAAAATTTTTGAAAATAATTACATTTTTCGAGGAATTCATTTAAAATTGTATTAAAAATAATTTAAATAGTGTAAAGAATTTGATTCTTTATAAAAATAATTCAATTCTTACAGCAAATTTCAGTAAATTTTTGTAAATAATTAAACTTGTTTAAAGAATTTTATTATTTATCAAAATAATTGAATTCTTTCAACGAATTTCAAGAAATTTTCATAAATAATTGAATTCCTGTGAAAATTTATTTGTATATTTTAAAATAATTGAATTCTTGCAACAATGTTTGGTAAATTTTTTTAAATAATTGAATTTCTGTGAAAATTTATTTGTATTCAATTAAATAATTGAATTCCTGTGAAAATTTAAGAAAATAATTGAATTCTTGCAACAATTTTCAGCAAATTTTTTTAAATAATTGAATTTCTGTAAAAATATTTTTTTTATTAAACTAATTGAATTCTTGCAACAATTTTCAGTATATATTTTTAAATAATTGAATTTCTGTGAGGAATTTTATTATTTATGAAAATAATTGAATTCTTGCAACGAATTTTAGTAAATTTTTTTAAATAATTGAATTCCTGTGAAAATTTAAGAAAAGAATTGAATTCTTGCAACAATTTTTAGTAAATTTTTTTAAATAATTGATTTTCTGTGAAAATTTATTTTTATTTATTAAAATAATTGAATTCTTGCAACAATTTTCAGTAAATTTTTTTAAGTACTTGAATTTCTGTGAAAATTTATTTTTATTTATTAAAATAATTGAATTCTTGCAACAATTTTCAGTCAATTTTTTTTAAATAATTGCATTTCTGTGAGGAATTTTATTATTTATAAAAATTATTTTTGGAAATTATATTTCATATAATTGAATTTCTGTTAAAATATTTTTATTCATGATATTAATTGAATTTTTCTAAATTATTTTATTAATTTTCTTTTTTAAATAATTGAATTTGTTTGAGAAATTGTAATAGTAGATTTTGAAAATATTTAAATTTTAGTGAAGGATTTCATTATTAGTGAAAATAATTGAATTCATGTAAAAAAATTTTGAATTGTTTCTAAGAAGAATATTTATTAATAATTAATTAATAATTATTTTATTTCAACTATTAGCGGATTTAAATTTTAAAGTAGTTCAAATTTTGAAAAAAAAATAAAAAAAGTATTTTTTAGTGTCACAAATTTTAAAAACAGTATCCAAATAGTAACTAATGGTAAAAAAAGTAGTAAATAGTAGGTTTTAGTAGATGAGTGCGAAGCCTGTAATTATAAATACAGAAATTTATTATTGATGAAATCTATATTTTGATTTTCTTTAAATTTAGAAATGCAAGTGAACTTTAATTCAACATTTCCATGAAATTGTTAATTTTCAGAGACAAGTGACTCTGAAAATTATAGTAAATTATATATTATAATTGTTTAAAGTGCACTTACTAAAGAATATTATAATATAATAAAATAAACGTTTACCACCTGCGGCGTGCCCACCCTTCGTCGGTTGATAGTCTTGGGGCAGCCCTACCCACCTCCCATGGGGTATGAAGATGGTGTAAGGGGGTACCACCTCCCGCCCAGCACCCACCCCTAGGGTTCAGTAGGGCCAACAGTACTTTTTTGCTTGCTTACGTCTCATTCTCGTGTGCTCAAAAAACCATCACACTCTCTCTCTCTCTTTCTCTTCATTCTATTTCTTTTTTTTTCTTATAAAATTTGTTCTCTAATTACAAAAACTCACAAAAAATTGTAACCAATTTTAAATTATAAACTCTGACCAAGTTGGAATTATTTCTCGAAAAATTTGCCTTTGTCTTAGAAAATACTATCCAACTCATTCAGAGATAATTTTCTTACAAATATATCTCAAGTGTGAAGCGACCATTCGAAAAAAAAAATAAATAAATATGTAAAAAATTTACATTGAAAAACAATGTCGGTGACGTGTCATAGTTGGCAAATGTGTTCTTTTAATAGACCTATTTTTTTCTCTGGCAAATTTAATTTTTTTTTTGCCAATCAAAAAACTAAATTGAAAAAAAAAATGAAAATAAAATACAAAATAGCGGGAGAAAAAAGAATTTCTGTCCCTCTTATGAAATAAAAAATCGTAAACCTATATTGTAAACTACAATCGTAAAATGATATTGAAAAATCATAAGTATACCCAAACCCATCAGGCCCCACCTGTGTCCTATCTTTTCCTTGTGTTTCTGCAGAGCGCGCTCCGCAACATCTTTGTTAACAAATTGAACGTAAGCCTCCCCAGTACTGCGGCCCGTGAAGTCTGTTGGTAGCGAAATCCCGTTCGGCAATATCTCCAACCCTGACCCACACATAATCAAACAACCATATTGTAGCGAAACGCCCAATTATCAATTAGATATATCGTCAACTTATTTATTTTTTTTTTTCATTTATTTATTTTTTCAAAGAGAAATTAAAAAAGAAAAAAAACACCCTTACACAAAGCGAAAAAACAAACCATCTCTATTAAAGTTGGCGTCCAAAAATCATTTTTACTCATTCTCTTTATTTTTTTTTTATAGAATATCAGGGACATAAAACAAAAAATTCGATTTTTTCGATTTTAAAGAAAACGCAAAAATAATTTTTGTATCCAATAAATATTTTGTTGTCTACAAAAATAGATACTCGACACACGCTCATAAAAAAACCGATAACTCCTTTTTATCAAGTGTGGAAAAAATCGAAAATCTATTTCATTTTCCCTGTTTTAACACTAATTTTTGTAAAAAAAAATATTTTATCAAATTTAGATACACTGGAAAAAAACTATTTAACTTTAAAGAAAACCTTTTATCTTAAGCAGATTTTCCTCTTAATGTTTATTTAAGAAGAAAATACATTTATTTAGAACAAAAGGAAAGTCTTTTAATTTTTAAACAATAACCTTTAATTATTAAAATAGGAACCGTTTTAAAATTGAAAGGAACCGTTTTTGAAATGAAAATAATAGATTTAATTAATTTATATATTTAATTATTTAATAATAATAATAATAATAATAATTGTTTAAAATTATTTATAGTATTATATATCATTTTTAAATTAATTAAAATTATTAATTTTATTTTATTCAATTCTAAATCAATTCTTTTTAGAAACTTTTACGAGAATTCAATTATTTAAATACAAAAATAAATGATTTATTGAATAATTAAATATTTCTTAACTTTGAATTATTATAAACTATATCAACATATTTTAAAATAATTGAATTCTTTCAAAGAATTTTATTTAAATTTTTAAGAATAGTTGCATTTTTCGCGGAATTTATTTAAAATTATATTAAAAATAATTTAAATCCTGCGATGAGTATTAATATTTATAAAAATAATTGAATTCTGACAACGATTATTATTAAAGATTACTATTAAAATTTTAAAAAATTATTGAATTCCTGAGAATTTTATAAAAATCTATTTAGATAATTGATTTTTTTTTTTTGAAAAATATAAGGAAAATTCTGTTTTAAATAATTGAATTCCTGTGAAAATTTTTTTATTTATGAAAATAATTGAATGTTTGCAAAGAATTTTATAAACATTTTGTTTAAATTCTTTAATTTTTTTGGGAAATTTTTTATTAAAATATTAGATATTAAAAATCATTGAATGTCTGCGAAATTTGTTATACTTTTGATCCTTTTGATAAATAATTGAATTCTTGACACAAATTTTATTATTTGCGAAAATAATTGAATTTTTGCAACGAATTGTATTAAAATTTTTTAAAAAATAATTGAATTCCTGAGAAGAATTTTTTTATTTTTAAAAATAAGTAACTCTATTAAAATTTTTTTATTTCAACTGTTAACAAATTTAAAGTAGTGTTAATTCTCAAACATGGAACAAAAGTAGCTTTTAGTGTAAAAAAATACACGTCAAACCTTTTGTAAATTTAAAAGATTCCTTTTACAATAAAATGAATTTTATAAATCATTAAAGGACTTGTTTAAAAAAAAATAGTTTTGTTTAATAAATCATTTTTCTCAGTGTATTTGTATATATTTTATTAAAAAATCCTCCGATATTAATTTTCTAATTCAAACTTGGATATCTTTTTTTTAAAAGAAAAGAAAAATATCAAGATGGAATTTGTAAAAAAATTATTTCATTTCAAAATATGAATTGCGAAGAAAATGGAAAATATAAGAGAAAAAAAAGCAATTAGAGAAAAAATTATTTCAAATACCTGAGAAAAATTGGGCGATTTCTTCTTTTGAACAACCAAACGGAAGACCACGTAGCCTAACGCATCCGTCGTCCATAACGTTTTCAAGATTTAAGCCACTTCTTTTCACCACCCAATCCATTTCTCCTCGTTTTGCTTTGAATACTGCAAAAAAAATTTAATTAATTTTCATTCATATTGTTTCGAAGAAAATTTAAATCCCTTTCTGTATTTTAATTAAAATTCGTATTGAAAATAATTGAATTCTTTTAAGGAATTGTATCAAAATTTTGGAAAGCAATTGAATTCTTTTAAGGAATTTTATTAAAAAATTTTTAAACAATTCAATTCCGTTAAGAAATTTTATAAAAATTGAATTGAAAATGAATTCCTGCGAAGAATTGTATTATTTATGAAAATTATTGTATTCTTGACAAGAATTGAATTCGAATTTTTGAAAATAATTTATTGTCCAGAAGAAAATTAAAATTTCTTTTAAGAATTTATTCGTTGTTTTAAATTACCTTCAATATAACGATGACCCATGTGATCTCTGTCTCTTTTGCATGCTTTCTCAATATCTTCTTCGGAGTCCATTTCAATATATGCTTCTCCACTAGGTCGTCCTTCTCGAGACATTGTCATGTGAATACCGGCTTTTCCATGCGAAATACTGCAGTCGCAAAAGAATTTCATAATTTCATCCACCGTTGTCGACCAGGGTAAACCCCTCACCTTCACGACATAACCCTCCTCGTCATGATCACCACTGTTATTCGACATCCTCTTGTCGTTCTAATGACAATAAATATAATTATAAATCACGCAATTTCCAGTCCCTTCTCGTTTCTTTTCTTTTTCCGAAAAGAAAAGGCAAAACACAAATCAAGGATGAAAAAACAGGTTTTATATATTTAGTTCAAACAAGAAATCACCGAAAAAAGGCATAAAAAAGAAATGTCGCAGAAATCTTCTTTTGTAGAAAAAAAAGAACCTCGTAAACTTAAACTACCAAAAAGTTGTTCAAAAATCCCGCAATATAAATTTAACGAATACTGATATTAGGTAAAAATTATAAAGAAAAAATGATTTACTTTTTAAAACGTGTGTGTCAAAGCGAAAATATTAAAGGGACGCTAACTGATACGATTTTAGGAATTGCAAATTAATCAAATTAATCATTAAAATATGTTGTTTTACTACTTACGAATTTATTCGGGTCTGTTTGTTCCCCCAATCGTTTGATAATTCAATAAAAAACCTTTTATTTAGATGTATTTTATATGTCCGCGATAATGTCAGGAAATACTCCGGAGGCAATGAAAATTCACTGCTAAAATGGCGGAAAACGAGTGAAAGGGGAACGCTCGTTCTTCCCACACTCGTGCAATGATTTTTCTCAACGCTGATTGGTCAAATTTTTCCGGCTTTCTTGCGCATTTATTTATCAAGTTCGGAAAATTTAAATCATTTTTTTTATTTAAATAAAAATAATATTCTCCCTGGTGCATATTTTCCTCTTCTCGATTCTTAAAATCGTATTAGAAACTTAAAAAGCCCAAAAAAACATCGAAAATTTAGTAAAAACTCCAAAAATATCGAAAAAATTACATATAAAGCTGCGTTCACAGTAACATTTTTCCGCGCGAAATTTAAGAGTGATAAAAATATTTGAAAAAAAGAAATTTATTCTTGTTTATTAATTTCTAAAATTTTAATAAAATTCTTCACAAGAATTCAATTATTTTTTCATAAATAATAACAATCTTCGTAAGAATTCAATTATTTTTATAAATAGTAAAATATTTGCAAAAATTCAATTATTTTTTAACAAAATTTTAATAAAATTTCACTAACGAATACAATTATTTTCTAAAAAATTTAATAAATCATTCGAAATAATTCAATTATTTTTTTAAATTCTTTGAATAAATTAAATTATTTTTAATAAAATTTTAATACCATTTCACGAAAGAATTCAATTTTTTTTTTATTTTTTAATAATATTTTTCAAGAAAATTCAATTATTTTTTAAAATTGTAATAAATCCTTCAAAACAATTTAATTATAGTTATAAATAGCAAAATTCATTGAGGAAATTCAATTATTTTCCAAAAAAATTTCACGAAAGAATTCAATTTTTCTCTTAAATTGTTATTAAAATATTTCAAAAAAATTCAAATATTTTCTAAAATTTTAATAAATCATTCAAAATAATTCAATTATTTTTTTATATAGTAAAATTCTTTGCAAAAATTCGATTATTTTTAATACAATTTTAACAACATTTCGAGAAAGAATTCAATTTTTTCTCATTTTTTAATAATATTTTTCGAAAAAATCAATTATTTTAAAAAAATTCAATTATTTTCTAAAATTTTAATAAATCTTTCGAAACAATTCAATTTTATTTATCAAAAGTAAAATTTTTTGCAAAAATTCAATTTTTTTCTTAATTTGTTATAAATTTTTTCCAAAGTATTCAATTATTTTTTTAAATTTTAATAAAAATTAATAATTAAATGTTCAATTTCAATTTTTAACAAACACGATTATTTTAAAAACTTGAAAGAAATTGTTGATAAAATTTAATTATTTTCGAAATTTTCAATTAAGATTATTTAAGAAACTCTATTATTTAAAAAAAATTCAAAGAAATTCTTCAAAGAAAATTTAATAAGAATTTTCAAAAATTTTAACAAAATTTTTCGCGAGAATTTAATTATTTTCCTAAATAATAAAATTCTTCGAAGGAATTCTATTATTCGAATCTCAAGGAAATATTCGACATTTTGGATAAATTTCATGCTCGTGGAAGAAGATTTTTGAAATTTTTATTTTTAAACAAACCTGTTTATAGGAAATTAATACATTTAGTCATTTAATTTCATAATTGTTATAACTATTCAAAAAAATGTTTTTACTTTTTAGATTTATACATACAATATTTTAGACCATTTACGCATTATTTATTTTGGTAAATTAAAAAATAATCGCTAACTTAACATTTTGAAATAAAGAGTCATCCTGTCATTTTTAATCTTAAAATAGCGTATTGTATTCCTTATTATATATTAAATATTCAGTATCAACATTTAGTGTACATAATATAAAAATTATGACGCCAATCAAATCGAACTTATTTTGTGGATCAACTTCAAATTCAAATTTTCACCTAATGATATGTTAATTTTAGTACATAATAATCAGTCAGTAATTAAATTACAGTCAATTTTTCATTATAATAATAATAATAATAATAATAATAGTAATAAATCCATTGTTAAGGTAAATTTTCCCGGTAAATTTGTTTGACAGAATTAAATCTGCCTTTGAAATCACAAAGTGTTAAAAGAAAAATCTTTGGCTTTGAAATTGATCCAAAAAAATCTGTTCAGATTTTGTTAATTTAACACTCACTCGTATGAACTCGTATAACAAATTCGCTGTTGTATGTCGTAGAGATCATTTTTCTTTTTCGTAAACAAATGAAAAGGGAAAGTTTATCACTCGTAGTATTTGTAAAATATACACAATTCTTTTTTTTTTTTTTTTTCTTTCTTTTTTTGCACAAGTTATTGTCCCAAAACTTGACCTCGGCCCCAATTGTAACCACCGAATACATTTCTCCCTTGAGCTTGTGCTCCCTGAGGTGCTGCTGTTCGTTGCGATGGAGCCGTTCCAAATCCTCTAATACCTCCTCTTTGTGGTGGGAAATAATTTTCCAAAATTTTCGGCGTACTTAAAAGATCTGGTCCACCGAATTCCTGGGGATATTTGAATTTAAAGAAGAAGTACAAATGTCCCACCAGAATGCCCACCAATTCCAACATTCCACCGCCGGAGATAATCAAATTGAAGCCAAATAGCACCCAAGGTAAATACATTGCCTTGAATTTTGTTCCTGAAAAAATAAATCAAAAATTCCTTTATTCAAATGATTTAGAGAAAAAGACAAAATTAATTTTCAGGCTTCGCAATCAATAATTAATTTTAAAAAATTAGCAAATTATGTAAATAATTGAGTTTTTTCTAAAAATTTTAATAACATTTTTAAAAATAATTCCATTTTTCGAGGATTAATTTCATTAAATTTTTTTCCATAATTGAATTTCTGTGAATAATTTTTTTAATTATGAAAATAATTGAATTCTTGCAACGAATTACAGTAAATTTTATTAAATAATTGAATTTCTGTGAAGAATTTTATTATTTAAGAAAAAAATGCAATTCCTGCAATGAATTTCAGTAAATTATTTTAAATAATTGAATTTCTGTAAAAAATTTTTTATTTAAGAAAATAATTGAATTCTAGCAACGAATTTCAGTAAATTTTTTAAATAATTGAATTTTTGTAAAGAATTTTTTTATTTTTAAAAATAATTGAATTCTTGCAACGAATTTTAGTTAATTTTTTTACATAATTGAATTTCTGTAAAGAATTTTACTATTTATGAAAATAATTGAATTAATGCCACGAATTTCAGTAAATTTTTTTAAATAATTGAATTTGTTTAAAGAATTTTAATAACATTTTTTAATTTTGAGGAATTCATTTAAAATTGTAATTAAAATAATTGAAATCGTTTAAAGAATTATTGTATTATTTATAAAAATAATTGAATTCTTTCTATGATTTTTTTGATAAATATTGAAAATAAATAATTGATTGTTTAGATGAAAATTATTCTAATTATTTCTCTGATTTAAATTAAAATTATATTAAAAATAATAAATTGAACTCTTTATTTAAATTTGTATCAAAAGTTTTTGAAAATAATTGACTTCGTTTCTCTAAAATTCTATCAAATATTTTTGAAAATATTTAATATTTTAATAAAATTTTTGAAAATAATAACATTTTTTGAGGAATTCATTTAAAATTGTAATTAAAATAATTGAAATCGTTTGAAGAATTGTATTATTTATAAAAATACTTGAATTCTTGCAGGGAATTTCAGCAAATTTTTAAATAATTAAATTTGTTTAAAGAATTTTAATAAAATTTTTGAAAATAATTGAATTTGTTTAAAGAATTTTAATAAAATTTTGAAAATAATTGAATTTGTTTAAAGAATTTTAATAAAATTTTTGAAAATAATTGAATTTGTTTAAAGAATTTTAATAAAATTTTGAAAATAATTGAATTTGTTTAAAGAATTTTAATAAAATTTTTGAAAATCATTACATTTTTTTAAGGAATTCATTTAAAATTGTATTAAAAATTATTATTTAAATTTGTTTGAAGAATTTTATTATTTATAAAAATAATTGAATTCTTGCAAGGATTTCAGTAAATTTTGAAATAATTGAATTCCTGTGAAGAATTTTATTATAAATGAAAATAATTAAATTCTTGCAACGAATTTCAGTAAATTTTTTTAAATAATTGAATTTCTGTGAAGAATTTTATTATTTATGAAAATAATTGAATTCTTGCAACGAATTTTTGTAAATTTCTTTAAATAATTGAATTCTTTTGAGATTGATAATTATTTTACTTCAACTATTAGCGAAATTAAATTTTAAAATAGTTGAAATTTTGAAAAAATAGAAAGAAGTAACCTTTAGTGTCACAAATTTAAAAAAAGTCTTCAAATAGTAGCTAATGTTAAAAAAAGTAGTAAATAGTTAGTTTTAGTAGTCGAGTACGAAGTCTGAATTATGCATTAAAAGCAAATAGAAATGCAAATACAAAAACCGAATTACGCAACACTACGCATTCGAAAATATTGAAATTACCATTTTTACAATAAAAGTTTTCACTTGAACTTAAAAAAACACTCACCAAACCAAAAGTTGACAATGACATCTTTATTTAATTGACACCAAATGTATAATACGCTGAGGACCATGGGATCCATTAATAGAGGGAAATCTCCAATAAGACCGGCGATAACACAACAAATCCAATTAAACAGCAACATAAAGAAATAATCAGCTGGTCTTCCTTCATATTCACCTCTTTCCAATCTCAATGAATAATTATACAAAAAATAACAGTTTATCATAAAATGAAAACCTGTCGGAGGACTGAGGGGATAGAAAAATACACTTGTTACTGCTCGCCAAATTTCAAATTTGTGTACAAACGGATCGTATAAAAGCACTAATGTCATTGGATTTAAAAGACCAAATCTGCCAATTAATGACAGACAACCGGTCAAAAGCAACCAATATCTCGTAAATATTGGCAGAGAATTAAACCAGTCCCCCACATCAGACATTTTTTTTATTTTTTTTGTCTCACACTTTGACGAATATTTAACAACTATTACACTATTCTAATCTTTCTTATTCACTGACGTGTCACTTTACAATTTTCTCTTTAAATTAAAAACAGTGTTGTAAACCACGTAAACTGCTTTATATAGAACTGCACACATCGAATATATTCTAGGTTAAACCTTTGAACTTGATATTTGAAAACGAAAAGTGATTCAAATTTTCGTCATTAGCCGTAGATGGCGTATGTTCCAACTTAATAAAAAAGGACGTTATTATGTAATTTAATTGCAAAATTTGATTGGTCAAAGTTTAAAGGCGCTTGCACACTTCCGAATTTTTGGGCGAGCGATGAGAAGAAATTCACGTTGGTAAATATGATTGGCTTTCAACTTTTTGTAGAGCCAATCATATTTAGTGACGTGATTTGGTGAAGTAATCTTAAGGGTGAGATCACACTGGTGATAGCAGTAAAGTTTCATTCATAGGGCAAAATTGCAGTTACAGCGCCACGACGTCGAACTAGAGAAACAGGGACAAATGCAAAACACCATTTTCCCTTCTCTCACAATTGAAATGTTCATGTTTCATGAAATGGCTGCTTCTTGCTTTACTAAACTTGCTTAATGTAAAGCAAAGTTAAATCTAAAGAAAGCATAAAGAATATGATGCATCGACTATCGGAAATATAACATTATGACCGCATGAGTAGTTTGCCGCTACTGCATATATTTATTTTCATGGAACTTTATTAATCGCGACTTCATAAAGACGTGTTAAAATTGCCAACGGAGCAACGAACGTTGGACGTAATCCTGGTTTCTTTGGACGATCAGCCCGATGCGAACGATTGCAATACGCTGTGCGTCATTTCGAGGCAAACATTGCATGTAAGTAAAATGTTTATTACATTCTGTCATCAATAATCAATTATTCCAAACTTGTGTGACTTTTTTTCTTTTGGCAAAAATTTTGTTTCGCGGTTACTCCCTTTTTCTATATATATATATATATATATATATATATATTGCTCGTCGCCATAGAATAATGGCGGCTCGGACCGAACTAAAAAAAAAAATTTTTTTTTTTTAGTGAATTTCAGTTTTTTATTTGTGAATTTGATTTTTATTTGTAGATGTACATTGAAATAAGTTTTAAAAATTTGATCAAGTTCAGTTTCGTCATAATACATTTTTTTTCTATATATGTAGTAGTGATAAAAATTTTTATTTGCACTTGGATGGTATTGCGCGTGTCAAATTCTTTCTATTCATGAGTAAGTGAAATAAGTCTGTAATATATAGTGAATATTATACAAATTAACTATAATTACAGTATTTTCCTTGCCACTCTTTTTTTTATTATTTTTATTCTCTATTAAACACTTGGTATTTTTCTCACAATTTTTAAAATATTTTTTCTAATGAAATTTTAAAAAAATATTAAATTCAAGTGTCTACAGAAGTCTTGAAATATTTTCCCTTTATAAATCCATTTATTGATTTTAAATCCTATTACAGTCGAGTATAATATTCAAGTTAAGTGATTTAATTTTTTTATTAATAATATACTCGTAATATTCTGATATACTTTAATATATTGTGCGAAAATATAAATATATTAGTACTAATTTGAAATCTATTTTTTCTATTTTAATTTAAAATTAGGAATTATCCAGAATTTTCAATTTGTCGTGGATGTGTTCATTTAATACTGCATTACGTCAAGTAATTTATAATTTAGTTTCTTTTGAATATAAATTTGGAAAATTTTATCTTGAGAGAACTTATCTAATGTGGAAATTTTTATTTTTAATTACAGGGTGGACACATGTCAGTAAAATCAGTAAAGTCAGGGAAATGTCAGGAAAAAAATATTTTATCAGGGAAATTTAGAAAATTGAGACTTTTTTCAACTTATTTTTAAAAATTGCGAGTTTTTCGACTTTTCTTCCAAATATTGAAACAAAATATCATATTTTTTAGTATAAAATAATAAATAAAATAATTGAATTTCTGTGAAAAATTTATTTATTTATACAAATAATTTAATTCTTTCGAAAGATTTTATCAAAATTTTTGTAAATAATTGAATTCCTGTGAACAATTTTTTTTGTATTTATGAAAATAATTTAATTCTTGCAACGAATTTCAGTAAATTTTTTTAAATAATTGAATTCCTGTGATAAATTTTTTTTATTTATGAAAATAATTGTATTCTTGCAACGAATTTTAAAAATAGCGACTTTCTCGACTTTTCTTTCAAATATTGAAACAAAATATCATATTTTTTAGTATGAAAAGTAACTTATTTCTATTTTTATAAAGTGCGAAAAATAACTATAAACAAATCTTTCAAAAATTATTTTTTAATCGTTTTTTCTATTTAAATTTTCGATATATACATATACAGTTAAGAAGATTTTGAATAATTGAAATTTTGTCAAATATAATTGAAACTAATTAGTTTTTTTCAAGTATTTTGTTAGAATTTTTTAAAATCAACCTTTGAAGAATTTTAATTGCAAATTTTCAAAATATAATTTAATTATCAAAAATTTTAATGAAATATCTTTAAACGTAACTTTAAAAATGAAAATTAGCTTTTAATTTTTTAAAATTCAGTAATTTCCGAAAATTCAAATACATATAAAAAAATAATGACATTTTAGAATTATTTTTAACATTTTGAAGAAAAAAATCATTGTTCAAAATATTTAATTAAAATTCATTAAAAAATTAATTATTATTTTTTTTAAATAATACAAAAACTCTTAACAAATTCAATCATTGTTTTCGAAAAATTCATTAAAATATTTTTAAAAACTACATACTTAATTCTTAGAATTTAATTATCTTCGAATGAAGCAAATAAAAATTTACTTTTTTAGATTTAATAACATTTCCGATAAATCATGGTCATATTTATAATTAAAATTTTTAAAAATTGGATTATTTTTTAAAAATATACCTGAAAAAAACACAGACAGTTACAATTATAAAATTGAATTTTTGTATTTAAATAATTTAATTCTCGAAGAAGTTTCGGAAAATTATTTAAAATAATTGATTTATAGTTGAAAGTTTCAGAAAATAATGGAATTCAGGTTATAATTGTAATTTTTAGAAATTTATTAAATTTTATAAATTTTACTCATTTTCTGTAAATTTTTATATTTTCCTGTGAAAATAATTTTGTCAGGGTTAATAATTTGAATGTCAGTAAATTGATAAACTGAAACTTGTGACCACCCTGAATTAGAGTTTTAGCATTTTTTGATATTTTCATGTTTTGGAAAGAGAGCCACGTCATCGAGAACAATTTAGAAAGAAAATTTTATTTTGGAAATTGTAGAGAGCTGACGGGAGAATTATATTAGGTAACTTGACTTTAAGAAAAGTATTAATGAAAATTAAGTTTTCGGGGGGGAATTATTTATGTTTTGTATTGAATCATTGAATGTAATTTTTGTTTCTATTTTCAGTAGGTGACATGCCTAGTAGTCGTGACACTGTGCGTGCTGAACGTAATGGAAGATTTAAGTCGAGAAGAAGAGACAGTGCAAATAGTGAAGGGAACAGGCATAATTTTGAAATTAGTGACAAGAGACACAGAAAGCATGGGAAGAGTAAGAGTTCGGGTCGTAAGAAAAAGAAGAGATCAAGGGACAAGTCTCTAGACAATCAAGCGAAAGTTGCATCGGTGAAACCATTGGTAGAGTATTCGGATGTAAGTAGTGAAGATCTTTCAGAACCTGAAGCGGGGGAGATACAATCGGAGGATAGTAGGGGTAATAGTTATACCGATGGAGAGGTGCCTGAATCTTTGTTACAGAGACGATATTATGGTGGAGTTAGTCCGAGAACGAATCTTGGTGCGTCGCCAATTAGTGTGTCGCCAACGTCACCCGCGCAACACAGGCACATGGGAAAGCATTATTCACATGGTGAAGAGCAACAGCAGCAGCAACAACAACAACAACAACAGCAGCAACAGCAACAATTGACGATGATAAGAAAGAGTCCGGAATTCGTCGAAGATCCCAGGAGATATGTAAAGCGAAAAGAAAAGAAGCACAAGCGTGAGAAGAAGAAGAAACGTAGTCTAAGTCCATTTGCGAATTCAGCGAAGAAGAAGAAGAGAAAATCGAAACGTCACTCACGTAGTTTGAGTCCATCGCGAGTTGAGGAGATTGATTCAGTCAGTCCGGAGAGGATGAAACGAGCTGAGAGTTGGACAAAGTCACCGCCTTTGCCATTGAAGGACAGCACTTCTCCAATTTCTCCGGCAACTCCAGGGGACAATCGTGTTTTGAGTGATATGGACCTCGACTCCCCAGCGCGGGACGTTCGCAATGTCGACTCACCATCCCCGACTGTACCACAATCCCCACACACTCCCCTATTACCTCCTAGACCATTGTCCCCTGATTCCAACAAAATGAACCACGGAATGAAGCACAGTCCCGACAGACAGAAACACAGTCCCATGGGACACGTACGACGGAACAATAGTGTCAGTCCAGTGCATGGCTCTAGTCGCAAGCGACCTCACAGTCCAAGTCCCATAGCCAGGCGAAGAGATCACAGTCCACCGAGAAGACGAGACTTCAGTCCAAACGCAATGTCCCGAATGAGACACAGTCCCCCACCTCAAATGTCCCGAATGAGGCACAGTCCCAGTCCCTCCAACATGCGACGAAGGGAGTACAGCACCAGTCCCATGCGACACAGGGGCCGCAGGGACATGCCCGGCAACGTCGTCCCCATGGGCACCAATCCCTGCTCCCCCTCCGGCAAACGAAGACGAAGAGACGAATCCGACCGAAGACACAAACACCACGACAAGGACCGCAGGGACAAGCGAAAATCAACCTCCGCCCGAAGTCCCGTTCCCGTACGACTCCCCATGCCCCTCTCACGCTCCCGTTCACGAAGCCCCACTCGCTGGCGAAAAGTCCAATCCCGCTCCCGATCACGCTCACGTCGACGAAGTCGAACCCCAAAGAAGTCCCGCTCACCCAGCAAGTCACACAAATCTTCCAGAAAACACAAATCAAAAAGTCCCCGTCCCTCCAGAATCCCCTCGCCCCTACCTCATCGTTCACGCGCCAAAAGCCCCTCGAGTATCACGGCGAAAAACCTTCGAGTTCAGGCGAAAATCAGCGAAACTAGTCTCTTCGCAGAGCTAGTGAAAAATCGCAATATGCGCGAATTGGCAATGAAGAAACTACAGGCTGCTAATGAAAAGGCTGTCAATCAGGACGATATTCAAATAATCGACGGCGCTGACGAAAAAGACGGAGGAGTACCAGGGGCGGAAAGAAATGAAAATGAAAACGTTGTTTCGGAAATTCCGGTACCAATCCAAGTGGATGATGCGTCGATAGCGGCACGAACACCACCCCTACCGATTCATACGACCGCATCTCCTCAACAGCAAAATTCACCGGATTCAAAAACTCCGGTTCAGAATAATTCACAAGTTTCGACATCATCACAACCACCATTACCTTCAACGCAAAATGAAACTGCGGTACTAATGCCAATACCTGTTCCAGCACCAGTTCCAGTCAGTGTTCACAGTGTTGCTTTACCAGCACCGTCGCCGATTGCTGTTCTACCAAATCTCTCGGTACCACCGCCACCACTTCCGATTCCAGTACCAGCGCCAAATTCATCATCATCATCATCATCGGCAATATCCAAATTTAATACACCGAATAATTTGGTGCAAATAAAATCGGCCGATCCACCGAAACCACCGATTGTTGCTTTTAAAACAAAGAGCTTGTCGAGGCTACCACTACCGCCGGGAATCAATCAAAATGATTTGGAAAGCATTGACTCGCCACCGAGTCGATCTCCGACTCCGCCACCAAAAATTAAGTTGTCACATACGCCAACTGTTAAACCACCGGCGAGGAAGAGCATCAAGGATTTACCAATGCCGCCAGGTTAGTGATAAGAATAAATTAAATGTTTGTCGTTTATTGTTATTCAAATTTCTCAGTTTTGTTATCAAATAGGCATCAACTTGAATTTTTTTTTTTTTTCATCATTTCAGAACTAAAAATTCAAATTAAAAAAAAAAAATTTTAATAAAAGTTCTTTAAAATGATTGAACTATTTTCAAAAAAATTTGATACAATTTTAGAAAAAGAAGTCGATTTTCACAAATTCTGATAACAATTTTAAAAAAGAATTCAATTATTTTCAATAATATAATTTGATACAATTTTAGAAAAGGAAGTGAATTATTTGCAAAAATTTTGATACAATTTTAAATAAAGAATGCATTTATTTTCTATATAATTTTAATTAAAATCCTCGAAATAATTATAATTTTGTTTGAAACAATCAATTATTTTCAAAGTTTTACAATAAAAATCTTGTCAAGAATTCAATTATTTTCATAAATAATAAAATTCTTCGCAGGAATTCAATTATTTTTTTATCAATAATAGAATTCCTCGCAGAAATTCAATTATTTTCAATTCAATTTCAATAAGATTTCTTAAGAGAATTCAATTATTTTTGAAATTTTTAATAAAATTCCTTTAATGAATTGAATAATTTTCAAAAATTTTCATACGAATCTTTATAAGAATTCAATTATTTGCACAAATTTTGATAACAATTTTAAATAAAGAATTCAATTATTTTCAATATAATTTGATACAATTTTAGAAAACAAAGTAAATTATTTTCAAAAATTTTGATACAATTTTAAATAACGAATGCAATTATTTTCAATGTAATTTTAATTGAAATCAGAGCAATAATTCAATTATTTTCATAACTAACAATTTTCATTACAAGAATTCAATTATTTTCATAACTAACAATTTTCATTACAAGAATTCAATTATTTTCAAGTTTGTATATTATTGTCAAAAAATAGCAAATAGATAAAAATAATCGCGTTTTTGAAAATAATTTGCAAATGTTTTGTAAATAATTGAGTTCTACAAAAAACTTAGAATTGAAGTTATTATCAGAATATGGAAAGAAATGAAAAAATTTCTAGGAATCAGGAAAATATTAAGTAAAATTATATACCAAACCCTGAATAAAATAATTTTTCAACTTTTCGTAACTTAAATCGACTACAACAACTTTCTTTGGTTCTAAAGTCGATCCAAGATCTGGAATTAATTTTATTTAAAATAATTGTAGATAATTATAAAAAAAAATATATGTAACATAATGCCATGTATTTTCTGTTGTTGTTATTAGTTGTTTTATTGGAAAATTCGAACTGTAAGTAGGCTAAAAAATCATGCGGGTAGCACAAAGAGGAACAATTTGCTTGAATTCGTTTTACTCGAAATTATTTTAAATAAATTTATAATTTATAAAAATAAATAAAATAAAATTGTTTCCTATAATAATATAATATAACTATAAATTTATATATAAAAAACATATTTAATAATTATACATATAAACAAAATTATTTAATTTGAAGAAAACAAATTTTAAGAAAAATTTTATTATTAAAAAATTAGTTTTTTGCTCTCTGAAGAAAAGTAATTAGGACCTTGAATCAAAAATTAAATATTATGTTTTTGTAAGTTTTAGCTTGATTAAAGTTTCTTTTTATTTATTTAAAAATCAAACAATTTCAATTTTTATTTAAACGATTATTTGTAATTGTTAGATTTTTAGTTTCTTTTTATTTATTTAAAAATCAAACGATTTTAATTATTAACAAATAATCGTTTGAATTTTAAATACTAATTGAATTAGGAAATTTGTAGAAATTGACAGAAATATATTTTGATTTAAAAATTGATTAATAACTTTTTAAAAACGATTTTTCTAATTTACAGTTGTACCAGGTTCGGAGGATTTAAGCGGTGAAGACGATCCAAATGCGACACCGCCAACGATTGGTAGATTAGGACGTGTACAAGCTAAGCCACGATTAAAACGACCAAAAATATTGAAACGTCGAGGTTCACGAAATCTCATTCCCATGTATACTAAAGAAGAAGAGGGAAAGGGTTCAGATGTATTTGATTTGATAACACAAATTGGAGAGGGTACTTATGGACAAGTTTATAAAGCTTGGGATAAAAGGGCAAGTGTTGTTGTTGCATTGAAAAAGGTACGCTTGGAAAATGAAAAGGAAGGTTTTCCAATAACGGCTGTGCGAGAAATTAAAATTCTCCGTCAACTTAATCATAAAAATATCGTCAATTTGAGGGAAATTGTCACCAATAAGAAGAAACCAGAGGACTTTCGAAAGGTTTTTATTATTTTTTATTTTATATTTACTATTAGTAAAGAACGGGCATCACAGGAAGTTCCCTATTTCCCTTTTGAACCCCTTTTTCAATATTGTTACTTTCTTCACCTTTTTTGATGACTTGTCACTTTTTCCCCTTTTTCGGTGATTTGTCCCCTTTTTCATTCTTTTTTTAATAAAAAATAAAGAGGTTTTTCTATATTCCGCAATTTGTATACACAAATAAATTTTTGTAGGTTTTAATTTTTTTTCAAAAATTTTAATAGAATATTAAATAAAATTCTCGAAAGAATTTTAATTTTCTTCGAAATAATCAATTGATTTCAAAATTTTTCAATAAAAAATTAGGAATTCAATTATTTTCATAAACAATACAATTCTTCACAGAAATTCAATTATTTTTTATGAACAATAGAATTCCTTGCAGGAATTCAATTATTTTCAAATAAAATATATCTTAATAGAATTCAATTACTTTTAAAAATTTTAATAAACTTCTTTGAAAAAATAAAATATTTAAAAAAAATTTTATGGAATTTAAAATAAATTTCTCGAAAGAATAATAAATTATTTTTAAAAATTCTTATAAAATTCAAGCCAAGAATTCAATAATTTTATAAATGATACCATTCTTCGGAGGAATTCAATTATTTTCAATTCAATTTTTATTTAAATTTCTTGAGGATGTAAATTATTTTCAAAATTTTTAATAAAATTCCTTAAAAGAATTGAATAATTTTCAAAAATTTTGATACAATTCTTTAAAAGAATTCAATTATTTTTAATACAATTTTAATTAAAATTCACGAAAAGATTTAAATGTTCTTCGAAACATTAAAATTTTTTAAAAATTTTCCTAAAAATTTTGACAAGAATTCAATTATTTGTAATACAATTTTTATTCAAATTTCTTGAAGAATTATTTTCAATACAATTTTAATTAATATTCACGAAAGAATTTAAATTTTCTTCGAAACAATCGAATATTTTCAAAAATTTTCCTAAAAATTATGGCAAGAATTCAATTATTTTGAATTCAATTTTATTAAAATTTCTAATTAAAATTCAATTTTTTTCCAAATTTTTAATAAAATTTCTTAAAAAAATTGAAGAATTATAAAAAAAAATTTGATCCAATTCGACAATTAATTTATTAATAATTCAGTTATTTTCGAAATTTTTTATTCAATTCTTTAAAAGAATTAGATTATTTTTTAATTCAATTTTAATTAATTAAATCGATAGAATTTTTTTGCAACAATAAATTATCTATTTGAATTTTTTTTTGTTTATTTTTTTATTATTTTTATATAAAATGAAGTTTTTTTTGGAAGGAATTCAATTATTTTTAATACAATTATATATTTATTTATTTAATATTAACGGACCAATTTTAATAAAATTTCTTGAATTAATTTAATTATTTTCAAAATTTTTAATAAAATTTGTTAATATTTAATTATTAATAATATATTGGTAATTAAATTTTTTTTGAAAAAATTTAATTATTTTGAAGAATTTTAATGAAATTTTATCGAAACAAATTAATTATTTTCAAAAAATTTCCATAATAATTCGACGAAAAAAGTGAATTATTTGTTTAAGTTATAAAATTTTACATAGGAATTCAAATATTTTCATTGCAGTTTTAATAAAATTTTTGCTGTTTTAAAAATATACTTATTTGTTTAAAAGAAAATTTTGACTTTTAAGCATATTTTCAAAATTATTTTTTGAAGTAAATAAACATTATTACATTTCAATTGAATCATTTTTAAAAAAAATCTATAGAGGCGATGTTACACTTTAATGTAATTATTCTATTTTTCTATTATTTATGTGATGTTAATATTTAAAAATTTTCTTAACAGTTATTTTATTAAAAGTTATTTTCTGTCCAAGAATCATTCTTAATATATAACTTTTAACACATTTTAATTAATTGTTTGATATATTTTTTGTCCCCTTTTTCAGGAAAAAAAATCCTTTTTGACGATAAAAGTTACTGTGATGCCTGTAAATATAAATATAATAATACTATTATATTATTTACTATATTATTATTCCAAATGTTTAATTTATTAAACAATTGTAGTGAAAATAATATTTTCTTAATTAATAAAATTTAAAATTAATTAACAAAAAATAATGTAATTATATTCCTCAGGACAAAGATAAAGGTTCTTTTTATTTGGTCTTTGAGTATATGGACCACGATCTTATGGGTTTATTAGAATCTGGAATGGGAGATTTCAACTGCGAAACGAATGCAAGTATCATGAAGCAATTGCTCGAGGGATTAAATTACTGTCATAGTAAAAATTTTCTTCATCGAGATATAAAGTGTTCTAATATTCTCATGAACAATAGGTAAATTTATTTTTCTAAACTAAAATAAGTATTAGTGTGATTACTATTCTATTCATTTTTGAGTATGTTTTCTATTATACTAAAATACTATTCTAGAATTCTATTTTATTTTCTACATTTCTATCTATCGGTTTCTATTTCTAAAATTGTTTTATTTTCTACAGTTCGATTTCTAAAGTTCTGTTTTATTTTCTACAGTTCAATTTTTAAAATTCTATTTTATTTCTAGTATTTCTAGAATTGTATTTTAAGGAAAGAATGATTCACATTGAACAGTAGATGAGAATAATTGTGTACCCCTATTGATAGTGACAAGGTGGTCCCTTTTAATATGGACGTACACAATTTATTATTTTTACAGAGGTGAAGTTAAATTGGCAGACTTTGGACTCGCCAGACTCTATAATGCCGAGGATAGACAGCGACCTTATACAAATAAAGTAATCACATTATGGTATCGTCCTCCGGAATTACTTCTCGGAGAGGAACGTTACGGTCCTGCTATTGACGTTTGGAGTTGCGGCTGCATTTTGGGAGAATTATTCCTAAAGAAACCACTATTCCAAGTAAATAAAAATCTAGATTCGCAAAAAGAATCTACATTTTTTATAAAATCGATAATCCATCTTCGTGTTGCGCTCCAAAGAAAGAAAATTGTTTTAGGATTATATTTTTGTTAATTATCCCTTTTTTTATGTATATATCTCTTTGGAGAGCGTCACAGAAATTTGAAAAATTGAATATTTTAATTATTTATCTGTTGTTTTTTTTAGGCAAATGTTGAAATGATGCAATTGGAAATGATTTCGCGAATTTGCGGAACACCAACACCTGCGGTTTGGCCATCTGTGATAAAATTACCCCTTTGGCATACGCTTAAGCCAAAAAAATCCTATAGACGATGCGTTCGAGAAGAATTTTCATTTATGCCAGGACCAGCTCTTGATCTACTTGACAAAATGCTTGAACTGGATCCTGAGAAAAGAATCACTGCTGCTGATGCACTTAAAAGTAGTTGGCTAAAAGATGTGCACCCCGAACAGTATGTCTAATCAAATTATATTATTTTTTTTTTTTGGTTTCGTTTTCTAAAAACAGTTGTAAAAGAATTTATTTTGTTTTATGTGATACTATTATTTTTATCAAAAAAAAAAAAAACATGAAAGTGATAAATATATTCAGCGTTTTTTTCAGTAATTTGTAAACTGGTATTTTATTTTAGTAATGTCAGGCCTCGGATATTATGACTTTTTCGACTATTTTCAAATAATTCGACTTTTACCGACTTACATCAGAAATTTGGGACTTTTTCGACTATTTTCAAATAATGCGACTTTTATCGACTTATATCAGAAAATTGGGCCTATTTCGACTTTTTTACAAATTTTTTAAGATTCAATTAGCTTTGAACAATTAAACATATTAAAATTATTTAAAATTTACTTTTCTAGACTTATTAAAATTTCAGAGAAATCATTCATAATTAAAATTCTTCAAAAATTGGATTTTTTTACAAAGTGAATTATTTTTCAAAGATTTTATCAAATTTTAATTATTTTTCAAAGATTTTACTAAATTTAAATTATTTTTTAAAAGATTTTACCAAATTTCAATTTTTTTGACATTTTTTAATTGTATATTATAGTCTTTCAAAAATTATTTAAAAATATTTTTAAAAAATTAATATTAAGAATTTTTTTATTAAAATTTTTGAAAATATTCTACCTTTATATATTTAAAAAGAAAAATGGACAGTTTCAATTATTATAAAAAGTTGAATTTTTGTATTTAAATAATTGAATTCTCGAAGAACTTTCGGAAAATTATTAAAAATTAATATCTAGATAATTGATTGAAAGGTGATGTTTAGTTAAAAATTGTAGAAAATAATTAAAGCTTAGTTAATATTAGTTATTATTAGTTTTTAGTTGAAATTTTTAGATATTATTAAACTTTAAAAGTTTAAATTTTTAAAATTTTATTTCTCGCGATTAAATTAAATTATTCATTTTAATTATTTATTTATTTATTCCCGTGATTTAAAAAAGAAGTATTTAAATATTTATTTAGCAAAATTATTGAATTTTTGATTAATAAAATTTAGAAATCAGTGAAGAATCAGAGAAATACAAAGTAAAATTTTTGTGACAAATTAAATAAACGACTTTTTCGACTTTTTTTTCTATTTTTAATCGACTAAAGCGACTTTTTTTGCTTGTTAAAGTCGATCCAAGGCCTGTAATGTAGGTTTTATTTTTCTATCCTTTTTTGAGGGCCTACGAAATTCGGCAATATTTTTTCTGTATCGAGAAAAATGATTAAATCTTAGATAGCATTTTTTTATGCTTATTTTTTTCGAGAGGAATTTAATGGTTAGATAGTTATTTTGCCAATTATTTTTTTTTAATTGATAGATTTTAAAATCCATTTGTAGAAAATGTTTTTGTATCCACAAAAAAAAGTTGCCGAATGAAAAAATGAAGCATTTTTGAAAAAAAACTGTTTTTAGGTTGAAAATGCCAAAATGACATTTTTTTATATAGAAATTCTTTTTTCTAATTAAAAATCATTTTTTTTATAGTGACTAATTAAAATTTATTTCTAAATATTCTAATTTTTTAATATTTTTTTTAATATTCTAATTTTTTTAATTGAAAATTTTAGAATACCAGCTCCAAAGCTTCCGAAAGATCAGGATTGCCATGAATTGTGGAGTAAAAAACGTCGAAGACTATTGCGTGATCAAGAGATAACATTGGGACGAGTCTCAATTCCGCCACTTGTTAATGAAGGAGGTGGCGGCGGTGGTGGTGGTGGTCAACATAGAATCAATGAAGAGCTATTATCAGACGTCGGGGGGTGAGTAGCTGTAGAACAAAATGTCTGCGTGATTTTTATATTATAATTTTTTATTGAAATCGCTTGCATCTCTACAATATAAGTGACACAATTCAGTTGACGCACTGTAGCTCAATTTTTCCTTTTTTTGTTTTGGCATTTACTATTTACAAGTTATTTAAAAACTTTTGTTATCCCCCCCTCTCTCTTTATCTCTCTTTCCCCAAAAGAAAAAGCACTGCTCGAAGATTTTTGATTTAATATATTTAAAAATACATAAAATCTTAGAAGTCATTTTTTTAGAGTAAAAAAAATTAGTAAGAAAAAATTAATAAAAAAATTGATGCAAATAATTAAAGTGCATTTTAGTTCTTAAGTGTACATTACTTAGAAATGTACTTGTGTAATTTTTTTGAATGTAAGATAAAATCTTAGCCAACTTTTTTGTCCTCTTTTTAAGTAGTCTTTGAAATTTAATAGATTAGTAGTCGATTTTAATTTGCAACGTTAAGAAACAAAAGATTAAAATTGGGGGGAAAAAAGGTAATTTCTTTTCGACTTTTCGAGAGACATTTTTTCTTTTGTCGTTTCAACTTAAATATTGTGCAAGTTGAGACGACTTTTAATAATTGGTAAATAAATACCTGGAGGTTAAGAATTAAAATTTTTATATCGCATAATGTAATTTAAAAATTGTCTTGGCGCGTTTTTTTCCAAGTCTACACAAAAGAAATTGGCTTCTTTTTTTTTGAAAATCTATTTATAAGTTTGAAATATTAATTTCATGACGCACAATAAAATTTAGGGTAATCTTGAGAAAAAAAAAGAATTGTACACAAAATTGTAATATTTTCAAAGATATTCTACTACCGTGTACGAATGTAATGTAATGTATGTATATAAAATCGAATGATTGGCCAATTATAATTCAGAAAAAAAAATGAATTATAAAGAAAAGTCCAGTGATTTCTTTTTTTTTGATAAGTATACAACAGAAAAGAAAAGTACTGTCGAGGATTTTCTGTTAGTTTCTTATAAATGATGAAATAATTGGGAGAATGAAGAAAATACCAATGCCGCCACAACTGGACAAAAAAAAATACTTCATCACCAATGACCAACATTTATTTATGTTATTATTGTAAACTGTTGTAAAAAAAAATTAACAATATTTGACTGTTTACGTTTAATTCTTGTATATTAAGATTGTCCGTTCTTCAAACTGTTCAACGACAGTTTATTAATCTTGTAGATATTAGAGAATAATTTTACTAATCTCGATTTAAGAATAATTCGACAGAACAATTCGATAGAATAATTTGATACTAAAAAAGAGAAAAATTGTGCAAAAAGCAATTGACAAAAATTTGTGATTTCGTGTTATTTTTAAAACGAGATTGAAAGTTTTTTTGTTTTTCAATTCAAGTAAATGCGATATCTGCATACATAAATATATTTATGTACATTATTACAATTGTAGAATAAGGATAAACTGATGTAATATAATTAATTAGATACTTTAAAACATATGCCTGTCATTTTCTTTCGGACGATGATTTTAGATAAAGACAATTTTTTATTTGACCCTTTTTTTTAGCAAAAAAAAAAAAAAAGAATTTAGTTTGAATAAGAAAATCAAAATTTAACAAATTAAATAGTTTAACTGAACAAATTTAAATTTTATAGAGAACAATTATTATCATCGGCGAAATGATTTTTAATTTGAAATACATTTATAAATTTAGGCATCTTTTTAATTCTACATTTATGAATTTAATGTGCATTTTAAATTTTAAATTAAAAGAAAATTAGAACAGATTTTTAATGAGGTTTTTTCTTTTTCTTCGACTTTTAGTCTTTCAATTTTATACATTATCTATTAAGAATAGTTTGTATTTTATGAAATTAGAAAATATACATTTTGCGAAATGTAATGTTACCCTAAAAGAAGAAATAAATTTACAATAAAAAAAATTTTATTAATAAAAAATATCTTTTGGAAGACCGTCCCAAAAAACGAAAGGTTTGAATTTTTTTTATTTAATTTCAAGAGTACCAGAAAAGATTAAAATACAATATTTATTTTCTATTTATTTCTAATTACGTTTATTTATACAAAAAATATTTATTTATAAAATTAATTACTTTTTGATTCTGTATATAAATTTTGGCACAGAATCTCTAGATTTTTTATTTGTAAAAATAAAATTTATTATTTTACAAATGCGTCTTTTTAATTCTTATTTTTGACTAATTCTTTAAATTCTTCACTTTCTAAATTTTTTTATTTCAAAATAAGTAAAAAATAATTTGTAAATTTATTTTCGTTTCAAAAGTAAAAGAATATTTTTGTGAATTAGAAGTGAATATAGAAGTAATTGTTTTAGTTATATAATTTCTACTGTAATTTTTCTATTTTCTCGTTTTTAAAAATAGAATTCTTGCCGGTAGCTATTTTTAATTATAAACAAAATGTTGGCATTAAATCATAAATGTAGAATTAATTAATTAATTGATTAATTAATTTAACTCAAGAATTACGATTACTTGCAATAATTTGAATTTAATACTTTAATAGAAATTTAAAAGAAAAAATAATAATTCGCGTTTTGATTAAATGATAAGTAGCTAATACTGGATAACGTTATGTTTCAGGCGATAAAATTTTAACGGCCGATTGATACCAGGAAAAATTTATAACTCTTATGAGGGTGTATGTAGGTAAAAAAATTATTATTTCCATCATTGCGTTTCGAGAATAATTAACAAAAAAAAAATTGTGGGAGCTTGCTTTCAATACTAACCAAACTAATCTTTTCTTTAAACAAAATTAATTGAGTATCATTTATTTATTTCAATATAAAGAACAAGTTATTGTTCATTAGAATAAAAGAAATTAGGTCAAAACGACAATTAGGTAGAATAAACATCATGGATAAAATTCGAGGAATAAATAAATAAAACAAAATCGATAAAACGAAAAAATGTGTAATAGATAAAATATTGAAACTCAGGTACCTAGATTAGGAGAAAATCTGTATTTTTATTTATTTTTTTCGCTTCAATTTAATTTGGTTGCTACCAAAAGGGAAAGTGATTAAAGGAAAATTCAAGAATCAAAGGACAATTTTTCTATTCTCGTAAAATGGATTTTTTTTTCTGTACATATGTTCTAACAATTTTGTAGAAAATATTACACTTTTCTTAAATTTACGAGATTAGATAAGATAAACAATGTAAATAGAGTTTTTTTTGCTAAATCGATTTATTCGCTTTCAGAATAATATTTTTCTAAATATTTTTGTTAACTTTATCTATAATTTAAATACTTTTATTTAATTAAATACAAAAACTATAAATACCCGATTGAATTATTTGTTTAATTAATTTGTCTGCTTTTTATCCATTTTGTTTAGTTTGTCTACTTGTTTAATTTCGTTCATTTTTTTTTTTTATTTAGCTTGTTGGCTTTTCATTGTAGCAAAAATAAAGAACGAACCTTTTTTTTTTTATTTTAAATCTAGATCAGCATGAATTTTCACTTTTATTTTAATTTATTTTTATTTTAGTTACAGTTGAAATATAGTTTTTTTTCATCAAATCTGTAGTTGTACTTGATTGTAATGCAAATTTTTTTGGTAAAGATTAAAAATTTGTTTCGAATTATCCAAATTTTTGATATTTGAAATTTAAAGAATAATTTTACTAAAAGCTGTTTTTTTCTTTTTTTTGCAGATCGTCGAAAAGACTGAAAATGGAGTCTGGTTATAATACACATTCACGAGTGAATGAAAGTCATTTTGGTGGTGACAGTACTTTTTGCAATCAGGAAATTCTCTACGGTTCATCTCCAACGGGCTATTATTACAATAGCACTCCGCCAATTAAAACTCGACCTAATATTAAAGGAGAATCGTCTCACTTTCTCGAATTTAATGCCGAAGACAGTCTCGCTCGTAAATTAAATTATTTAACTGTTTCATTGAGTCAGGGGAAACCGATTATTGTCGAAGATTTGATGTCACTTCGAACGGATAACCAGGTAATTTTCTTTTCGAAATTTCCTTTTAAATATGTAAAGAGAAATTATTTTTGGAAATATTTACTTTTTTTTATTTTGGAGTAAAAATTATTTATTTCTAAATATTTTTTCCTTAAGCGTCAAATCTATTTTTAATAATTTCTGAAAAAGTTTTGCAAACTTTCAAATCCATTTATCTATTTTTCAATTTTATGGAAATTTTGCTTATTCGGAAATTCCTCAATTAAATACATATTAGAAAATAAAAACTTCAAATAATTTATATAAAAATTTAATTAAACTTTTTTTAACAAAAATTAATTCTACAGAACTTTTAGTTAAAAGAATGAAAAATTCAGATATTCCAAAAAATTTAATTTGAAACCTTTTCAAAATTCTATTATTTCTAAAGATTCAAGCTACAATGGTTTTAATATTTAATTATTATCTAAAATTTTAACTTAAATTCATTTTTCAATCAATTTTTAATTTTTATTAGAAAAGTCTACGAGAATTCAATTATGTAAATACAAAAATAAATAATTTATTGAGTAATTGAATGTTTCTTAACATTGAATTCTAATAAAGAATTTTATCAACAAAAATTTTAAATAAAATTTTGAATTTCCAAATTCTTAAATTCTTTCGACGAATTTTAATAACATTTTTAAGAATAATTACATTTTTCGACGAATTTGATTCAAATTGTATTAAAAATAATTGAAATTTTGCGATGAGTTTTATTATTTATGAAAATAATTGAATTTCTGAAAAAGAATTTTATTATTTTTAAAAATAATTTAATTTTTGCGAAGAAATTTATTAAAATTTTTGAAAAAATAATTGAATTCTGGAAAAGAATATTATTGTTTATGAGGATAATTGAAACTTTGACAAGAATTTTTTTTTAATTTTTGAACATAATTGAAATTCTGCAAAGAATTTTATTAGTTTTGAAAATAATTGAAATTTTGTCAAGAATTTTATTAAAATTTTTGAAGAAATTCGACGAAGAATTTTGTTATTTATAAAAATTATTAAAATCATGACGAGAATTTTCAAAAAATTTCAGAAAATAATTGAATATCTAATCTGAATTTTATTACTTTTGAAAATAATTGAATTCTTGTGATAAATATATTGTTATTTATAAAAATAATTAAATTTTATGAAAATAATTGAATTCTTGGCAAGAATTTTATTCCAATTTTTTAAAAGTAATAATTGATTATTTCGATGAAAGATTAAAATTCTTTGGAAGAATTTATTTAAAATTGTATCAAAAGTTTGTGAAACTAATTCAATTCCATTTAGAAAGTTTTGAGGAAAATTTTTTAAAATAATTGAAATTTTACCAAGAATTTTATTATAATTTTCGAAAATAATTGAAATTTTGCTAAGAATTTTCAAATTTTTGAAAATAGTTGAATTTCGGAGAAGAATTTTATTAGTTTAAAGATAACTGAAATTTTGATGCGATTTTCTTTTAAATTTTGGAATATAATTGAACTTATGCGAATAATTTTATTACTTTTGAAAATAATTGAATTTCAGCAATAATTTATCAAAATTCAATATTTTTTAGTGTTTTTAACTAAAATTCTTCTATAAATCCAAATTATTTTTAATAATTATTTAAATATATATTAAAAAATTGAACTAATTTCAGAAGAATTTGAATTATTAAAATTTTTCAAAAAATCTAATTTCTTTAAAATTTCTAAATTTGAAATTCATTTAAAATTGAAATTTTCTAAAATTTCAAATTAAAACCTTTTTGAAGTTCATCTATTTATGAAATTTGTAAACGCAATTTTTTTAAAATTCAATTAGTTTTAAAATATTTAAGTAAAATTATTCGTTAAATAATTTCTAAATAATAATTTTATTTTTATTTCCTTTATTCTTTTATTTCTTGAAGAATGAAGTTATTAAAAAAGAAATTATTGTCAGAAGTAAAAAAAATTTAAGGTTTTATGTTAGAATTCGTGGTAATTTCCTAGTTTATGAGGCAAACAAAAAAGATATGTACCAACATTCAAAATTTTCTCATAAATTCTAAAAATTAAATTTTTTCCAGTAATTGTAATAAAAATTCCTGACTCTTCTGCGACCTGTGACAATCCTGATAATTGATTATCTTTCTGTACGTTTACTCCAAAAATTATAAACTAAAATTTCTTTGGTCTCTTTTTAGGGAATGCGTCACATAATAATTAAATTAAATAATATTAAATTAGTATTTAATATTAAAATTAATATATAATTAATATATAATTAAATATTATAGTGTTTAAATAAGTAAATAAATAAATATTGAATATAAATAAGCTAAGTATTTATTTTAATTGCAGACGGATCCAAAAGTGGTGCAACTTTTAGGAGAATTGCATTCAGAACTTCGTTTAGTTGCAAATACGAGACCAAATGGACAACTTGAATCTCATCTGCCTGTTCTGAATCCACCAACAACAGGTAAGTAAAATTCGAAAATTAATATTGTCGCAAAAATGGGAATAGTTTGTTTTGCATTTTTTTTTTCTCTTATAAAGAACTAATTTTACTATCTACGCAAATTTATAGATATTAATAGTAAATAGTAAATAAATTCTTTTAAATGAATTTATTTTATTCATTTTTCTTTATTTATTGAAATAAAGAAATTCATTTAAATAAATAAATTTCTTGACCGTATAATAATTTTCTAGATGAATACTTTTCAGTTACATCATCGGGACAAAAATGTCATTTCGATGCGCATGCAGTCTATGCAGGCGATGATGCTGTTTGTGCTGGAAGATGGTCACAATTGGCGACTGTTGGTGTACGATCAGCATTATCAGCACTAATGTCACGTTTTAATTTAGACACCTACAATCTTTCTCATTCCTCTGTTCGACCACCAGGTAAATCAATCGCAAGTCTAAGCAATAATCCCCCCTCAACGTCCTCACAATCAGCGTTTAATTCTTAAAAAAAAATATCGCATATATTTATGTAAATAATTCCCTATTTATTTATTACGTCGAATTTATCGCGCTGTACAAAAAAAAGAAAGAAAAAAGAAAAGAAAAAGAGAAAAATGAAACATAAATAGTCGATCGATCAACATGTCTGATTACCTCCAGAAAAAAAAATTCACTTAATATTTCTTTTACAAAAAATCGAAACTCAAAATTCAAAAAAAAAAAAAAAAAATACGAAGTCTAAATATTTAATTTCTTTTACATAAGATTATTTTAACTACAAATATATATATATTATATGGGGGTCTATAAATATTTAAATTCAATATTATAACAATTTCTTATTGATTTCTTTTTAAATCTTATATTCAATTAAATTACAGAAGAGAATTCTTTATCATAAGTATAATTTTGCAAAAAATATTTGCAATAAAATTATTGTGTACGTAATCATAAAAATTAAGAAATAGATAATAATTATGCAGAGTTAAACTCGGTGCATTTCAAAGATTTTTTTTTTAAATTTAAATTTTATTTCTATAAGCAATTTGTTTAAGATTTTATTACTTCCTATACTGCAAAATGTATTTACAGGTTGTAATGTGTAAATATTAAGACAATGATGCTAATAAAGAGCAAAAATGAAAAAAAAACAAGACCATGTTTAAAATTTTCATTTTAAACATTTGTCGGTTGTGAAAATCAAAATCTATATTTTATCTTCTATATTAATAATCGTTTTATTCCGGTAATCTGTTCGCAGTTTGAATTTAGTTGTTTCCTTTTTTGTTTCTTTAATAATTTTAATCAAAAAATTTTTTAAATTACATATTGAATTTTATGAACAATTTCCTTTAAGTTTTTAAAATAATTGTGTTTGTTAATAATTGAAATTGAACATTTAATTATTGAATATTTTTAAAATTTTAGAAAAGAATTTAATTATTTTCTAAAATTTTTTTAACGAATTAAAAAAAATTGAATTTTTTCGTGAAATTTTCTTGAAAAATAATGAAATTTTTGCAAAAAAAATTTACTATTTATAAATATAATTGAATTATTTCGAAAAATTTATTAAAAGTTTAGAAAATAATTGAATTTTTGCAAAGAATTTTACTATTTATAAATATAATTGAATTTTTTCAAAGAATTTAGTAAAAATTTTAGAAAATAATTGAATTCTACTGGAATTTTTTAAAACGAATTTAAAAAAATTGCATTTTTTCGTGAAATTGTTTGAAAATAATTGAATTTTTGCAAAGATTTTACTATTTAAAAAAAAATAATTGAATTGTTTCGAAGGATTATTAAAATTTTAGAAAATAATTGAATTTTTTCGAAAAATATTAAAAATTTAAAAAAAATTGAATTCTTTCATGAAATGTTATCAAATTGGAATAAAAATAATTGAATTTTTGCAAATATTTTACCTACTATTTAAAAAAATAGTTAAATTCTTACGAAGAATGGTATTATTTATGAAAATAATTTAATTCTTGCGAAGAATTTTATTAAAATTTAAATTAATTAAATTAGTTAATAATTGGATTTTTTTAAAATTTGAATCTGAAATTATTCAACAATTCATATTTGAAAATAAAAAATTTTGTAAATGCCAAATAATAATAAATTTAATACACTTAATAATTAACAAATTTATTAGAATTTTATTATTTTACTTGAGAGAGTAATATTTGTTTATTTCAGTCTATACTTACATTTTTTACTCGTTTTTTTGTTTATTAAACTCTTGTCTCTTGATGGAAATTTTTGAATCAAAAAAATTGATGAAAATTGAAAAATTTAGTGAATTAGAGATAAATGTTTAGAGTGAGAACAGTATATTTTCATTGCAATCTTTGTGTGTGTGATCAGACCTTAATGTTTTGTTTCGACATTCTCAACCTTGCTTATTCCCTATAATCATTTCGATTGTTGCGCTCACATTGTGGTGGACAATTTTGGAAGCAGTGTTCTAAAAATGTGAATGTTCCCCCACTATTTGAGATTAGAAACTATTTTACTACTCCACCGTGGTGTTGTGTTTATCGGTTTATCAATTATCAATAAATAAATAAACAAACAAACAAAAAAAGGAATGAAAGTTTCGAGAAAGAGATTTACAAAAGAAATTCTGTTGAAGAAGTTTATTTTGAAAATTGCCATTAAATAATAACTCAAAACATGTATTTTGCAAAAGACATATTTCAAAAACACGTGACTTATTATAACGGTCACAAAAGGTAAAGTAAATTTAAAGTTTCTTTCTTTCGTCTTTAATTATATTCATTAATGAAAATTATCTTATACTGTCAATTAATAATTGAAAAAATATTGTTTTTGTGAGCAAAAATCTACTTTCGAAATTTGTACCCAATTTTTAAAAAACTGATTTCAAACTGAAATTAGTTTTTTAAAGTACCTGAATAGTATTTTTTATTTTTACTATTTTTTGTATTTAAATGCTATATTTATTAAATAAAAACAATTATTTTCTGCATTATTCGTTATCGGCGATAAATGAATGCAAAATAAAAAACAAAACATTTACAAAATTGACAAAAATTTATACCTCTTAATTCGACTTTGACATCAAAGAATTTTAATTAAAGTTAAAACAATGTCGATCGAAGAGTAGGAAATGAAAGTGACTTTCATTTTGTATAATGGGATTAAATTAATTGAATTAATTTCGATCTCTTTACATTAATACGAAAATAGAATTTCATCAATAATTGAATTTAAGACTGCAATAAATTATTATTTAGAAAAATAAATTAATGCATTTAATTTATAAAAAATGCATCAAAGTATAAAGAATTAATTTTTTATAATTAAAACAATTTTTTTTTTACCGGCAGTGTGTTTTTGATAATTTACAATTCTTCAGGTATAAAGATAAATAATTTCTATTTATATAGGAAAAAATTTCTCTTAATCTTTTTTTTTCAATTTTTAGTTTCTTAACTTTTTTTTAATAATTTTTCTTTTTAAATATTTTCAATTTTAAAATTAATGTATTCAAAATCATTTAATTCTTGCAAAGAATTATATAAAAAACTTAAGAACTGAATCCCTACGAAGACATTTATTATTTTTGAAATTAATTGAATTTATGCGAAGAATTTTTAGATAATTTAATTTTATTAATTTTATTTTATTATTATAAAATTAATTGTAATCTTGAAGAGAATTTAACAAATTTTTTGAGAAAATATTTCAATTCATTAAAGGAATGTTATTAAAATGCAGAAAATAAATCAAAATAGGTAGTTTTTTTGAATAATATTAATGGCAAATTTTTGAATAATTGAATTTTTGAGAAGAATTTTATTATTCGAATAAAAAATAATTTAAATCTTGCGATGACTTTAACTACTTTTAAAAATAATTGAATTGTTTCGAAAGATTTATAAAAAATTTAGATAATAATTGAATTCTTACGAAATATTATATTAAAATTTTTAAAAAATTGAATAGTTTCAAAGGATTTATTAAAATTTTAGAAAATAATTAAATTTCTTCGAAAAATATAAGAAATTAAAAAAAAAATTAATTCTTTCATGAAATTAAATTTTTACAAAGATTTTACTAATTTAGAAAAATAATTGAATTATTTCGAAGAATTTTGTTAAAATTGTATTGAAAATAATTGAATTCCTGAAAATTGTTTTTTTTTTTAATTCAATTCTTGCAAAGAGTTTGACTAATTATAAAAATAATTGAATCGTTATGAAGAATTTTATAAAAATTTTATATTGAAAATAATTGAACTGCTGCGATAAATTTTACTATTTATAAAAAACATTGGATTTATCCGAACAATTTTATTGATTATGAAAATAATTGAATTCTTGTCAACAATTTTACTATTTATAAAAATAATTGAATTGTTTCGAAGAATTTTATTAAAATTGCATTGAAAATAATTGAATTCCTGAGATGAATTTAATTATTTGTGAAAATAATTCAATTTTAGCAAAGATTTTTTGAATTGAAAAAATAATTGAGTTGTTTCGAAGGATTTATGAAAATTTTAAAATTTAATTGTGTTCTTGTGAATAAATTTGTATAACGAATTAAGAAAAAAATTGAATTCTTTCATGAAATTTTCTTAAAAATAATTGAATTTTTGGTGAAGTATTTTGTTATAAAAAAAAATAATTTTATTGTTTCAAAGGATTTATGAGAATTTTTGAAAATAATTGAACTTTTTCGTGCTAAATTTTATTAAAATTTTGTTTGAAATTAATTGAATTTTTTCAAAAAAAATTTACTTCACATGAAAATAATTGAATTCTTCCGAAGAATGTTAGTATTTATAAAAATAATTGAATTCTTGCGTAGAATTTTATTTGGAATTTTTTTTGAAAATATAATCAATAATAACTAAGTATGTACTTAATAAGTGAATTTTCCAAATTTTGATTATGAGATTATTCAAAAATTTATAATTGAAAATAAAAAATTTTGTAATTTGCCTTAATAATAATAAATTTAATATCTCGTTCCGCGCTTAACTTTTTCTTGTATTAATTCTATATGCAAACATGTTTCAATTTTATAGCGTGCGCATGCGTTTCTTCTTTTTTTTTCAAAACAAACTTTAAATTGAGAGATTAATATTGATAATTTTTCTTTTTTTAAATTAAATTTGCAAATTTGAAAATAGTAGTTAATTCTGATGAAATCTATTTGTCAACAGATTGTCATAATGTGTGATTTTTGGTCACAGCTGCTTACAAGTGGGTGCCGATCGATTTGAACTCAACGCACGCCCTCTTTTCACCTTCTTCATTTATCAGTTAGTGCCACCGCTTTGCCGAAATTAGATGTTATACTGTGATACAATAATATCACCTTCGTTATATGATATAAACAAAAACAAAACAAAAATTAACAATATTCCATTCCCGAATCAAAAAGTGAGAAGTTAAAAGTGCAGCGATTAGTTTTTGATAATGAATAATTGAAGACATCGTCACGCCCAGGTAATTTTTTCATTTTTCCTTTTTTTCCGAATATCCTTTTTTTCATGAATAAAAATATTTAAACTCGATATTTATACCGATTTAAAGGCATTTAGTATTTAATATGTAATATTTTTATCAAACAGAAGTTCAATGAAATAATTCAGTTGATATTTTTCTTCTTCACTCAATTGCCATACGGATACAAAATTAATTTACAGATTAAAGAAAAAAAAATTTTTTCTCTATTGAATTTTTTTTCTTTTACTAACCGATAAAAGAATATTGATATCAAACTTTTAAGTTTATTTTCAAACAAGTTTCTAGCGAAAGAAATAGAAGTTTTCGTTCTGTAATTAATTTTCTACGCCTTAAAAATATCCAACAATAGGAAAATTACTAAAAGAAGAAATTAGAAGGAAATTAAAAATTACTGAAAGTTAAATTAAATTACTGAATTAAGTTAAAATATTTTTTGACAACAATAATAATAATAATAATATTGGTGAGAAAGTTGGAAACTTGGGGAAAAAAAAGTAATTTATTATTCAGTATAGGAGAAAAACTTTTTTCTTTCTTGGGGTGCGTCATAGAAAATTTATTATCGAATTCTCGTCACTTCATTCTTATTAAATGTATAGGAATTGATAGCGTGTGCATCTTGGCGTTTCAATATCCTTTTACTGTCTTTATAGTTTCTGTATGAAATGATGATTTCAATAGTTAATGGCATTCAATTCTATTATCATTATAAATGTCACGGAGAATTTCTATTTAATATCTCATTACAAATGGAAAGTATATAGAAGAAAATTTATTTTATTGACTTTTTCTTTTTGTTGTAATTTTTTCTGTTTGTTTTTTTTTGTAAATAGAAATAAGTTTTTCTTAATAATTAAAAATCCTTTATTACTGAGTAAGAAATTAATTATTGAGAATACTTTGAATTAAGAATTTATAATGCTTTTAATTAAGTATTTAAAATACTTTGAATTAAGTATTTTTTATACTTTGAATTAAATATTAAAAATATTTTCAATGAAGTGTTTCAGGGTTTTCTACTAACCGGGAAATAGCCGGGAATTTAATTTGACAGGGAAAAACCGGGAATAAGCCAGGAATTTTATGCCAAAACCGGGAATTTTTTCACCAAATTAAAAAAAGTTTTATTATTTTAATTTGTTTTTAAAAAATCGCTTTTTATTTCAATTTTTATAGATATTTATACTGATTTGAATTAGTTAAAAATAATTAATTTGATAGTAAAAAATCAGTCACTGATTCAAATACAGTAAAAATAAATTTTTTTTAAATTTATCAAATTAATAGAAATTTTGTGAAATTCAACTGAAAATAATTAAATTTGTTAAAGAATTTTATTAGAAACTTTTTAACAAATCGAAATTTCAAAGTATTTTAATTTAATAATTGATAAATAATTGAATTTTATTTTAAATAGTCACATTCTAATGTATTCACGTTTCTTAGTGCGAAGATTAATAATTAGAATTTTTATTAGTTAATTTAAAATAAGATACACACTTAAAATTTTTTAATAAAATTGAATTTTTGCAAAATTTTTTTGAAAATTCTGAAAAATAAGATTTTTGAAATTTTTTAATTCTATTGTTTCAAGATAATTGAATTTTTATAAACAAATAATTGAAATTTCTTTACATTCTATTAAAAATAATTAAATTCTTAAGAAGAATTTTATTTAAATTTCCCGAAAATAATCAAGCGAAGTTAGTCACCGTAATTATAATTTTATTTTTAAAAATTTCTTCGCAATATATTCAATTATTTTCATAAATAGTAAAACTCATTGCAGAATTTCAATTATTTTTAACACAATTTTAATCGAATTCCTCGAAAAATGTAATTATTCTTAAAATTTTTATGAAAAATTCGTCGAAAGAATTCAATTATTTCTAGAAACTTTAAAAAAAATTCTTCTCAAGAATTCAATTATTTCCATAAATAGCAAAATTCTTCAGGTTTAATAAATTCTTTTGAATATTATTTTTAAAAAAATTCTTCACAAGAATTCAATTATTTTCATAAATTTCCATAAAATTCTTCGCAGAAATTCAATTATATTTAAAATTTTTTTTAAATTCTCCTTAAAATTTCAATTATCTTTATAAATATTTAAATTTTTCTCCACAATTCAATTATTTTCAAAAATTTTAATAAAATTCTACGCAAACATTTAATTATTTTCATAAATAATAACATTCTTTGGAAGGATTTAATTATTTTCATAAATAATAAAATTCTTGGCAAGAATTCAATTATTTTCATAAATAATAAAATTCTTGGCATGAATTCAATTATTTTTATAAATATATAGTAAAATTCTTTGCAGAAATTCAATTAGTATCAATACATTTTATTAGAATTGAATTAATCAAAATTTCAATTATAATTATGAACAGACAAGATTATTTTAAAAAATTGTAAAAATTCTTTGTTTAATTTAATTATTTTCTAAATTTTTAATTAAAATTATTAGAAAAAAACATTATTTTCAAAATAATGTTGATAATGATGGTATTTATAACACTTTCAATTAAGCATTTATAATTCTCTACTTTGTAATTTCTAATTAAAAATATAATATTATTAGCTCTAAATGTCACTCTATTCAATAATGATTATTTTCAGCCGGTTGTATAAACAGAACAGATTTGAAACATGTTATATAAACTAATTGCTTTTTGTCAATAATTATTCTACCAATTAACTGTTATTGCAGGCGAATTTTCAGTGAATGGAATAAAAGAACACGGGAATTGTTTTTTTTTTTTTAGGAAAATCCATGGGCCGAAAAAGGTGGTGGCGAGGAGGTCTGTGGGAGCTTATGTTATTGCTCTCTACCTTTAATCGTGTTATTATAGGTGACGGTGAAGTAGGTGCGTATTTTTATTTCGATTATTATTTTTATTAATATTATTAAAATGATTATTTTAATAATTTATTATTTGTATTATTTTTAATTAAAATTTAATTCATTATTTTTATTTTTTTATTTGAATATTAACGGGATTATTTTATTATTAATTATTAATTAATTGTTAATTAAAATCATAAATAATTAAAATGATAAATTTAATAATTAATTTTAATTAATTATTAATAATATTATTATTAGAATTATTTTTTTCATAATTATTTTTAGCAACAAGTGTTACGCGTTCTAGGGCGCGCAACACGATGTCCAATTTATTATTCTTACGTAAATTATAAAATGTTTTTATTTTCAAATATAAACTTCTATTTTTTGATAATTTCAGATTCAGAATTAAAAAGAAAATTCAATTATAAACTAATTTACTAATTTGTTATTATTGGTTATAACTTTCAAATATTTTAATAAAATTCTTGGCAAGAATTCAATTATTTTCAATATACAATTTTAATAAAATTCTTCGTAACGATTCAATTATTATTATAATTAGTCGAACTCTTGCAAGAATTGAATTTTTTTTATAAATAAAAAACTTCTTCTTAGGAATTCAATTGTTTTTAATTAAATTCTTGGAAACGATTCAATTACTATTATATTTATAAATAGTAAAATTCTTCTTCTTTGTAAATAAAATTTTTCCAGAGAATTCAATTACTATTATCAACATTTTGTTGAAAATAATTGAATTTTTGCAAAAAATTTTACTATTTACAAAAATAATTGAATTCTTCCGGAAAATATTATTATTTATAAAAATAATTTAATTCTTGAGAAGAATTTATTATTATTATTTATATTTTCAAAAATTTCAAATAAAATTCTTCTCAAGAATTCAATTATTTTGATAAATAATAAAAAAAAAATTTTTAATTTCCGTAATAATAAAAAATATAATATCACGTTCCGCGCGCTAGTAATAATTAAAAATAGAAATAATTAAAAACATTTCTAATATTGTTCATATAATATTAAATTTATTATATAGAATATTTATATCAATATATTCAATAAAGAGAAATGGTATTTTTATGTTCACGCACAAAAGTATAAATTTTTATTTCTCAAATGTAATATTTCTCATTTTTAATGTTAGTGAAAGGGCCTTTAAATCATAATATTTTTTTTATCAGTAAACTTGTGCACACAAATACATTCTCAGTGGATTTGTGGGTGTAAATATATGTAGCAAATAATCCAGTATCATTTTAGTTCTACCAACCCACGCAATTTTCTTCAACATCAGTAGTATTATCGAACCGTACTTCCCACACAGACTCTTTTAACGTCATCCTCTTTTTCTCTATGTATACGTTTTCCACCCCTTTGTATGTACACACAAAAAAAATATATATCTAACACAGACACAAATCTCACATTTTTCATTTCATTATAATTTTTATTTTTAATTTGCGAATAATTTCTAAATAGAGAGAAAATAATGAAATATTTGAATTAAAAGTTATTTTTTTTTTATTAGATAAAAGATATTATTATTTTTTTTTTTGATGATGATAAACGAATGAAATTAACTTGAATGTCCTAATTAATAAAATATATTCTAATTCAATTCATTTTATTATTAATTAGGATCTAATTAATTTTTAATTTTTTGAACATAGAGAAATTAGATTATAATTATTTTTTAAGTAGCATAATTACAGGAGCGTGAAATTTTAAGAACCACTGTTAATTACAAGAACTTTCTTTTTGAAATTTTAATTTTTTAAAAGATATAATTTTTCGAAATAAAATTCTTCAAAAGTACGATTATATTTCAAAAGAATTTTTAAAAGTAATAAAATTAGATTATTTCAATGAAATTTGATAAAAACTTTTAATTGTTTCAATTTTTTAAATTATTTTCGGAAATTTTAATTTAATTATTTACTAAAATTCCTGTTGTTACCCTCTTAATATTTAATTATTTTTTAAAATAGATAATTTTTTAAATGTGAAAAAATAAAATTTTTTGAAATTTAATTAAAATTAGAATTGCATTTCGTCCAATTTATTCTTGAAATATTTTTTAAAATTTGAACTAAAATTTTTATTCAAGTAAATTTTTTTAAAAAAGTTGTACGAGAAGCCAATTATTTAAATACAAAAATAAATAATTGATTATTTCCAAAAATTGTAACTGGAACTCTACTTATGGATTTTGTTTAACTTGAGAAAGAAAATTCATAGTCTATTTAAGATTTTGAATAATTATAATAAATTCTGTTTCAGGTTGTCTGTTTAGTCAAAATTTGTGTCCTCCGGAAACATGCTTCAACGGTACGATATTTTTTTAACTTGAAATAATTTTAGGCCTTTAAGTGAAAATTCTCGATATTTCTAAATTTAAAAAAAAAATTTCTAAGTAAAAAATAATATTAAATGAAATTCTTTAGATTTGGCATTTGGACGGTGTATACCCTTCTACTTAGACGAAGGACTCAAAGATTTATATCAGTAAGTCATTGATAAAAATTATTCAACTGTAAAAATTCAAAAAATATTTATTATAGTCGAAATCTTTCTTAATTAATATTTATTTTTTTTCAAAATTATTTTCTATTTTTATTGTAAAGAAAAAAAATTGAAATATTTCGTTAGTTTAGAAAATAAATAATAAATAATAAACTTTTGATAATAAATAATGAATAATAAACTTTAGATAATAAATTATAAGTAATAAACTTTAGATATTAAAATAATTAATAAATTAATTAAATAAGTAATAATTAATAAAATTAATAAAAATAATTTGTAGGTACAATTTGGAAATAGAAGACTTGGAATTCTTGAAATTGCAACTTGAAAGACTTGAATCAAATGGATATAAATGGTCTCATCCTTATACACAATGTATAATACAAAATTCATTACTGAATATTCGTTACAGGTTTGTACACTATAATTAAACTTTTTAATGCTCAGAAATAATTAAATTTTTACAACTTTAGATATATTTTTTTTAATTTGTTTTTTACGGTCTTTTAAAATTTTCTTTTCATTTTGATTTCAATTTTGACCCATTTTTTCCGATTTCGTCAAGAATCTTTATAAAACCTATTTTCTTCTCTTTAATGTTTGAATCTTATTTATAGTTTCAAACTAAAACAATTTCAGATTGAACAAAGACCTAACATTTTGCGAGTACTTGAGCTCACAAACGGAAAGTCAATTCGAGGATGGAGACAAAGACGATGAAGAAGGTGATGATAGTGAGAATGTGGTAAGACTTTTTTTCGAAAAAACTTTTAAATAAAATTATTATTGATTACTATTAATTTATTTTTATCCGAAATTTTAATTTCGAAATAATTTTTCATATTATCCGAAATTATTTCCTATCTTTCTATGTAATCTTTCATTATTTCTCTAGCCGGAAATTTGTTAAAATGATAAATTCCCAAATTTAAAAACTAAAAAATAAAAGACTAATAAAAAAATTTAATAAATAAAAATTTTAAAAATTTAATAAAAAAAATTCTTTTATTAATATTAGTTTAGTTATTAACTGAATTAATTAATTATTAACTAACTAAATTAAATTTCTTGTCCCACTGTTTATAGATTCGACCAATTGCAGTGGTGAAATTTACTCCCAGTGAATTTTATCCCCATGGAGATTATGCAGATGAATTATATTATCCACCGGAAATTGATGAGAAACCAAATGGACTTACGAAAAATTTTCATTCATCATCAAGTTTCTCTCCTTTTCATCAATTTCCGTCCTTAAATGATGAAATTTTGGATGACAAGGTCGATCCATATAAAAATGAAAGAAAACTAAAGAGAAGTATCTTGGAATTCATGGACGACGATGATTATTATCAGCCTGATATCACTCAAAATCCTTCTCTCTACATTTCACCTAAACAAATGCATATTCCAAAAAATGTCATGAAACGAGTCTACGATCAAGATATTGACGATCAAAATTTATATCCAAGGAAATTGGATTTAGAATTTTTGAAAAATAACATAAAAGAGGTATTTTTTGCATTATCTTTTTAATCTTATTTAAAATTTTTATAATAATAATAATAATGATATCAATAATAATAAAAAAATTTGAAAATAACTGAAATTGTTGTTTTTGAATATTTTCAAGTTACGGGAGAGTGGATTTCGAGATGCACCAAAAGTTATTTACAAAGAAGATGATGAAGATTCGCTTGATAATAAGGCAATTGAATATTTGGAAGAGAATAAAGAAAAGGAGAATAAATATAATTTAGCGGACATTCCGATGGACTTTTTAAGTCGAGTTTATGAAGGAGATGTTGTTTTACCCATGGAAAATGATAAAATTGAAACTCCTGGTTAGTTTTAAAGTTTTACAAATTTCTCCTTATTTTCATTAAACATTTATTTTGGTCGTCTTTTTCTTTTCATTTACAGAAAATCTTGATGAATTAGCACTGGATTTAAATTCTGATCTATGGTCTCGAGAACTCGCTGGTTTCAAGAGAAGAGAACGTCTTGATGTTAAAAAACCAGGTCCAGCTTTTGCTTTAAATCAATATAAATTCAAACCTCAATTTGGTGAGTTTTCTTCTTTATATAAAAAATAAAATTAAATATGTGCTTATGAATGAAAATTTGTAAAATAAATATAAAATATACCAAATTTCAGATTTCGATCAAGAGAACGAAGAGAAGGAAAATCAGGATGTAAGATTTATTTAATAAATTTATTTTCTCTGGAAAAAAGACGAGCAGACAATTGATATTTTCTGTTTTTAGGATGTTTTGTATCCACCACAATCCAAAAAGGAATTAGGTACAATGTATTCCAATACAGAAGAGCCGGAGAAAGATTATAAAAATGTCGATTTAGATCATGTTTATATAGATTTCGAAGAACCGATAAATATCTGGATGAAGGGAGAGCACATTGTAAACGAGGTAAATTATAAATTAATTAAATTTAACGAGATAAATTTTATTACCTTATTAAAATGTTATGTCTTTTCTTATTTATTTTTTGATAATAAAAACTACTTTTTCAATATATTTCAAAAACTATTTTAACTACATAATAGTTTCCAAATTTTATGAAATTTTTTTATTTATTGCAGACGGAACTACTGGCGGGCCTAAATAAAGGAGAGTTGAACGATATTAGAGTTGAAAACAAAGAAATTACATTTAAAGTAAATCAGAATGAGAAAAACTATACAGCTCTCGATATTGTGAAGATTATTGGTAAATTATTTTTACTACTTTTTTTACTTTTTTAAATCTTTTTCTTTTACTAAGAAAAATGAAATACAAAACAAATTTTATGATCCAAATAAGCAAATGAATGTAAACAGGATTCAAACACGAAGTTTGTTTATTGTGCATTTTTTATTTTTGCAAAATAAATGTTTTACAATTTTAATATTTTTATTTAATTAAAAACTTTTAGAGAAATTTCGAACTACGTTGGAAGAGAATTATGGAGTTAATATTGTACGATCCGGAATTGGAGATAGGGTAAGACTATAAACAATTGTTACTTAGAAATTATTTAATGAATAATTTTACATAAATTATTTCAAGATTAATCGAATTTTAAAAGAGTTGCGTTTAGAATTTTCATAAATAGATGAACTTCAAAAGGTTTCAATTTATAATTTTACAAAGGTTCGATTTTGAATTAATTTAATTAGAAATTTCAAAAAACTTATATTTCTAAAAGATTTTAAATTCAATTCTGTTGAAATTAGTTGAATTTTTTAATACATATAATTATTATTATTTCAAAAATTTTAACGCAATTTTTCGAAGGAATTCAATTATCTTGATAAATAGCAAAATTCTTCACAGAAAATCAATTATTTTCAGGAATTTTAATAAAATTCTTTGCAAACTTCAATTATATTTATAAATAACAATATTCATCACAAGAATTCAATTATTTTTTAAAGTAATCAAATTCTTTGCAGAAATTCAATTATTTTCGAAAATTTTTTTAAATTCCTCGTCACGATTTCAATTATCTTTATAAATAATAAATTTCTTCACCAAAAATTCAATTATTTTCAAAAGTAATAAAATTCTTCGCAGAAATTTAATTATGTTAAAAAATTTTTTAAAATTCTTGTCAAAGTTTCAATTATTTTTATAATCAATAAAGTTTTTCAAAATTCAATTATTTTCAACAATTTTAATAAAATTCCTGACAAAAAATCCAATTATTTTCAAAAATTTAAATAAAATTCTTGACAAAAATTCAATTATTTACAAAAATTTTAATAAAATTTTTTTTAGGAATTCAATTATTTTTATATAGAATAAAACTCATCGCAGAATTTCCATTATTTTTACTACAATGTTAATTGAATTCCTCGAAAAATGCATTTACTCTTAAAAATTGGATTAAAATTCGTTGAAAGAATTTAATTATTTTAAAATTTATTATTAACATTTTTTAAGAGAATTCAATTTTAAGAAACAAATTTTTTGTTTATTTTTGTATTTAAATAATTGAAATCTCGTAAAATTTGCTAATAAACATTGATTTTAAAATGAATTTCAGTTAAAATTTTAGATAATTTAATATTAAAAGCATTATTGCGTGAAATTTTCGAAATAATTGAATTTTGAAAAGGTTTCAAATTAAAATCTTTGAAAATCTTTTTTATACTTTCAACTGACAATTCTGTAAAATTAATTTTTTTGAAGTTATTGATGTTTTTGAATAATTTTACTTTTGAAGAAATTTGTAAATAAATGTTTTAGAGAATTTTTTCAAGTATCTAATCATTTTTAGAGTGAATCAGAATATTTTTTAAGGTCAGAGAGAAAGTCAAAATTTCGTCGGAAAATTAGGGAAAAGTCAGGGAAAGACAAAATGTTAATTATTTTTGTCTTTCCCTGACTTTTCCCTGATTTTCAGACACTGATTATTGTTATTTAAATTTTTTAAATTGAAAATATGCATTTTAATTTTCTTTTTATTTTAATTTTTCTTTTTATTCTTTTAGGCGAAACTACCGTCGATATTTGAGATACGTCGAGAAATGAATAGCAGTATGTTCGGCGCAGTGGTGGCAATGGGAATTGCGGCGGCAATTGCAGCGGCGACGGTAATTTTTTTGATAGCACGACGTCACGCAAAATCACGCGCTAAACTTGCTGGTCTCGCTGCACCCGATCCAGAAGCATCGAAAGATTATCAAGATCTTTGTCGAGCACGAATGCAAGCAAAACAACCAGCTGATAAATCAGATTCACCCCGAGTATTCTCTTCTCTATTGGGCCGTGTCAGTGAATCGAATAATTCTTCATCCAATCGTTCCAGTACATCATCCTGGATAGAGGAGTCCGCTCTGACCAATATGGACATATCAACAGGACACATGGTTTTAGTGAGTTTTAGTATTTGTTTTTTTACTTTTAATTTCAATCAAAATTTTGACTAAATTTGAAAAGAATTTGATTTATTTGAAAAATTTCCAGTCGTACATGGAGGATCATTTAAAGAATCAGGATCGATTGGACGAAGAGTGGTTGAGTATTTGTGCATATGAGGCAGAGCCGTGTTCAACGGCAATTGCCGAGAATGAGGAGAATTCAGTATTAAATCGTCCCGGTGCCTCCTTGCCTTACGATCATTCCCGAATTGTCCTCAATGACCTCGCAAATATCAACAATTCTGATTATATCAATGCTTCAACGATTGTGAGTATTTTGCCCTATTATTCACTTTATCTCAATTTTTTATTTTCCCATTTTCTGTTTTTCTATTTTTTGATTTTTCTACTTTCTATTTTTTATTTTTCTATATTTTCTAATTTTCTATTTCTTATTTTTCTATTTTTTATTTCTTTATTTTTTATATTTCTGCCATTCTTTGATTTTCTTAAATTTCTGTTATATTTCTATTTTCCCATTGAAAAAAAAAAATAAAAACGATGAAAATGGACAATAATTATAATAATACAATATTCTAAAATGATGTTAAAATTGAATTAAAGACCGATCACGATCCACGGAATCCAGCGTACATTGCTACTCAGGGTGTTATGCAGGAGACGGCATCTGAATTTTGGCAATTGGTATGGGAACAGGGAAGTGTTGTCATTGTAATGCTGACACGATTAACTGAGGAGGGAAAAGGAATGTGCTATCGTTATTGGCCCGGCGAGGGTTCGGAACTTTATTACATTTATGAGGTTCATTTGGTTTCGGAACACATTTGGTGTGATGATTATCTCGTTCGTTCGTTCTATCTCAAAAATCTTCGCACAGGAGAAACACGAACAGTCACTCAATTTCATTTTCTCTCATGGCCAGAAAATGGAGTACCACACTCCATGAAAGCCCTACTCGAATTTCGAAGGTTAGTCACAATTTTATTATTTATGAAAATATTTTAATTTTTGGTAAGAATTTTATTAAATTTATGAAAATAATTGAAATTTTTCATGGAATTTTATTAAGTATTTTTAAAATAATTGAATTCTGAGAAGGAGTTTTATTATTTATGAAAATAAATTAATTCCTGTGAGGAATTTTAATATTTATAAAAATAATTGAATTTTGCAAGGAATTTTATTAAATATTTTTAAAATAATTGAAATCCCGGGATTTTATTAAATTTTTTAAAAATAATTGAATTCCTAGAAGAAATTTTATTATTTATGAAAATAATTGAATTCTTGGCAACAATTTTATTCCAATTTTCTAAAATAATTGATTATCTCGAAAAAATTTTAATTCTTTCAAGGAATTTATTTAAAAATTGTATCAAAATTTTTGAAACTAATTCACTTCCATTTAGAAAATTTTTTGAAATTGCATTCAAAATGTAGGGGAACATAGTCTAGGTCGGCCACCTTTTTGACTTTTGTTTATAACTTTTTTTTAAAAATGAATTTGGACAATTGAAGTATATGGTTGGAAAGTCCTGTTTAATAGGAACATTTTTTCTGTACAAAGTAAATTGACAGGTTTAAAAATGAAAAAGTTATAAAGATTTAAAAAAAAAAAATTTTGTAGTCCAGGTTGGCCATTACAGTCAAGGTCGGCCATGTTTAAAATTCAAAGGGCATTAATCTTTAAAAAATAAAATAACATGTTTGGAGTTACGGAAAATTGATTCTTTATTGTTTACAGTTTGTAACTTAATGAAATAACAAAATAATAACAATAAACAATATAAAAAAATAAATATAAATAAAAAAAAATTTTGCACTAAAATATTAATAAAATTAACGGCGTTGGAGGTCGGGAACTGTCAAGTGTTGCCAACCCACTCTCCCCCACTGTCTAGTATGTTTCGTGTAATTTTCCACTTTGATCACTTTTTAAAAAAAAACAAAGAACTTAATCAAAAAAAGGGCTCTTTACCTTAAAATAAAATTAAATAAAGAATTAGTAAAAATTTACTTTGTCTCGATACGATGTTTCTACTAGCCACAATATGGTTATTACGATGACAATTTACAGATGTAGTTGGCTTGATATGGGGAAAAAATGGCCGCACAACAGAAGGTGGAGTAAAGCGGGGTTGCCTACGTAAAGGCATAACAGTATCATAATACAGGGCAGTAAGTTTTATTTTGTTGAAAATTATAAAAATAACATTTTGCAGTAATAAAAACTAATATAATTAATATAAATAAATGGGGTTTTGTTTATAATAATATACATAATATAAAATATGTTGAATTAAAACGAAAAATATGAAAAACATTTTTTTTAAATTTTGTTATTCATTAAAATAATTTTTTAAAGAGATTAAAAATAAAAATTGCTAATTAGTACCCCTAGAGGTACAATTTATTGAATTGTAATTAATGAAAATAATAAAAATGACAAATATACAGAATTTTGAAAAATTAAATTATTTATACCTAAAAATTGAATTTTTTTGTATTATTATATGTAAAAATTAATTAATTAGTAATTGGAAAATTATATAAAATTAAAAATTATTTATTAATTAAAAAACCGTAAAAATATGTATTATTTTTTTCCTTATATATTGGTTACATTATTAGTTATCATGTTTTCTAGTCTATAAAAATTTATTTATTTTAATCCTTTGTATAAAAATAATTAATGTAATTATGTTTTTTTATTCCTCAATTATATAAGATAATAAAAGAAATTTATCGCTAATAAATTTTCTATTCTAAAACAATAATTACTTATTCTACTATTTTGAAGCCCCTTTCAATAGGCGACCAATTTATAAGTTTATTTTTTATGTTGAAACTGTCAATTTGTATAGCGAAAACAATATTGACGCTCGTTGAAAAATCGTATTATTAAAAACAAATTTTTTCTTAAATCGTTATTTCATATATAATCACAATAAAAAGCCTCCTTTTTTTATAAGTTTCTGCTTTTTCTCTTTCCATTTAAATTATCCAACACTTTCAACTGCTTCATACAAAACTTTTTACTTTGACAATTTTTTATAAAATAATTTGACACTTTCTCAAAAAAAGGGCTCTTTACCTTAAAATGAAATTAAATAAAGAATTAGTAAAAATTTACTTTGTCTCGATACGATGTTTCTACGAGCCACAATATGGTTATTACGATGACAATTTACTGATGTAGATGACTTGATTTGAGAAAAAAATGTCCGCACCGAAAGGTGGAGTAAGGCGGGGTTGCCTACGTAAAGGCATAACAGTATCATAAAACAGGGCAGTAAGTTTTATTTTGTTGAAAATTATAAAAATAATATTTTGCAGTAATAAAAACTAATAGAATGAATATAAATAAAGGGATTTTTGTTTATAAAAATATACATAATATAAAATATGTTAAATTAAAACGAAAAATATGAAAAAAAAAAATTTTTAATTTTGTTATTCATGAAAATAATTTTTTAAAATGATTAAAAATTAAAATTGCTAATTAGTACCTCTAGAGGTACAATTTAATAAATTGTATAATTAATAAAAATATTAAAAATGACAAATATACAGAATTTTGAAAAAATTAAATTATTTCTAAAATTTATTCAATATTTTTGTATTATTTTGGAAAATTAGTTAATTAGTAATTGGAAAACTATATAAAATCAAAAATTAATTATTAATTACAAAATCATAAAAAAGTATTAATTTTTACCTTATATATTTGTTAAATTATCTTTAATCATGTTTTCTTGTCTATAAAAATTTATTTATTTTATTCCTTTGTATCAAAATAATTAATTTAATTATGTTTTTTTATTCCTCAATTATATGAGATATTAAAAGAAATTTGGAGCTAATAAATTTTCTATTATAAAACAATAATTACTTATTCTACTATTTTAAAATCCCTTTCTATAGGCGACCAGGTCATATAAGTTTATTTCCGACATCAAAGCTGTCAATTATTTGTATAGTGCAGGGCTGATAAAAATCATGACTTTTTTAAAAAATTCATTTTTTTATTTAAATCATTTTTTTAAATATTTTAAATATTTAATTATTTTATAAGTAGTTCGTTTTTTAATATTAAAAATTATAAAATTAATAATAATAGGGTGGATGGAAAATTTTATTTTAAGAATTCTCTGACATTTCCTGACTAATTTTTCGGTTTCCCTGATTAATAAATTTTTTAATTATTTAATATTCTGCATTGATAATTAAAAATTTTATAATGCTTTTTAAGTAACAATTTTATTTAGAAAGAAAAACATAAGATAATTCAAAATTGTTTGTTAAAAAAAAATTTTAATGTGTTTAAAACTTTTATTATGAAAAAAAGTTAATGAAAATTTACAATTTAAATCGTGCTCAAAAAGTTATATTTATTTATTTAAATATAAACCGCCAATGCCCGTTTATCAAATATTATACAAAAACTAAATTGACTTTTATCAAAGTTTTTTAATTTGTGGTTTTTTTCGATTTAAATTCCCTGACTTTTCCCTGAACAAAAAAATTCTCTGATTTCCAGTTATTCTGTAATTTGAGTCAAATAAACAAAACTAATAATTATTATGTTTACTTTATTATCTCTGTAATGTATTCTTTTTTATTTTTATGAATTCAAAACTTTAAACCAAAATACTAATTTTGCAAACTTTTCTGTTTCTAATGCATTTTGCAGTTTGATTTAAATCATGATTTTAATGACAAGATTTAAATCAAGATTAAAATCATGATTTAAATCAAGTTGATTTAAATTATTGCAGCCCTGGCTATAGTGAAAATAATATTGACGCTCGTAGAAACATCGTATATTATTACAAACAGATTTTTACTTAAATCCTTATTTCATATATAGAATTTTAATAAAGAGCCCTTTTCTCTATAAGTATCTGCTTTTATTCTTTCTTTTTAAATTATCCAACACTTTCGACTGATTTTTATGAAACTTTTTACTTTGTCAATTTTTAAAAAATAATTTGACACTTTCTCAAAAAAAGAGCTCTTTACCGTAAAGCGAAAATAAATAAAGAATTACCTAATTAAAATTTATTTTGTTTCGATATGATGTTTTTATAAGCCACAATCTTATTTCCACCATAAAAATTGAGAGCTGAATGTGACTTGTGGAAGAAAGTGTCCAGAAATTTTGTGAAGGTTGCCTATACGTAAAAGACTAACAACATCAAAAAACTAGGAATTAGTAATTCAATTTGTCAAGTAATTTAAACGATATTTTGCAATAATGAAAGTTAAATATAAGAAACATAAATAAAGGGATTCTTATTTATGAGAAATGTACATAATATAAACATGTCAAATTTAAAAAAAAAGATTTTGATAAATTTTTTATTTTTTCAATTTTGATATATTTATTAAAATAATTTTTTAAAATGATTGAAAATTAAAATTGCTAAATATTTTCTTTTAAGGTACAATTTATTAATTTGTAATTAATAAAAAATTTCGGAAAATTACATTTATTGTATTTTTACATTCTCATAAAAAATGAGAAAGTCTTGGATTTGTGCGATGTTGAGAAATTTCTAATTTTGATAAATCTTCATTTTTCATGACCCCCTGATGAAACGAAATTCACCCCCGATGAAATTTTCAAAATTTTGTATTTTTTACAATTTTCAAAAAAATATTTTTTTCTAATTTTTTTCTTAAATTTTGTACAAAAACAAACAAATTTTCCCTTGGACACTTTTTTGTAAAAAAAAAATTATGAATTTTTTTCAAAATTTACTATTTAATGCTTTTTTAAATTTTATGTCAGCATGTATAAAGTATAGAAAATTTGTCCTAGGGGAGCCGTGTTTATAAACATCAGTTCATATTACGTTAAAATACATCGCTGTTAAAATTAGAATCGACAATTAAATCGCTTATAACAATTTAAAAAAATTTTTTCCAGAAAAGTGCAAAAAATGAACTATTATTACTATTGCATGAGTTTCCTTCTGTTTCTATACTAAGATTCATTCAAATAAAAAGTCTTTTCTCAGTCTGAAGGATGTATGTCTGAATATATGATATATTATTCAAATTTGTGTATATATGAGCTAGTTAATGAAGTTAATCTATATTGTCAGTGATACTTCGTTTTTTTAGGTTTATGGAAGAATTATAATTATCTGTGGACGTCGACATGAAAAGGGCCCATTGTGGCACTATTGGAGTTTTCTATATGGGCGATTTTCTGGAAAAATTTGGAAAATTTTGAGTGGTCTTAGAACTTTTTGGTTAAAAATTCGCTGAGTTACTGAATTTTAAAGTTTAGAACGCCAAAAACCTCATTTCGAGAAAAACGGAATTGAAGATTGCGATACTAAATAATTGTTGTATATCTAGTTCTCTTATTGGAAGTTATTCATATAAGAATTGTTTTCAGTTCAGGACACCTTGAAGATAAAAAACCAATAGGTTTAAAATTTTTAAAACCATCCCCCTCTCTTAATTTTGAAAATACGAAAAATCGATAATATGGGCCCTTTTCTAAAAAGGACAGTTTTTCTATTAAAAAACCATTTTTTACAAGATTAATTATTAGGTACAATTTTGTTGTGTCATTTAAAGAAAAAGAATAGATATTAAACTTATTCAAAATTTTTTGACAGTCTTTATTATGAAAAAATTGACGCAATATCCAAATTTTCATTTTGACAATCACAAAAAAAAGACTCTAATATCAATATCTCTGGTTCTTCTGGGAAGTTATTCAGATAAGAATTGTTTATAGTCCAGGACACCTTAAAGATGAAAAATCAAGAGGTTTTAAATTTTTCCTCACCTCCATTTTTAAAATACTGTTTAATTTTGCAAATGACCGACAAAATGGGCCATTTTCCTTTTTCTAAAGAACAAATTAAATTAATTAGTTAAATAATCTATAAATTAATGAAAACCGCATGATTCGAGTTGTCAAAACATGTAGATTGATATTAAAAAATTTAAAAAAATTAAGATTTTGCTCCAAAATTACTAAGTTACGATTATCTCGAAAACTAGAACCGACAATATGGGCCCTTTTCATGTGGACGTCCACATAATTATATACATGTACTTGCGTAAAATCTATTCCTGGTATTTTTTCTAAATTTATGTTTTGGGTAGAAATATATTCTTGATCTTTTTATTTTAGCTGAATCTTGAGTTGCACAGTGCGCCAGGATCGTCGAATTTTGGCCAAAAATACAATTTTTCAATTTTCAAATATGCACAAAAGAATTTATTCATAGTATTTAATAGTAAATAAGGAATTTATTGCATAAAGGATTTGTTAAATAATAAAAAATTGTGTCTTCTTGAACTATTTAAAGTTTAACATTTAAGATAAAATAATGAAATGTTTTTGATTGAAATACTTAATATATCTAGAAATAAATTAAATATTTTTGTATAAGTACTTATTTTTTCTCATTAACTGTTTATAAAAATCAGTTCATATTACGTTAAAATACATCGCTGTTAAAATTAGAATCGACAATTAAATCGCTTATAACAATTTAAAAAAATTTTTTCCAGAAAAGTGCAAAAAATGAACTAATAAAAAATTTTTAAAAATTAAGATTTTGCTCTAAAATTACTAAATTGCGATTATCTTGAAAACTAGAACCGACAATATGGGCCCTTTTCATGTGGGCGTCCACATAATTATATACATGTACTTGCGTAAAATCTATTCCTGGTATTTTTTCTAAATTTATGTTTTGGGTAGAAATATATTCTTGATCTTTTTATTTTAGCTGAATCCTTAAATTGTATGTGGGACATTCCAGGCCAAATCGGAAATTATTATTAGTGTTAGTTTCTTACAAAAAATTTTGAGAAAAATTAACCGATACACACATTGTTAAAAATGAAATTTTATTTTAAAAATTTTAAAATTTTATCGTAAATTATTTACAAATATTTTTATTGCAAATTACGCGTGAAAACAAAACTTTTCATTATAAAAACATCCAATTTAATCAATTTTGACCGAGTTATAAGCATTTAAAAAAAATTTAAGTAAAAAACGTCATTTCTCAAAAATCTGTATCTCTTGAACCGCTTTATGAAAAAAATCAAAGTTGCTCATTTCAAAGAGTACTAAAAGAAAAGAAAGTTTTAAAAAAATTTGAGATGCAAAAGCAAAATAATTTCCGATTTGACCTGGAATGATCCACATACAACTCACAGTGGGCCAGCGGGTCGTCGATTTTTGGCTAAAATTAATTATTTAAAAAAACAAGATATTTACGAATAACAAGTATGCTACCTACAGTTTTTGGAGCGCTGATTACGAATCTGAAGTCGGATTTCAAAAATTAAAAATGGCGGATCCAATATGGCGGACATAAATTTTTTTATATGAATCAATTTTAATGAAGCATAAGTATCTAAAGGTTTTTTGGGTCGCTAATTACGAATCTGAAGTCAGATTTCAAAAATTCAAAATGGCGGATCCAATATGACGGCCATAAAATTTTAAAATCAATAAATTTAAATTAAACATAGGTATCTATGGGTTTTTTGGGTCGCTGATTACGAATCTGATGTAAGAATTTAAGTGGATTTTAGATTGGATGAGATTCGCCTACAATTTGTTGCTTGGGAGTTTTTAAGTTTGGTGATTACAAAACTAGTGTCTATAAAATTCAGAAAATAAAAAAAAATTTCCTGTTATTAGCCTACAAAAATAAAACGTACTGTAGTTTCTAGGATCTACCACGAGGAGGTTACAGGTAAAGATCCCATTTTGTATTTTTTTTAGATTTTAAAAATTTTTTCAGTTTTTTTTACACCTGATGTTTACTTATAGGTATATATAGTTTATCGCATAGGTATATCAGGTGCGCATGTAGTCCTATTGGAGAATCTGCTTTTATTTCCATGGATCAGGTAAACACTCTATTTCATATATAAATCTGATTTCAGAAACACAGTGCTCATTTTTACATTTTTAAAATCTGACAACAGATTCGTAATCAGCAACCCGAAAAACCTCTACATACCTATGTTTCATTGAAATTGATTAATTTAAAAATTTTTATGACTGCCATTTTGATTTTTTGAAATCTGACATCAGATACTAAATCAGCGACCCAAAAAACCCATAGATAAAAAACCATAGATAAACCCTATGTTCAATTCATATTTATTGATTTTTAAATTTTTATGTCCGCCATATTGGATCCGCCATTTTGAATTTTTGAAATCTGACATTAGATTCGTAATCAGCGACACAAAAAACCGTTAAACACCACTGTTCATCATAATTGATTAATTTTAAAAATTGTCTTTATATATATTTATTGCATATATATTTATGTTTATTGCAATATTGTTGTTATATTGAAAAAATATGAAAAGGAGCAAAATGGCACATATTGGCGTCAAAGTAGACATGCTAAGTAATCGTTCTAGAACTTGTTTTTTCAAATATTATGCGGCTCGGAGGAGCTCGACTAACTGAAAGTCGGCACTCTATTGAAAAAACCACTATTTGTTAACTTCAATGGAGCTACATTTTTATAAATTTTATTTTTTAAAAGTTACTATAGGTTTTTTTACTTCAATATATCTGTTAATGAGAAAAAATAAGTACTTATACAAAAATATTTAATTTATTTCTAGATATATTAAGTATTTCAATCAAAAACATTTCATTATTTTATCTTAAATGTTAAACTTTAAATAGTTCAAGAAGACACAATTTTTTATTATTTAACAAATCCTTTATGCAATAAATTCCTTATTTACTATTAAATACTATGAATAAATTCTTTTGTGCATATTTGAAAATTGAAAAATTGTATTTTTGGCCAAAATTCGACGATCCTGGCGCACTGTGCAACTCAAGATTCAGCTAAAATAAAAAGATCAAGAATATATTTCTACCCAAAACATAAATTTAGAAAAAATACCAGGAATAGATTTTACGCAAGTACATGTATATAATTATGTGGACGTCCACATGAAAAGGGCCCATATTGTCGGTTCTAGTTTTCGAGATAATCGTAACTTAGTAATTTTGGAGCAAAATCTTAATTTTTTTAAATTTTTTAATATCAATCTACATGTTTTGACAACTCGAATCATGCGGTTTTCATTAATTTATAGATTATTTAACTAATTAATTTAATTTGTTCTTTAGAAAAAGGAAAATGGCCCATTTTGTCGGTCATTTGCAAAATTAAACAGTATTTTAAAAATGGAGGTGAGGAAAAATTTAAAACCTCTTGATTTTTCATCTTTAAGGTGTCCTGGACTATAAACAATTCTTATCTGAATAACTTCCCAGAAGAACCAGAGATATTGATATTAGAGTCTTTTTTTTGTGATTGTCAAAATGAAAATTTGGATATTGCGTCAATTTTTTCATAATAAAGACTGTCAAAAAATTTTGAATAAGTTTAATATCTATTCTTTTTCTTTAAATGACACAACAAAATTGTACCTAATAATTAATCTTGTAAAAAATGGTTTTTTAATAGAAAAACTGTCCTTTTTAGAAAAGGGCCCATATTATCGATTTTTCGTATTTTCAAAATTAAGAGAGGGGGATGGTTTTAAAAATTTTAAACCTATTGGTTTTTTATCTTCAAGGTGTCCTGAACTGAAAACAATTCTTATATGAATAACTTCCAATAAGAGAACTAGATATACAACAATTATTTAGTATCGCAATCTTCAATTCCGTTTTTCTCGAAATGAGGTTTTTGGCGTTCTAAACTTTAAAATTCAGTAACTCAGCGAATTTTTAACCAAAAAGTTCTAAGACCACTCAAAATTTTCCAAATTTTTCCAGAAAATCGCCCATATAGAAAACTCCAATAGTGCCACAATGGGCCCTTTTCATGTCGACGTCCACAGATAATTATAATTCTTCCATAAACCTAAAAAAACGAAGTATCACTGACAATATAGATTAACTTCATTAACTAGCTCATATATACACAAATTTGAATAATATATCATATATTCAGACATACATCCTTCAGACTGAGAAAAGACTTTTTATTTGAATGAATCTTAGTATAGAAACAGAAGGAAACTCATGCAATAGTAATAATAGTTCATTTTTTGCACTTTTCTGGAAAAAATTTTTTTAAATTGTTATAAGCGATTTAATTGTCGATTCTAATTTTAACAGCGATGTATTTTAACGTAATATGAACTGATGTTTATAAACACGGCTCCCCTAGGACAAATTTTCTATACTTTATACATGCTGACATAAAATTTAAAAAAGCATTAAATAGTAAATTTTGAAAAAAATTCATAATTTTTTTTTTACAAAAAAGTGTCCAAGGGAAAATTTGTTTGTTTTTGTACAAAATTTAAGAAAAAAATTAGAAAAAAATATTTTTTTGAAAATTGTAAAAAATACAAAATTTTGAAAATTTCATCGGGGGTGAATTTCGTTTCATCAGGGGGTCATGAAAAATGAAGATTTATCAAAATTAGAAATTTCTCAACATCGCACAAATCCAAGACTTTCTCATTTTTTATGAGAATGTAAAAATACAATAAATGTAATTTTCCGAAATTTTTTATTAATTACAAATTAATAAATTGTACCTTAAAAGAAAATATTTAGCAATTTTAATTTTCAATCATTTTAAAAAATTATTTTAATAAATATATCAAAATTGAAAAAATAAAAAATTTATCAAAATCTTTTTTTTTAAATTTGACATGTTTATATTATGTACATTTCTCATAAATAAGAATCCCTTTATTTATGTTTCTTATATTTAACTTTCATTATTGCAAAATATCGTTTAAATTACTTGACAAATTGAATTACTAATTCCTAGTTTTTTGATGTTGTTAGTCTTTTACGTATAGGCAACCTTCACAAAATTTCTGGACACTTTCTTCCACAAGTCACATTCAGCTCTCAATTTTTATGGTGGAAATAAGATTGTGGCTTATAAAAACATCATATCGAAACAAAATAAATTTTAATTAGGTAATTCTTTATTTATTTTCGCTTTACGGTAAAGAGCTCTTTTTTTGAGAAAGTGTCAAATTATTTTTTAAAAATTGACAAAGTAAAAAGTTTCATAAAAATCAGTCGAAAGTGTTGGATAATTTAAAAAGAAAGAATAAAAGCAGATACTTATAGAGAAAAGGGCTCTTTATTAAAATTCTATATATGAAATAAGGATTTAAGTAAAAATCTGTTTGTAATAATATACGATGTTTCTACGAGCGTCAATATTATTTTCACTATAGCCAGGGCTGCAATAATTTAAATCAACTTGATTTAAATCATGATTTTAATCTTGATTTAAATCTTGTCATTAAAATCATGATTTAAATCAAACTGCAAAATGCATTAGAAACAGAAAAGTTTGCAAAATTAGTATTTTGGTTTAAAGTTTTGAATTCATAAAAATAAAAAAGAATACATTACAGAGATAATAAAGTAAACATAATAATTATTAGTTTTGTTTATTTGACTCAAATTACAGAATAACTGGAAATCAGAGAATTTTTTTGTTCAGGGAAAAGTCAGGGAATTTAAATCGAAAAAAACCACAAATTAAAAAACTTTGATAAAAGTCAATTTAGTTTTTGTATAATATTTGATAAACGGGCATTGGCGGTTTATATTTAAATAAATAAATATAACTTTTTGAGCACGATTTAAATTGTAAATTTTCATTAACTTTTTTTCATAATAAAAGTTTTAAACACATTAAAATTTTTTTTTAACAAACAATTTTGAATTATCTTATGTTTTTCTTTCTAAATAAAATTGTTACTTAAAAAGCATTATAAAATTTTTAATTATCAATGCAGAATATTAAATAATTAAAAAATTTATTAATCAGGGAAACCGAAAAATTAGTCAGGAAATGTCAGAGAATTCTTAAAATAAAATTTTCCATCCACCCTATTATTATTAATTTTATAATTTTTAATATTAAAAAACGAACTACTTATAAAATAATTAAATATTTAAAATATTTAAAAAAATGATTTAAATAAAAAAAATGAATTTTTTAAAAAAGTCATGATTTTTATCAGCCCTGCACTATACAAATAATTGACAGCTTTGATGTCGGAAATAAACTTATATGACCTGGTCGCCTATAGAAAGGGATTTTAAAATAGTAGAATAAGTAATTATTGTTTTATAATAGAAAATTTATTAGCTCCAAATTTCTTTTAATATCTCATATAATTGAGGAATAAAAAAACATAATTAAATTAATTATTTTGATACAAAGGAATAAAATAAATAAATTTTTATAGACAAGAAAACATGATTAAAGATAATTTAACAAATATATAAGGTAAAAATTAATACTTTTTTATGATTTTGTAATTAATAATTAATTTTTGATTTTATATAGTTTTCCAATTACTAATTAACTAATTTTCCAAAATAATACAAAAATATTGAATAAATTTTAGAAATAATTTAATTTTTTCAAAATTCTGTATATTTGTCATTTTTAATATTTTTATTAATTATACAATTTATTAAATTGTACCTCTAGAGGTACTAATTAGCAATTTTAATTTTTAATCATTTTAAAAAATTATTTTCATGAATAACAAAATTAAAAATTTTTTTTTTTCATATTTTTCGTTTTAATTTAACATATTTTATATTATGTATATTTTTATAAACAAAAATCCCTTTATTTATATTCATTCTATTAGTTTTTATTACTGCAAAATATTATTTTTATAATTTTCAACAAAATAAAACTTACTGCCCTGTTTTATGATACTGTTATGCCTTTACGTAGGCAACCCCGCCTTACTCCACCTTTCGGTGCGGACATTTTTTTCTCAAATCAAGTCATCTACATCAGTAAATTGTCATCGTAATAACCATATTGTGGCTCGTAGAAACATCGTATCGAGACAAAGTAAATTTTTACTAATTCTTTATTTAATTTCATTTTAAGGTAAAGAGCCCTTTTTTTGAGAAAGTGTCAAATTATTTTATAAAAAATTGTCAAAGTAAAAAGTTTTGTATGAAGCAGTTGAAAGTGTTGGATAATTTAAATGGAAAGAGAAAAAGCAGAAACTTATAAAAAAAGGAGGCTTTTTATTGTGATTATATATGAAATAACGATTTAAGAAAAAATTTGTTTTTAATAATACGATTTTTCAACGAGCGTCAATATTGTTTTCGCTATACAAATTGACAGTTTCAACATAAAAAATAAACTTATAAATTGGTCGCCTATTGAAAGGGGCTTCAAAATAGTAGAATAAGTAATTATTGTTTTAGAATAGAAAATTTATTAGCGATAAATTTCTTTTATTATCTTATATAATTGAGGAATAAAAAAACATAATTACATTAATTATTTTTATACAAAGGATTAAAATAAATAAATTTTTATAGACTAGAAAACATGATAACTAATAATGTAACCAATATATAAGGAAAAAAATAATACATATTTTTACGGTTTTTTAATTAATAAATAATTTTTAATTTTATATAATTTTCCAATTACTAATTAATTAATTTTTACATATAATAATACAAAAAAATTCAATTTTTAGGTATAAATAATTTAATTTTTCAAAATTCTGTATATTTGTCATTTTTATTATTTTCATTAATTACAATTCAATAAATTGTACCTCTAGGGGTACTAATTAGCAATTTTTATTTTTAATCTCTTTAAAAAATTATTTTAATGAATAACAAAATTTAAAAAAAATGTTTTTCATATTTTTCGTTTTAATTCAACATATTTTATATTATGTATATTATTATAAATAAAACCCCATTTATTTATATTAATTATATTAGTTTTTATTACTGCAAAATGTTATTTTTATAATTTTCAACAAAATAAAACTTACTGCCCTGTATTATGATACTGTTATGCCTTTACGTAGGCAACCCCGCTTTACTCCACCTTCTGTTGTGCGGCCATTTTTTCCCCATATCAAGCCAACTACATCTGTAAATTGTCATCGTAATAACCATATTGTGGCTAGTAGAAACATCGTATCGAGACAAAGTAAATTTTTACTAATTCTTTATTTAATTTTATTTTAAGGTAAAGAGCCCTTTTTTTGATTAAGTTCTTTGTTTTTTTTTAAAAAGTGATCAAAGTGGAAAATTACACGAAATATACTAGACAGTGGGGGAGAGTGGGTTGGCAACACTTGACAGTTCCCGACCTCCAACGCCGTTAAATAAAAATATTAATAAGATGATCAATTATATTATGAATTATACAGAATTGCAGTTTTTGCAAATGAAGTAGCTCGTCCTCATCTTTGCGCATTTTAAACACATAGTGGCCGACCTTGACAGTAAGTAACATTACCGAATTGTTATAACCATAAAGATATACGTTTCGGGATTCGATTTTTTACTTTGTTTTTCTTTCAACCATGAGTCCCACAAATTTTCTGCACACTTGCCTTGACGATTCAATTTGTTTTTTATCTTTTATTAATGGTTTTTCACATTATGCACAAAACTTTTTTTGAGCTTTTTTTGTACCGACGTCACAGAAAACACAATTTTCGATCCTCCGAAAATGTAATTGAACAAAAAGTTAGGTTTCACTAAGACAAGCTTCGACAAATATGCGCGTAGGTGGCGCTAGTGAACTTGACAAAAAAACGCGAGTGGCCTACCTAGACAGTAGACCAACCTTGACTACATTCCCCTAATTGAATTTTTCCATAGAATTTTATTATTTATGATAATTGATTGTCTAGAAGAAAATTAAAATTCTTTTGAGAAATTTATTTAAAACTACACTGAAAAACTGTTAGGAGAGCTGTTCGCCCAATGCGGTGAACTGCTGCGTTAAAAAGAAACGCACAGCTCACTTTATTTTTGGGCGAGTTACTCTCCTTTTTGGGCGAGCAACTCTCCTTTTTGATAGAGCTGCTGCCCTTTTTGTCAAGCAGCCGCTCGCCAACGCCATTGGTAGTCAAGTTTAGGAGAGCAACTCGCCTAATTTTGATAGAGCTGTGAGTTTAAAGTTAAGTAGCGCTGCACAACAGTCAATAGCGCAACTGCTCTACCAACAGTTTTTCAGTGTATTGGGAAAGTTTTAAAATTAATTGAATTTTCTCGAGGAAAATAATTGAATTTCTGCGAATAATTTTTATAATTATAAACTCAATTGAAATCTTGAAGAGAATTTAAAAAAATGTTCGAAAATATTTTAATTTTTGTGAAGAATTTTGATATTTATCAAAATAATTGAAATCTTGACAGGTTTTTAACAAATTTTTTTTAATATAATTGAATTTTTGCTAAGAATTTTATTACTTTTGAAAATAATTGAATTTTTGTAATGAATATTGTTATTTATGAAACTAATTGAATTTTGCAAAGAATTTTATTCAAAATCCTGAAAATAATTGAATTTCTATGAAGAATTTTGATACTTATCAAAATACTAAATTGAAATCTTGACAGGAATTTAAAAAATTTCTTTTTAATATTATTGAATTTTTGCTAAAAATTGTATTACTTTTGAAAATAATTGAATTCCTGTGATGAATATTGTTATTTATGAAAATAATTTAATTTTGCAAAAGAATTTTATTAAAATTTCTGAAAATAATTAAATTCTTCCGTAGAATTTCATTATTTATAAAAATTGATTGTCAAGAAGAAAATTAAAATTCATTTTGAGTAATTTATTTAAAGTTTTAAAAATAATTGAATTCTTTCAAAGAATTTTATTAATATTTTAGAAAATAAAGAGTAATAATATTAATTAGTTTATAATTTTTTAATGTTTGAAAATTTTTAATCCAAACTTGTTTAAAAATTAAAGTTTATATTTGAATAAAAGAAAATCGGAATTTCATAATAATAACAATAATAATATTAAAGGAAGAAGTTATTAACAATCTCTTCAAATTTTTAATTTAAATGAGAAATGATTCGGAGAGATTGTTAACTTCTTCCTTTAATATAATTAATACGAAATGATAAATTCCTTTCCTATAATAATAATAAAAAATTATTCGCTGTATTTAATTTATTATTATTTAATAAATAGTTTAAACAATAATATACTAAAAATATTATTAATATTGTAAATTTATTTTCCAGAAAAGTCAATAAATCGTACAGAGGCAGATCTTGTCCGATAATAATTCATTGCAGGTAAAAAGATAATTTAAAAATTGAAGTTTCAATAACTTTGAATTTAATATAATAATATAATAATAATAAATAACAATTGAATAAATAATGAATATTAATTGATAATTAATGAAATTATTTTTTCTCGAAAGTGATGGAGCTGGTCGAACTGGCACATATTGTTTAATCGACATGGTCCTAAATCGAATGGCAAAGGGTGCTAAGGAAATTGATATTGCCGCAACTCTAGAGCATATCAGAGATCAAAGGCCTGGAATGGTGTCCACTAAACAACAGTTTGAATTTGTCCTTATGGCTGTTGCCGAAGAGGTACACGCAATTTTAAAAGCTTTACCTATTCCATCTAATGAAAAATCATCTTCCACCGCTACGAACAATAGTCTTCCTTTAACTTCAAATTCTGAACAACAGTAAATATATATCAAAATTATATATTTAAAATCACTTTATTACGTTTAAATATTGTTTATGAAAAATTGTTGTAACGGATTACGTTATTTTTTCTTCTCGATGCAAGGCGTAAAAATATTTTTTATTCTTTTAACAGCTTTAACAGATTAATCTGAATCCATACAAAAGCATTTATTTTAATATTTAACTTTTTTAATCAATGCACAAAGTTGTTTCTAAAAGTAAAGAAACAATGTTCGAGAATTATTTTTTTTTTTTTTAATTGAGTCTGATTATTAAGCGAATTTTACAAAATTAAATTCGAAAATTATTTCTGTCAGTCGGAAATAATTATGTGATATAATTTAGTTTTTTTAATTTCTATACACATCAAGATGTTTTTTATAATAATTTTATTTATTTTCAATGAGTAATCAATGATTTCAATCAATTTTCAATGATTGTTGTATTTATTACTCTATTAAAAAAATAAACAATAAAGTAAAAATTAAGTTAGAACATTAAAGGAATTCCTTTAATGTTCTAACTTAATTTTTACTTTTATTGTTTATTTTACCTATTTTTTTTTATTTTAACTTAATTTGTTAGTTTGGGTGATTTATTTATTCAATATTTATTTCATAGTATAATTCAGTAGTGAAATTAGAAATTATTATTGTCTAACTATACAGAAGATCGACAAAAAAAAATTTAATTTTAGTGTTTTGGCTGCTGCGAGAGAGAAAGAGATAAATTTAAACTAAATTCAAGTTTGCTCCCATTATTGTGTGGAATGTTGAATAATTTCAATTATCATTTTGTTATTAATATTAATTATTAATGAAATATTTGAAATAATTGAAAATATTTATATTAATAAATATTTTTGACACTTAAAAATTTCACTGGAAAATATTGAACAAAAAAAATAGAATGTTAATTTACTAAAAAAAATTTATTACTTTGCCTAAAAAGATTTGACATTCCATATGGAATTATAGGGGAAAATAATCAACGGTAACTCTTAACAATGAAAAATGGATATAAAAGCTAATTTTATGAAACTGAATGTATTATTATTCATATTTATAATATAATTGTGAAACGTAAATTAAGATCGCTACTGAGTACTGAGTATATTTCTACATGGTATATTTAAGAAAGGAAAAAAAAACTTGAAATATAAAAATATTATATTACATAAATGTATGTGTATGTATATAAAGATTGTATTGAAAGAAATTTGAAAAAAAATTTGTTAATTAAAAAGAGAAACACATTAGTTTTTGCTCATAGATGAAAATATCTTCTAAGATAATTATGCTTCAAATCAGTTTTAAAACGAAATCTCTCTATTTGCAAATATTTTAATATTAATTAATTAATTAATTATTAATTCTTGATTCTCATCGAAAAACTAAAAAGAAATTGATTTTCACTTTCTCGTATATTATAATAATAAAATTATACTTCTATAATTAATTTATTGCAATTAAATTCTATTTTTGCAATATTTATCAGGGTTGTCACAGGTCAGGGAAATCAGGGAATTCAAGGAAAAGTCAGAAATTTCAATTACTTTTAATACAATTTTTTCCTAATTCTTAATATGAAAATTTAATTTTGAGAAACATTAATTTATTTAATAGATTATTTATTTTTATTTTTTGTATTTAAAAAAAATAATTGAATGTTAAAAGCATTATAGCATGAATTTTTAGAAATAATTGAATTTTTTATTGAAATTATTTTAATTTTTTATTTTCTAAATATTTAATTAAAGAATTTTCAAATAATCAAAATTTCGTAAAATTGAATTATAAACAAATGGATTTAAAAATTCTCTAGGAACTTTTGCAAAAATTATTAAAAATAATTGATAATTTCAGAAGAAATAAATATTTCTTCTGAAAAATTTAAATAAATTTTTTTTAAATTATTAAAATCTTTTAAGGGATTTTATTTAAATTTTTAGAAATAATTGAATTCTTTAGAGGAATTTTATTATTTATGAAAATAATTGAATTCTATAGCTAAGAAAATATTTAAATTTTGAAAATAATTGATTATTTCAAAGAAAACTTAAAATTATTTCAAGAAATTTAATTAAAATTGCACTTAAAATAATTGAATTCTTGTAAAGAATTTTATCATAATTTTTTAAAATAATTTAATTCATGGGAGTAATTTTATTATTAATGAAAATATTTTAGTTCTTGGTAAGAATTTCATTAAATTTTTGAAAATAATTGAATTTTTGCATGGAATTTTATTAAATTTTTAAAAAATAATTGAATTCCTCGTAGGAATTTCATAATTTTTGAAAATAATTGAATTCCTAGGATTTTATTAAATCTTTTTAAAATAATTGATTTCTAGGGATTTTATTAAATTATTTAAAAATTATTGAATTCCTGGGATTTTATTCAATTTTTTAAAAATAATTTAATTCCTAGGAGGAATTTTATTATTTCTGAAAATAATTGAATTCTTGCAACGAATTTTATTATATTTTTAAAAAATAATTGAATTCTTTTGAGAAATTTTATTAAAATAGTAGTTTTTGAAAATATTTGAATTTCAGCAAAGAATTTCATTATTTGTGAAATTTAATTGAATTCTAGCAAAAAATTGTTTAAAATACTTACATTTTTCGAGGATTTTATTTCAAATTTTATTAGAAATAATTTAAATCCTATGAAAAATTTTATTATTTATGAAAATAATTTTTTGTGGCAACCCTGTTTATTGACAATCGGAAGTTTAATTCAAATAAATATGTAATCTCAAGAAATTGATTAATTACATTTTCTATTTGTAGAAGAAAAAAAAATAAGAGTAATTAGAAGTTTATTTAATTTTTAATTTCAAGAAATCATGTCGAGTGAATTCAAAAGTAAAAAAAAAAATATGTGTGTGTGTGAATTGATCATTTTTCACTGGAAAATAAGAATGTGTATCAAATAGAAAAAGGAAATAATTTATATCAAAAATAGAAATTCATAGAGACTAAAAATTTTAATTATATGTATATGCAGAAATTACAACAGCACGTGGATGAGTGACATGAAAAATAGATTTCTCACAGTGTGAGACTTCTTCGATATAAATTTTTTTTTCTTTTTTATATTATTATTAGAGGGAAAGAGAATTTTTCGTCCACATGTTTCACTCATCTTTTCTTTGCATGTTGTATATTATATACATACGCATTACTAATCTTAAGAATCGAATGAAGACGCTTATGTATTCAAGACAAAAAAAAAATAGAAACGAAACCTTAATAGAAAGTCATTATTTCTTTTTTTGAAATATAATTTTGAGGAATGTAAGCGCCTTAAAAATGGTTCTGATAAGCAACAAAATGACTTGAAACAAAACACTTTCAGAATACTTTTGCTTCTATTAGCCTCTCTAGCATCAACTAAAGAATAAATTCTATATTTTTGTGTAAAATGAAATATAAATATTATACAAATATATTAAGATATAAGTGAAAAAAAATCTATATACGATATGTTATTCAGAAATATAACAATATATGTTGTAACTGAATAAAATAATCTATGTTCAATAAAAATGTGCAAGATCATTATTTATTTATAGCTAATGCAATGGCCGAAATGCGATATTCGATTTAATTATTATGAAAATTAGAAAATTTTTTATTTTCAAATATTAATATCAAATTTTTGAATAATTTCAGATTCAAAATTGAAACCACATTAAATTATTAACTAATTTAGATAATTAGTTTTTATTGATTATTATTTTCATAAATAATAAAATTCTGGTCAACAATTCAATTATTTTCAAAAATAATAAAATTCATGGCAAGAATTCAATTATTTTCATAAATAATAAAATTCTTGGCAAGAATTCAATTATTTTCAAATTTTTTTCTTAAGAATTCAATGATTTTCAATATATTAATTTTAACATTTAAATCATTTAAATATAAAAATTATTAAAAAAGTTTCTTTTTTCCTGTATTTTTGTGGACAATAATAAAAATACTTTTTTATGTTCAATATAAAAAGGAGACTATATTATAAAAAACTGTACAATTATATAATATTTACAGAATTGTATTTTAATCGTAGTAACAGTATTAAAAATATATTTATATAATTTAATTGGATATTTAGCCCGCGATAGTTTGATCATCATTGACTATTAACGTCTCTATCGATATTAAAATTGATTTTTATTTCTCTTGTTCAGGCAATGTAGGACAAAGTGTATCAGGAAAAGCTGGATTCCAAAAACCTGAAATAATTAAACAAATTTGTCTATTCAATCTAAATTCTCGAATCACATTTTAATTAAGTATTTCGAAAATGAAATATTTTAAATTTAACCAGCATTATTTTAAAGGACTTTTCAAAAAAAAAATTAAATTGAAAATTTAAGAATACAATACAAAATTTTAAATCTTTTAAATTTAATTAATACATTTTTGAAAAATTATAAACTAAGGGGAATAAATATTAATTTTCAAAGAAGTAATTTCATACCTGGTGGAGTATAATAATTTGGATCGTATTTTGCTTTGTGACGAGAGCATTTTTTCATACATTCTTTTAATTCCTTCTCAGAAAGATCAAGTCCTTGATAATACTGTAGAGAGAAAATGTATTATATATAAAAAATTATTTTACAAACAAATTATTAATTTAATATTATAGTTAGTGATAAACTAATTTTATTAATTACAATTACCTTTTTACAATCCCAACATGACCATCCGTCAAGTTGTGCTCTTTCATTTTTCCGTCTAACTGACTGAATATTATACGCATACTCTGGACTGCGCTTTTTCTTTTCTGGATTCCTGAAATAATAATTTATTAAGTTACTCAAAAATTTTTAATGCAATCCTTTAAAAAAATTCAGTATTTTCAATAAAATTTTAAATAAATTTCTCGAAAGAATTTCAATTTTCCTCGAAACAATTCAATTATTTATAAAAATTTTAATAAAAAACTCTGCTATAGAATTCAATTATTTTTTCAAGTTTTTATAAAATTTGTCGCAAAAATGGAATGATTTCCAAAAATTTTCACAAAATTCTTCAAAAAATACAATTATTTTCATAAATAATAAAATTCTTCGGAAAAATTCAAATATTTTTCTAAATAATAAAATTCTACGGAGCAATTTTATTGTTTTTAATACAATTTTAATAAAATTTCTCGAACAATTTCAATTATTTTCAGAAATTTGAATAAATTAAATTTTTTTTTTAAATTCCTTGAATGCTTATAACTATTTTCGAAATTTTTAATAAAATTCTTTAGAAGAATTTAATTATTTTTAGTACAATTTTATCATTTTTTTGTTAGAATTTAATTATTTTTAATCAAATTTTCGAAAATAATTTAATTATTATCAATTTTTGAATGAAATTCTTCAAGAAATTAAATTATTCTCATAAATAATAAAATTCTTCTGAAAAATTCAATTATTTTCCAAAGTTTTGTTAAAAATTCGTCGCCAGAATTGAACGATTTTCATAAGTTATAAACTTCTTCGGAGGAATTCATTTAATTTCAATACAGTTTTAATCAAATTTTTTGAAACAATTTAATTATTTTAAAAATATTTTAATGAAATTCTTCGAAAGAGTTAATTTATATTCAAAAATTTTACTAACATTCCTTAGCAGAATTAATTTTAGTATAATTGTAATTTTATTCCTTGAAGGAATTTAATAATTTCCAAAAGTTGTTAACAACATTCTTCGAAACAATTGAATATTCAAAAATTTTAATAAAATTCGATTCAAGAATTAATTTTCTTTAGATTTTAATGTTAAATTAAATAATGATGTTTAATTCAAAAACAATTAATATACACTAAATTAATATACAAATATTTTATTTAATTTCCCCAGGGAAAATAAATTTAAATATAAGAAAATATAAATCAATTATTACTCACTTATCGAAACTTTTCATTGGAAGACGTTTATTTTTCGGACTATTATATGTTTCCCTTGAAGTTCCTGCTTTCGTTGGGGTTTTTTTTATCGCATCATTTTGATATTCTCCGGGAGAAAAGAAAGTTTCATCATCCAACATTGTTTCATTGTGATGAATCTTATTTATTTGATTGTAATCTACAATAATTGAAAAATTACCTTTATTACTAGATAAATCTTTTTTTTTAGTTTACAAAAAATTTACTAAATTTCAATGGAATTTTCTAAATTTTCTCCAAAAAAATAATTTTACCAACGATATTTAAATTTTTTAACGGTTTAATAGAGAAAGGTGGTTTTCTATAATGTTTAATGTAAACATAAGTTCAAAATGTTAGTGAAATAAAAATTAATAATGAATAAATTTTGCCTTACCTTTGTGGGAACTTTCCTTCAAAACAGAAGCTTTTTTCACGAAACCAACGAGATTTTTTTTCCCACTTTGGGAAGATTGTTTATTCAATAAATAATCATCTTGAAAACTAAAATCGGTATCAGAATCAGAATGATGTACAATTTTTGTCTCCTGCTTTCTTGGCGATAAAAATGTTGTTGTTGTTGCTTGTGGCTCGGAAGTATTAAAATTCATGAGGGAAAACATTTTTTTAACTTTAATTTTACCTTCTCCTACTTCCTTGTTTTCCTTGGTGGGACTTATTTTATCGAAATTAGTTTTATTCCCTGCTTTTGGTGTTGATGAGCCCAATGTTGTTTCGATATTTGTGGTTTTTGAATTTGGAAATGTATCATCCATGTCTACTTCCATATTTTCGACATTTATATTCGAATTAAATAGAGACATGTCAAAAATTGAATCTTTTTCTTCTTTAATTTTCATATCTGTCTTTTCACTGATATCAACTTTCTCTTCATCTGCTAAAAATACAAGTTTTGTTTGCTTCAATTTATTTCCTTTCGTTGACTGTTTAGAACTCACATTGTACAAATTAGAAACTCCTAATTTTTGATTAGATTTTACTTTCGGACTAATAAATAAGTCCTTTTCTCTTGGCGAGGAAAATAGAGATATATTTGACGCAACATTTTCTTGTGCGGATTTTGGATTTTCGGTAATTTGTTCTTTCGCTGATAAACTTTTTCTTTCGGAAGTGGGAAAAATTTTACAAGAAAAATTTTTCTTCTTTTCTCTAATTTTATTTCTTGAGAATACAGGACTTTTTTGTAATTGACTTTCCTTGGGGTTTATTTTCAATTTTGATTCTTCGAATTGTTTTAATAAACTTTGCTCCGACTCGGTGTCAAATTGAACAGAAAGTATTTCCAGTTCTTCGTGTAATGGTGGATTGTCTTTTGCTATTTTTTGATTGTCAACAATATCAGAAGTTAAGTTCGTTACATTATTGGACTCGATTATTGAAATGTCATCAGAAATATTTTTATTTTCTGATACTAATTCCGCTGCATCTTTTAGTCTGAAATTCATAATTCATTCATTTATTATTTGGAATGAAGTTTGTAAGAAAATGTTAACTAAATTTCTCGAAAGAATTTTAATTTCCTTCGAAACAATTCAATTATTTTCCAAAATTTGGCTAACATTTTTTTACTAGACAAATTTTTTTAAACAAAATTTTAAAGAAATTCCTTAGTAAGAATTTTTTTTCTGAAATAGAAATAAATATACTCACTCTTTAATGCTATCGTTGGTTTTTGTAGAACAAGTACTACCATTTCCTTCTGACTGATTCAATATTTTACAATTTTTATGCGCTTTTCTCTCCTTTAGTAATTCTATAAATAAAAAATATAACATTCTAACTAGAAATTAATTAACAATAACAAAAAAAGAAAAAATAACAAACAATGGTTCTTCAACAAACGTTATTCATTAAATCTTTATTAAATAACTGTCATGAATGAAGAGAAATTTTCGTTGGCTAAAATATAGAATTAATATACTTACTTCTGAATTGTCTCCGTAATGATTTTAAAGTTTCGTCAAATTTTTCCAATAATTTCTCCTGCTTATCTTCTTCTGGCAAAATACTATCAGACAAAACCATTTTCACCCAATTTTTTTATTGTACTTGTAGGTTAAATTCCAACTTTTTATAATCAGGAACAAGAGATTGATGAAACCTTTCTTTACATTCTGTCAGCACTTTATTAATAAAATAAATACACACAATAAATCTTTAAAGAAAAACACTCTTCAAAAATGCAAAATGTAAATAAAAAACTTGTCCTTTGTTTAAAACACGTTTCTTTTTGTAAACAATAACAATAAACAATAATGACATGCATACGTCAGGGATAGAAAAAGTATATAGATAGGCAACTTAAAAATATTTTAAGCTGCTTTCACAAACGTGAAATTGCACATATAGTTCATAACTTCCCAACCCTGTATCGATGACGCAATATAAATTTTTATTAATTTTCAAAAATGTTTATCCTGTTTATTGTATAAAAAAGAAATATTTATATGTGAGATTAATTTGAATAAAATAAATAGATATTTATATATTTATATGTGAGATTAATTTGAATAAAATAAATAGAACTTCGATTTAAAGGAAAAATTCTAATTTATATAACATGATGATAACAATATTTACATAAAAAAAAATAATAATTTGTTTATAGTTCAAAGATAACAAGTAATAACAAAAAAAATATTGCAACTATATTCACAAAAACAGTTTTAAAAATTAAAATATAATTTAAGCTACGTCATCTTAATCAGTCTTATTCTGAACGTTGTACTGTTAACATTTTGAGAACAGAGAAGTAACATTCTTCAGTTTAGCTTTCAACATTTTATTTATTTCCTTTCGTTTTTATTTCCTTTAAAAAAGTCGATGTATCAGAAAAAAGAAATTACTAATTAACCTCCAGAGAAGAACAGAAAAACGTAGTAATTAAAATTTAAAGGGATAATCATTAATAATTATCCCGAAAAAGTTTAATTTATATTCAAGAGAAAAGAAAAAACATAACCTCGAAGCAAAATGTCAGGAGTAATTGTAAAAAATCTACCTCGATTTAATCACTTGTTACCACAAGGTAAGAATGTAAATTTTCATTTATTTCATATTTATCAATTGTCATATGTATTTATGTATTTAGCATTTATAATAAGAATAACAAATGCGTATCGTAAATTTATAACATGGAACAACCCAGGTCCAAAGTTCAATTGATTCAATGAATAGTCAATTATTGTTTAAATGCAGTCAATTTAAAATATTTAGAATAAAATGTAAATATATTAAAACCAAGGTAAAAAGAATAACAAAAATGTAAAAAATTTATAGATTGTCATCGGAAATTCAAAGAAGTGAATTGTAATTTTTAAATAATATTTTTAGAGGTTTCTCTTTAGGATTATTTTCTATTATTTAATAAATATATTTATGTAATCTAGCTGGTCTATCTTGGGAATCGACGAGAATTTTAAAGAAGGGATATGCAACAAAAATTGCTGAGACAGGTGGGAAAAATATTGTTTACATCGATGGAGTTCGAACACCTTTTTTACAGTCATTCACTGATTATAAAAATGTCATGGCAGTTGATTTGGCAAGGCATTCCCTTGTGTATGTAACTTTCTTTCGTAATTATTTTATTCCTAATTTATTCAAAACGAGATTAAATTTAAATTAGATTAAGATTAAGATTATTTTCATTATTTTTAATTCAATTTTTAACTAAATTTCATAAAAAAAATATCAAATCAATTATTTTTAATAATTTTTTAAAAAGTTCTTTGAGAATTTTCAAATCCATTCGTCTGCACTTTAATTTCACGGAAATTTCGATTATTCGGAAACTCTTGAATAATGTGTATATTAGAAACTAAAAAATTCAAATAATTTCAAGAAAAATTGAAATTAAAATTTCTATAAAAAAAATTTTTTAAATATTCAACAATTGTTAAATATTTTATTTTCAGCAATTTGCAAAAGAAGACCGGTATTCCAAAAGAACTAATTGATTACATAGTGTATGGATCAGTGATTCAGGAAGTGAAGACATCGAATATTGCTCGTGAGGCTGCACTTGCCGCTGGATTCAGTGATAGAACACCAGCACACACAGTGACAATGGCTTGTATCAGTAGTAATCAAGCCCTGACAACTGGAATGGGTTTAATTGCTTGTGGAGTGTACGATACCATTGTTGCCGGAGGTGTTGAATTTATGTCTGACGTTCCAATCAGACACAGCCGAAATATGCGAAGTTTAATGTTACGTGCAAATAAAGCGAAGACTCCAGCTCAGAAATTAGCGTTACTCGCTACCTTTAGACCTTCACATCTAATTCCCGAGGTGAGCGACATGTTTCCGGCTTCGCACTCATCTAATACTAAAATCTATTATTTACTACTTTTTTTTACAATTTGCTACTATTTGGATACTTTTTTAGATTTATGACACTAAAAGCTACTTTTTTCTTTCTTTTTTTGGGATAAATTTGCATTACTTTAAATAAAAAAAGATTTTAAAAATTCTAATAAAATTCTTTAAAACGATTCAATTGTTCTTAAAAATTATTCTTTTTTTTATTCGTTAAAATTAATTCTCGATAGCTACTTTTTTTATTATTAAAGCTACTTTTTGATACTTTTTTGAAATTAATTATTGAGTGTGAAACCTGTTATTGCAATAAAAAAAAGAATATAGAAGTAAATCTTTATAATTCAGCTTCCAGCGGTGGCAGAATTTTCCACAAAGGAAGTGATGGGTCACAGTGGCGATCGTCTAGGTGCAGCTTTCGGAATAACGCGAAAAGAACAGGATGATTATGCTTTGAGATCACACACTTTGGCTGCTCAAGCTCAACAACAGGGTTATTTCACCGATTTGATTCCATTTGTCGGTTAGTTGATTAAGGAAAATTTTAAAGAAGATTAAAGAAATTAAATATTAAAAAAATTAAAAATTAAAGAAATTTATGAACTTTCCAAAAATTTGTTGAATGAACATTTGTTGACTTGACATTTTTTTGTAGGACAAAAGTCGGTTGTCGAAAAGGACAATGGAATTCGTGTTTCGACACCTGAACAATTGGCAAAATTGAAACCGGCATTTGTAAAACCCTATGGAACAGTAACGGCGGCAAACGCTTCATACTTGACAGACGGTGCTTCGGCTGCTTTAATAATGACAGAGGAGAAAGCGCGTCAACTTGGACTTAAACCAAAAGCGTATCTCAGAACTTTCACATACGTTTCACAGGATCCTAAGGATCAATTACTTCTAGGACCCGCCTACGCAATTCCCAAGGTATTTTTTTTTTTTACTTTTTAATTATTTTCCTTTTTCCATCAGTGTTGGAGTAATTTGTTCTTTTTTAGGTTTTAGAAAAGGCTAAATTGAAATTAAGCGACATTGGAGTATGGGAAGTGCATGAAGCATTCGCAGCTCAAATTCTAGCAAATTTAAAAGCTCTCGATTCGGACTTTTTTGCGAAACAATATCTACAGCGTTCGGAAAAAGTGGGAGTACCCGATCTCGATAAATGGAACAAATGGGGCGGTTCATTGTCAATTGGACATCCATTTGCCGCGACTGGTGTTCGTTTGGCAACTCACACTGCCAATCGAATGATCAGGGAAGATCAACAATTTGGATTGATCGCTGCTTGCGCGGCTGGTGGACAGGTAATTTCAAATATTCTATATATGAACCGGGTTGCCACAAAAATGTAATTTTCTTTTTCCCCAACTTTTCCCTGATTTCCAGATAAAATTTTCACTTTTTTCCTAAACCTAAAGAATATTCTGATTTACTAGAAATATGATTAGATTTATTGTTCCATAGGAATTAAGACTTTCAAAAATGTTTAAATTGAACAACTTTTTCAAATTCAATAACTTATAAGAATTTTCAACATTTCAATTTAATTATTATTTTCTTGAATTTTTAACTAAAATTCTTCTCTAAATCAATTATTTTTAATAATTTTTGAAAACAGTTCTTTGAGAATTTTCAAATCCATTTGTCAGAAATATCAATTTAAAAAATTGAATTCGTAATAATTTTTTTAGTTTATGAATCAATAAAAAAACAAACAAAAATTCAGAATTTTCTTATAAATTCTAAAAATTTAATTTTTCCAGTACTTTTAATAAAAATTCCTTACTTTTACCTGATCAATTCCACTTTCTTTGACTTTTTCCTAAATTCCCTGACCTTGTGGCAACCTTGATAAAATATATGAAATGCTGAGAGAAAAAAAATACTAACAAACATTAATTTTCAGGGAGTTGGAATGATTATGGAACGACATCCAGACGCAAAACTCTAATAGGAAAATATTTTTTTTTTTATAAATTTTACAATGCAAACGAAAATCTAAATTTGTTATAGTTTTGTAAGTTAATAATGTGGAGAGAAAATGCAAATTAATTGGCATTTCCTATAAAAGTTATTTATTTTTTATAAAGTAAAATAAAAGTTTTTTAAAATGGAATATTTTACTGTTGAGATATTTAATCGGCAGTGTGACTAGAATAGATGTTTAAATGATGTTTGACAGCTTCGTCGAGAATTGTTCTTAAATCCCGACAACCCTCGACGGCCATCATTCTCAAATTTTCCAAACGTGATAAATGGAGACGTTGACCGGAACCTTGTACAACAACAACGCTGTTTCCAATTGGAATTTCAATATTGTGCCCTGGTAGAGAAACAATTGACAATGTTACGCCAGGCATGCACTCTTCCATGTAATTCGCATCGAGAAGTCCAATTCTCTGTGTGCCTTTGTCATCTAAAATTGCGTTATCTGCCACTGTCACCGAACAACCCACTGCATAATCCTAAAACAATTTCACTATTTTCAAATTTTGATTATTATTTAAGAAAACATTTTGTTTTCGTAATAAAAGAAAAGAAGAAAAACTATTTTCCCCTCTTACTTTGATTGGAATACCAGCGTCAACAAGAGCAAGTGTAGCGGCATTGACAGCAACACAAAATTCACTACCATCAACTTGTAGAATTTCAACAAAAATATCAATTTGCGATCGTGCCATAAGATCCAAGTGAATAATCGCCTCCATTGCATGACGAAGTTGAAGAGAACGTTCCAATGATTTTCGATCGCCCCTTGGTCTTCGCTTTCGTTCACCAGCTCCAAAACTAAATACAGCTGTACTATACTGACAATTAACTATTCCCTTCACTGATTTTGTTGACACACTTTTTGCCGCCGATCCCCTTGGCTTTAAATAATTTATAAAACAATTTAAATTTCTCGAAATTTTCAATATAATTCAGGGTTGTCTAAGATTGCAGGAAATTCAGAGAATTTTATCAAAAAGTACTGGAAAAATATTTGTATCTATATTATTTTTAGACTGAATGAAAATAAACTTTAGAATCAGAAAGAAAGTCAAATTTCTGTCTGGAGAACATGGAAATAATAAAAACAAATTTTTTGTGCTAACCCTGTAACGTCATAAAAATAACAAAATTTTTAAAACATACCTGATGAGGACCATATACTGTTGCTAAAACTTTAGTTTTTCCTTGTTCAACATAAGCACTTCCATCAGCCTGTCCAAAAACGCCTAATCTTATATTAATCTTTCGAATTTCTTTAGGTCTTCGTCCATCAATTCTTAGTCCATCTTGTTGTAATTCTTTCGTATCCATCTCCATTGTAATTTTCGTCAAACTTATTTCACTATTCTATACTTTTTTTTGCCCAAGAAAGGATTTTTAAATATATAACCTAAAAGAAACACGTTTTGTTTTGAACAAGAAGACTAGAGACAGGAGGGCTAACTCGGCTGTTTTCTCACTCACAGCAGTGAGTCAGTATTAGGGGGGTTCTGAAGGCGTAGTTAGATTGCGCCAAATATCTTGTTTTCGGTTCTGCACATCTCAACACTCTTACATTATATATTTGAATACGTGACACGCGTGTGTGAGTGTAAGTGCAGAATCAAAACACGATACTTGGCGCAATCTAACCACGCCTTCATAATCCCCCTATATTTGTCCTACCCCCACTACTGCAGTTAGTCCTCCTGTCTCTAGTCTTCTTGGTTTTGAACAAGAAGAATTTGTTACGTGCGGAGTTACGTTATTTACGCGCAGGCGTAAGATCGCATCTTTGGTTTAATCCTTTGAAAAGGAAGCGGAAATATTCAAAATAAAACAAGTAAAATTCCGTTAAAACGGAGGGAAAAACCTCGAAAATAAGAAAGATCAATTAATAATTAATACAATAATAATAAAATAATGAATAAAGTAAAGAGCAATTTAATTTTTGGTTTAAATGAATAATTTATTAATTTAATTAATAATTTTTCATTAAAGATAAATATTATATAGTTCAATTATTATTTTGATTATTATAATTTTTATAATAATAATAATTATTATTATTATCAAAAAATTTCAATAAAATAATTGAATTCCTTCGAAGAATTTTTTTATTAATAAAAATAATTGAATTCTCGTGATGAATTTTATTATAAAATTTTTAAAAATCATAACTAAATTCTTTTGGAGAATTTCTTTGAATTTTTTTAAAATAATGAAGTTTCTTTAATAATTTTAATTGAAATTTTTGAAATCAATTGAATTTTATAAAGAAGAATTTTATTAAAATTGAATTGAAAATAATATTGAATTCCTGAGAAGAATTTTATAAATAAAAATAATTTAATTCTTGCGAAGAATTTTACTATTTATGAAAATAATTAAATTGTTCCAAAGAATTTATTAAAATTTTAGGAAATAAATTAATTTTATGAAAATATTTAAAATTAATTAAATTCTTTTCAGGAATTCTATTAAAATTGTTTTGAAAAGAATTGAATTTCTGCAAAGAATTTTACTATTTATAAAAATAATTGAAATGATCGAAGAATTTATTAAAATTTTAGGAAAAATTGAATTGTTTTGAAGAATTTTACAGAAATATTTGAAAATAATTAAATTCTATTCAGAAATTCAATTAAAGTTGTTTCGAAAATAATTGAATTTCTGTAATATTTAAATTAAGCATATTCAAAATAATTGTATTCACCAGAAGAATTTTATTATTTTTTGAAAAGAATTGAATTCTTTCAATTTTTTGACGAATATATTTAAAAATTGCATCGAAAGTAATTTAATTTTCATATAGAATTTTTAAAAATATTTTGAGAATAATTGAATTATTTTTAGAGAATTTTAAATTCTTGTTGAAATTGAATTTTATGAATATTTTTGAAAATAATTAAATTCTTTCATGTAATTTTATTTAAATTGGATTAAGAATAATTTAATTCCTGCAAATAATTTTAGTAATTATAAAAATAGTTGAATAATTGTTAAAAAAAATTTATTAAAATTTTAGGAAATAATTGAATTTTATAGAAATATTTGAAAATATTTCAATTCTGCCTAGAAATTCAGTGTTTTGAAAATAATTGAATTCCTGCACAAAATTTTACTATTTATAAAAATAATTTAATTCCTTCGTGAAATTTTATTAAAATGTTGTCATTATTAATATTATATTAATATAATTAATATAATATTAATAATATACTTTGAAATAAATAAATTAATTAATTAAAAATTAGTGTACATAATTATTAAAATTTAAATTAAATCAAGAGTTTAATCATATAACAATTAGCAATCATTTGATGACAATTTCACTCTTGTTTTTTTTAGTATTTGACTTTTTTAGTTATTTTTTTTACGATTTATTAATTAAAAGTTAAGTTTTTTTTCAAAAATAACCGAAATAAAATTTTTTGACTAAAAAATAAGAATAATTATTTAATTTTCGCCAAAAAATAGACAATTCTCTCGGTAAAATGTACAACGGAAAAGTTTTAATAGGCACTTGGAATTCACGGATCAAATGCCTATTGTTTGTGCAGCTATAAGTGAACCGTTTACTCGAAATACATTTACGATACTTGCATCCTATTCGAATAAACGAGACGGGGAGAAACTTTTATTTGGCCAAAATTTCATTTTGAAGGCAAGCGAATATAGTGGAATATAAATATATTATTCAATTATCAAAATTGAATAATTAATTAATTTAATTATTCAATTACTTCAATTAATTATTTAACTAATTCAATTAACAGGACTCGAAATCGATTATTTGTATCAAATAAATTTTTTTTTCAGTGTAATAACATTTTTAAGAATAATTACATTTTTCCAGGAATTCTATTAAAATCGTATTAAAAATAATTGAAATTTAGCAATGAGTTTTATTATTTATGAAAATAATTGAATCCCTAAAAAGAATTTTATTATTTACGAAAATAATTGAATCCCTGTAAAAATTATATTATTTATGAAAATAATTGAATGATTGCGAAGAAATTTGTAAATAATTGGGATTCCTGTAAAATATTTACGAACTTTTGGTCTTTTCTTAATCAAATTACGGCCGTTACGGACCTGCATTATAATTAATCAATTAATCAGTCGACTAATTTAAATTGCATCAACAGTTAACAGATTCTACTGAAGAAGATTTATACCTCAGATCAGTAACACCTTTGATTGACGATACTCGTGGTCCTGGAGAACATAATCGAGTGTTATTAAGTAACATTAAAGACTGTTATTGTCTCTGGAAAGTTCTTTTGTGCAACAAAAGTCAAAGATTTGAATCCGAGGGAACTCCTGTTCCAGTTTCTGATCGGTAATTGTTTTACTATTGTAGTGTAAAATTGTCTTTTTCTCAATAAAACCTAACCTAACAATTATCATTTCGAAATTATTAAAAAATTATCAAATTAGAAAATAATGATTCTCCTAACTTGTAAGGTTTTAAATTAAATAGATTGACTATATAATAGGCGCTAACAGAAATATATAAATATTAAAATAGAATTGTTATTACTCACGTAATGACTGGAGAGTGTTTAGCAGTTGAAAGATTAAATTGTCAATCGAGCATTTTTGGCGTTGAATGTGGAATATCCGTTCACACTTATAGGGATGTAAATAAACGAGAAACCCCCGAATGTCACTGGATGTTTGTAACAGAAAAAGTACCACGCGGTACTGCCGAGAAAGAATGTAAATAAAATTCTGTCTAAGCACCTGGACGATATTTCCTGAAAAAGAATTTTATAATGATATTCAAGTAAAGTTGTCACAAATTAAAATTAATAAATTAATTATATACTTTACTCTAAACTGTCTAAATTGTTAAAGTGTTTTTAACCACAGCGCAGCGGTAACACCAACTGTTTGCCTCATAAAACTCGATATTCATTTCGATAATTTTCAATATATTTCTACCCCCTCGATAAGGCTTTGGAAAATTAAATACACAATCGAGTTATAGTGATATTAATTAACTTAACTAGATTAAAAAAAATGTCTAACAAATATAATTTCAATATTATTATTATGACATTTCTCGTCTCTGTTGAACCTGTTGAATGAAGTTGGTGCCATAATATAAGAATAAAGGTTAGGAATCGATTATTTGAAAATGTTTTAAAAAACATTATTTTAGTGTATTTATTTCTAATAAATTATTATTATTTTACATATTTATTAATATTATTTAATAGTTTAATATATTTTATTAATTATTTACTTAATTTATTTATTTTGTATTTTAAAAAAAATTTGAATTTCGATAGTCGATTTTCGATATAACTAGATTCAATAATCGAAAGTAGCGCGCTGTAGAGGCGTGGGGAATGCCGCTCGCTCATTGGTCGACGCGTCAGCCAATAGGAGCGCGCCACATCTCACATGCGTAAGTGCTCTGCGCGGAGCTCATTTGGCGGCCGGCAGCCATCGGTGACGGTGGTGTTAGCCAGTTCTCCCGGGTTGAGACCCTCGGGTCTCCTCGGTTGGAGAAGCTGCCAGGGGCCCCTCCCTGAGGAGGAGGGTGACCCCAGGGGGGGAACCGGGGTGGCCTAGTTGGCAAACTGGCCACCACTGGCTGGGGTCCAGTTGGCCAATGTGAAGCCTACTCTACAATGGGGTTTTTACCTCATTGTCGAGTAGTCTTTACATTGTCAACCTGAACATCATCATCCTGTACTCCAGAAGATGATGTCTAGGTTGCCAATTTAAAGACTACTCGACAATGGAGTTTTTACCTCATTTTGGAGTCTGCTTTACATTGTCAACCTGAACATCATCATCCTGTACTCCAGAAGATGATGTCTAGGTTGCCAATGTAAAGACTACTGGACAATGGAGTTTTTACCTCATTTTGGAGTCTGCTTTACATTGTCAACCTAGACATCATCATCCTGGACTCCAGAAGATGATGTCTAGGTTGCCAATGTAAAGACTACTCGACAATGGAGTTTTTACCTCATTTTGGAGTCTGCTTTACATTGTCAACCTAGACATCATCATCCTGGACTCTAGAAGATGATGTCTAGGTTGTCAATGTAAAGACTACTCGACAATGGAGTTTTTACCTCATTTTGGAGTCGGCTTTACATTGTCAACCTAGACATCATCATCCTGGACTCCAGAAGATGATGTCTAGGTTGTCAATGTAAAGCTTACTCTACAATGGGGATTTTACCTCATTGTCGAGTAGTCTTTACATTGTCAACCTGAACATCATCATCCTGGACTCCAGAAGATGATGTCTAGGTTGCCAATGTAAGGACTACTTGACAATGGAGTTTTTACCTCATTTTGGAGTCTGCTTTACATTGTCAACCTAGACATCATCATCCTGGACTCCAGAAGATGATGTCTAGGTTGTCAATGTAAAGACTACTCGACAATGGAGTTTTTACCTCATTTTGGAGTCTGCTTTACATTGTCAACCTAGACAACATCATCCTGGACTCCAGAAGATGATGTCTAGGTTGTCAATGTAAAGACTACTCCACAGTGGGGTTTTTACCTCATTGTCGAGTAGTCTTTACATTGGCAACCTAGACATCATCATCCTGAACTCCAGATGATGATGTCTAGGTTGCCAATGTAAAGCTGACTCCAAAATGATGTTTCTTCCTCATTCCAGATTCAGCATACCGGTGATTCCGCAATAGGGAATTTGAGGTTAGGTCGCTATTGTGGACACTTCTTGAGGATCGACGATGACCAAGGGATGGGACCGATGAAGAGGGCCAAAAAAAAAGAAGGAAGATTCAAAAGGATCTTGAGCTGGTCCAGAGGATGCTGCGCTGTCAACATTGTAAAGATGGATTTCCTAATAGGTAAGTAAATATTTATTTATTTCTTCTTAAAAAAGCAATTGTTTTTGTTTTGTTTCATTTTTGACAGTTTAAAAAAAATTCTAATTATCAATGTTATTAAAAATATTAAATTCTTAATTATTAATAAATTATTAGGTATTATACATTTCTTTTTGATAATTTAATTTTTTGAGTTTTTTTATTTAAAAATAATAATTTTCGAATTTCTTTTTCTATTTTTTTAGGTCGCTTCTAGAAATCTGGAAACTAAGGAGGAGGGCAAATGAATTTGGCTCCTCCCTCATCCCCTCCAGTCACCGGCTGAATTAAAACTCATCTTGAGCTGGTTCGAAGCTGCTGTCAACATTCAGAGGAAGGACATTTTATTCGGTGAGTAATATTTTCTTTAATCTTTTTTACAATTTTTTTTTACTTTTTATATTGTTACTTGTTTTTTACATATAATATTTATTGTTAATTAATAATAATATTTAATTTAATATAAAATAAATTATTTAAAATTTTTATAATTTATAATTGAAATAAATTAATTTTTTTTTAAACTGTTAATATTTTTAATTTTTTTACATTTTCATGAATAAATTTCTAATTGTTAATTACTATTTACACTAATGATTTTCTTTATTTGAAATTTTTATTATTCATTGCAGCTAATTATTATTGATTTATAGTTATTTGTAAAATTTAATATTTTTTTGTTACTCTTTTATTGCTTTTTATTTATTGTAATATTTGTTATTTATAATTATTTAACTTTACTGAATTCGAATTAAATTTAACATAAAATAAATTAGTTTTTTATTAATTTGTTAATAATTTTTATTTTTTTTTTACATTTTCTTAAATAAATTTCTAATTTTAACTATTATTAATTTATTATTATTGCTATTATATTTTGTATTGTTTTATACATTGAAAAAAAAGTTATACGATTCAAATAACTGATTAATTGACTATTATCAATTAAATATTTACTTGAATCAAATAATATTTATTGGAGTTAATTAAATGGTATATAAATCAATATTTGAAGCAATTACCATTTAATTGACTCCAATAAATATTATTTGATTAAATTAAATATTTAATTGATAATAGTCATTTAATCGTTTATTAGAGTCAAATCAATTTTTTTTCAGTGTACAGTTTAAATATTCTTAAATATTAATTTTTTTATATGTCTACAGGCAGTGTCAAATCCATGTTAAGGATTGGACAAAATGGATACAGAAGAGAACTTATTCCTAAATCGGCAGGAATAGAAATGGATCTTCGAAATTTTTCAGGACAAAGGTGAATACCGGGAGACAATACTGAGAATACTGCGCCAGATAAGATCATATTGGACAACAAGGATCACGCAGTGGATGTGATCTTCGTGAACTGTGGTTATCTCTCTGAGAACAACTATTGGTGAGTAATTTTTATTAATTTATTATTTCACTTTTCCCACATTTACGTCACACTTTATTCCCTCCTTTAACCCCCCCCCCTGATACTTTGAATATTTATAAATAAAAATTTAAAGACAAATAAATGAAGCTTAGGGAGAAATAGAAATTGATTCATTTTTCGTAGAAAGTTTTGAAATAATTAAATTCTATTCGCGTCATTCCATTAATATTTTCTTAATAAAGTTAAATATAATTCTACAATTTTTCATGTTAATAATTTTGTCTAAAAATTTTGTTTTATTTTTATAAATATATACAAATTGTAAATTCTTTTTATTTCCTTTTTCCCACCTAGTTTTATTTTTTATTTTATTGCATAGTTATTTTTTACAAATTCAATATAGAGACCTAAACCCCCGTTCGGTACCCCCTCAAACCAGAAGTGTGACCTGGGATTGTTAATGACTCTTTTCTTGCATAATTTATTTTGTATTTCCATTTGTATTTTTAAAAATTTTTGGAAAATTTTTTGACAAATAAAAATACTCAAAAGAATGCATTTTATTTAATTTAATAAAAGTCTTCGCAAAAATTCAATTAGAATAATAAAATTTTCACAGAAAGTTAATTATTTGAAATACAATTTTCAAGAAAATGTTTTGAAAGAAATCAATTATTTAAATTATTTCAATAAAATAGTTTAAAAGGAATTAATTATATTCTAAAATTTTGATAACATTTGTTTAAAAGAGTTTTATTATTTTCATAAATAATAACATTTATCACAAGAATTTAATTATTTGTAATACAGTTTATGTTATAAATTTTGAGAAATTGTTAAATTTCAGAATCATTTTCAAAAACATCAAAATTATTAAAATTGTTAATTCCTTTGGAAAAATTAAAAATTATTTATGTATATTTATTGAACAAAAATTATTATAATTATTGTATAGATAATTTAATTTAGAAATTATGAAAAAAAGTAGTCTTGAAAAATTTTAGTAAAAATGTTTTGAATATTCAAATTCTCGTAAAATATAAAAATATTTATTTAAATTTCCAATTAATTGGAAATTTACAAATTAATTAATTTGCAATTTTAAATTAAATAAAATTTATTATTTAAAGAATTTTATTATTTTACTTAAAATGTAAATTAATTTTGCAAGAATTTAGAATTGAAATTATTAGCGGGATAAGAAAAAAGTGAATATTTTTTATGGAAATGAGTAGAAATACAGAAACAAACTTTTGTGAATTTTGTAAATTGACTAAAACTAGTTTTTTAGACGTAAAATTTAATTTTTTGATAGCTACTTTTTTATAGGGAAATGTCAGGAAAAAAATTTTTTGTCTGGGAAATTAAGAAAATTGAAACATTTTTCGACTTTTCTTCCAAATATTACAACAAAATACAAGAATTTTTAGTAAAAAAGTGCATCTTATTTTGATTTTTATAATGTGAGAAATAACTAAAAAGAAATCTTTTAAAAATTGTTTTTGAATCATTTTTTAACGTAATTAAATTTTACAAATATATCTATAATAAAAATCTTTTTGAATAGTTGAAATTTTGGAATATTTAATTTAAAATAATTAATTTATTTTTTTAAAAATCAATTTTTGAAGAATTTTAATTGCAAATTTTGAAAATAATTCAAATATAAAAATTTTATTGAAAAATCTTTAAATGTAAATTTAAAATTGAAAATTAATGAAAATTAGTTTCTAATTTTTTAAAATTCAATATTTTCAATTACATATTTCCAAAAATTCAAATACACTCAAAAATAATAACATTTTAGAATTATTTTTAACATTTTGGAGAAAACAATCATGATCAAAATTTTTAATTAAAATTCATCAAAAAATTAATTATTTTCTTTAAATTGTACAAAAATTATTTTAAGAAATTCAATTATTTTCGAAAAATTACATTAAAATATTTTTAAAAACTAATTAGGGGTCATTCACAAACTACGTCACACTTTTTCTGACTGATTTTTGCTTGAGGTCCTTTCATCAGGACTGACCAGAACTCGTAAAGAATAAATTAATTTTATTCGATTAACAAATTTTTTTTTTTTTGTTTTCAGCTTTTCGCAGTCAACACTCAGTCAATTCAGGAAGTACTAAAGCGCAGATAGTGGTGTGTGGAGTTGTTTTCATCAGGATAATCTTTCGTGAGAATCTGTACAGGACACGAGAAATCTTTTTACAGTAAGTTTTTCTTAATACAATTTTACGATGTATTAAAAATTTATATTTGTAATATTATGTTATTTTATTCTTGACTACTTTTTGTTATTAAGATAACTATTCTGTTCAATTATATTATTTTTTGTTATCAATGTTAAATCAGAGTAAATAATAACTGTTTAGTGTAACTAAAGGATGGCTTTCTTAAAATCTAACAAGAAACGTAAAATTTATTTTATTTTCTAAAAAGTTTTTTTCTTTTTCAGTGTGCGGAAATTCAGGATGTCCAGCATTCAGGAAAGTCAGAGAACTTAGCTAGTCAGAAAAAATTTAGAGAATATCAGTAAATTTCAAATTTTCATTATATTAATTAATTAAATTAGATTCATTCATTTAAAAATCAAAGTCAGGGAAAATTTCTTTGAAATTATAAAAAAATTAAAATTTTTAATCTCATTATTTTCTCAAGAAAATAGAATTAAAGTTAGGAAAAAGTTAGGGAATTTTTATCTTAATCATTTGCTGGACATTCCGCAATTGGACAATCTGAAGGACAATTGAAGATGTGGAGAAGAAAAGTGGCCCCTGCACACTGCCGATTTTTTTTATTTTTTTTGTAGTTTATTTAGTCTATTTTTTATTTCTTTTTTTATTTAATTTCACGGTTCCGTGTGGCCCCCGACCTGGCGCAGAAGTGCGATCAAGAGCCAGGGATCTTCGGGGGTGGTCCAGAATGGGTGATGACGTAGGATCCCATCGCCACAACGTGGGCTCATCATCCACCGTGGGATATCATAATGTGGATTATCACAAACTGTGATACCACATCTAGTCAGATGTTTGATTTATTGCATGGTCAATTTGTATTGTTTATCCTTCCCTGTTTAATGCACTTTTTAAAATAATTTTCTTTAACTAAAATTTTTAGAGTACACTTAATATTTAACTTTTAACTTAAATTAATAAAATCTAATAAATTAAATAAAATAAATTTAACTTTTAGAAACTGTCTGAAAACAGGGAAGGTATTTAAACACAATGACGCCATTGACAAACTATGTTAATTTTGTGATAATTTCTATTATTACGTAAATTAATATTTTTGTCAGTGTTATTTTCTCATTGCTTTGTCATTGTGTTTATTCATTGGAACCTCCATAGAGTGATGTCTCTATCTGTTTAGTATTGCGTTCAGAAAGAAACGGGTTAATACGAGTGCAATAAAATTGTTTGATTTTCATTATTTGGTTAATTTTTGATATCGATAAACGAAATTAAAAAACGAACAATGATTAACACTTAGACGTTGAAATAATAATTAAAGTTTTTTACGATTTTAAATGTTTAGCTTTTAATCGAGTAGTTGTTTCGAAAAAAGTGGACTCGATGGAGGTTCCAGTGTATAATTTGTACTGTTTTCCTTGTTCCAATTGTATTTGTTATTTTCCTGAGCTCAGGTGACGGATGCGTCCTCAGACGTTTTAGCGATTCCACATGCTAAAGTTGTGTGGTTTCGCCTATCCCTAGTGTAGGTCTTTTTTTTGCACCTGAGCTCTTTTTTATATTATCAGGGTTGCCACAGATAAGGGAAAATGAAATATGTCAAATCAAATCTTTAGAGTTAATACAAAAATTTTGTTTTTTAGTGTCCGGAAATATTTTGGAGAAACTTAATTTTTCCACCTTTATAAAAATTTTTCATAAAGACAATGAATTTAAAGACAATACCTTGATTTCTTCTCATTTCTGTAAATAAATTTTAATTATTTTATTTCTAGAATAACTTTCTTAAAAGTCCTTAATTGTAATTAAGTTAGAAAAAATTTTTAAAATTATTTAAGTTTTATTAAATATTTTTATTTGATGCTTCAACAAAATTGTGGTTTTTGAGAAATTTAAATTTAATTTTTTTGAAGATATGTACCTAACTGAAATTCTGTAAAATCGAATGGAAAATAATAATGATCATAAAAGATTTATCTAAAAAACTATTAATGTTTACGAATAATTTTACAATCAATAATATTTACTATGTACTAGAAATATTTTTTTTGTGGATAGAGTCAGGAAAAAAGTCAAAATTCTGTCTAGAAATCAGGAAATTCAGGGTAAAAGAAAATCAAATTTTGGTGGCAACCCTGACTATATTTTTCAGTTTAAAAGTAGGTTCTCATTAAATAGTCGATTAGATATAAGCAAAAAATAATCGGGAAGGTAGAAATCAGGAAAGTAAGCTAGCTCTTTTTTTACTAACGGTTCATTAATTTAGAAATAGGTTTGCATTATATAGACGTTTAGATAAACGAAAAATAATCGGGTAGATAGAAATCGGGTAAGTAGGACAAGCAGTAAGAAAAATCGGAAATATTTTCTGCTCATACAAATTTGAGTCACACTTACTGGAAGTTACCAGTGCCAATGGACCCTCTCCACTCATAATTTATGAGTCACAGTTACTGGAAGTTACCAGTACCAATGCATCCTTTAGACTCATAATTTGAGTCACCAAGTAATATTATGAGTACTTAGCATGAAATCTATTTTTGTCACTTCCTTGTTTCGAATTTTTCTTTATGATTCATGAGTTATAAATTTGCGATTTTTTTATTAAATTTTTTGTATTTGTAAACATTTTTTATATACATATATTGTTATTTTCATGAGCTCAAGTATAAGATGCGATCTCGAACATTTCGGCGATTCCACATGCTAAAGTTGTGTGGTTTCTCGTATCCCTAACTTCGATCTTTTGCACCTGGGCTCTATTTTATATTATGTTCGCGATTTAAAAGTAGGTTTGAAATAATTAGTCGATTACATAAGAAAACAATAATCGGGTAAGTAGGCTAGCTCTTTTTTACGTGCGATTCGTCATTTATAAATAGGTTTGTATTAAATAGATTAACGAAAAATAAGCGGGAAGGTAGAAATCGGACTGACAGGACTAGCAGTTAGGAAAAATCGGGAATATTTGCGGCTCCTTAAAATTTAAGTCACAGTTACTGGAAGTGACCAGTACCAAAAGATCCTTTCGGCTCATAATTTGAGTCACAGTTACCTAAAGTGACCAGTACCAAAAAATCTTTTCTCCTCAGAATTTGGGTCACAGTTACTATTGCTACAGTAACATTATTTTTTACATTATATATATACAGTGGAAGCTTGATTGTTTGAAGGATAATTTGGGTTTAATATGACGAAAAAGCCTCCAGGTAATCGAGGTTCCACTGTATACATATGTATGTTTTTAATGAAAAACTGTCTATTATACTTTTCGTATTATGTGTTTTTACTATATGTTTTATTATTGTTATATATATTTATTATTATTATGTGTTATTATTTATGCTTATTTATTTCATTATTATTATTAATTAGGGAAGCGACGGGTAAGTTCGGCTGTCGTCTAATTCCGTTTCTTCTTACTTTTTCAAAAAAAATTATTTTCAACAAACTATTTTTAAGAATGTTGTGTTATACTTTTAATAGATTATTCTTAAAAAATAATTTTACAAAAAAAATTTTTAAGTACAAACCAAAGCCAAAACGAACTTATCCGACAGCCGAACTTATACCCGACTCTGTCCTATAACTTTAAATATTAACTTATAGTATTCTATATGCGAAAAATATGTGTTACATGTGAGCATGTGACTAAAATTTGTTTTCTTTTTCTTGACAGATCGTTCTTGACGCTGCATCATATTTTATATTACACTGAGCGCCTAGATTAGTGGAGTCTCTATTATAGGCATATTTTTTTAGATTAATTTATTATTATATTGATTATATTTTATATTTCAAAATTAATTATTGTTAAAAAACTCTTAATTGAATTGAGGGCGTGGATCGGATAACTGTCTGTAGCGCATGGCCGAAAGGGAATATACCAGTCAGACAACGTTGAGCGCCTCTAGGCCTCTCACTGATGTCTGGCTGGTATAGTCCCTTTCGGCCATGCGCTACGGGCAGTTATCCGATCCACGCCCTCAATTGAATAATAAATTTATACACCGAGAGAAAAATAAAGTTATACCAACCGGAGACCCCGGTTAAAACTACTTGACCGACACAGGCGTTAACATAACCTCTGATTCCCAAGTCAGCACAATTTGACAGCCAGGCAGTTTTGGCCTGGCTGCCTCAAGTAGTGTCAATGGCTGGATCGATATCAGTAGTAAATTGACTGACGAAAACTAAAGGCTCAACTGGAGAGCCAAGTCAAAACGGCCTGGCTCTCCGGTTATCATTACTTGACTTTATAAAATTAGCATGGCGACTCAAAAGAAAGCAGTTACAACTTTATTTTTCTCTCGGTGTATATTTTATCATATGTACTTTAAACTTATTGTGTTTTTATGGTTGTTCTCATGGTTTCCTGCTACAAAATAAACAAATCTAATCCTGATTATGCCCTATCGGTATATCCATTTCTGTCAGTGTAAAATGAAGTAAAGTGAATTAAGATTAGAAGCTTCTTGACAGTAATAGTTAAAGTGAGGTGAATTAAAGTAAACATTTTTGTCAGTGCAAGTTAAAGTGAAATAAAATAAAAATAAAAGTTTATTGACAGTCATAGTTAAAGTTAAGTGAATTAAAAATAAAAGTTGTTTGACTGTGTTACAGTGAAGTGAATTAAAAATAAAAGTTGTGTGGAAGTTTAAGTTAAAGTGAAGTTACTTGAAAATGTAAGTTCAGTGTTAATGTAAGTTGAAGTAAAATTAATTAAATTTAAAAGTTTTGTGACTGTGAAGTGAAAGTGAATTGCATTGAAAATAAAAGTTTTGTGTCAGTGAAATGAAAGTGAAGCGTAATGGAATGAAGTGAATTAAAAAAAAAGTACTGTAACAGTGAAATAAAAGTAAAGTGAGTTAAAAATAAAAGTTTTTTGTCATTGAAATGAAAGTGAAGTGTAATGGAAATGAAAGTTTTGTGTTAGCGTATGTTGAAGTGAAGTTTATTTTATATAAAAGTTTTGTGACAGTTAAATAGGAGTGAAGTGAATTAAAAAAAAGTTTTGTGTCAGTAAAATGAAAGTAAAGTGTATTTTAAATAAAAGTTTTGTGACAGTTAAATAGGAGTGAAGTGAATTAAAAATAAAAGTATAGTGACACTGGAAGTGAAAGTAAAGCGAATTAAATAAAAGTTTTGTGTCAGTAAAATAAAAGTGAAGTGAATTAAAAATAAAAGTATAGTGACAGTGGAAGTGAAAGCAGAGTGAATTAAAAATAAAGTATAGTGACAGTGGAAGTGAAAGTAAAGTGAATTAAATAAAAGTTTTGTGTCAGCAAAATAAAAGTGAAGTAAATTAAAAATAAAAGTATAGTGACAGTGGAAGTGAAAGCAGAGT